ACGAAAACTTAATTGGAAAAGTCGAATATCCTGTTTAATTGTCGCGTTTTCTTCGACACACACACACCACACACCAACAGGGTAATTAGATTATAGCGATTAGATCGTAAAAGCGTTTATACATTTTCCAGCGAATGGGCTTAATCTTCTTTGAGAGGATTTCGAATAAGAAAAATACGGTGTTGCGGAAGTGCTATTAAGTTCCGGAAACGTTTGGGAAACTAAGACAAAGGGATGCTGGTTGGTGGAGCAAACAACGTAATTGAGAGAATCGTTGCGATTCACCGAGGATTAGTATTTAATTGGCCTATACATCTACTTTCGATACATATCGGAAATAAAGCGATTTAAATCTAACAACTGTTTTAATAGGATCCGGATTTTATTGCTCGTAAATCAGATTTTTCCATTTCGCTAATGGAAAAATTCTAAAAATCACCGTGACTTTTACCGCTTTTCTAACGAACGATTTACTTCTTACTTTTCGGTACTTTCATATTTTTGATGTAAATTTCATTTCTCTCCATCATTTTTGATATCGTAATCTTTTAAATTCAAGTAGCTTCCCTCAAATAATTCCTTAACAAACAGCTTTTATATTTTCGTTTTTCAAAGTGTAATATTTTGTGCAGCACGCGGAGACACAGTGTAGTAATTGATTAATGGTTACTACAAATTTCCTGAGATAAATTCATGGTGAGTTGCAGTTTTATTATGACTCTACGTCATGTTTTAACGCAGGCTCGTTTCCGAAATTTTCTCGCGACAAGAACCAAAATAATAATGTCACAAGTGAAGGTATTTACGCAATTTACACTAGATTAAATTTAGGTATCTGCATAGAGCACCGGAAAACGAGAATTATGCGGTATATATCAGTTTCTAGTGAATTTCAAACAGGCTGTAGAGACTCGTTAAATCCGATCCTGCAACTGCAATCCGATAGCATGCAGCCCTTCTAACGAACGGTTTGCCTCGCGCATTCTTCTCATGTCCAGGTCATATTCCTCGATATAAGTGAAGCGAACATCTTTATTATACCCCATTTTGGAGAGCTCGCCCTTAAATTATTATCCCTCTTTCGTTCGCTTTGAAATTCCTGCTGGTAAGTCTCGTTTTTCGGCGCAAAAACAAGGGTCAGGAGTGCGCGTGATTGATGCCTGCAACAAGATCGCTTTATTCAGCGGATGAAAAGGTGGAAAGTTCGCGTTTGTTCGTTGGATGAAAGTGCATTTTGTATAGATATATGCTTTTATATCGCTCGAAACGAGTGGATGTTTTTTTTAATTAAACCATATCGCATTGTAACCAAGTGGTTAGAGATGGGTTTATTAAGTTTGTTTTTGTTAATGGTAGGTAGGTAGTTAATAAATTATAAAATTAGTGTTGCTCATTGGTATTCCGGGTTAATCTTCGGCTCATAAATTCCCAGCTTTAGCTGAACCTGAAAGGAAAGTCCGAGAGAAAAAAAAAAGTAAAGAGGAAATTCGGCTGATGCCTCGAACGACAATGGAATAATAAACGTCCTTAAACGCTAAGCTCCCCTTTGATATTTCCGTTCGACTACCTTTACCTGAACATCTGTATATAAAAACGAAACGTCAAATTTCATTTGGGTCGTAATAAAAAAGACGAACAAATTTTTAATATTTCCAGTCAGATTTTCGTTGCTTCTGTAGCGGAAAAAAAAGGGGCTTTTGTACGAGGAATGCCTTTTCCCGGCTTAAACGTTTGTAATGTTGTACGAACTCGTTAAGCGGCTTTTTAGCATAAAAAGGAAGCCCTAAATTCGTTTTCTTACTTTATAAATAAGAATATTAAAGGCATTTAGGTATAAGAAATGTGATTTTAATTCCTTAATTCACCTTATACATTCAGTATTCTGCTCTCTTTATAATAATATTTTTTCCAAAAGATATTCCGCGTGCATTTCCCTAATAATTAAGTTATACATTATCCAAATTTTACGTTATAATTTTATGTTAGTTTTCGATGTAGCTTTGCATCAACTTCGTTCATTCTCGAAGTTTCAACTTCGAAATTTAACCCGACAAAGTTTCTCTAGTCAATCAGTAAATAAACTTATCCCAACGAAACCTAATCTAATAATATCTTCGAAACCGCCGCGACTAAGCAGGGGTTATTTTTATTTCCGCGGACGTTTCTTAGGTAGGCTTCATTCCGAATCAACTCACGTTCTTTTATGGAAATTACCCTGTCACTTCTGACGCGCAAGTGGAAAACTATTCGCGCTTACCGCGAATCTAATGGAATGCTCCAGAGAAATATGAAAATGTAGGATGTAGGTATAATAACCAGACCTCGCCTAAAAACAGCAATAACAATTTGTCATCCTTTTTTTTCTCCCCTGCAGGTAGGATTTTCTATCCTGTCGAATAAACACGCTTCATTTAGTTTAACCTTGAAGTGTGAACTTCGAAAAAAATTCGAAATTACTCTTCATTTAAGTTAAAAATATAGTGTATTTGTAATGGGCCTATCGTGCGGTTTATTTTAACCCTAAACTTTAATTAAACCTCGTTATATCCGGGTTATTGGAATATTTCCATTCATACTGGTCAATTTAAAATCATGTCTTGTTCTCCAGAAACTTCATTATCGTCCAGCCTTCCCGAAGAGGTCAAACCGACCATCCAAATAGTTTCATTAACAAAACTCCTCCGCCGCTTTTTGCCGCCTCCCATCGACTTCCTGCCGTCCGGCTGAAGGTTGATTATTAACAATTAGATTACCCGGAATAAACGGATTAACTCCCAACCTGCGAGGCGAGTCCGGGATACCGGGATAAAGGCCAGATATGCACTATCGCTTATCTGGACAGTTCGGTATATGCAAATGCGATGGGTTTCGAATTCTCCTCCAGATGAGTGTCGTTTGTGAATAGTGTTTGGTTTTAAGATTGGCGCTCTCTTTGCATATTATTAATATTTTTTAACTCTACAACATTCCCATCCTTGATTTGTTAACTTAACTACAACTGCTCATGAAGCAGGCGATAAACATCTTCGCTGCTACTTGCATTAGCATGCTTAACACATAATAAGTAGCCTGTAAATTTCCGGGGGAAGTTTTCGGGGAAAATTTACGATCGGCTGTTTTGAAGAAATCGTCTGGTATTCCAGCTTTTACCGGCGTTTAAATAAATTAGTTCGGGTTTGTCTTTGCCGTAACAAAGCGCCGTTGCTCCGACTGATGTTATTAAAACTCCTGCGGAATTTACTTTAATAATGTAAGTACATACGCGAGTGCGCTGGCAAAGTTAAATGTAAGTCTTATTTATTGTTATATAGTCGAGTTGAATGTTCGGCTTGTATCAACAATATTTTTTTAACGGGCTTTTAAATGCGTTTGCGAGAATTCAATTTGAATGTAAAAACGGCTTTTAGTGTTTTGATTTCGTTTCTTTGCGTGGAAATGGTCGGCTCGTTTGCGTTTTAATTGCACTTGAATTATGAAATAGAGTATTTTAATTAAATGTAACATAATAATATTACTCTCTGTCGCTCCGGGTGGAGGCTTGTTTAACTTTTGCTGTCGCGTTGAAGGGAAAATTTCGAGTTTTTTTTGTGAATTTATGGTCCAGATTTCATGCAAATGGGTGGTATGCAAATCGAGCGAAGTGGTGAACATGCGTTTTAATTTTGCCAGTTGAATGGATTTCATCGAGATTCCTCCTACAATGTGAATAAATTTAATCCAAAGAACGAACAGGAGGAAAGTTTTATTAACTAAATAAATTATAGAGTTGAGTTTTAAGATGTAGCTAAAAACAGGGGTTATTATCAAATATGTTTACTGTTCGGAAAAACTCGCCATCTCTTCCATTAACTACTTAGTGTAAGTAACAAGCCTTTTCTTCGGGAATAAACATCGCCGGTATCAAAGAAAACATCAAAAAGTGAAACTTTTTTGCTCGGCCGGGCGTGCACCGTGCGTCTCTAAATGACAAGTTTTCTATATAAGAGCCATCGCTCTAATGGTCCTGTTTTGTTCCTCGTATACGACGAAAAAACCGGGATTTTTTTTCGTCGCATTTCTTTTTAACATTTCCCGCTGTTTCGCAGTTTATTCTCCCGCTTTCAGATAAGAAACCGAATAAAGAACCCGGCCTTTTCGAGCCCAACGACGCCGAATCCTCGCTAATTAATTTAGATTTCTTTGATTCCCGTATTTATACTATTAACACGAAATGTACAATTCGCGATTTAAAAACAACCCGCTCATCCAGAACAACAATCTAATTCATCGCGAATCTCCGCTCGCGCGATTACCATAAAGAAATGAATTTTTTAATGAAATCTCCCCTTCGTTATATACATTTTTTTCCATCCGAGCGAATTGTCAAATCCGGGTGTTCCATCCAGATGTTTCCTAACGTTCCGGGCAGTTAATAATATCGGATCGTTTTCCCGGATTCGAGACGTTCCCAACCCTTTCGCGTGGGGCCCGGAGGGCCCCTTCGATCAAACTCCGGCGTATGTGCGAAAACTCCGGTTCGATTTGAGTCATGTGTTTGGCCGATTGAACTCGATATAAAGCCGAATTTACGTTTCGGGTTAATTCGAGTTAGAGCGCTGTTACAAATGATGCGGATTTGGCTGATTTTTGAGCGCTTATCGTTTCGTTTGCGCGTTGAATGGTATGCTAATTTTGCTAATGCCCAATAGAAGTTTGATAAAACAAAGTGCGGTGAATTCGGAGTTATTTTGTAATGATACTACAATTAATGAAATTGTAGTGAATTATGTTAACGAATTTGGGGTTTTATTTTTAATACGATAAATCCGATTGGAGTCAAGACAATGGATATTTTTATGCATCGAAAATGTTTCTGTGTCGTAATCGACCGGAATTTGGGCTTTGAGCTGTATTAGTTCCATCTGAAATAACAAGGAATTAATGGAAAACAAACAATAAATAATCATGAAGCATTCCAGGGATTCTTTATTGTTTTAGCCGGTTTTTCACAAAAAAAATACGGGATTTTCCATTTAATAATAAAAAAACAATTTTAAGAAATCTTCATTTACACTTACGTTAAAAACTTGCACACATAACATTACATATAAGTACTTAGTTAATTCGTAAAAAAAAAAACATTAAATTTTGGGATCGGTGTTTTTGAGATTAACGAATTTCTCGGACAATTCCCATAACTTTTTAGCCTTCGAGACGTCCGTGGCTCCACTCGACAACCCCTTTTCCTTGCAATCCATAAAATACTTCCCAGTAACGTTCTTCACTTCCTCAGAACACGCCAGAAACACCGACGTTTGGCAACCCTGCAGCGGAGTCTTGAAGAAACCTATACAAAAAAAATAACACCATACTATTTGTCCATCAAATTTCTCACTACAATCACCTTTCACAATCAATTGCAATCCCCAGCTGAGCGGAACCGGCACATTCCTCCAGATACCCGAGTCGATCATGCCTGGATGGAGGCAATTCGCTGTCACTCCTGAACCTTCCAATCGCCTGGCCAGTTCCAAAGTGAAGCAAATGTTCGCGTACTTGGACACGTAGTACCAGTAAGGCGGGCACCAGGAACTCGCAGGGTTCAGGTTGTTCAAATTCAACGACGCCAATCGGTACAGTTCCGACGCCACGACCACTATCCTCGAGGATTCCGTCCGCTTGAGAAGATCTGACCGGTACAGGAAGGATGAATAAACTTGGTTAAATATGAACAATTGGGGAAAAATTGTTATTATTGTAGATAATAACTATACCTAGGAAAAATTATACAGTTTGGAAAAGAACTCACGCCCCACCAGGAAATGCCTTATGGAAACGACAATAGAGATGTCAAAACTGCAGTCGAAAACATGAAAAAGTTTTTCTTTTGGTAAATAAATAGGTTCAAAATCGACGAATCTCGGTAGGAATTTAAATCTACGAAAATGACGTGAGTATACCAATTTGACATTATTGAAAGATTCTATGTCATTTTCACTTTGAAGGTTAACAAAAGCTGTCAAATCGGTCATGTAGGAGCTTCATCTAGCTGATGAACAAACCTACAGAATTCTTTATTACTTCAAAAGTGATTCGAATCGAATGATCTATTTTTTGATCGATTTTACAGCAAATCTTTGATCAATAATTACAGCTGATTTTGGCAACTTTTGTTAACCTTCAAAGTGAAAATGACATAGAATCTTTCAATAATGTCAAATTGGTATATTCACGTCATTTTCGTGAATTTGAAATCCTACCAGGATTGATCAATTTTAAACCTCTTTATTTACCAAAGGAATAACTTTTTTATGTTTTCGACTGCAATTTTGGCAACTCCATTGTCGCTTCAATAATGCATTTCTCGGTGGGGCGTGAGTTCTGGGCCACCCTGTATTTTATTGCTTGCAGATGGTAGATACTTTATTTTGGAAGAAAACATGAATTTTGGTATATAATAAACGAGTTGCCGCATTGCAAATTAATTCGAAAGATGATGTTAACCTTGGAAGCTAAATGTTGAATATAAACTGCTCCACAAAAGTTTTGCGCAAATTTTGCGATTATTTTAAAAGTTACAGACTTTCTGACCACCAAATTTCCAAATATGCGAAATTAAATGTTTTCTCTCATATCTGAGTGAATTTTTTGCTCCTACCTCTACAATTCATACTAAATTTAGCGATTAAAAAACCTGCAACTTTTAAATTAACCTCAACATTCGTGAACCTCCTCAACTTTCGTGGAGCAGTATATTTTTGTGGTTCGCTCGCTTACCGATTAAAAGATGGGTAAGCAGGAACGGTCCGAAGTGATTGGTAGCCATCGTTACTTCAATACCGTCTTCAGTCTTTTTGAATTTATTTTCGGCGGTACCGGCGTTGTGTATCAGCACGTCTAACCTCTGCTCGGTCCTGTTGATATCTTCCGCGAATTCCCTCACCGATTTCAACGACGACAAATCCAATTTCTTCACGACGATTTGCTCGTTTTTCGTCGATCGCACGATCTCCTCTGGAAATGCATATTCAATGTTAAAATCAATGTTAAATTCTTAGCCTGCTGAAATCCAGTCTACCAGTGTACATTTAAATAGAACGTCGCGATCAATTCTAATAAATTTAATTGTTCTACTGGACTTCACACCGCGCTTTTGGTTCGGTTAGATTAAAAATCAAATAATTTCGACGGTTTCGATACTTCGACAGTATCAAAACGGGTTCAAATGGGTGAACATCGAGTCGATTAAAAAGAAATGAGAATTTTTAAACGATAATTTATTGAAAAAATATCACTAATATTAAAATAGAATTATGTAGATATGTCTTTTTGCCACAATGGCTTGAAAAAGAAAGTAAATTCTAAGAAAATAATAAAAAGGAAACTCCAAAAATAAACTTAAAGATTATTTTAAAACAGAAAATAAAAGAACTCAAAAAAATAGTCCACCGCTTTCTGCTAAACTATAGCCAAACCTGTCATACAGATGTCATCCCATATTACTGAGCTGAGGTATAATTCTAGCTGAAAATTGAATTATTTTTTCCCTTATTTCAACAAAATTTGTTGCTGTTTCAAAACTGTACCTACCGATACACACATTTTTTGAAATATCCCCAAAAAACCTATTAAATGTAGTTTCTAAATAATTTTGTACCTCATACCTAACACAAATAACTTTGTACCTCTACAAATCGCGGTGTGAAGTCCAGTAGAACAATTAAATTTATTAGAATTCATCGCGACGTTCTATTGAAAAGTACACTGGTAGACTGTATTTCAGCCGGCTAAGAATTTAACATTGATTTCCCTATTATGCGAAATTAAATTTCCAACGGTGTATAGGCGCTTATTGACCGAGGAGGTTGCTTTACTAACCTTTGACTTTTTCGCCCGATTCGGCGTTCCTGCAGGCGATGAGGACTCGCGCCCCCCTTTTCGCCAGCTCCCTGGCCGTTTCTTTGCCGATGCCGCCTGTTGCTCCCGTCACTATCACCGTTTTGCCCTTCATTTCGGCCTTTTCGTGGAAGTATCCGCACGTTACGTAAGCGTAGAACTTGAGCAGAGATACAGCGGTCAAGAAACCGACCACCAGCAGGGCCGTTAGAGCATGGAATGCCGGGTGTTTCAATACGGTGAAAAGCAAATCCGCGCCGATCATACTAAAAACGGTAATTTCGTTCGATTATTGTTATCTACAATGCTGATGGAAACCTGTATACGAAATTTTTTCGAAAGCCTTAAAGGAGACAACGCGAAACTTTTCCGCCGCGATTCCGCAGCGATTCCGCAGCGAAACTTTCGCGTTCGTCTGTGGGATTTTTTTAACAAAGTCCTGCGAACCAATGAAGGGATCTTTTGTAGTTTATACAGATTAGTATTAACACAATGATAATATTAGTTATAGCTTCTGGTAACATTATAATCTAGTGAGTTATTTAATTTATCTTCGATGTAATTCTGAATCATTTTGCTGAATTTAATTAATTCTGGATTGAGTTTTATTCAAATTAAATAATTACGTATTTTACGCGCTTTGTAGAACTAGTATGCGTGTAATTAATTACGATTATTACGTTATTATAGAGAGCAAATGTGAGTTTACCGATGTTTTATAGTTCATACTCGTTGTAATTAACTTTAGCGTAATATTGTATATATTTTTTTCTGTAGAATACTTGCTGTTTAAACAAATTAGTGTTGATAGAGAAAGTCGTTAAGTATTTCGTAAACTTGAGGTACAGTTAGATATTTAAATTGTTTTGTAATGGACTTGACCTAAAAGTATTGAAAATTAAATATTTTACTAAAAGAGTAAAACTAAAACAAATTTATACGGATTATTATACAGACTTTTCAAGCTTATTAGGATATTATGTACCTACTTAGGTGAAAATATCTAATTTGCTAATGTTTTTTTGAGAGTAATTTCCATAATCCTCGTTGGATTTATTATTTTATCCACTGAGGTAATGAAAAATGTAACTTCTACCATTTTCTAATAATTTTTGTACACCATTATAAAAATTTTAATTATACGAGTATTATAGCACTGTAATTTTAGAGATGATGTTTGAAAATTTCATCAAAATCTACTAACTAAAAATATATAAACCATAATTATATTAAATTATTTAATAATATGTTAAATGTACAAAACAAGGTTGCAATTTGCAAAAATAAGAGGAATTACCAAACACGAAATTCGTTGTAGCCGAACAAAAATCTGCTTAATGTATTCGCTGTAAAACCCAAAACCGTGCTAAATTTATTAATCATCTACCAATGACCAAAAGTTAATATTTCGACAACAAATAATGATCACCTTGCTTTAATTCCACACAAAACCAACAAAATTATTAGTTATAAATAACACTAAAATAAATTCTTCTTCAAAAATCAAACTAACCAAACGTTATCCACACCACGTTATACCTACACATTGACTGACCGGTCGAATGCCAACGCGAATTCAAGAACACCGAATAACACAATACACCTACCGTAAAATACTCGAAGAGGACTTTCACCTGAAATAACCGGCACACCGACGAAAGAAATATAACCTGCTAGGTTATATATCGGAGAATACCATCAAGATGGACACGTAAGCACAACGTCCATTATTTACGCTTAATGTGAATCGCAATTAACGCGTTTCGAATTTGATTGATTTCGCAGAAATTACCGATGCATTGATTTTTCGCTGTTATGCATAACAAAATTGCTCAGTATAATAGAAACAGTACTGTTTGGTTCTTGTTTTATTTGTTTAAAGCATACAAATACATTTGTAGAAGGTTAGAGAAACAGTAGAAACAGTAGTTTGGTTCTTGTTTTATTTGTTTAAAGCATACAAATACATTTGTAGAAGGGTAGAAACAGTAGAAACAGTACTGTTTGGTTCTTGTTTTATTTGTTTAAAGCATACAAATACATTTGTAGAAGGGTTTTAGAATAGTGTAGTATTTTTTTCGCGCCGTCCAACTTCATAAATCGCAGCGGAAAGATGTAAAAAAAGCGGGAAAGCCGGATTTTATTTTTCGGCGCTGTTGTTTAAAGCGAAATTAACCACTCGACGGCGGTTCGGTCGCAATCCGGTAGGCATAAACGGGCGGAAATTTACCGGCCATAATTTTTTCCGCTTTATTTTTTAGTATCTCATTGAATAAAATACCTTCGCATTTTCGCGACGCGTCGAAAAACCGGCGCCATCCCAACAAGCAGCCGTTTAAAAGGATAATTAATGTTCCTTTTTTTTTCAATTTAAACAGTGCAACATTACTCATTTGCGATGGAACTTACAACGGTTATTTATTTTACCAGAAATTTCCTGTACTTTTTTCGGAGGTGTTAGATTTATGTTGCATTCAACACAACTCATTCGAATACATCAAAGCATTATTAAATGTGATACAGTGCAGTAGTAATCCATATAATTTAAGATTTAATAAACAGGAACCTTCTAGCCGGTCTAACTATCCTCTTAGTGCAAGTCCATATTAAAGAGACTTCTCGAAACAAGAGATGTATATATGTGTACTCCGGAGCGAAGCACTTAGCACTCGTGCGGATACCGATGCAGGGTTAAATTCCTCCGCTTATAAATAATGCATGGAGTTTACCGTTTCACGTAACGAGTGCTGCTAATTTATTGTCAGACTGCTTAGTTATTAGCGCGAGACTCTCTCCATAAAGGCGAGGAAGCGGTTTTTAGTTTTTCCGGAGCGCATTCCAGATATGGTTGGGTATTATTACAGCTGAAATGTTTAGGTACTTACGCTAATTAATAAGGTATTATCCTATTTACGCTTCTATTTTAAGAAAAATGATAACCATTACGGAGAACTGAAATTTAGCAGTATACTTAGACAGGAATGTATAATTAATTGTATCAAAACAGAAAAGAAGAATCATTCTGACAGGAGTGTATTGACATTTTGTTTTGTTTGCATTCGATCAACTCAAGAAATTTCCAGTTAAAATTTATGAACCGCGCGATTTTGTGACATAATGCATCCGGACAAATTAACTGTTGATTGGTAATTATGTCATAAGAAGCGAGGAAGATCTTTTTTTCATTTTCATCAGCACAAATATTCGCCTAATAATCCCCGAAACGAATACTGCAGATGAAACGCAGTTAGTAATTATTTAAATACTTTTCCAACTAGAAATTGATTATTCTAATTTTTAATTAACAGAAAGTGCAACTCCTTCTACTAATACTCGAGGTTCTGTAGCTACTAACGCTACTGCTGCTACTGCTGCTACTGCTGCTACTGCTGCTACTGCTGCTACTGTGGTAATCGACACCAGCGGGGAATCAGGTTATGAAGTAGAAGATGTCAACATCAATATCAATGAACAAAGAGGTAATTGTACATCTTTGAACAATTATACAACTAACTTTATTTATATATAGCGAGATCACGAGCCTCATCTCAACTAACTAGGAAAATACTATTAGACGACGATCAAATTACCGATAAAGATGACATCCAATCTACTACCCACGAGGATAGGAACCAACCGGTAAATTTGTGGAAGAAACCCGCCTTCACTCCACTACTACCTCCCATCGAAGAATGCCCGCCCGAATGCCCCAACAAAAGCCTCATACCGAAATGTTCCAAATGCTTCCAACCCCTGCGAAGACCCATCGGTCGCTGTAACTGCAAACAGTTACCCACCTGCGAGAGTTCCTGCCAGCACTACCCCGTTTGCCCGGCGATGATCTCCAGATCGGTGTTCCCATGCAACGAATTTTCCATGCAAACTTGCAGCTCCCCCGTTTGCAGGCCCGTACCGTTCGATTCCCACGGTTGCCGAACCACCCAGACCTTCCCCCAGACCGATTTTCCCGGTTGCTTCGACAATTATTGCTTACAGAGCGCTCCGGTGATGAGACACAAGGCCGTGCAAACGCGAGGACAGGACGATTTTTCGGTCAACTTCGTTTCCTGCGATCCTGGAATTGGAATGAAACGGGATTGTTGCGTGATGACTTTCGATGATCTACCACAAACGTGTACAATCGGTACATACTACAATGAAGAATTCGATTGTAGTATTAAGCCTGTGGTGGAGAATGCTTGTTGTAAGTGCACGAATTTTCCGGAACCAATCGACCAGATTTCGCTAGCTCCCGGTAGGGAAAGTCGCCGGATGACTTTCAAAGAAGACGATAAAAGCCGTCGATCTACCTTCGTCGAGGATCTCAGCCAGCGAAGCGTGATTCTACAGAACGACGAGAAGGAAAGGGAGTGCTCGATGAACTGCAGGTTTCTCGTACCGACCAAATACACCTGCAGGGATTGCGGTAGAGAACACGAACCGGCCAAAAGCGCCTTCGACGGGTCCTCCTGCAATTGCGCCGTCGGACCGGACCCTCCAATTCTATCCTCGAAGTGCAATTTTTGCGATGCACCGCCCAAATGCAATTGCGGAATGCCCAACGCCAATAATCTCCAATCGCAACACTGCTCGTGCGGTCTGGAATCGCCGCAATTGCAACCGCAACAGCCGCTTCTTTATCCTGTTCAGTCGAATTTTACGCAGCAACCGCCGACGATGGGCTTTCCGGGGACTTTTAAAAGCTTCGCCGGCCAGAATTCGAATTTACAGAACAAATATACGGCGTACGAGCCGCCGAAATACTTCATCGTCAACCAATTTACTTGTACTTACAATAACGAAGATGATAAAATAACTGAAATGGAATCGTCTGGATGCTCTTGCGTCAAATGCAACAAGGATTGCTGCGAATGCACCTCCCCTTACCTCACCGACGATCCGATTGCAGTTGATCAAAGCACTTCTATCGGTATATTAAACAACACCCAAGACGAGCAAAGTTTCAGATTCTTCCACTTCGAATACAACGTCAACAAATGCGAGAATTCTTGTTATTGCAGCGACGATATCAAATGCAGCTCGAATTGCATACGGAACAGGACCAACAAAAGCACGCAGTTCGGGAAACTCCTTCGACTAAACATCGACAAATGCTCCTGCGACGAATCCGTGAAATGTTCGGCCGAATGCATCAAATACCAAGATAGAAACCCCGTCACCTATCAGCACAAATCCAACCAATACTCCCTCGACAACGACAACTTCGAACAGTCCAAATTGAACGCTCTTTTGAACAACATCGTTTCGAACCTGAAGGATAACACCTTCAAAACCTCGAATAGCATCTTGAAGTGCACCAAACACAAGTACAACCGCGAATTCGACATGCGCGGCTCGAATTTGGAGTCCATCGAAGAGGAATCGATGTCTTACGAGCTCGCGCCCGAGCACACTTCGTCTCATTGCGCCGAAAAATCCACTCCTGCAAGCGATTTTAACAGTACAAAATCAACCAAGCAACCGAAAGAATTCGACATCGATAAATGCTATTGCAAAGACACTTCCAAGTGCGCTTCTAAATGCGTTAGACACAAAATCTCGAATAGAAGTAAACCCGATTCGTTCGATAATTCATCCATGTACGATAAAAAAGTACCTAACAAACAACAAGAAGGTCCGATTGCGAACCGATTATTCGAGCGCAAGCAATTCGATCCGGCGAAATTCATTCCCAAATGCGACGCGATCGTTTACAGAACGAACTTGCCCGCCAGTTATCATCAAACTGAAACTTGCTTCTGTTTCGAGGACATTCCGGAAGGTTCCTGCTACGACAACGAAGCCGATTTAAGTTGCCAAACGGACTGCGACGTCCGAAGATGTTGCTCGTTTTGCTGCAACTTCTCTCACAGCTCCAACCAATACTGCATCGAAGACAATCCATGCGAATCGGACGAAAACGCCAATTATTATCAAACATCCTGCTGTAAATGCGATGGCGTTTCCGAGCAATTCTGCCGGTTCGTTTGCAGCCCCGATTGCGACATCTACAAACAACACCAGGAATCTTCTAACACCAACGAGTGCGACACTCCTCGATACACCTGCGAGGAATGTTGCAAGTTCTCGAACGAGGATACAGCAAACAGCAAATACAGGACTCCCCAATGCTCCCCAATACCCAATACTACGCAGACGAATTCCGAGAACGAGATGATTCGAATATGCAGGGAGTGCTGCGAGAGGAACCAGAACGTGATCGATTCGGCTCTGAAGACAGGTACTTCGTTGGAATGGGAATCCTGCTGCGTGGAGGCGAAAGAGCCGCCTTGTCCCAGGCGAACGGAGGGTTGTCCCGACGTGAATTTCTGCGATAAAAACCCTTTGGATATATCGGAGAGCGAGGCGGAGATCCTCATCAGTTCGTACGTGCCCCAATCCAAGCGGACTTCGAGGACTTCGAGGACTTCGAGGACTTGGAGAGAGTCGTCTAAAGAGGCGAATGGGGGTTTCGGTGAACGAAAGTACCATTATCTTATGACTGATTCGTCTACGGAGAAGGCTTTGTCTTTCGACAAACCCGCGTCTGGTTTATCTGTAAGGGTTTACCGTGTAAGTATCTATTAATAGTTGGTGTTGAGGAATTTGCGAGGTTAAAAGGTTTTGGTTTTCTAGAAGGGATCATCGAGAGCATCGAAAGGATCCAAAATGGCTAGGTCATCGAAAGCGAATGCCACGAAAGTAGCCTTAGAGGTATATGTGAATATATTTCTGATTTAGTACGATTTGTTAGTACCTTTTCCGGTATATTTTAGGCGAACAAAAGATTGGTTTTGGACGAACAGCAGAAAAATTCCCCCGTTATTAATCGAAAACTTAGTCCTCAATACGAAGGTCAGTTCATGGTCACTACTCTTTTCCTATATTTTTTCTAATAAATTGCAGGATATTGAAACATCTCTCTATTATTTCTAATTTTTATTTTCCATTAATTATAATGATAATTTACTTATTATTTTTTTTACGAAGATGATAATCATAGTGGTATTACTGGACCCTTTCACGATGACGGAATAGACGATGATGGATCTATTCTAACGCAGGGCGATACTTCAACTAGTAAGTAAGTAAAAATCAATAAATAGTTACCATGTATTAATTGTTCGTTGTAGAAAAGGGGAAATCAATCGGCAAAACATACCCTCGCTCTTTGAAGACACATTAGTGAAGCAAGATAAGCATAGAACGGTTGCACTTCAATCGAAAGAAGCCGGCGAGAGCAGGCCTAAGAAAGACGAAAAAAAGTCTCATAAATGGTTTAAATTTTTCAAGAAAGATAAGAAAAATAAGAAAACTGTATCAATAGAGCAGTTGTCTCAATACTCTGAAGTGGGGAATTTTCAGGAACGAGGGAAAACGGAGAGGTAGGTAGGTATAATTGTTATTTTGATACACTGGGATAGAATAGATATATTTTTTAGTGATCAATTTGTAGAAGATTACGATGATAAAAATACCGATAATTTAAATTATCGTCGAAGACCGTCTCCAATTAGTAAGCAATACACAAATCTTATTTCTTATTTGATTAGTAATACGAAAAACTCAATTATACAATAACTTCTATTGACTGTAATTAATTTTATTTTGTTTTTTAGAAAAACCATTTTCCGAAAAAGATACGGTGCTTAACAAATATTTGGATAATTTATCGGCGGCGCATTATGAAGTTCACAAGAAAAAATAAAGATCAATAACAACACTAAGAATTTTACCAAACATAACAAAATATATTTATGTATTGTTTTTTTTTAAATAAATAAATAAAACGTTTGAAGGATTTTACATAAAAAGGCATTTTGTTTTGAGATTTCTGAAAAATTGACAACGATTATGCATTTATAAGTTTTTAATCACCGAAATACTGGTTGCCTACCTAATAGGCAACCAGTAAATCGATTTTCCATCGATAAATGTAATTCTGGTTGTCTAACTATTGTATTAGTAAAGCGCGAGTAATAATTATCAGGAGTAAACCTCTTCATACATTCTGTTCTCCTAATACGAAATTTCAAATTCGCAAATTTTTAACGAGAAATTTTCGAACGATGTACAAAACTATTCTTCCGATTTTTACAAATTGCCTTGAAAAAGTTTTGCGTTTTTTTTTCAATAAATTCGAGAAAAGTTTTGCGTTTTTTTTTTAATAAACTCGAGAAAAGTTTTGCGTTTTTTTCAATAAATTCGAGAAAAGTTTTGCGTTTTTTTTTCAATAAATTCGACAAAAGTTTTGCGTTTTTTTTTTAATAAATTCGAGAAAAGTTTTGCGTTTTTTTTTTCAATAAATTCGACAAAAGTTTTGCGTTTTTTTTTCAATAAACTCGACAAAAGTTTTGCGTTTTTTTTTTTAATAAATTCGAGAAAAGTTTTGCGTTTTTTTTTCAATAAACTCGAGAAAAGTTTTGCGTTTTTTTTTCAATAAACTCGACAAAAGTTTTGCGTTTTTTTTCAATAAATTCGACAAAAGGTTTACTCCTGATACTTATTACTCGCGCTTTACTAATACAATAGATAGGCAACCCGAATTACCGAAATTCGATTAAATGGTTGCCTTTGTATGTATTGCTTCGAGCAGCAGCGCGATTAATAAGCGATTAATAAACTTCTGAATTGGTATGTCACGTTACTTGTCTACAAATGTTATAAATGGATATAAATTTGAAAGCATAGATCGTTCGTACGACAAAAGAAACCAAACATTTAACTGAAACCCATTTATTTCATGTTTGGAATACTGTCAGTTGTCAATGATGCCAAATGAAAACTTCTGTTTTTGTAATGTGGCCTAGGCTATTACGGCTATTCACTTATTTAAATAGAATCACAGGCAAATTATAGATTACCACTTTACAATTATCGGTAACGTTATATTGTTTTAATTCAAAGTTTTTGCCGGTACCTATAAGCTTTCATAATATAAATATTCTAAAAACATCAATAGATTTGACGTATGTCATATGTCATACAAAAGTCAACTTCAACAGCTCCACCTAGCATCCTTTTTGGATAAAACGATTCCTTCGACCACGTTTTTCCGAGCCGTATTCACCTCAAACGTAAGTTTTCCTCTATTTTCGCCGCATTTTCTCGCCAATTTCGACTTCGCAACAGTCCGAAACCTAAGCTCATCAATAAAATCGTTTCAGAAAACATGGGTCGCGTTCGTACCAAGACGGTAAAGAAAGCCTCCAAGGTAATCATCGAGAAATACTACACACGCCTAACGTTGGATTTCCACACGAACAAGCGGATATGCGAGGAAATCGCCATCATCCCTACGAAACCTCTTCGTAACAAAATCGCCGGATTCGTCACGCATCTGATGAAACGTCTCCGACACTCGCAGGTAGGTTATCTCATAAATCACATCAAATTAACTCGATAATAAAATATATAATTACGTAGGTACGCGGTATATCGATCAAGTTGCAAGAAGAAGAGCGCGAAAGACGCGACAACTACGTACCCGAAGTATCCGCTCTGGAACACGATATCATCGAAGTCGATCCGGAGACCAAGGAAATGTTGAAAATGCTGGACTTCAACAACATCAGCGGGCTCCAATTGACCCAGCCCACCACCAACACGTTCAACAGACGTCAATAGATGTTTAATTTTTTTTTCTTAATTAAAGATTTAAAAGTATCGTAACGCGTTTTTTCGAGTGGAATAGATACTTGTACTAATTTATTTATTTGTATAATAGTTTAAATGTATTGATCGGGTGGAAATTTAGTTCTCGATGGTTCGTTTACACTCGCAGCCTGGAAATATTACGGATGCTTATATCGAACCTATTAGGCATTCGTTAGTGCTTACTGGTAGTGATAAAATCCTTCCTACGGTACTAAAAAACGAAGTTATAGCGTATAAAATAGGTTTTAGATAATCCATCGGGCCTCGCTCGGGGATCTTCTTCGGTTCGAAGAACATTTGCACCAAATTGTTGCCGAATATCAGATATATCAACACGGAGGCGAGGAAAATGCCGCAGGCCGCTCCCAAAGCGAACAAAACCGCTATCAGTTGGTTCGGAACTTCTACAAAAACATTCCGATCGATTTCTACGTGTTACAATTTGGCTCTTCGTTGGAAATTTACTGTTTTTCGCGAAACTCCCCTGCCTCGTTTCCACGTAGGAAGAGTCCATTTCGCTGTTATCGTCGTACAGATACGTTTGTCTATCGGAGGGTAGTTCCTTATCGTTGGTTAAATTGTATTTCGAAGCGAACACCGGAATCGTCCACGATCGTTTCCACGTCGGAGTTTTCCTCAAAATTGTATACTTGTCTTTCAAACGGGCATCGGTATTCCTGCAAGACATTTTGTAGGTATTCGAATTTAACTGTTTTCTAGCTTACTCTGCCGTTCTGTAGGTATTAATTCCGTCTATAGTACCAACTTCGGTGCTGTAAATTAAATCGGGCAGGTAATGGGAGTGTTAAAGGATGTTATTTGTAGTGTACATTACTCAATATTGTCGTCTTTCGATTTCGAATAGGAACGTTTTTGGGACGTTTTGTGTGTGTAATCTAATTCGCAATCTTTCTTGTTCTTTCTGCAAACACAAATGTGTTTTAACTGTAAGGTATATAGAGGGTGTCCCGCGTAATTTGAGGTCCTCAACTCGGGACACCCTGTAAAAGGTAATTAAAAAAAAACAGCATACTTTGCGAAAGTGCTGGAATTATTCGAGGAAACCGCGCTATTATTATGCACAGATAACTCCGATTGGGCTTTCATGTAATCCTTTTGTTCGTAACTATAAAAATCCATTGCAATTCTAATCGTATAAACAAAATAATTGTATTTTACCCTATATTGGTATGATTAGCGTAGTTTTTTCTCTTTGTAGCGTAGCTTTTCTTATTGTTGTTGTAAGAGGTAACTAACTTCCTTAAACCGTAATCGATCAGCCTGGAATGTTAAAGTTAAAATTATTTACGCGCTATATATACTGTTAAATGTACTCTTTTTCGTGTTGCAGGCCTTCGTTGGGCAAATTCGGGGCTACGCCGGTCGATTTTTTCCTCTTCCAAGCAGCACCGGACCTAAAACAACATTTTATTAGATAGTAATAGAAATACTGGGAAGCCATTACGCACCTTAAAGGGTTTTTGAAGCTCTCGCTCTGCTCCCGCAAATCCAAGTAATCCTCATTTACTGAAACATCAAAATTGTTCCAATATGAAAAACCAGTTCGTGTACTTACTGGTAATTTTCGGCGACTGATTTACCGGCATTATTAGATCTCATTGCATGTTCGTTGTTACTTTAAAAAACCGCACAAAAAAGAACTCGAAAATCGTATAAAGTGTCAAAATTGACACTTCAAATTGACAACGCTCGCCTACTTTGTGATTATGAAAAAATTTTTAAAGTGAAACGCATTCCGAGCTCCTATTGGTCAGTCTGGAAAAAATGTTCGAGCACAGGACGATATTATCTAATTAAACAGCATTTCGTATTCGAAAAAAAGTTTATCACATACAATTCAAGTCTATCAAACTTTTTCTTTGTTGAAAAATAAATATACTCCTTATTAATCTACCAATTCTACTTGAACAAGAATGCCCAAACTATTGGATAATACTCTTACAGTGTTTGCAAGTCGTAGCGAGATTTCACTAAATCTAACGATTTTCATTTTGGCAACATCGTAAGTGGCATCTACTCTATCTAGAACTTAAACAGATCTCGGTATAAAGTTGATGTGAGATCCGCTTAATCGTCGTTGATGGATGATCGGAGACACGTCTTTGTAAAATTGCAACAAAAATATCGCGATGACCATCACGGAAAATCCGCAAAAAGCTCCCAAGATGTCCGTCGTACTCATTCGCATCCACTCTTCAAACAGAATCGAAGAGGCTATTATAACTAAACTAGTGAATAGAACGTAGTAGATCGGAGTGACTACTGTGGTGTTGAACAAATCCAACGCTTTGTTCAAGTAGTTCATTTGAACGCAGATACAGAAGACTACTATAACGAAGAGAACTGTCGGTAATATCAGATATTGTTCGGCTTTCGGTAGAGCTGAAATATACACGAATTAACTCAATTATTTTCTGATATAATCTGATACAAACCTGAATTTTCTTTCAGAGACAATCCCAACGCTTTACAAGCCATAACGGTTATGCTACCGATCGAAGAGCACAACAACAAGTATATTACCACGTACTGGGTGCCATATCGAGGACCCACGAAAATCAAAATTAAAACAACCAAAATCAGCACGGAAATTAAGTAGTTAACGAACGCCACGTTTTGTACTTGCTTCAGAAGCTCCGAAACGGTCAACACTTGCTCTTCTTTTGGGGAATGTATCACCATCACGATCGATCCGATCAAACATAAAATGCATCCTAACTGAAAGCAAAAATAAATAGTCTGAACAAATAGGATACGATGCAACGTCTGGCAACACTGGCGCCCTTTTGACGTTAACAATTTGTGACATTTGTCTAGATTTACTTTTACATGGCCAACTGATACTAATACTAACCTTCCCGAGTAGGTTTAATTTTTCGTTTAAAAAATTAGTAGCTAATACAGCCGAAACGAGCACGCTTAGGGCGCCCAAAGGTGTTACTAGCGAAGCCGGTGCGAAAGCGTAGGCTGCAAAATTGGCCAGTTCTCCTATTCCCACTGAAAACGATCATAATATTAGATAATTCGCTTGGTAAATAATGTAATAAAGCTTGCTTGTTATGAGTCCTAACCACCACATCCAATCGAAGAGGTAACCGAAGCCTCCGGCGCCGGCTCGTACTCCGCCTCTTTTGCTCAATCGAATCAAGGAAATCTTCTTTATTATGAAACTGGAGCCGATGAAAAGGGACGAGCTCAACGCTAACGCCAAGCCGGCGTAAAATCCGGATTTACTGTGCATTTTCGAGTTGATTGGTTCCGTGTTTACTTCCATAGATGCATTGATAACAATACTGTAGGAGCGTCAGTGTACATACGAGGTTACTTGTAAGCTTCCTAATCACTCATTGTACTGATAAGATAAAGATTTTGTGTATTTTATCGTTGCGAACTTATTATTGGAGTGGTTAATCATTGTGGGATGTTTGAAAATATTAGGATTATGAAATTGGCGGTTTACATAACCTCATTTTTTCTTCTTTTTTTTAAGAATTTAATAATTTTTATCTTTTCTTCTTTTTTTTAATATTTAAAACTAAAATATTGACATTTGACATTTTTAAACTAATGTCTTACTAGGTAAAGGCCGCTAATTGTGAAACAGACACAAATCAAATTGCGAGTAAAACAAAGAGAGGCAGCGGTAGACAAAGAAAACGTAGCGAACTTGTCGGGTCTTGTCCGATCGTGATTCCCGATGATTAGTTGTCAAATTTGTAGGTTATGAGATAAGGTGGTGTCTAATTTTTTTTCGTACCATTATTTCACCTGAAAAATAGATGAATAAATAATACGGGAGATCAATCGGAACTTTAGAAACTTGTGTTTAGCAACAACTCGAAATTAATCGGGGCATCAGCGGTACAATTAGTGAATGTGTTCACCTACAAATGTATAATGTCAATTTTTATTTTAAGAGCAAGGATATCAAATACTTGAAAAGTAATCTTATAAGTTCGCCGAAGTGACGTTTTATTATTACCGAAACGAAATCCATCCACGAAAGATTACATTTTCGATTTCTATTAACACCAATAGCGAGGATAAAAAGGGTGAGCAAATAAATTCTAATTATGCAACGAATTCAATTTCGCTTATCTTATTATTTTCTCTGATAATCCCGCGTTAGTTGAAGTTTCTCTAAAATTTCGAATAATCGTTTTATCTACCGTTCAATTATTTACTTAATTAAATAAATATTACTGTTTTTATTCAAAAGTTATCTCCAACAACAACTCGATGAGAATTTTACGAGATTTTATCTTATCGAACGTTCAAATATTGTAAGTATTTTTGTGTATTGTATTTATAAGAAAATCCAAATTTCCAGACCAACTGGATCGACAACCCTCATGCACCGTTGCCTCTTACTCTACCTGACGTGAGTCCAAAACAACCCACCGATCTGGCACAGCCAACGATGTGATTGAACCCGACCGATCGGTGATTGTCGATCGGTGATCGGTGATCGGTACCTATCCCGACGCCATGGACAAGCCGGACCAGAAGCAAAAGTTGGCCAAACGCCAGGCGGCCTCCGACGCGTACGGCCTCCGGTTCAACGGCCACGCCGCCGCCTCCGTCGTCATGATGGTGGGCCCCAACTACAGGGTGGGCAAGAAAATCGGCAGCGGCAACTTCGGCGAGCTGCGCTTGGGCAAGAACCTCTACAACAACGAGCACGTCGCCATCAAAATGGAGCCGATGAAATCCAAGGCGCCTCAGCTGCACCTCGAGTACCGCTTCTACAAGTTGTTGGGCAGCCGCGAGGGCGTACCGGACGTGTACTACTTCGGCCCCTGCGGCAAATACAACGCCTTGGTGATGGAATTGTTGGGGCCCAGTTTGGAGGATTTGTTCGATATGTGCGATCGAAAGTTTTCGTTGAAGACCGTTCTAATGATAGCTATACAGCTGTTGCATCGTATCGAGTTCGTGCATTCGCGACATTTAATCTACAGGGATATCAAACCGGAGAACTTCCTCATCGGTCGATCGGGCTTGAAGAAGGACAAAATTATACATATAATAGATTTCGGTTTGGCTAAAGAATACATCGAATTGGAAACCAACAAGCACATACCGTACAGAGAACACAAATCTCTAACAGGCACCGCCAGGTACATGTCGATTAACACCCATTTGGGCAAAGAGCAATCCCGTAGGGACGATTTAGAGGCGCTCGGCCACATGCTCATGTACTTCCTACGAGGCTCCCTACCCTGGCAAGGCCTCAAAGCCGACACTTTGAAAGAAAGATACCAGAAGATAGCCGACACGAAACGCTCCACTCCGATCTACCTGCTCTGCGAAGGCCACCCCGAAGAACTGGTCTCTTACCTCGTCTACGTGCGACAGCTCGACTTCTTCGAAACGCCCGACTACGAGTACCTGCGCGAGCTGTTCGTCTCGCTGTTCAAGAAAAAAGGCTATTCGGACGACGGCGAGTTCGATTGGTCGGGGAAGATGGGTTCCGCTGCAGCGGCTCCGGCGAGTTCGAGCGGACTGGATCGGGTGTTGGGCAAGCAGGCGGGCGGCGCCTCGAACGGGGAGCTGGTGCAACGGGAGGATCCGACGGCGGGGCGCAGCGAAGCGCCCATCGCGCAGCAATTAGACGGAGACGGGGTGGACGAGACGAAGTGCTGCGGGTTCTTCAAGCGGAAGAAGAAGAAGGGCAGGACGTCGAAATGACTGCAGTTTAGCGAGACTGATCAGCGGTTGGTGTTGTTGTCGTCGCGCCGGAGCGTTACTTTGAATTGATTTCGTTGTGCGAGGTGAGTTCGATCGGCTGGATATTTGTATCGGGATATTAGGTGGTCGAGTTTTATGGCGATTGTGGTTGCGTTTCCTTAGGTATTTCTATTAGGTTAGTACCGCGGTGTTATATTTCTAAGGTCTGGAAATGTGGGTCGAAAAAGTGTTCCGTTATTCGAGGATAAAACGGGGTTCCTAAAACGGAAGAAACGGAAATAGAATTAACATTAGGAAAAGTTATATTCGAACTAAAAATAGATAAAAAATTTAAAAATATACTTAAATAAGCGATGATTTTGTTAACATCTTTCCTCAAGTATCTTCGGTTAATATATTCCTCCATTTTCTCTTCGAAATGTCAAAAAATAATTTTTCAAGTTTTGACAGCTCGAACTGTCATTTCACAACAACCGCGATTTTTATGTATCGAGACTCTGATTGGCCGAGATAAGTTAATCCTCCGATCGTTCGTCACCTTGCGGGGCAAAAGTGAAGCTCAAAAAGTCCTCAAATAACTGGACACATTCTCTAATGCAAAGTTTCCAGACCTAAGAAATATAGGGCAGTGGATAGTACTGATTACGTTTAAAGATTAGTAGTGTCGAAATTTTTATTTTGTAAGGGCTTTACGTGCATTACAAAGGCCGACTCAAATATCTTTTGTACGATTTCTCCACGTTTGTTGTTTATTTTCGTTAATGATCACTTTTTGAGTTAATTTAAGTCGGTCGACATTAATACTCAATGCACGGTTATTCAAAAAAATGACCCTGTATGATTGATTGATTGATTGATTGTCCTGTTGTTGTTTTTTTTCTTTGTGTTGGAACTGAAATTTTATATTTTACTCGACTATAATGTGCTCATTCTGTTTGTGATTAAAGGTAATTTGTGAGAAGTGAAAGTGGCGGAAAAATTGACTGTTGATATTTTTCGAAAAGCATGTTTTTTATTGTACGTCAATTGACTGGTCCATTTGCAAATTGCTTCGATGCGAAACGAATTTTTTATAAAAAAATTCCAATGCAATGTACTTTGTGATTGTTTTTTTAGCAAATTTGACTAATTTTAATGTACACAAGCCGCTTTTTTTTATCGACTTCGAGATCTCAATTTCGTTGTAAAATACTTGCATTTATTGTTCAAAAATAGCGTTCTGCTCGTTTTTGTAGCATCCAATAAACATTATATGCCGTCAATTTAAAAATGTGAAATATTAGGAGATAACTCGTTCGACAAAACGTAATTTTTTATATAATTAACTAGTGTAAATAGTGGTTACGAACAAGCATTATTCGACTAAATCAATTTACCAATAGACTTAAATATCTTCTGTGAATCTTCTGTAGATGAGTGATGAAGAAACTTACGATATGCACAAGTGTTCTCAGATTATTATTATTATTATTATATCGAACAATTCATGCTCATTGTTACTTTGCTAGCGAACAGTTTTTTAGGTTTATTTATACTGAACTGTCTATTACATATCAAAACTACGTTAAATCAAAAAAAAACTGAGCGGACTAATTAATTGTTATTGTGAAATAAAAAACAATGTTTTTTATTTCGCAACGAATACATATTGGGTTCTTTTTATTGTTATTTAAAATGGGCTTTATTATTTAGCAGCTGTGTGTTGTACGTTTAGTTAATTCGCTTTTTTTTATGTGATACCTATTTTTTTAAGTAATATTATCTGAAATTAATTATAAACGAAATCGCTTTACATTATATCGATATTTAGTTTTAAATTATTGTACAGAATTTTCGTTTTACGTTTACAGCTATACACGTACCCGTATCTTTCATTTTTAGCTAACAATAAAATACATTTTATTATAACTTCACTTTCTTTTTTTTTACATGAAGTTATATGCAGGAAGGAACGATTTTTCGTACTAACTTGAAGTTATTAATCAATAAATACTTTTTTTATCTTAAAAAACTATATCACAATGTATAATGCATAAATTGTAATAGATTTGTTCCAACCAAAACCCATCCTCGGAACAAACTTTTATCTTAAATACCTGTAAATATACGCTAGCTATTTTCGATTTTAATCCTGTACGTTAAAATCTGGTCTAATCCGATGTAACAATCGCTCATAAACATCAATTTGCTGGTATACACACCTAAAAAATACACAAAATATACTCACTTATAACAATTAAAAAAAATAAATAAACTAATCACCTCGTCTTGCAGGAGTTTTAAACGGTATCAAAAACTTCTTGGCGCTCTTCGCGAACGAAAACTTCCTAAACGTCATCTCGTCTTCCTGCAGGAACAGCAGGAACCAAAACTCCTCCTTCTGCTTGTTGAACTTCTTGCTGTGAACGTTCATTTTCCGGCTCCCTGTCCTGTGAACGTTCACTTCGAACACATACTGAGCCTCCGAATCTGCACTAAACTGGTAATAACTCCCAATCAAATCGCACGGTAACTTCTTATCGCTACCGTTCATCGTCACGTTAACTTTAACGTTCAAAATCGGCAAATCGTTCAGAGTTTTCACGATTTCCGCGGCCATTTCCTTGCTGAAGATGTCGTTTAAAATGCCCGTGAGTCTATTGTAGGATTCTCTGTGACCCAGCATCGATCTTAATTGGGGTATCGACGTCGATTTGGGGAATATCTCTTTTATGTAAGTAAGGTTCTCTCGATTAACGTAGGGTAGCATCAAAACGTTTGACATATCGATGGTGTATCCTTGTATCAACATTTGGCAGAAGTATATTAATTTTACCGTGCAGTTTAGCCAGTTTCGATGCGCCGCTAGGTTCATCATAGCCTGGAACAAACCCGAAATTGGGTATATACTGGGACATACTGTATACAGATTGCTCCATTTTTCATTGCAACAAAGACCACTTCAATTAGACACTTATAAAGGAAAAGGAAAGAACGACGTTTGTGTCATTGAAACTTTTCAATCTGTCAACTGTCATTTTAATACTCTCTCTTTGTTAGACTCACAGAAATGTCCATATTGCAATGAAAAATGGAGCAGTTTGTAAATACTTACGTGGACGATTCTGATGATTTGGTCCAAAACGTTTTTCAAATCGAGCACGTACTCTTGGTTGGGTAGATTCAAATCCAAGAGATAGAATTTGATCATCAGTAATACTTTCAGGCAAGGGGAATCGTACGGGAAGGATGTTTTCATGTCGATGTGTCTCACCATATCCCTGCAATTTAATCGATTAGCAATTTCCCATGTATGTATAATGACAGAATCGACTTCTTTTCGCTAGCTAAATACGTTTTTTTTCCCGTAAAACTAGATTAAAAGTTAAATTTTTTTGACAGTTGCCGGTTCGTTTGGGTTTTGACCGATTTTTAAATAAAATGGCCGTTGTTCGTTCGTTTGGCTTAAACGGAACTACACCGACTTTTTCGTTATTTAGACAATAAAAGAAATTGCAATAATTCACAAAAATATATATTTCTCGGTCATTTGTATTTACCGAAAACCGAGAAACGATCAAATTATTTAAAAAAAAACGTACACTAATGACAGCGGCGATGAACAAACTTCGAACTGTCAAAGTTGTCATTTCCGTTGACATTTAATTTGATGTACATGGTGAACATGGTGTTTTTCATTAAGGAAATCAGAAAAAATTAATATACGGGCGTTTTTTTTTCTATCTTTTTAACGTACTTATTTATATTATCCTCGTTATGCCTAACCGGCATCAATTTATATTCTTCCACTTGGCAAATTAGCTCCAACAACTCCTCGATCGTGCTGTTTTCTTGCATGTTTTCGCTGAGAAACAGCACCGTTTTATGAGACAGATAAAATTGCGCGCCCAGCATTCCCAAAATCGTCGATCCGTATATTTCCTAAACAAAAAAAAAACCCACAATAATCACAACCTTTAGATCATATATCGTTTGCTCCATTTCCGATCGCAACATGGTCATTTCCATGAGTGAAACAAAGAAACATTATTAAATTGACAGCTGTCAGAGTGCAAAAATTGCAATCACACAAATCAGTCACTCTTTCCTTTTCCTTCATAAGTGTCTAATGGAAGTTGTCTTTATCGCACCCATATAACCTATATACGATCTAAAATCACAACAAATTCCAATTATTTAAACCACTCACATCTTCCACCACGATACAATCGTGCGCCTGTAAAGTCCCCGCCACCGAATCGGCCAATTCGTCGACGTAAATCTCCGGATTCGAACCCGAATCCATCTGATAGTACGATGGATTCGACAACAACCGTCTGAAGAAGAACGTCGATTCGACGAATTCGACCAGTTGCGATTTGTTCGTCACGTTCCCGTTGAATATCTCGGCGTTGACGTGATCGGGCAGGTACTCCAATAGATTCGATTCGACCGGAAACGGTTCGAACAGGAACTTCCTGTAGAAGTTCTTCTTGTTCTCCTGCACCATCACGCAGGCTATGCCGGACGTGTCGAATTGCGGACGACCTGTATAATATATACACATGAAGAAATAAAGAAACTAGATAGAAATAAATTTGGTGGACTTAGTGTAAGTTCTAGATAGTTCTAATTGGTTCTAGAGCGTTCTAAATACAATAGATGTTCTGGTTTTGGGCGGTTTTAAATGGTTCTGGAGCGTTCTAAGTGACTCTAGATAGTTCTAAATGATTCTGTACAGTTCTAAAAGATTCCGAAGGATTCTGAATGGTCCTGGAGCGTTCTAAGACAGTTTTAAATGACTTTGGAGCTTTGTAAATGGTTCTATACAGTTCTAATTGATTCTGGAGCGTTCTAAATGCTTGTAGACAATTCTTGATGGTTTTGGGCAGTTTTAAATGGTTCTGGAGCGTTCTAAGTGACTCTAGATAGTTCTAAATGATTCTGTACAGTTCTAAAAGATTCCGAAGGATTCTAAATGGTCCTGGAGCGTTCTAAATGCTTCTAGACATTTCAAAATGATTCTGAAACATTCGAAATGGTTATAGACAATTCTTAATGGTTTTGGGCAGTTATAAATGGTTCCGGAGCGTTCTAAGTGACTCTAGATAGTTCCAAACGATTCCGTACAGCTCCAAAACATTCCGGAGGATCCCAAACGGTCCCGGAGGCGTTCTAACCTGTTCCAAGACAGTCCTAAACGCTATTCGAAGCTTTCTACGTCCAATAGTAACCAACCTGCTCTTCCGACCATTTGAATAACGTCCGTGATGGGCATGTCGACGTATCGCTTGGTAGCCCCGTCGAAATACTCCGTCCCTTTGACGATGACCAGCCGGGCGGGCAGATTGACGCCCCACGCCAGCGTCGCCGTCGCGACGAGCACTTGGATCTTTCGATTGACGAACAACTCCTCGACGATTCGCCTGTCGTTGTCGGCGAGAGCGGCGTGATGGATCCCGATACCGAAGGTTATCAACTGGCCCAAGTCCTGGTCGATTATCCTGCCGATTTATAGGCGATTGTTAGAATGTTATATGTAGTGATCGGTAATAATCGTACCGACGTTTGGCCGATTCGATTTCCCCGGCGTCGCAATGCACCCACATCTGCGGATGGTTGTCGGCCAACAGCAATTTCATCAGCTCGTAACCGGTGATCCTGGTTTGTTTGCGCGAAGCGACGAATATCAGCGTGGAACTGTCGCCGGCGTATTGGCATATCGCCTGGTAACAGGGCTTGTTCATCGCCGCCATTCGCGGACAAAAGTGCTTGTTGTTGAAGCCCTGCAGGTGGATCTCCAACGGCACCGGCCGCACCGCCGAGCTGAAGTTGAATATTCCCCGCTGAAATCGATGAAAAAAAAAAACGATTAGTAACGATGGGTAAATTTAAGATGCGTTCGATGGTACGTAGTCAAAATTGACACTAATGACAGAAGTTTAATAGAGATGGGAAACAATTATTTGGTATAGAGGTGTAGTAACGACTGTTACAAAATAACCGTTATTTTTTCACACCTTATCGGCGTTCAACCAATAGGCCAAATCGCCGGGATTCGCCATCGCCGTCGACAATCCGACGATCCGGATCGATCGCTTGGTCTTCGCATTGATGTAGTTCATCCGCGAAACGATCACCTCCAACACCGGCCCGCGTTCTTCGCCCAACAGATGGACCTCGTCGATGACGATCAAACCCACGTCCTTGACGAAATCCTTCGCCGTCCAATTCCTGCTCATCGCGTCCCACTTTTCGGGCGTCGTGACGATCACGTGCGACGATCGGATGAATTCGGAGCGGGGCGTCGCGTCGCCCGTCACCTCCACCACTCGCTTGGATATCTTCGAGAATTTTTGGGACCAATCCGACACCCGTTCGCGCACCAAAGCCTTCATCGGCGCTATGTAAACCACCTAAAACACACCATAAAATCAATCTACTAGTTACTAACTCTTTTCGAAGAGTGTCTACCTTCAAATTAGGTTGGTTAGTGAACAATCGCAGGATGCACAATTCGGCTACGATGGTTTTACCGGAACCGGTCGGTGCTCCGAGTATCACCGGTGTATCGGTGTGGTAACAAGTGTGGAAGACTTGGCTTTGTACGGCGTTGAAATGGCTGAACGGATAGAGATCTTCGAACGGTTTGTTCTGCAAGACGGTCTTCGGTAACGGTTGCAAATCGAGGATCTTCGTTTGGTACGAATCGGCCGTGAACAACTTCAAATCCTGCAGATCGATCACCGCTATTTGTTCGGAATCTACAAGCACAACAATATGTACAAAATCGATTGGATTAATCGCGTTTCTTACGTAAGAATTGACTGTTTACGACGCGTATGAAGTACTCCAACGACAGCGGTTTGGTTAGAGGTACCGTCAAAGACAACTCGATGGGTTCCTCCTGCGAACACATCCTCTTGGTAACCACGAACGATTCCATCTGATAGATACTGTCGTGTTGGGGATCTTCGATCCAAGCGTAGAAATGCTGGACGGTACCGTGCACCGAATGGTCCCATTTGAACTTCGGCGTTATCAGCAATTTCACTCGAATGACACCCTCCGTTATGGGTTTAACGATGAAATCCACTTCCACCTAAAAACCAACACACACTACAATTTATTATGCACAATTAAAGCAACCAACCTGCGGAAATATCCTGCAATAATGCTTCACCCTGCCACCGACGTGTTTGCTGCGAAACATCGATTCGAGCTCGCGTTCGGTGAGCTCGTTTAGCTCCCACACGGGCATGCTGAGTACTTTAGCGGATCGGTACGAGGATAGATGGGGTATGAGTTCCTTGAATTGCATGAGCGGATGGGCGTGGTCCCACATTTGCTGGTCGAGCATCCGGGCGAAGGTCAACGTGCGAGACACCTGCATGGCGAAGTCCTTGTCTTTGGCGATTTCGAACAGCGCCCTGGCCAATCTGATGACAGTCTGGAATTGATTTAAGTTGAGTAATCGCAAGGAGTTTAGTTGGTAGTTTTGGATATCACCTGCATTATGAATTGCGAATCGGAGACGAGAGACGATACTTTGACGTGTTCCCTGCTTATGTTCGCTTGGATCAGCATGATGACTTTGTCGACGGAATTGGAAAAGTCCAAATTGATGTCGTATTCGTTGCATTCGCGCAACCGATCGAGCTCCTGGATTTCGTCCATTCTCACCTTTGAAAAGCACGAATGTAATTAACAGTTTTTCTTCCTTATAGGACAATTTTTTACTTAAGATAAAAAAAACGCGCCCCGTATATCAATTTTTCCGATTTCATTAACGAAAAAACACCCTGTACATCAAATTAAATGTCAACGTTTCCATAGAAACGCAAAAGTCATCCATTTTGTCTTTCATTCGGGAATGATCGTACGTCATCGTAGATTTGAAAGTTTTTCACTTCCGGTTCGACGGCTGCCGTAAAATATGCACCGATTTCGAAAAATCTTTATAATTCGATAAATAATAATTAAGAAAATGGGAAAAAACATTTGGTAGATAGAAAAATGTCGTATCTATAAATTTTCGCTTTCAAAATTTTCTAAAATATGATAGTTTCCGAGTTTTCGCGTTACAAACTTGAAGACAATTTAAAAACGGTTTTTTCGAAAAAACTCGAAAAGTACAGATCGGAAAAACACCCGGTCTCTTTTGTCGAATGGAAAAAAGAATTTTCAATTATTTAGCAAGTATGAAAAATGTTCGTAAATCTTACCGTTTGCGAGTTATTTCGATTTTTAGAAAACCCTCGAAAACTATTTTCCACGATATTTTCCCAAAACGAATTTTTCTAAGAAAACGGCTTATACGAAAGTCGAGAGAACCGATGGAGAATCTTTTGGGAGATTTTAAAGCGAATCGAGAAAACTCGATTCGAGAAAAGTGCGAAAAACCGAAAAAAAGCGTCAATTTCGCTCATTTGACGCTGAAGATGAAATTTCATCGAATCGAAACGTCGATATTTCGATCGGGCGTGTGCGTTTCCATAGCATTCGATACTTTTCCCAATCGAAAAAGACAAACGGCGACCGTAAAAACAAAAATCTCGAGAATAACCCTACGAATTTGGGCTTTACCAGCTTTATAGCAATAGCGATGTGTTTACTTGTATTTGGGAAAATTCCGAGGCCTCGGCGATGAGCTTCAACAGCGCCGGTTCGGAGGTGTGCCTGTCGAATTTCTCGTAGAACATCTCCATGGTTTTGTACGATATGTAATAGAAACTGGCGATGCGACCGAAGGTGGTCGGTCGCAATTCGCCCGAATTGCCATCGAATCGGATCATTTGCGATCTTTCCAACGTTTTGGCCGCAGAGTCGAGTTGATGTTGCAGGAATTGGTTGAATTGATTGACGTCCTGCGAATCGTTCGATATCAGATTAATAAGGAATTATCTACATGTGTATAAATACTCACCCAAATTTCGTTGAATGTCAAACCGTACTCGAGCGGGTTCTTTTTAATTCGCACATACAGGAAAGTATTGGCCAGCCATTCCATCGCTTCTTTAATATTCGAAACGGTACCGAGAACAATCTAAAATAAAATACAACACATCAACTACACTAGTAAGCTAAGGTACTAAATAAACCCACCTCGGCGTTCAAATTGTCCGGTATACATTTCAAAAATTGACTTTCGATGGGTACCTGGGACAACATCAAACCCATGTATTTTGACATGTTAGCCATCGATGTGATGATTATACCGTGTCCTGATGTATCATATTGAGGCCTGCCGGCCCGTCCGAATATTTGCTGCACATCCAACATGTCCATGTCCACGAATTTGGACTTTTCCGCGTCGTAATGCAGGGTACCCTGAAATTTAACTAGGCATCTTAGATCATATATCGGTTGCTTCAATTCACACCGCGACATGGTCGTTTCTATGAGTTGAACAAAGAAAGATTAATAAAATGACAGTTGTCATTGACATAAATGTCACTCTTTCCTTTTCCTTTGTAAGTATCTAATGGAAGTTGTCTTTATCGCACTCATATAACCTATGTTGCGATCAAAAATGGAGCAACCTGTATATGATCTAAGCTAGGCATGTATAATCTCTAATCTAATTGATATTAAATAGATTATTAATTACCCGTATGATGACGGCGTGAGCGGGTAAATTGACGCCCCAAGCGAGCGTCGTGGTGCAAACGATGACTTTCAATTCGCCGTTTCGAAACAATTTTTCTACTTCTAACCGGTCCGATCTCACCATACCTGCGATTTAATAATTTAATAGCAAATCGAATATAAAAGTATATCCATTTTTCGTTAGACTATTTGGTAACTTTTAGTAATTTCCGATTTAGATATCAATTACAACCCGGCAACGTTGCAACAGGCTGACCCCGAGATCCACTACTCTAACGAAAATTGGACAACCTTTTATATCGTATGATGTGTAATGAGTACCTGCATGGTGTATACCGAAACCTAACGGTATCAGATAACCCAAATCGCCGCTTTTGTAACCGCTCCGGTTCATTCGAATCGACTTATCCGGTTCGAACAACGACAATGTACCTTTCTCTTGAGCTATTTCGATCAATTTTTTAGCCACAGCCGCCGTGGCGTTCCTCGATGTAACAAACACCATAGCCTACGAAATACCCAAACACATTACTCGAATACCATCGCGCTTTAATCACACCCACCTGATGCCCATCTCTGATAAAATTCACCACCTTCTTGTAACACAACGCGTCCATGATCTCCGTCTCGTTCTTCTTCTTGCAACCGACGAACGTCGTGGTCAGAGGCACCGAACGGTACCGATTGTCGAAGAAGAACAAACCCGACCGGGTGTTGACCTTCAGGAACGTCGCGACGTCCAGGTAGCCGGGCAGCGTCGCCGACAACGCCACTATTCGTATCATGCTCTGGCTGCTGACGACCTGGCGCAGCGTCCGGGCGACCAGCGCTTCGATGACGGGCCCCCGGCCGCTGTTCAACAGGTGCACCTCGTCGATGATCAACAGCTTCACCAGCCCGACCACTTCGGTGTCCACTTAAAAAATAACGTTGTTGTATTGTTAGTGTGAGACTCGCGATGTTAGCGAATCGGACAGTTACACGTACGATTCGAGCTCGCGCAGCGAGCTCGAGTTTATTGGTAATTGTAATAATGCAGCAGATCGGAGGCATAATGTTTCCTTTAGGTTTCCTTAAAAACGAATCGCCCTGTACTATATTTCAATTTAATTAAAAATAATTTTTCATTTAAGATAAAAAAACGCGCCCCGTATATCAATTTTTCCGATTTCCTTAATGAAAAAAACACCCTGTACATCAAATTAAATGTCATCGTTTCCATAGAAACGCAAAAGTCATCCATTTTGTATTTCGTTCGGGAATGATCGTACGTCATCGTAGATTTGAAAGTTTTTCACTTCCGGTTCGACGGCTGTCGTAAAATATGCATCGATTTCGAAAAATCTTTATAATTCGATAAATAATAATTAAGAAAATGGGAAAAATATTTGGTAGATAGAAAAATGTCGTATCTATAAATTTTCGCTTTCAAAATTTTCTAAAAGATGATAGTTTCCGAGTTTTCGCGTTACAAACTTGAAGACGATTTAAAAACGGTTTTTTCGAAAAAACTCAAAAAGTACAGATCGGAAAAACACCCGGTCTCTTTTGTCGAATGGAAAAAAGAATTTTCAATTATTTTGCAAGTATGAAAAATGTTCGTAAATCTCGTTTACGAGTTATTTCGATTTTTAGAAAACCCTCGAAAACTATTTTCCACGATATTTTCCCAAAACGATATTTTCCTGGAAAACGGCTGTATACGAAAGTCGAGAGAACCGATGGAGAATCTTTTGGGAGATTTTGAAGCGAATCGAACGAACCCGATTCGAGAAAAGTGCGAAAAACCGAAAAAAAAGGGTCAATTTCGCTCATTTGACACTGAAGATGAAACTTCATCGAATCGAAACGTCGATATTTCGATCGGGCGTGTGCGTTTTAATAGGATTCGATACTTTTCCCAATCGAAAAAGACGAACGGCGACCGTAAAAAAAAATCTCGAGAATGACCCTACGAATTTGGCCCTTACAGCTTTATAGTATTAGTGTTAGTGATGTAGAGATGTAAAGTACCTGCTCCTTTTCGCGTGATAACGTCCCATTTTTCGGGCGTCGTCACCAACATTTGTGTCTCGGCTATTTCTTTTTTCGTCAATTGCATATCCCCGGTGCATTCTTTCACCGATATACCGATCGGTGCTAGTTTCTTGGAGAAATTCACCACCATTTCCGTGGCGAGCGCTTTCATCGGACACACGTAAATTATCTGAAACACACCACTACTTGCATCGCTTAATTAACACAACGATAAACGCACCTTAAAATCGTTCTTTCTGATCAAATTCCCTTCGGTGTAGCATTTGATTTGATGCACGATGGCCAGCAGAGCGATGTTGGTCTTTCCGGCCCCCGTCGGGGCGCAAATCAGCATGTTTTCGTTGGAATGATAAGCGACCGGGAACACTTCGGATTGTATAACGTTGAATTCTTTTATATCGCGAAACACCAGCTGACCGGTGGGATCCAACGAAGAGACTTTGACGAGCTGGGGGAGCTCCATGTCGCTTTTCTTGCCGCCCGGTATGGTGAATTCCGCGTGTTCCGAGGTTATGGTTTTGATGGCGTTGTCCGGTTGAGTGATGGACACCCCATCGTACTTGGCTGATAAATGGGAGTGCGATTAGAGTTGGTTTACGAAGAGTATTTCGGTGGATTTTTACTTGTTATCATGTGATTTCGGAGTTGATCGTGCACGTGCGGGTATTCTTCCGGATCTAAAGCTTTGTTGGCTGCTCTTTTGAATATCGGAGTGGATTTGGCTACTTCGTATTCGATTTCTGTTCTGTTAGAAACGAACGTAGTAGTAGTTTCACTATTTGTACAGGTAACTTACTGTCTTATTTCGGCTCCGGAATGTTTCGCTCGGTCTTTCTTCTCCATTTTCCTCAACTTTTTCGATAAGATACTCTCCTTTTCGGATTGGACTGTCACTTGACCGGCCACTAAATCGGCTGGGTTTCGTTTATTCGATCGACCATCTCGATCGACTACAAATTAAATTCATTAAACAACTACTTAGTATCTAAAGAGTATCCACTCACTGTATGTTTGTGAGCCGTAATCGATCTTCTTGCCGCGATTTTCGATCAAAGCGGTGAGGAATTCGATGGCATCGTAGCCGAACGTTTCCAGAAAGTAATTCATGATTTCGTCGTTGGTTTTGGTGGATTCGAGTTCGTTGCGTACGATGGTTTTGAAATCATTAAATTCGTATCCGGGGATCGATTGGCCGTAGCATTCGAACATCGTTTCTAAAGGATAGGCGCCGTTTTCGACTTTGGAAGGCGGTTTTTCCGTTGGTTTTACGTATAATAAGGAAAATTCGTCTTTGGATTTGTTGTCGGCGAGTCCGTTGAGCTCGGGGAAATCTTCGTTGAACGGCAGGTAGAAAATTGTATCGGTCGTTTGGTTTGTTGGGTTGAGGTTGGCTGGTAAACTGCTCTTTAATATTCTCGTTTTCGTTTTGTAAAAATCGCTGGGTAATCTTTCGACTAGCATTTCGAGGGCCTGAAATAACAAATTATTAGCTGGATATCTTACTAGATAAGAGGATATGTTGAGTGGGTAAGATTGTGCAATATTAGATTAAAAAATTAAACAAAAACCTTTTCGATTTTCTCTAAATGATTTTGCGACAGTCTTGTAAATTCCTGGTAGTTAAGAACTCGGTTTTCATGATAATCCCGAACGAGTTTAAGTAACCTATTATACACCTCGATGGAATTTAACGGGTCCTCTTGGTTCTTCATGAAAACTTGCTTTCTAACTACATCCTTCAAACAATCTAAATACACCAAACCTTCGGCTATTGAATTGTCGTCGGCATATTTAAATACATTTTCCAGCCGGTTATATTCACATCTAAAACAGCATATTGTACGGATTTCGATCGACACAACTTCGAGGAATTTTCAACTTACTCAGCTACCGATATTTCATTATAAGACTCCTTCAGCTGTTGGACCCCATGATAATCGGAAAAAAACGCAGACAAGGCCATAGGTAAGACCCCAATGAGCCCGAAATTATAACCAAAAAATTGTTATCGACGGGATAGTGGTATTTTTTTATTGTATTTACAAATTTTTGACATTAATGACATGATGACATCTTCTTTTTTACATTGTGAGTAAGGCCTCTTGTTCTGAGACATACAGCCAGGTTCGGTGTTTGACTTGCTAATAAATCTACTATTGAGAAAGATTTAAAGGGATTCTCGTAAAAAATAATTAATAAGAATCATGCATCTATTATTTTTTTATGTTATAAAAACTTTTCTTCTCTTTTTTTAAATGTCAAAATTAGTGTATAAAGAATTGCCTAACTAGTAGGTGCTATGGTCTCTTACTTGTATGTTTGTACAACCTTCATTTCTACCAGAGTCGATTAAGGAAGCATTTATTTGCATATCAGACAACATTTTGGTATGATTTCCTTAAGCTTTACAAATTACAGTTTATTACTCCGATATAATTCAAATCTGACACCCAAAAATTGCACCTCTAACAAATCTCACAGTTCTTCACCAAATTTATGGTACCCAGAACCACGCAATACATCTAAACCGATTAATTAAAGACAATAATTCGAAGCGGCGATTAAAAATTATCCTAAACACCTCTACAACGCGCTGTATATAAACAATTAAAACCGTTTAAGAGAACCTCCAATCAACTCGACAATATCTAAATCAATTTAGAAATCTAGTCGAATGGGTAAGTACCGATTGAATACCTGCCGATGCGCCGAGTTTATTTTTCAGCGTGAATAGACCTCATCATGCCCGAGTCGCTGTTTGAATTTTGATAATAACACAACGAAATTCCCTTTCGCGTAAAGCAGATGCTAGAATTTTCCTCCTGCTGGACAATAACGATGTTTTCCGTGTAGGCGAATTTTCCGGCGATATGGAACTTTGGAAAAGCTTTATGGTGGTTTTATTGGCCGTGTATACGGGTAAGTACATGTTATTTTTCTTTAAGATTACTTAGGAAACGTTACACAATTATCAATTTGATCGAATTCGAAACTGATGAGTGTTTGAATTCGTGTTATGTAGGTTTTATTTTGTTAAATAGGCGTGTTATTCGAATCGTTTGAACCACGCACGAAATAATTACCGAACAAAGTCATTAGGAACGTTCTTAGAAACCGAAACTTTTACTTTAATAGACCCATTTTCGTTGCGTTAAACCATTAAGATAAAGGCGAGAATTTTCGAAGAAATTAGATAAAATTCCTTTCGTTTTTTTATACAAATTTCCCTCAATTGTCTACTACTCTCGTTTATATTGCAGTATCATGTGAAACCCCTAATTCAACGCAAGAAAACTTCAATTTCACAACGATAGAACTCGCCGAGAATTCCACGGAAAAATCGGCGGATAATCTGCATTACACTGTAGTAGACAATTGGAATAGAACACAAAAAGATGGTAAAACGGTGGAGAACATCTTCCTCAACGACGAAGTGTACCTAAATGTAACAGGAAAAGTTAAGGACCCTCAATTGGAATCCTCCGATTTGCTACCAGGAAAAATAGCAGCGATTTTAGCAGGAGTTTTCGTCCTGGTTTCCATCATCGGTTACATCGTTATGCTGTCGTGGAGGAGGTATTTAGAGTAAGTAAATTTCAATACTATTCTACTGCTAATTTAAATCGTATCTCCATTACAATTGATTTATTTGTCTTTGCAGCTATTTACATTGTTTGTTACAAAATTGACCTTAACCTGTAGCTGATTGGTTATTATTAATGTTCGCAAGTTTAATGAGTTGTTTTTTAAGCGAATATTTCTGATGCTACGATTTAAATTCAGCAACAAAAATAACCTAGTGATAAAAATTGTACGATTTAAACTGTTTAATTTTTTCAGGAATCGATATGGTAATCGAGAGATGCTCGTAGAAGATGATTATTGCAATAAAAGAAATAGTTTTGAACAATTTTCGGTAAGTTTTGATATCGCTCGTTGTACCAAAAATATTAAATCGTTACCTAGTTTTGATTCGATATCAGGAAATCGGCTTCATTACAAATTAAATATCTATTCAAGGCGTAAGTGATTTAAATGGAAACTTGTCATTTATTAACCGCCTGTTATAGTTAAACACATGGCTGGACTGAATTGAGAAAACCGGTTCGAATAAAGCGATATTTTCGTTCTGAAAAGGCCTTAAAAATCAATCGCTTTTTTTTAATAGCAAAAGTATTACTCTCATAAACGATTTTCCGTAGCGCAAATAAATTTAAAATGCCCTGTAAATGCAATTTTCAGATGTCGAAACCCGCCGATTCTCATCCAAAAATGCAACAAATGACCCTATTAAAAATTAGAACGTCCTTAGAGGATTAAAAATTAAAACTAAACCCCGTAAGTGCCTGCATGAAATGCCTGATGCATGAAAACCAAACCGAATTGTCTCGATATTTCTATTTAACCAAATGAAATCGTCCTATAATTCATTTAATTTTCGTTCGTTTCAGATATAAAATGGTTCTTCAATTACGATTAAGATAAGCAACACCTCACATTTTCTAGATCAACGTTGATATTACTGTTTGTGCTGGATTTAGTCAAACAAAGTGTAGGCAAACACAAGTAATTTTTGTATAAATACCGATTTTATCGTTTGTGATAAGCAATTGTATTATATTAAGCGAATAAAAGATATTAGAAGCACAAACTAATTAGGATAAATTCGCCATGTTAATTCCACCCCGTTGAGATATGATATAATAAAATAAAAACTTTATTTAAATGTTCTTTCTATATAGGGAGCGTTGATTAGAACGTTCCATCACAGCTAAAGCACATGTGTTTTATAGATAATAAATTATTTATACAAAAAAAGCCACTCACATAAAGCTCATACTCGCTAGTTATAAAAAGCTCTTTGGAATATTCTTGTATTACTTATTGCGCAGATCTAATACTTCGAGAGGCGCGTTGTTTTCGATTCTTACATGATCAGCTTCCTAAAATTATTATAAACAATTATATATTCTCGAGTTAATTCAAAAAAACAACTTACAATAAATAACGGTGGATCAGTCGGATGAGGATGGAATCCAGTTTGTCGACAATTAGCAATAAATTGCAGCCCGGTTGTAGTCAATATAAAAATACCAGTTCTAAAAGATACAACAAGAGGGTGTTACTAATATTAAGGGCGCCATTTGAGGGTGTTTTTAAATGGGAAAATATAGGTTTAATAATTCGAGTAAGATTCTAATTTGGGTTCATCGATTGATTTGAATCTTTCTTGTATATAATATAGAGACTCGATGCAATGAAATCTCCTGTTTTTAATCTCTATTACTTCGTTATATATTTAAGAAAATTGCTATTAAAAATTGCCATTTATTTGCAATGCTATTTAAATGGCAAAACGTAATTCTAGTAAGACTCGAGTTTTAACGAACGGATTTGTGAATAATTTTAGTAGGATGAAGAATACTTATTATAGAACGATATCTTCTAGTTTATATTGATCCACAAGCTGTATTAAATTGAAAAAAAAACTAATTAAAGTATTTTAGCAAATGATTATGATAGATTTCTGTAAATTATGGTGTCGCATGACATAAATGTCAAATCACAGAACAATTTTTTAAATTTGACAAGCGACAGCGGTGCCAAAAATGTCCGTTTTTCAGAGATTTTTTGATAATTTGCACTTTTTTAAGAGCAGGTAATATAAAATAAGACATTTCCAGTGCACCCGAATACTTTTAGAACACTTTAATGACTATTTTTAAAACCCTACTTTTATCTTTTCAAATTGCAGGGAAGAGAATTGAATTTAAAAAATTCCGAAACAGATTTCTTATTTTACTTTCTTGTACTTTTGCTTTTATGTCAAGTGTAATCAAACACGGAACATCTACTAGCGATTTAAACAAATCTCATCCCATCTATTGTTGAAAAATTTAACCAAAAATAGTTCTATATTACCCCACGAATTATGAATTTGAGGGCTTGCTTTTGGCCGTCTTAACGAGTGATTCTCGGGCCAATTTTGAGTCGAAAACTTTATATAAAGGTCCTCCGAAGCTTCATCTACTACATTAATTAAATGTACAAATACTTACTCGTTATATTTAGGAGAACAAACGATCGCAATAGCTTCGGGCATCAACAACTGATAAGGACAATGCGTGTGCAAATCCACGCTAGACAAAAACGCAGTCTGAGTGGGATGAGTCTAAAGAAACCAACAAACCAATCGATTATACAAATAAAACCAAAACCATCACAACAAACCTACATGTATCCAACCCAACGTGATCAAACCGTGTTGATCCTGATAATCGAATATCTCCTCCTCGTTGGTAGTCACACAGGAATCCGACGTGCCCTTCTGCTTGGGCAATATCATATGGGTGATAATCAACTCGTTTTTCTCCTGTAAAATTCACCGATACACATTTCTAAACCAACGAGCGATTCGCTATCGATTTAATTTACCAGCATACCGGCCAATATACCGCAAGTTTCGACGTTATTGAATGTATTCGATTGGGCCATGGCTAGGAAAAGGGTCATTACTTGGACGGGCACTACAACGGATCTTAATGTACTCACATCGTACCTGGCTTGTATCGATACATCCAGTGGTTTGGATGATCGATCTACCGTTGGAGTGAGCGTTCCGCTCACGCTGGAAAATAGTAAGAATTAGTTTGTATAACGAGGGAAAATCGGTGGGGTTTACTCGAGGTGAGTGGTCGTGGGCGGCGGGGCGCTGGGAATTTCCATTCCGAGGTTATCGGGATAGATAACATTATCTAATCCTGGTGGTTTGATGACTCCGAGAGACACCTGTTGACTAGGATGTGGTGATGGTGTCGGTAGAGAATCGTGTTTGGTTTTTTCTTCTGATTTCTTCTTCTTTTCGAGCTCGAGTTGCTTCTAAAACGGTACGTGTGGAATTGGAAGTACTACTGTTTGAGTACTTACTCTTTCGGCTACGCATTTTTTGTAATCGATGGTGTATTGTTCGAGTAATTGTTGTTTTATTTTCTCCGCTCGGGGGAGGATTTCCCGTAAGGTGGCCTGGTTTTTGGACTTGGCCTCGACGGAGACGGTGCGAAACTCCGGGTGTTTGCGGATCTTCTCCAGGAATAGAGTCATGAATTTTAAATATAACACGTAGGCGTTCTCTAAGCTTCCTTCTTTGTAATAAACGTTCGCCATTCGAATCATTTCCTGACCGGATCGGTAATACCTATAAATATCAAACAATTACACGTTGGAAGGGAGGAAGAATCGAAATAATTACCTTATAGGAGGTACATGGGGACCCACATCGACTTGATTGCTGTAATCAATCAATTGTTTTAATCTCACCGCAGGTTCCAAAGTGTTTAACACGGTGTCTGTTGTTTGTACGTTGCCGGAATTCATGTTACTGGTTTTCGTCTTGGAATTTATCGCTAAAACTTGTACTGTAGCTTTTAAAATTGATAATTTACCGACAAACTTTTAACTCATGACTCACATTTGTTATGACGTTTGTTTTGAGGTTACTGGAATTTGACGTTTGTGACTTTTGACAGTTTGCGATTAGGAAATGGAGGATCGATTAAAGTGACGTTACCGGCACTCAAAGTTTATTACTTTTTTTAAAATTTCATTTTATAACGATTAATACAAGAAAATAATTTTTAACATAGGTTTTATTTGATATAATTTTTTGACAAATGTTTAGAAATTGTTAATTTCGTTCTCCTATTTCGTATGTTCACGGCAACGTATTCTTACCCATAACGTTATTATTTGGTTACCTAATCGTGTAGTCTAACGTTGTTAATCGAAGGGTAGCGCGTTTATTGACACATGTTACGAAAGTGTATCTAAAAGTTAATTCTAATAAATATTGAAAATACTAGTTATTTTAAAATTTATTAAACAATAAAAATATATTAAGAAAAATAACTAGGCAAAAGGTGCTTCTGAAGCTAGGAGATTTGTTTTCCGGAATATACTGAGTTTTATCCATCATGTAATAGAATCCATCCATTCGTTTCTGCCTTTTTAATTCCTCACCAACTAAATGACGCACTTGTTCGTTATACTCATTCAACCACTTTCTCTGAAAAACAACAATTAAAAGCGTTACCTTCATACAAATTAATAAATACCTGCTCCACCGACAATAAACTCAATTTTATCAAATTAGGCTCGAACGGAACGAACGTAATCGTCTTAAATCCGAGATACGTATTCCCAGCATAATTCAACCAAGGTTTCTCCACAACCTCCATAACATTCTCCAATCTAACCCCGAACATCCCTTCCCTATAATACCCAGGTCCTACAAATTCACAGTTAAACAACAAAATCGTTTAGCCACAAAAAGGTAACGCACCGTTCGACAGAAAATACCCCGGCTTGAACGCCTGCTGTCCGCTAACCTCCGAATCGAAATGCACCTTCACCGGAGCTAAAACCATTTTAATTGACAATAAATCGACTGATTAGCGAACAAACTTACACTCGTTAACGCCCAAAAACGAGCCGATACCGTGCCCTGTCTCGTGCGGATAATCCAAACCCACTTCCCAAAGCGACGCCCTCGCCACGGCGTCGGAAACCGCCATTTTCATATTACTAGGAAACGTCAACGTTGACAGCGATATTAGACCAATCAGTACTCGCGTGTAGGCCTCCTTCATCTCCTCCGTAGGCTCTCCGAAATGCAAAGTACGCGTCACTTCGGTAGTACCACCTTAAACAAACCAAATTATCCAGAATTCGTGGTGAAAGCGAGCGAATTTACCATGATATTGCCCGCCGGAATCCAACACGAGAGTACTATTTTTGAAAATCTGCACGTTTGACGATAAAGTGGATTCGTAATTGGGAAAAGCCCCGTTCGCTCCGAAGCCCACTCTAGTCCTAAAGCTATTGCCCAAGCTGTGGTTCTGTTCGTACCGGTACTCGTTCAAATACTCCACCAAATCCACCTCCGTGATTCTCTCGTTGCTGTTCATCTAAAAATCCATCGAATAAACGAGAGTATTAACAGAAATGTACCGGATTAAAGTACCTTTTTTTGCACGAAAGCGAAGCAATCACAAACGGCGGCGGCGTCTTTGATGTTGGTGGATTTCATCCATTCGATTTCCGTGGGGTTCTTGACGGCTTTCAGGTAGATGATGGGAGATTGCACCAGGAGGCGTCGATCGTGGAAAACGTGCTCGTAGATGGCGTGGCTGGCGCCCTCGCTGTAAACGCAATGCGAAGGTATCAGGATTTTTTTGTACAGTTGCGATTTCGTTCCCAAATCCGGCCAGATTTGTTCGTAGGGTTTCAGTCTGGAAGATATAAAGGCAATGAGTTATCTTCTAACTAACAAGAGATTGTTGTAGGGTTTTAGTCTGGAAGATATAAATGCAATGAGTAATCTTCTAACTAACAAGAGATTGTTGTAGGGTTTTAGTCTGGAAGATATAAATGCAATGAGTAATCTTCTAACTAACAAGAGATTGTTGTAGGGTTTTAGTCTGGAAGATATAAAGGTAATGAGTTATCTTCTAACTAACAAGAGATTGTTGTAGGGTTTTAGTCTGGAAGATATAAAGGTAATGAGTAATCTTCTAACTAACAAGAGATTGTTGTAGGGTTTTAGTCTGGAAGATATAAAGGCAATGAGTTATCTTCTAACCAACAAGAGATTGTTGTAGGGTTTTAGTCTGGAAGATATAAAGGCAATGAGTTATCTTCTAACTAACAAGAGATTGTTGTAGGGTTTTAGTCTGGAAGATATAAATGCAATGAGTAATCTTCTAACTAACAAGAGCTGTTCGTTGACTTACGTTACAGTATCGCTTTCGACTAATCTGGAGTGAGAATGGAGTTGTTTCCTCACGTTTTCTGGAATTTGGCTACCATTGACATACCAAAATATGTTATTCATATCCAAAATCACGTAGCTTCTTACATAAGGCGAGTTGGGAACATCTCTACCTCTGACGTTCAATAACCAAGCTATTTCATCCAAAGCTGTTATCACCATCGCATCTGCTCCGTGTTTCTGCAATCTCCTTCTAGTCTCGTTGATTTTCGTCGTGTAATTCTTACCTGCAACAGCTCGGAGTATAACACAACGATATTTTGCTGGTAGTTCGTTTACCGGTATAAATCTCATCCAAGTAAAACGCCTCTTTGCTCCGTCTGCTCTTCCTTAATTCATCCGGCCATATTTCATCGATCAAACTCACGTTCAAACCCACCATTTCGATGCCGGTACCTTCCAGTTCTCGAAACAGCTTGTTCCACATGTATTGGGACACCAGTTTGGGGTACAATCCCAATCTACCTCCGCGCGGTAACGCCTGTTTCAACCATTCGGATATAGTCTTCGTTTTTCTCTCGCCTTCTTTGAACAACAACCAATTGCAGTCGATTTCTTCATCGGCTTGGAGGTAAAACCTCCCGTCTGTCCACAGGGCTGCCTTATTTCCTGTTACTACAATGTTGCCGTAACTTCCACTGAAGCCTGATATGAACTCCCAGCGTTTATCGAACTCATCCACGTCGGTGCTCTGTAATACAATCACAATTATCGTGAATTATTAACAGTTTCTAATGTAATGAAATGGGTGGTTAATAAATTGCGACGCAGCAATCGGTGGAGTATTTGGTAGAAGTAGTTACAATGTTGCCTGAGCTACACTTGTTGTCGAATGTGTTGTTTGTATTTCCGAAAAACGTGGGGAATGGAAGGAAAACGAAGATGATTTGGTTGAAGCTTGTACTGGTGGTGATGGTGTTGGTGATGATATATGGTGGTAATGTTGCTGTTAAATTAAATAGCAGCAAATCCGAGCATATGTCGTCTAATTATGAGTATTTTTTGAGGATGTTTATTAATCTAGCGCAATCGTTGGCTCAAATAATTTGGATCCAGTTGCATCCGAACGAATGGAGGAGTGTACTGGATGTAATAGATGATATAAAGTCGAAGAATACGAGGAAAAATCGTGTTATATTCTATACTATTTACATAGCATTAGCTACGAAGTTCGTGTTATCTACTTATTTGTATAACGCGGCGTACCGTTCGAATTTTTATTTCATTCTAACTTATCGAATCGGGCATATTGCTAACCTGTTTTTAACCATAACATCTTCGTTGGTATTCAACTCGTTGGTTAACAAACTGCTCGTTAAATCGCTGAAATTGAAACGCAAGGTATTCTACTGGACCAAACGAACGGATAATTCCAAAATAATCGACGAAAGTATTCTAGTTATTGTGGAAGTATTGGAATGTTCGAAATTGTTGAGTACAATTTACGGTGTTCAAATTTTGGTGTTAGCCGGACAAACTACTTTTTATTTCGTGATTTGTTATTTTTATTACGATCCGAACAATTGGAATGCCGAGGGGTATTTGTATTTAGTCGTTTTTGGAGGCTCAGCTACTATTCTTCTAGTAAGTATTTTTAAAAGTGGATTAATTAGATTAACAGAGTGTTGTCGATTCCAGATTTCTCTATCGCTGATAATAACGCCTTGCGTGAGAATAAGAAAATCGATCGAAGAGATAATCCACAAGCTCTCATCGGAATCCCATCGTATCAAAAATGATGTCGAAGGAGCATCGCTAAAAACCAAAATCGCTCTATTATCAATCGAATCCAACCACCAACGACCCTACTTCAGCGCCTCTGGATTCTTCGAAATCAACTTCGATTTATTCCTCTACATCTTCAGCGGCGCCACCTCTCTCATAGTGGCCACCTACCAGATACAAACCAGGAAAACTTCATAGAAAATCGAATCACCTGGTGCTCGTCGTTGGAGGCACCTCCCTCATAGTGGCCTCTTACTAAATACAAACCAGAAGAACTTAGTAGAAATTCAACATCACCTGGTGCTCGTCATTGGAGGTACCTCCCTCATAGTGGCCTCTTACTAAATACAAACCAGAAGAATTTAGTAGAAATTCAACATCACCTGGTGCTCGTCATTGGAGGTACCTCCCTCATAGTGGCCTCTTACTAAATACAAACCAGAAGAATTTAGTAGAAATTCAACATCACCTGGTGCTTGTCGTTGGAGGTACCTCCCTCATAGTGGCCTCTTACTAAATACAAACCAGAAGAACTTAGTAGAAATTCAACATCACCTGGTGCTCGTCATTGGAGGTACCTCCTTCATAGTGGCCTCTTACTAAATACAAACCAGAAGAACTTAGTAGAAATTCAACATCACCTGGTGCTCGTCGTTGGAGGTACCTCCCTCATAGTGGCCTCCTACTAAATACAAACCAGAAGAACTTAGTAGAAATTCAACATCACCTGGTGCTCGTCGTTGGAGGTACCTCCCTCATACTGGCCTCCTACTAAATACAAACCAGAAGAACTTAGTAGAAATTCAACATCACCTGGTGCTCGTTGTTGGAGGTACCTCCCTCATAGTGGCCTCCTACTAAATACAAACCAGGAAAACTCTGTAGAAAATCGAATTACCTGGTGCTCGTCGCTGGAGGTGATCAAATAGGCGTGGACGGCGGCCGTGCCGAGCGCCACCTCCGACGCCATCGCGGTCCGCAGCCGTCCCAGCCTCGTCGTGGAGTTGAGGCGTCGGGGCGGCTGCACCGGGTGCCCGTGCCGGGCGCACGCCTTCCTCAGCTCGCCGTTTTGGCGGGCCTGCTCCAGCTCCGAGTAGCCGCCGAACGCCAGGCAGCCAGTGGTGGTGGCTGCAACAAAACATGGAATTTTTAGTTCCTTTTATATACCACGGTTATATGTTTGTAAGGTGTGGAAATGTGGGTCGAAAAAGTGTTCGGTTATTTGAGGATAAAACGGGGTTCCTAAAACGGCCGCTAGGAGGCGATGTTGTAAAGTAACACGGTTTTTTGCGTACGAATTATATAGAATTAGCATTAAGAAAGGTTATAATCAAACTAAAAATAGATAGAAAATATAAAAATATACTTAAATCAGCGATGATTCTGTTGTTAACATCATTCCTCACGTATCTTCGGTTAATATTCTTCTCTATTTTCTCCTCGAAACGTCAAAAAATAATTTTTGAAGTTTTGACAGCTCGAACTGTCATTTCACAACAACCGCGATTTATACGTTTTATTCAAACTAAAAATAGTTAGAAAATATAAAAATATACCTAAATCAGCGATGATTTTGTTGTTAACATCATTCCTCACGTATCTTCGGTTAATGTACTTCTCCATTTTCTCCTCGAAACGTCAAAAAATAATTTTTGAAGTTTTGACAGCTCGAACTGTCATTTCACAACAACCGCGATTTATACATAACACTGATGGCGTTTTCCATTGGTAAAAAAGTGCCCACTGAAAGTGCACTCAAAGCAAAATTTTTGTTTCATTTGATGCACTGTGCGAGTGTTTTAATTTTCATTGGCAATCTGGCCACCAAAAAACACTGTTGGAAATCAAAACACTCGCACACTCCACCAAATAAAACAAAAATTTCGCTTTGAGTGCACTGTCAATGCACCTATATACGTCAAAATTGTCAAAGGCTCCAAGACAAAGACGCACCGTTAGAAACTAACGAGTGTCAAACAAGGACGGGGTCATAAAAGTGCGTTAGTATATGATCTAATGAGATGAAATCGGTTAAATTTGCGGTGAAAACGAAAACGTTGACGGAACGGTTCGGATGGTGTATGTGGGGGAGTCGGTCCGTCGGAATGTTGAACTAGTTTTAACAGGAGCGCAGAACCGGCTGGCGGGTAAAGAGCGATTTTTAGGGCCCCCTTTCGACGGATCCGCTCGAAATGAAGATGCATTTTCTACCTGCACGCTCCGGTACTCGCTTTTAACAATAAAATCACCAATACAAAACACTCGATTCTACTGTTATTTACATACAAAAACGAATTTTCTGTGTATATACAGGTTGCTCCAATTTTGATCGCAAAAGTGCGATAAAGACAACTTCCATTAGACACTTACAAACGAAAAGGAAAGAGTGACTGATTTGTGTGATTGCAACTTTTCACTTTGACAGCTGTCATTTTAATAATCTTTCTTTGTTCCACTCATAGAAATGGAGGAAACGATATACATATTTTATTTATTCTACAACTACAACCCCTAATTCGCCTTGGCCAAAATTAGAACGCCAGGCCGATATCGAACAGGCCAGCATAAGTCGAAGGGCGGTGGGGCGTCCTTCGGGGGTTGCTTTTGTACTTTATCGGCTCCGTCCGAAGGGCCGGTGGATATTACAAGGGTTGAAATAATGGCCATGAGCGGTGGCAAGGGTGCTAGGAGAACAGGACCCTCGGGTGGTTTACAGCCCTTCGAAATGTAGGCCTAAGGATTTTTATTTATCGATCCGGCGTGAAGGGTGAACGCCCTCGGGCGCGCTCGAATTCTACTCTATATATACAGATTACTCCATTTGCGATTGCGATATGGTTGTTTCTATGAGTGGAACAAAGAAAGGTTATTAAAATGACAGTTGTCAAAGTGAAAAGTTGTAATGACATAAATGTCACTCTTTTATTTTCGTCTAATTGATGCCAATTTCAATTAGACGCTTATAAAGGAAAAAGAAAGAGTGACATTTGTGTCATTATTGTCATTGCAACTTTTCACTCTGACAACTGTCATTTTAATAATCTTTCTTTGTTCAACTCATAGAAATACCCATGTTGCAATCGCGAATAAAGCACAGTGTAGGTTTCAAACGCGCTAAATTATAACTTTTAATTCACCAAGCTTCTTCTTTAACCAAATCGTTAATACTATCAGTTAGTAGTTTATTATTAGCGGCGGAAAAAGAAGAAAACAAAATTGCATAAATAAAAATAGCCAACTTACAAATTTTTCGACTACAATTATGTCATTTTTACCCACTTTTGTCAGAAGTTAATTTTTTTGTATGCTAATCGAAATTATAATCCAATTCGAAATTAAACCCTATACAAACCCCAAATGGCGGAAGAAGAAGGCCACGTCTACCCCCCGCTCATCATTAGTTTAATAACGGAATTCTTCGGCACGGCGGAATTGATGTTCATAGGCGAGAAATTTACTAACTTCTACTAACATTCAATACAACATTATAAACGATTGCAGGTTGCATGACCTTCTACTAACATTCAATACAACATTATAAACGATTGCAGGTTGCATGACCTTCTACTAACATTATGAACGATTGCAGGTTGCACATGACCTTCTACTAACATTCAATACAACATTATAAACGATTGCAGGTTGCATGACCTTCTACTAACAGTCAATACAACATTATAAACGATTGCAGGTTGCATGGGATGCATAGTTGGCTACGATAATGGGCCCCTAATGGCCGCCACAACGTTCGCAATGGCGGTTTTGATCGCCATAGAAATGTTCGGCCATTACGGTCCTGTACACCTCAATCCGGGCGTCACCGTGGGATTTATAATCATGGGACACATGCCTTGGAAAACGATGATCATGTACTTCATTGGACAATTTTTCGGCGCCTTCGCCGGCTACGGCCTTTTATATGTAAGCACCACAGTTCTACACTTCTGTTCTCTAGCAGCAAGATTAATTTGGGGGAGAGTGGGATTTTCGAAACTTTTTTTTTAGCTTAAACGAGGCGAAATGAAACGAAAATGAAGAATGGAATTTTTCGATATCTCGCCTCGTTTTCGAGATATCGATGCTTGAAGTGCTTTTACCAAAAGTTTGTTCAAGATTCGCTTGGTGTAGTGTCTTGTAATAAGATAGGGTGTAGTGTAGGGTGGGGTAAGGTAGGGTAGGTTTTTTTTATGTGTCAATAGAGTACATTTATAATGTACTATTGTAATTTACCATTAATTATAAGATTTATTGAAGATTTATCAATACAAAGCAAAAAAAACCAATGCCCAACTTCGAGTACCGATATCTCGAAAACCAAGCGAGATATCGAAAAAACCTATTCTTCATTTTCGCTTTATTTCGACCTAATTAACCCAAAAAAATCAACCTAACTCTTGCCTCAATTCGTAATAAAGCGATAATCGTTTCCATTTAGCTGGTGACGCCTTACAAGCAAGACTTGTGCCTGCTAACGATCAGATTCGATTTGGGCACGGTGGAATGTTTCTTCAACGAGTTCGTGTGCAGCGCCCTGTTGATGTTGGTCGTTTTGGGCGCCACCGATCCCATCAACAAAGACATCACCGATTCGATCCCATTGAAAATCGCCTTCGCCCTGCTGGGCCTCATCTTCGCCTTGGAGCCCTTCACAGGCGCAGGTGAGTCAATACTTTAAACTCTTAAATAAGTCTATGAGGCGTGTAGAGGAGGTTTTTAACATTCAATGCAACATTATAAACGATTGCAGGTTGCACATGACCTTCTACTAACGTTCAATACAACATTATAAACGATTGCAGGTTGCAGAACCTTCTACTAACATTCAATACAACATTATAAATGATTGCAGGTTGCATGACCCTCTACTAACATTGAATACAACATTATAAACGGGTTGCAGGTTGCATGACCTTCTACTAACGTCTTAACATACTAACATCTCTACATACATAACTCTTAAATAAGTTTTTGATTGTATATGAGGCGTGTAGAGGAGGTTTTTAACATTCAATACAACATTATAAATGATTGTAGGTTGCATGACCTTCTACTAACATTGAATACAACATTATAAACGGGTTGCAGGTTGCATGACCTTCTACTAACGTCTTAACATACTAACATCTCTACATACATAACTCTGAAATAAGTTTTTGATTGTATATGAGGCGTGTAGAGGAGGTTTTTAACATTCAATACAACATTATAAATGATTGCAGGTTGCATGACCTTCTACTAACATTGAATACGACATTATAAACGGGTTGCAGGTTGCATGACCTTCTACTAACGTCTTAACATACTAACATCTCTACATACATAACTCTGAAATAAGTTTTTGATTGTATTTGAGGTGTTTAGAGGAGGTTTTTTTTAGTGCTAATTAATGTTTCTGTTGGTTGATAGGGCTTAACGCTGCGAGAGCTGTACCGCCCTGCGTATTTTTCAATGATTACAGGCAATTGTGGTTGTACATGGTGGGACCAACGCTTGGAATGGCTTTGGCAGCGACATTGTATAGATTCGTGTTTGATTCTAACGAGAAATATTCCCTACATACCTTCCTGATAAATTTCAAAAATAGGGGGGATTAGAAGGGGGTTCGATATGTTTTTTTTTTTTAATGCGGCTGGATTGGATGCGGCTAAAGTTTATTTTTATTCGTATAAGTAGAGTTCAAATTTGGTGTTTGTAGTATACGCTGTGTTGTTTGTAAGATGTGATATAGGGATTCCTGTGCAAGTGTGTTAAAAGCGAGATATTTTTTTTATGAAATAACGTTTGTAAAAAGTAATGGGAGATTTGAAAAGATCGTCGAAAAATAAGTCGAAATGGACGTTAAATTTTATTAAATTCGTTCTGGTTTAATTAAAAAATGTATAATTAAGTTGATAAAAGTCATATGTCATATGTCACTATCTAATAATTGTAAAATTGGCGGAGATATCTGGATTGGTTTACGCTATGAAGTTTGACAATTTTAGCGGGAAGTAATGTGGTTCAATCCCCGTGCAGTAAAGACATTTTTTTCTTTTTTTTTTCTAATATTTTTGTCTAAAAAATATTAAATAGAAATATTTAAAATAAGACGAGCTTATTTGAGATATAATTTTATTTTTATTTAAATAAAAGCTCCGACAATTAAATGTCAATTTTAATAACGCAAAATCTCGTTAGTAGGTAGAGCCTTTTAAATAATGCCATATTTTTATTCTTGACAAAAAAACATTAAAAAAACAAAAAATGCCAAAGAAAAAAAGAAAAAAAAATTCAGCATTGCGTGGGATTGAACCCGATTCTTTACCGCTGAATTTTTCAAACTTCAGAGCGTAAACCAATCCAGATATCTCCGACAATTTTAACAATTATTAGATAGTGACATATGACGTTTGACTTTTTTCAAATTAATTACACATTTTTTTATTAAACCAGAACGAATTTAAGCAAATTTAATATCCATTTCGACTTATTTTTTGACGATCTTTTCAAATCTGTCATTATTTTTTACGAACGTTATTTGGTAAAAAAATTATCTCGCTTTTAACACATTTGTACAGGAATCCCTATGTCGCATCTTATAAATAACACAGTGTATACAATTTTTTTTCTATATAGCCAGTTCGATTAGAAGCAGATGAAGTAAATATTATTTTAATTTTAGATAGATGCATAAATTGGTTAGTGTTTTTTTAGTAAACTCAACAAACATACATTATGTATGTTTGTCGTTATTTGTATAAAGTTTATATTATTCATATAAGGTGTATATACTCAAAATTTGATCCAGCATCAATTGTGGATTCGATTGCTCATATCATGTAGATAATTTAATTATACGGTGTGGAATTAAAAAGTGTTTTATTTTGATTTTTGTTTCTCTTTATTGAAGGGCTTAACGCGGCGAGAGCTTTACCGCCGGCGGTGTTTAATTGGAATTTCAAGCATTTATGGATTTATTTAATAGCGCCCACGGCGGGGATGATCGCCGGAGCGGGGATGTATAGATTTTTGCTCGACAAAACCTACGATTATTCGTTTCACACGGCTTTACTTAGGCAAAAAACGCTGTTGTAATAAACACGAGCGAATTCGAATTGTCAAAATTGCGAAAATTTTATTAGTGTGTCAATAAAATCGAAGTAAAGATTAAGCGAGTTTTGTTTGAATATTAGAAGTTGAGGGCGCCACTGCAGGGTGTTTTTAAAATGGGAAAATATAGGTTTAATAATTCGAGTAAGATTCTAATTTGGGTTCATCGATTGATTTGAATCTTTCTTGTATATAATATAGAGACTCGATGCAATGAAATCTCCTGTTTTTAATCTCTACTACTTCGTTATATATTTAAGAAAATTGCAATTAAATATTGCCATTTATTTGCAATGCTATTTAAATGGCAAAACGTAATTCTAGTAAGATTCGAGTTTTAACGAACGGATTTGTGAATAATTTTAGTAGGATGAAGAATATTTATTATAGAACGATGTCTTCTAGTTTATATTAATCCACAAGCTGTATTAAATTGAAAAAAAAAACTAATTAAAGTATTTTAGCAAATGATTATGACAGATTCCTGTAAATTATGGTGTCGCTTGACATAAATGTCAAATCACAGAACAATTTTTTTAAATTTGACAAGCGACAGCTGTGCTAAAAGTTTCCGTTTTTCAGAGATTTTTGGATAAATTGCACTTTTTTAAGGGCAGGTAATATAAAATAAGACATTTCCAGTACACCGGAATACTTTTAGAACACTTTAATAAGTATTTTTAAAACCCTACTTTTATCTTTTCAAATTGCAGGGAAAAGAATTCAATTTAAAAAATTCCGAAACGGATTTCTTCTATTACTTTCTTGTACGTTTTCATTTTATGTCAAATATAATCAAACACGGAACATCTACTAGCAATTTAAACAAATCTCATCCCATCTATTGTTGAAAAACTTTTACCAAAAATAGTTCTATATTACCCCACGAATTATAAATTCGAGGGCATACTTTTGGCGCCCCTAAATTCAAACCCCGCGCATGCGCACCGCCGAATTCCCGACTAAAACCGATTCTAATCGACAAACCGGAGGAACCCCCGACGGGGTTTCATCCCTAAGAAAGCGCGATCGCGTTTAAAAAACCTTAAAAAATCTTGGGCTAACAGGCTAGCATAAATCGCTAAGCGATTTAGGGCGAATGCCGCCCCTCAGAGGCGGTCGAACGGCGGTTTAACGACCCCCATTTCGCCGGAGAATCCGCGCGAATATCGAACAATAGATGGAACTTCGCTGGGCTAACAGGAATGCATATTATACAGAGGGATCGGGAGTTGTTGTAATATTAGTTAATATTGGATATTCAACTTCAACTAATACATTTATTTGTTTACCGGTCAGTAAAAGACCACTTTGTGTATGACAGTTGACAGATGATGTGTCTGGCAACTTCTTGTTTTTTGTTTTGTTGATGTTATATTTTTTCTGCCGTTGCAGTTTAACGAGTTGTAATTTGGAAGTTCTGAATAAAGATATTTATATATCAAATAAAGTCTAACAGTTAAGGTATAGAAACTCTAAAGAAGTAGGTATATTGTAATTTTTTAATTGTTATTGTAATATGTAAAATAAGCCCACAATAAATCAATCAATCACTTATAAACTCTATAAAGAAATTCATTCAATACAACTCGCATTATTCTGGTACAAGTAACCACCTACAGTTAATACATACATAAATGAACGTTTGATAAAAAATGTTTCAACGCTTTCGTTTTGAAAATAAATCGCATGTTTTTGTGTAATATTTATCAACGAGAGCTGCTCGTTCGGTTGATTTTGTCGCCGGAATCGAGCGAGGTGCAACGAGAGAGAGGCCCCTTCGGGATGAACCGCGAGGATTCTCCAGAGACAGGGTAACAGAAAAATGAAACTACCAACGAAACCCGAATGGGCCTTAATTTTTGACAAATCTACAGAAACGATTTTCACACAATTCTGGTTTAGAAAAATCAAAATGAGTCGAATCACGCCCACGCTATCCTTCCTTGTATCGATGAGAATGTTTTTTTTTTGTTTTGATTATCAGAGTTCTTCTTCTTCGTTTCTATTTTGGGTTTTATCTTTTGTGATAATTCACCCAGGTGTATCGATAGGAAGTGTTTTCGTCTTGTTCTATAAGCAATTAAACACTTCCAATAGTTTTTCTTGATTATTTAACTTGTACTATATTCATAACTCACAAGATATAACATTTAAATATCATAAAAACGACTGTTAGTAGACTCTATTTGAAGAATCTATTTATACTTATACTTATTTATATTTACAGTAGAATCTATTTGAACAAATATTCATTACAAGATATTTTTTTTAATACAACAAACTCTCTTTATAAAACCTTCTGATTAATTCTTAATATACATTTTCGTGTATAAACATTTCTAAATAAAAAAAAGCTGGGTGTTGTGTAATGTTGGGAAAGTCCCTTTTACAAGCCAGTTACATCATTTACAACCCGGTTCTTGTAAATGACGTCAAAATTGTAATAGGGTAGCATGAGTTAGAGGGTTAAATCGAAAGCAACCCTTACACTGTATTCACTACGGTTATTCGCTGTTTGTTTTTTGGAATTTAGAGGATTTATTTCTTGTGTATTGAATTCGAAATGGAGAATATTTTGTGTAGCTATTTTTAGTAGTTTTATAACCGCGTTATCGATTTTTAAAATGTTTTATAAATCGTGCATCACTACATTTTTATTGTACTTATACATCTAAACTCAAAAGCTAAAAAGCTACTCAAATCGTTGTGATTGTAATTAACGAGTGTTTAACGATTGTAGTTAATCGATTTGTTGCATTCTAACAACTAATTTGTGGTGGTTAAACTGGTTGTAATTTAATTGATCACCTACAGATATTCAGTAGATCACTATTTGAGTAGTATTTGAGTGTCCCAAACAACATTTTTTCCCCAAATAAACTCCATCAGTTTAGTTTCAACGCCCTGTAGCTGGTGAGAGATTAGTCGATTTGTCTTGAAGTCTAAAGCGATATTTCGTTAGATGTAATCAATAACAGTCAGTCAGTTAACTGCGCATTCAAATGGAATTATTGCGAGAAAGTGACAGGAATAAATCCATTCGAAATATCTCGGGATATCAAAACTCTAAATATTTTAAACTAAACTACAATGATTGAGGTGATACCCAGAAGATTACACTCGAAATATACTGCTTCACGAAAGTTTACAAATATTGAGATTAATTTAAAAGTTGCAGGTTTTTTCATCGCCAAATTTAGTATGAGTTGTAGAGGTGGGAGCAAAAATTCTTTTTAGATATGAGAGAAAACATTTAATTTCGTATATTTGAAAATTTGGTGATCAAAAAGTCTGTAACTTTTAAAATAATCGCTAAATTTGCGAACTTCCTTAACTTTTGTGAAGCAATTTATCTTCTCACATCCTTTTCGATCCCATTTATTCAAATCCCAGTTACCCAAATGCAAAAAAAATCACCCAAAATTCCAACACCACAACAACATTCTTCGAATCGCACAAAATAATCGCAAATTTTGCAAACTTCCTCCACTTTTATCGACCAATTTATCATCTCACATCCTCTCCGATCCCATTTACTCAAATCCCATTTACCCAAACACAAAAAAAAATCACCCAACACCACAACAACCATTCTCCTCGCCAATCGCATTTCATTCACCAATGCATCAACCAATCCTCTTATCCCCCACGTTCAAATTTAACACCCAACCCGCCTCGAATTGCTTCGTTCTCTCTACTCGTTCTCTCTACCGTTACTCCGAAAACAAAACGATCTACCCATTTCAACGCATTTTAACCCCCTTCTACTTTTGTTTACCCAACGCCTCTTCCACCTCATGCAATCCTGGTCTGTTGTTGACGTCTCTCCGACTCCAAAGCCGTCCTTCGCACCGAAGAATGACCCTAAACAACGACCGGAGAGGTCAACAAACCCACCGATATACCTCACACAAAAACTAACTCTAAACACCCACAGATAAATATACTACTAACCGATCCAATCAACCCCTTTTTAGCATTGTACTCGACAGAAATGGATTAACTAAACATCAGTATGGTATTAGGGAAATATTACTAACCAATTCTATCACCCCTAAAGCATCCCTCTACAGTAGATAAAGTATTATTCTGTAGTAAATGCAGCTGTATTAGGGAGATTCTATACAATCGAAAATCATTGACCTTAAGGTTGGTAGCGACCTCTTTGAAGGTCGCGAGAGACGAGTGAAGATGCGTGGGAGGACCCAAGAGAAAATGACGTCAACAAGGGAGCAGGAGAGCATCGGATCGAGGAGATTTTGGGCCCTTTAATCGAAATTTCGAGCGGGAATTCTCGCTCGTTTTGTGGGATTTTTCGATGCTAAAATTAGAGTTAGACGACCGGTAAATAGGTGAATAAACTCGGTTCGAATGGTGGGTTTTAAAACGGGGTTTTATCGAGAGGTTTCGGCGGTTTTGATAAACTTTTCGTTTTGTGTTTGTTGTTTAATTGCGCGAGGCGGGTAACCGCTGTAGTCGATGTATTTTCTTGTTTGTATTTTTACACCTTGTTTTATTCCGTGTCAACCACCTCTGGTTGCTAAATAATCACAAACGAGGCGCCAAAATTGGAGAAAAAATCACAAAATTTGCATCAAACATTCGTAGACAAAAGTAGCGAATTGTCCACCTGCACTTACTTTTGTCTGCGACTGTATCTACATATCGAAATTCAATCCTGCGAGGATTAATACATCATAAAATATCGCAGGAAATATTCCACTAGTCATTACTACATTCGTTTTTTATTAACTAAATTTTACAAGCACAAAAGTAGCAAATTGTTCACCTGCACTTACTTTCGTCTGCGACTGTATCTACATATCGAAATTTAATCCTGCTAGGATTAATACATCATAAAATATCCCAGGAAATATTCTACTAGTAACTAAATATTTTAATCGAATTTTTCAAATTTACAAGCTGTTCGAATAAAAGTTTATTTGCCCTATTCGGCGTTATCCTTTTATCGCAGGATCAACCCCTCCTCGACTTTATGCTATCCTGCAACCACAATCCAGGGTTGAGCTTCAACGCCGTTGCTTGAGCCTCAACCGAAGCTCTAAGTTAATCTATATTATATCCAGCATGAGCTTTATTCCGATCCGTTTCCTCGATTCGCTTTCCACAGCTTTCCCCCCAAATCTCCACCTCTCATAATTCACAATTTTCACAATTAAAATTATTACTAACTAAATTAATTGCCATATTAACTCAAAGCTCATCCATTACCCACTTTTAAAGCTCTTAATAGTGTAGTATAGATGAAACGAAAAGTATCATTTTGTATAATTCGACGCTACTGTTAATGACCGGCGTCGCTTTTGCATAGCCATCTGGATCGATGCGGAGCGGATTTCCACGACGCCTGAAAAGCGTCGCGACACCTCCCGACGCTCATGGACGCCTGGTAAAGCGGGCGCCAGCCGCGTGAAAGCTGAAAGCTTCCGATGAGATGAGAAACTGAGAGAAATGATGAGAGAATCGAAAATAAATACTACAAAAAAAGAGCTTGTGGAAAAGTTTGTAGCTTGTAGAATTCGAAATTTCGATAAAACTGGGCTTATAAAGGTCGATTCACAATCGAATTTTCCAATAACATCGAATCGAAGAAAGTAAAATGTCCATGAAAAGCTTCCGATGAGATGACAAACTGATAGAAACGATGAGAAAAGAAATACTACAAGAAAAAATTGTAGATAATTATTTGCATATGTAATTTTCCTACCGAATGTTTTGGTATAAAAATTTGTTGTTAACCACAGGAGGTTCAGTGACTTCCAAATTTCGATAAAACTAGACTTATAAAGGTCGATTCACAATCGAATTATCCAATAGTATCGAATCGACGAAAGTAATACAACTAGCAAAATGTCCAACCCCAATCGAGACACATCAGCAGAACAACTCTCCGATTACGGAAGAGACCACGAAGTAAGCACCATAAATCTTCATCACCTCTTCATCCATCAATTTTCATCTCCACCAGAACAACAACGAGAAAATCACCACCTCCTGGGGCGCCCCGATACCCGACAAAGACGCCAGTCTCACAGTAGGTCATCACGGACCAATTTTACTCCAAGACTACAATCTCATAGACGAACTGGCCCATTTTACACGAGAAAGAATACCAGAGAGGGTGGTACACGCCAAAGGAGCAGGAGCCTTCGGTTACTTCGAGGTCACCCACGATATCACCAAATACACAGCTGCAAAAGTCTTCTCCGATGTCGGTAAGAAGACTCCAATAGCAGTGAGGTGAGTAAATCGATTCTATACAAGATGCAAATGATTATTAAGCATCTGGAAGGTTTTCCCAAGTCGCTGGTGAACTGGGCTATCCTGATACAATCAGAGACATCAGAGGATTCGCTATCAAATTCTACACCGAAGACGGAATATGGGATTTAACAGGAAACAATACTCCGGTTTTCTTCGTGAAAGATTGCGCTCTATTCCCCAGTTTCATACACACCATGAAGCGGAATCCCAAGACCCACATGCGACCCGATTACGACATGTTCTGGGACATGGTCACCCTACGACCAGAAACCACCCACACATGCCTCATGTTCTTCTCCGATCGAGGACTCCCCGCCAATTTCCGGCGAATGCACGGCTTCGGAGTCAACACCTACGCCTTCGTCAACTCCAAAGGGGAGTTCTACTACTGCAAATTCCACTACAGATCCGAGCAAGGTATGTACATGCACCGAATCCCAGCACTTTTACCACAAATCTGTAAAGGTATAGAGAACATGGATCCGGCTACAGCTCGAAAACTCGCCGGCGAAGACCCCGACTATCACCTGCGCGACCTCTACAACGCCATCGAAGAGGGAAGGCACCCTTCGTGGAGGTTCTACGTGCAAATCATGACGCCTAAACAGGCTGAGAAGAGCCCTTACGATCCCTTCGACGACACCAAAGTGTGGCTACACGCCGACTATCCGCTGATTCCTGTTGGTAGATTCGTTTTGAACAAGAACCCCGGCAACTACTTCGCCGAAGTGGAGCAAATCGGCTTCGATCCCGCCCATCTTGTACCTGGTAATATCATTTTAACACCTAAACCTCGAATTCACCAACATATTGCTCTAATCGTTTTTACACCATCCAAATCCTGCATTTACCAACATATTGCTCTGCAGGTATCGAACCTTCGCCTGATAGGATGCTGCAGGGTAGACTCTTCGCTTACGGGGACACTCACCGCTACCGTTTGGGCGTCAATCATCTGCAAATTCCCGTTAACAGTCCACTGAAAGCCGCCAATTTCGCCAGAGATGGTCGATCCACTCTTCACAGCCAAGGCGAAGCCCCCAATTACCATCCAAACAGCTTCAACGGGCCTGGGATCGATAAAAGAGCCAAAGCGTTGAGTCCGGTGATTCCTCTGCATGGTCTGTCGCAATTGCAACAAGTAAATCTTCTTCCAGTTGAATCGAACGGTGGATTGTTTTAGGTGAAGCGGCGCGAACTGATAACGGAAACGATGATAATTTCACGCAAGCCCGGTTGTTGTACAACGACGTGATGAAATCCGACGAAAGAGCTCGCTTGATTGACAACATGTTGGATTGGTTGAAGCCCACCAAGCAAGAGTTCCGAAACAGGGCCATCGAGATGTTCGCCCAAGTGGATGCCGAGTTGGGCAAGAAGCTGAAATTGGGATTGAACTCGTCGCGTCACATCGATTTGTAATTAAAATAACCAGTTAAAAATCCTGTGGAATCGGCTACAATAAACTTGTTTTTGTGGTGAACAGTTGCTTGCTTATAAAAAAAAATCCTTTGCACATCCTCTTGATTTAGATAACACATATTTATCGCTGATATAAATACGGGTCGAGTTCATCAGATAGCATTTATGCAAGTTAGTTCTATCCAGTAACAATGCCTTTACGCGACGCCAGTTCGAACCAGCTACTGGATTACTCCAGGAAACAAGGCGTATGTTTAGTACAATCAATCATCTAGAATCTGGATGAGTATGTTCGTTTTGTATATACTCCACAGGACCAGAGAGAGTCCATCACAACGTCCGGAGGAAACCCCGTACCGGAGAAAGACGCCAGCCTCACAGTGGGCTACCACGGCCCCATTTTGCTCCAAGACTGGGTCCTCATCGACGAGCTGGCCCATTTCAGTAGAGAAAGAATACCAGAACGCGTGGTACACGCCAAAGGAGCAGGAGCTTTTGGTTACTTCGAGGTCACCCACGATATCACCAAGTACACAGCTGCAAAAGTCTTCTCCGAGATCGGCAAGAAGACTCCCATTGTGGTCAGGTATGTAGTAAGAAAATCTGTTGTTGGTGAGAGTTTGGGCGGTAGATTTTCGCAGGTGGCTGGGGAAATGGGCTCGGCTGACACGCTTCGGGATTTCCGCGGGTTCGCTTTGAAGTTCTACACGGAGGACGGTATTTGGGATTTGGTGGGCAACAATTTCCCGGTGTTCTTCATCAGAGACTGCGCTTTGTTTCCCAATTTCATCCACGTGTTGAAGAGGTAGGCGGAATGAACACCTATCCAGTGAGAAGATGTTAAATTTATCGTGTTCAAGGAACCCCAGCACTCACATCCGACCGGACTACGACATGTTCTGGGACTTCATTTCGTTGAGAGAGGAATCCATGCATGCTGTTTTGATGATGTTCGCTGATAGAGGAATACCGGCTAGTTACAGGCAAATGCACGGATATGGCGTCAACACTTTCGCCTTCGTTAACAACCAAGGAAAATTCTTCTACTGCAAATTCCACTACCTCACCGACCAAGGTGAGGTACCACTCTCGTTTGAAGATTCTAAGACAATCTAATACTGTTGTGTATTGCATAGGAATCGCTAATTTAACGTCGGATTTGGGCAACAAAATCAACGGAACCGATCCGGATTACCTCATCAGGGACTTGTACAACGCGATAGAAACCGGTAACTACCCTTCGTGGACTATGTATGTTCAAATCATGACCCCCGAGCAGGTCTCGAAGCTCTCCTACGATCCCTTCGATGATTCAAAAGTCTGGCTTCACGCCGAGTTCCCTCTCATACCAATCGGCCGGTTCGTTTTGAACAAAAACCCCAAGAGCTACTTCGCAGAAGTCGAACAACTCGCCTTCGACGTCGCCCATCTCATACCAGGTAATGTTACAATCACTAAAATTCTCTAATTTCTAATTTTAGTTGTACAGGCATCGAACCGTCTCCGGATAGGATGCTGCAAGGTCGATTGTTCAATTACGGGGATACCCACAGGTACCGGTTGGGCATCAACAACACCCAATTGCCGGTGAACAGCCCGTTTAGAGTCAACAATTACCAAAGAGATGGGCAGGGGGCGTTGCAGAGCCAGAATGGAGCGCCTGTTTACCATCCGAACAGCTTCAAAGGTCCGGAGGAAGAGTCTAGAGCTAAGGCTCTATCGCCAATTTGGCCTCTTGTGGGGGATGCCCAGAGGATAGATAGCGGACATGATGATAACTACACACAAGCCAGGTTGGTTGTTATACTTTTAGAGGTGTTTTAGTTGTTTATTGATGGTTCATTTACTTGTTTTATTGGCTTTTGTGTTGCAGATTGTTGTTTTAGTTGTTGATAGATGTTTCATTTACTTGTTTTATTGGCTTTTGTGTTGCAGATTGCTGTTTTAGTTGTTTATAGATGTTTCATTTACTTGTTTTATTGGCTTTTGTGTTGCAGATTGCTGTTTTAGTTGTTTATAGATGTTTCATTTACTTGTTTTATTGGCTTTTGTGTTGCAGATTGCTGTTTTAGTTGTTTATAGATGTTTCATTTACTTGTTTTATTGGCTTTTGTGTTGCAGATTGCTGTTTTAGTTGTTTATAGATGTTTCATTTACTTGTTTTATTGGCTTTTGTGTTGCAGATTGCTGTTTTAGTTGTTTATAGATGTTTCATTTACTTGTTTTATTGGCTTTTGTGTTGCAGATTGTTGTACAAGAGGGTGCTGAAACCGGCCGAACGCGGTAGATTGGTGGATAATATAGTGAGCTGGTTGAAGAATGCTAATGGTGTGATTCAAGAGAGGCAAATCGCGAATTTCGCTAAAGTCGATGAGGATTTCGCCAAGAGAATCAAGGAGGAGATAAATGCTGGTAGTCACCCTCAAGTAAATCTGTAGGGAAATGATATTTGCACGAGAAGCTTGGTTATTTGGAATGATGAGAAGGTTTAATTAAATGAGTATATAATTGAGGAAGAGTTTTATTTGTGTACTAATTGCTTATGCATTAGAAGATTAAATGTAATAGCTTGTTGATGAATGAAATATATGAATGTATTATTGTCGAGATAAACACACTGTTTTGAGACCTTTTTTATCTTAAACTTTTATTTCAAGTACAAAAGAGTACAATTCCAGTAACGACTTAAAAACGCACGAACATAGAACAACTTATCATTTACAGAACTAAAGAAAACGTCAACTGTCAAATATGTCAACTATTGACTGTATTCAACACTGAATGCAGGCCCAGAATTACAATACAATAAAAGATATAGGATAAAGAGACTGTTTCGAATGGTTTCGATAGCAAGACTATAAACGAAACGGAATGGAGATGGAGAGTTCCTTAGAAAACCGACCTCCGTTCGGTTTCTGTTCTCCCGTTCGTTAGAATTCGCCGTCGTCTTACCCCTTTACTCTAAAGAAAATACCTGACATTCCGCAGGCGCGCTTTTGCAGGCTCCTTTCGCCTTGTCCCACCGGCGATTTCTTCTGCTCTTTTGGTAGGTTCGCCTTTTAATTTCCGATAATGCATGCATAAATTAACACCTTCTCTCGGCTCGCGGGAGGCGCTGACGCCGCCTCCGCGCTTTCATGGCCTCCTGCTCCGGAATCGAACGGATTTTTGTGGGTTCTGTCAGTCAAATCGCTCGACGAATGGATAGGTTTTCAATCAATCGGAAGGCGTCGATTCGAATCGGATGCTCTCTATGGTTTTAATCGATTGGTGTTTAATCGATTAAATTTCTTCGATTGGTTGTTTTTGTATCGTTTTTATATGCTTTGCGGTTTTAATGAGGTAGGGATATTGTGTAGATATTTGATTAATTCAGTAATGTTGTGATTATTCGAAATTAGTTTAAACAATTTCTACAAATACTCTATACACCTTGCTCCATTTCCGATGGTCATTTCTATGAGTGGAACAAAGAAAGATTATTAAAATGACAGCTGTCAGAGTGAAAAGTTGCAATCACACAAATCAGTCACTCTTTCCTTTTCCTTTGTAAGTGTCTAATGGAAGTTGTCTTTATCGCGCCCATGGTTTATATAACCTGTATATTTTTTCTCTCTTCATTTTGGTAATATAAATAAACAAATTTTTGTGTAGCTACAAGATGTATACAGGGTGTTCCGAATTGACGTGCTAATATTTAAGAGGGTGATTCTTGGGTTCGTTTTATGAAAGAAATTTCGTATTAACCTATGTCCTAAAAGTCTTTTGAAATACAGGGTGTTAAAAGTATTATATTATTGTCGAGATAAACACACTGTTGAGACCTTTTTATCTTAAACTTTTATTTTAAGTATACAAAAAAAGTACATTTCCAGTAACGACTTAAAAACATAGAACAACTTATCATTTACAGAACTAAAGAAAACGTCAACTGTCAAATTTGATATCTTCACTTTTTTTCGTACGACTCATAGTTTCGCTTTAAAAAAAAATAAATGCATTCATTTGTACCCTGCTGAGAAGTTTTTTTCTTAAAATGGATCTTAAAATGGGTTATCAATATGAAACACTCTGTATACAGGATGTCTCAACAAAATTTGCAACACCATAAACGTTTATACCACAGAAATATAAACACCACAATAATCTATTCCCAACATTTCCAATCGAAACAAATTCGCAACAGAACAGAGAGAGAGAGTTGGGAGAGTTCTTCGAGCGCTAACAGAAAGCCCTCCAGTCCTTCTACTACCCTGTTAGTTGACTAGCATTAGAAGGAACGCACTCCCACGCTGCATTTTTCCCTAATTCACCATCTCAAACGAAACCTCAATTAAAAAAACACCCGAGAACAACCCGGCTATTTCTTACAAAAAAAAACCCCAAGAGGCGCCTCGTGAGAGAGTTTTTATATCCCATTTCCCGCGTTGAAACGAACTTAAAAAATCGATTTTCAATTTAAAACCTACATCCAACGATTCAATATTAACTTAGTACTCGTTGATTAGTTAATATAGTTAAACAAACCAGCCTCATTACAGCGTAGTGAAACCGATCGTTTCTCGATTAATCGATTGACATTTGAATATTTTTTTAGTTCTCTTTACAGCCCACAATCGATTCTATGAAGGTTTTATCGCACACACACATGAGTTTAACACACATGTGTGAGCCGAAGCTTCCCTTCGACTTCTGCTATCCTGCTACTCATATGGATTCCATTTCCAATAAATTCACGCATGAGTTGCTGCAGGACAAAGAAAGGAAGCGAGAATCGGGACGCTGCTGTCGCTCCGGTTTATTTCTATTTCTACAGCCGGTGTAATAATCGAATCGGAGGAATTAGGAAGAAAATAATCGTTTAAATAATCGATTAAAATCGTTCGTTAATTTGTTGCAAATGTTTGATTAAACGAGTGTTTGTAATTTGAAATGAAACTTTGTTGAGTGTAAGCTGTGTTACATATTAACGAAATAATAAACTTTCGATTAGGTTGTCATAAACGCGCTGCAGGTTTAACAACAAATTCGATAGTTAACAACAAATTGAATCGTTTGGTAGTTTGGTCATCGTACAAATCGAAATATTAGGGATTCATAATTAATTAATCAATCGCAAAATTCGTGTAGGTAGGTAAATTTGTACCAATTTTTTACTACTACTATTAATCTTAATCTAAAAAAATAACCTACTGAATAGCGCATAAACCTGAGAAACCTGCGGGTTTCATTTCCCTCGACCTATTCGAATTTCCTGAAGTAACCTCGAGTGCTTCAGGCCAATCAAAACCTACGTATTACAAAACAATTTCCACCTTCTTGCACCAGGAGAACATGAAACCTGCGAGGTTGCCGAGGCGATCACGTTATAACCACGACATGTTGCCAGATTTCAAAAGAAATATCGCCAAACAAAATACTTTCACCGGCGAAATTCGTAAATAATGAATTTATAAGTGCTCTAAAAATTAATTTACCGCATCGAAAATAGTTATATTAAATACTCGAATCGATAATTTGTACCACTAACTAACGCTTTTATTATTAATATCTACAAGTAAGCATTTGTAATTGTTTATAGTCTTTAATTTAGAAACAGAATGTAAAGTAAAGGAAAAACGATCTGTCAAATAAGATCATATTTTTAATATTGACAGTGATGACAGTTGACGTCCCACTACTGTCAATTGAAATACCGAACTCCGGCTGGGCCTTTTATGATTCAGGTAAACACTGACAGTAATAAGTAATAATAAACTTTTTTCTCGGATAATTCTCTTTATGGAAGGAGTGATAAAGTAATGTGGATAGGAGAATAAAATCGGAGCGGCAACAGCGCATCGAGTGCTCGATTTATATTCCGAATTCAAATTGTGTGTGTTATGTAAATGAAATTGGTGGATGTTTTGAGCTGTCAGTTACTAATTTCAACATGCATAATTACCAGTGTGGCTTATTAGAGGAGCAGAAAACGGGCGTAGTATTATATTCACTCGGCTGTATATGTTGTGTAAAAGCTCCAGAAATCGCTCGATTTAATTACAAATTCGATCCACTCGAGTTATCAACTGGCATTTAAAAAAATACAGCTAAATTATATAAAATAATTATGCTAAAAATAATTCGTGTTATACGAGCGTAATAAAGTGTATATGCAACTCGAATAAAACTGTTTTATGTTGATAAATATAAATTTTTGTTTAGTATCGAATCGCGTAATAAAACCTATTTATTTCGGAAATTTACCAAAAATAACAAATCGGATTATTTCGTAATACACCCAACTAGACATTGAGGGCGCCACTTGGGGGTATTTTTAAATGGGAAAACATAGGTTTAATAATTCGAGTAAGATTCTAATTTGGCTTTATCAATTGATTTGAATCTTTCTTATATATAATATAGAGACTCCATGCAATGAAATCTCCTATTTTTAATCTCTACTACTTCGTTATATATTTAAGAAAATTGCAATTAAAAATTGCCGTTTATTTGCAATGCTATTTAAATGGCAAAACGTAATTCTAGTAAGATTCGAGTTTTATCGAATGGATTTGTGAATAATTTTAGTAGGATGAAGAATACTTATTACAGAACGATATCTTCTAGTTTATATTGATCCACAAGCTGTATTAAATTGAAAAAAAACTAATTAAAGTATTTTAGAAAATGATTATGACAGATTCCTGTAAATTATGGTGTCGCCTGACATAAATGTCAAATCACAGAACAATTTTGTAAATTTGACAAGCGACAGCGGTGCCAAAAGTTTCCGTTTTTCGTTCAAAAATAGTTCTATATTACCCCACGAATTATGAATTTGAGGGCTTGCTTAAGACTACACAATACACCATGAAACAAAGTGTATTTCTATTTCTATTCCCTAATGAAACCTCCGGACAAACCCATAAAGGCTCGTTAAAGAGGACACACAACCTAATTTAATTGAATCACGCTATCGCGAAAGATTTTCGCCCTATTTTCGCTCCATTTTCGCTCTATTTTCCACCTTATGTGCAAACCCTACACAGGGCCGGATGAAAGTGATTTCATTTCCTCGAAGCGAATGGCGTAATAAAGGGAGTGGTTTTTATATGGGCGCAGTTTCTGAGCTGCACTCTGTTGTATTTAACCTACTTCTACTTTTATTGCCGGATATATTTGGGTCAGACTTTGATCGAAACAATAGGTCAATTATTTTGTTTTGGATTTGTTATCGCTTGTTTTGTTATATAGCGAACGAGGAAGGCGCTAAATTAGCCGGAACGGAGGAAAATTAAGCGGAAAAACAAGTGTGGAGTTTTCGAGATGAATTTGCTGTTAAAATGCAAATTAAAATCCAACACATCTAGTAATTTCTCTATTAATTCAGCTCTATTTCAAAGGGGAGCCCAAAATATGGTGATGTTATAAACCCATCAACTTAAATTAATACAAAATTAGATTCCTGAGAAGTTATAATCTCAGTAATAAGTAATCAAACTTAAAACAACTACATTTGATACCCATTATGATGATATAAAAAATTATTTAGTTCATTTCATTCTAAAACTTTTTTATTCTTTGTCAGTTTTAAGGCGACATCTACAAGCTTTGGTGTCGGTTCTTATGCAGGACACCCTGTATATAAAAAATCAACAAGTGGTCGAGAAAATTCCCGCTAATCACCGTTTTCTTAACATGAACTCTCGAAATATTCGGTATATTATGAGCTTAAAAATATCCGGAATTATTCTGTAAATAAATCGGGCCACTTTCTCGCTAAAAATATGAATCGCCGAATTAATTTTAGTCATTCTGATGAATGAGGTCGTGCAGTGGGATTCGGAAAAAAATGAAATGACCTAACTCAAAAGTGTTCTATGCCAGTTCGAATATTTCAAAATAACTTTCTGAGGCTGCTTCGAAAAACACATCTAAACACCATCCAAACTGGGCTTAATTTTTTGTATTAGAATTAACAATTTCTTCGACTAGATTATACTGTATTGGACTATTCATAATCCAGTTTTGTACCAGTCTGGATTTTTGTAGTATAGCTGATGATAAATGCATAAAATTAAATTCGCCTATCTCATTAAGATCGATCCAACTATTTCAAGGTTTAAAAACATTTTTTTCGACGCTTTACTAATTAGCCAATTATTACACTAATTCGGATACTTTTTTTCTAATTTAACAAAAATTTGCCGGTTAATTTAATCACCGGTTTATTTGATAAATACAAAAATTAATTGGGTAAAGTGGAGTTTACGACACCAAACGCGCCAATTAAATAACTTATAGAAACTTAAAATAAATTGAAATATAATTGCCTTATTTCAAAAATTAATTACGAAACTATCGCAATTTAAAACTTGAAGTAACAATAAAAATTGTATCTACTAAATATCAACAATTACACATCGAGTTAATTAGACAATTAAGTGGAAATAATCTAAACTAATGGATAATACAACACTTACCGATCGAAATTAAAGCAATTATCCTAATTTCCATGGTGGAGAGTGTTGGGAAAAACTAAAAGTAAAAGTGCACTGTTCAAAAACCCATGGGTTTTCTTTCGTTCGAGCGATCTATTTCGATTTTCCGGTCCGCACAAATTCGAATCGAGTTGTAGACTAAAATATTGTTATAAATACGCCGGTTAATGTTTTGAGATTATCCCGTTTAAACGAGGAGAACGCGCGCGCTGCCTGTGAAAATTTTCTTGCACTCTATTATCGAATAATGATGATAGAATAACGATGAATAACCGAATAGATGGTTTATTAATTATAGCAATTTTTACTAGTTTTTTGTGAATGCTATTTTCATTTCTATTATACCGGAAAAAACATGAAAATTTTCTACCAGGAAGCTACTCTATTATCGATTAATGATGATAGAATAACGATGAATAACCGAATAGATGGTTTATTAATTATAGCAATTTCTACTGGTTTTTTGTGAATACTATTTTCATTTCGATTATGCCGGGGAAAAACATGAAAATTTTCTACCAGGAAGCCACTCTATTATCGATTAATGATGATAGAATAACGATGAATAACCGAATAGATGTTGGTTTATTAATTGGCAATTTCTACTGGTTTTTTTGTGAATCTAATGCCATTTTCATTTCGATTATCCCGGGGAAAAATAGAAGATGTGGGTTGAAAAATATTCGAAATTATTATTTCAAACGAATTTATTTAACAAATATAAACCTACGAAGGTACATAGGAAGTATACAAATTAGAAAATCGCAGGTATACGCAGAAAACATTCTCTTATTATGTATAATAGTATTAACATTTACCTTGATCAATGGAGAATTAGTCTTATAAAAAGCAATAAAATGGATATTAACAAGAAATAAAATTCGTATGTAATTTCTACAGTGAAAAAAATAAAAAAAATATACACGAAAATGTCTAACTTGATTTATATAAATGTTGAATTGGATTTCTTTTTTGTAGAATAATTGCACCGAAGATATTTCTATTTATAAAACAGCGATTTATAATAATAATAGTACATGCATAAGTTGTAGTATTTTTACAAAACCTTGCATATTAAATATTTACTTTTCATCAATAATAAAAGCAAATTCGCACAAAATTTACAAAGATTTTTAACCCCCCTGCTAGAGAAAAATCTTTGCTCGCAAATAAAATATTTAGCAAATTTAAATTTCAGTCGATATTAATTAAAATTCAAAAATCTACATATCTCTAAATATTTCGATTTCCATATTAACTTACAGTTGAGAAATTGAAGATTTATGTAATTTAATGAAATAACACTCAAAAATACTACAACTTTTCGAAATCGAAAAAAAAATAAATAAAGATTTAACTAACTTATACAATATTGAAACGAGTACGATTACAATTTTAACAAAATTTTAATACCTATAGGCCTATATGTAAATTAAAATCAATTTAAAGATCAATAATAAAATAATAACAAATTGTAATCATGCACGTTACAAAATTATATACAGGATGTTTAAAAAACTCAGCACAATAAAAAAACAGATCGATTACAACACCTCGCAATTAAATCTTTATAACATATAATTTTTCTCCATCTACTCTAATGAATTATTTAACAATCAAATATAAATAAACATTTCCTTGTATATTAATATAGGTAATTATTTCTTATAAAACACTATTAAAAATTAATATTCAACAATGGCATTTAAAGAATTTACAGAAAAATTAAAAATCGTTCGATATACAATCGTTTTTAACGCAGGACTAATTTCGAAAAACAATAATTTATTAAATGTACAAAACAAAATTCATAATTGCTTCGAGATTTTTTTTTCCAAATTATTTCCCCCTAGCAATTACAACTACAAAATTAGTCAATCATTGGATTGTTCTTATAGATCTGTCGCTTTAACAATAAATTCGACTATAAAAGAACAAAAATATCGAACAATTAATAATTTTTTGAGTACAAAAATCATTCCAAACAACGATATAGATATACATACAACTAACATACTTGTATACACTTAACAAAAAAATCATTTCCAAACTATAATTAGGTACTAAAAAATAATATGACATTTACACTTATCAATTATAATATCAGTCTTTTGAGTAGGTACTAATTTACAACAACAACAACAAAAAAACCATGACATAAAGCATGCTCCACTCCATGGCGAAAAATATCCAACTTACTCAGTACATTTTTCAAAATAAATTAGGGTCACATCTTTTAATATTATCACAGATTTCAGTCCAGGACCTCAATTCCCCTTCGGCCCTTTTATTATTTTTATTTATTCACTTAAAAACTCCATCATTTCTTCACAATCTACCGGCAATTGGACAGCTTCTTCAACAACACCAGCATCCCTTGAAGTTGATTATCATTTGGCAACATTGAATTCACGGTATGTTTAACATGCTGCAACAAAACGATAGATTTAAAGCAAATTTGCATCAGGTGAATGAAGGAGGTCAAAGCGTGGAGTTTTTGAGTCGAATAGAAACACGTTTGTAATGTTTTTTAATAGATAATTATGTATACAGGTTGCTCCATTTTTGATCGCAACATAGGTTATATGAGAGCGATAAAGACAACTTCCATTAGACACTTACAAAGGAAAAGGAAGGAGTGACTGATTTGTGTGATTGCAACTTTTCACTCTGACAGCTGTCATTTTAATAATCTTTCTTTGTTCCACTCATAGAAATGGAGGAAACGATATACATATTTTATTTATTCTACAACTACAACCCCTAATTCGCCCCTAATTTTCTGTGTATATACAGGTTGCTCCAATTTTGATCGCAAAGTGCGATAAAGACAACTTCCATTAGACACTTACAAAGGAAAAGGAAAGAGTGAATGATTTGTGTGATTGCAACTTTTCACTCTGACAGCTGTCATTTTAATAATCTTTTCTTGTTCCACTCATAGAAATGACCATGTTGCAATCGGAAATAGAGCAAGATGTATAGAACGTGTTTAAATTCGGTAATATCTAACCCTTAACAATTCTATGATCTCAACTTTTATCGGTATAATTCTTGTTAAGTGTTAGATATGTGAAGAGGAATCTTAGTTAATTGCTAGCTGATATGCCTGATAATTCGACATTAAAAGGTAAATCAGATGGATTTGTATGCATAAAAATAGAAATTCCTTCGAAATGATAAATAGCATGCACTTGATGTTACTTGCGATAGTTCAAAGACAGTACAATTGAAACATTCAAAAGATATCTAGTGTTGTTTTTGTTCAAAAAAAAAACCATTCGAAATACTCGTTAATTGTACTGGATATCCCATGAATAATATACCAATGATAATCGAGAAAAAAAAAGCAATGTAAACTGGCCAATTTAAAGCGCTACAAAAAAATAAAATAAATCGATAAAATACTAACTATTCTACAATCCTCGCAACTGCTGCCATCGTTTATTATTATTATTATTATTATTATTTTGTACGAACAATTCGATTAAACGTAGCGTCAGTTACCAATAGGGACTGTTATTTTCTAAGTGCGTCCAACTAGCAAACTCCGACCAAGATTCCATCTTTGCTTGCACAATGTCATTGCATTTAATTACTGCCTACAAAAGAAACATTTCCTGGATAAGCGTGCAAAAAAATGTAGTAATTACAAAACTCTAGGTACTAATGCGTAAATCAGAAGTGGGACGTTTCGTTTCAGAAGTGGGATAAAAATTAATTCATACAAAAGAAATTGACATGTAGAAACCGGTTAATTAGAGATGAGATGAGGAATTGGATAGTAAATTTAGAAATGTTGGTTTAATTGCAAAAAATTTAGTAATTACAAAACTGTGGGCGCTAATGCGTAAATCAGAAGTGGGACGTTTCGTTTCAGAAGTGGGATAAAAGTTAATTCATACAAAAGAAATTGATATGTAAACACCGTTAATTAGAGATGAGATGAGGAATTGGATAGTAAATTTAGAAATGTTGGTTTAATTGCAAAAAATTTAGTCATTACAAATCTGTGGGCGCTAACGAGGAATCAGAAGTGGGACGTTTTGTTCCAGAAGTGGGATAAAAGTTAATTCATACAAAAGAAATTGATATGTAAACACCGTTAATTAGAGATGAGATGAGGAATTGGATAATAAATTTAGAAATGTTGGTTTAATTGCAAAAAATTAGTAATTACAAAACTGTGGGCGCTAATGCGTAAATCAGAAGTGGGACGTTTCGTTCCAGAAGTGGGATAAAAATTAATTCATACAAAAGAAATTGACATGTAGAAACCGGTTAATTAGAGATGAGATGAGGAATTGGATAATAAATTTAGAAATGTTGGTTTAATTGCAAAAAATTTAGTCATTACAAATCTGTGGGCGCTAACGAGGAATCAGAAGTGGGACGTTTCGTTCCAGAAGTGGGATAAAAATTAATTTATACAAAAGTAATTGAAATGTAGGAACCGGTTAATTAGAGATGAGATGAGGAATTGGATAGTAAATTTAGAAATGTTGGTTTAATTGCAAAAAAATGTAGTAATTACAAAACTGTAGGTACTAATGCGGAATCAGAAGTGGGACGTTTCGTTCCAGAAGTGGGATAAAAGTTAATTCATACAAAAGAAATTGAAATATAAAAACCGTTAATTAGAGATGAGATGAGAAATTGGAAAACACAAATGTTGGTTTAATTGCGAATGAAAAGAGGTTAATAAATGCCTCGTTCAGTGAAAGAAACTGACCCAAAAACTTTAAGAATCATCGGAACAAAGCGACGAGATAAATTTCTGTTGACACAAACTCGATATAATTATTTATTCACTCGACTTTTCAACATCAAACAAACCATCATACATACCTGACGTTCGTTAATATTCTTCTTAAACACATCATCGTTGTTAAGCGACGACTTCTTAACCAAATTATAATTCTTGCCCAGATTATTATCCCAATACTCCTTTCCCTCGCATCTAAAGCACACACAAAACTCCAATTTCTTCACTCTGGTGGGAGGCAGCGAAAATTTAAAAGAAAATGTATCGTACAGCACGTTTATGTTCGTATTCATATTATTCGGCACGTAAGTACAAAAACAGTCTTCGTAGCTCTTCCATTCGTTCGTCGAATACCTAAAAAAACACCAATTTTTGTTAGTAAAATTACAAGTACAAGAATATACCGACTGTCCAAATTCGAGCGCTGCAAACAGCAGAAAGAGAGAGTCAATCGAACTGTGTAGAATGAATGTAGCGCTCGATTTTGGTCACATGGTATAGCATAAAGGATTTCCATTTTCGTTAGACTATTTGGTAATTTTTGGTAATTTCCGCGCAGTTCAAAATGTCCCTAGTGTCAATGTTAATTCTCCCATTTGATTTGGGGAATTTTTTGGTCGTCCTTTTCTAGCACTGGCATTGACACTACGACATTTGACATCTGCTTCATAACTGTCATGGCGTCGTATTATTATTTATATTTGGATTTTTGTAAACAACAAGCATCTTAAAATACTTTTGAAACATGAATATTTAAATTTAGCGCCAACTACATACGTCAAAATTGTCAAAGACACCAAGACAAAGACACACCGTTAGAAACCAGCGAGTGTCAAACAAGGACGGGTCATAAAAGTATATCGTCAACAGAATTTACCGCTATCTAAGCACCAGTCCAACCGAAAATTGGACAACCTTCATTTACCGCTATCTAAGCACCAGTCCAACCGAAAATTGGACAACCTTCATTTACCGCTATCTAAGCACCAGTCCAACCGAAAATTGGACAACCTTCATTTACCGCTATCTAAGCACCAGTCCAACCGAAAAATTGGACAACCTTCATTTACCTGACGAGCACCTCCTTGCGAAACGCCAAATTCCTCACTTTCACGGTACCCACGACGCTCTCCTCGCTCGCCTTGATGATGACGTTCTCGAGCGAAACGTTGCCGTCGTCCAACCGCCTTCTGAACGCCACGTAATCGGAGGCGGGCTGCGGAAAGGCCGCCTCCCAGGCATTCGCCTCGCCCACCGGATCGGCCGTCAGGCCCTGCGTCACCTCCGCCAGGAAGCGGGAGCTCCACAACGGCGGAACGTTCGAGGGCTCCGTCATCACGCGCACTTGTGTCAAAGACATGCCCTTGTCGTCGGCGAACACCACCTGGAACACCACCAAATCGTGTTTATCCAGGTGCAAATTTGAGCCAGATGTGCTGGTTCAATCGATGGGGTTGCTGGGTAGAGAATTGGCTGGAGGTTTAGCTTGGTGGGGTCTTGGTTTTGGTGGTTTGAGATGGTGGAATGTTTCAGTTGTGCAGGTTCAATCGATGGGGTTGCTGGTTAGAGAATTGGCTTGGTCTGGTGTTAGTTTTGGTGGTTTGAGATGGTGGGATGCTCCAGATGTGTTGGTTCAATCTATGGGGTTGCTGGTTAGAGAATTGGCTCGAGGTTTGGCTTGGTGTGGTGTTAGTTTGCACGTGGAATAAGGTAGAGGACTTAGACTTTTGGTGGTTTGAGATGGTGGGATGTTTCAGATGTGCAGGTTCAATCGATGGGGTTGCTGGTTAGGGAATTGGCTTGGTGTGGTGTTGGTTTGCACGTGGAGGACTTGGACTGTTGGTGGTAGATTGGACTTGGTGCAAGACAGGAGTTGGATTTGGTGGAAGGTGGACTTGGAGGTGATTGGGTGATGATTGGTTACCTTCTTCTTGAGTCTCGTGGGGCTGGTGGGGTCCTCGTCGCTGGAGCTGGTCTCGTCGGTGGGGCGGATGACGAGGCAGGGCCTCTTGGGGTAGGCGGGCATCCTGAAGGGGGGCTTGGGCAAGGAGCCGAAGGAGTGGGAGTGCTGCAGGGACCTGCTGCAGGTGGTGAAGGCCGCTCGGGGGAATTCTGTGCTCAAGCGGAGGGCTGCGTAGTCGGTGAGGAAGCCGCCCGTTGGGGGACTATGGCTGAAAACCGGGGGACTGTGGGACACTAGCATCTCGTAGTCCATGGAACACATTTGGACCTGCGGGTGGAAGGAATTTGTTTTGTGAATAAATTTGTTTTGTGAATAAATTTGTTTTGTGAATAAATTTGTTTTGTGAATAAATTTGTTTTGTGAATAAATTTGTTTTGTGAATAAATTTGTTTTGTGAATAAATGGCCCAGAGAAGTTAAGGAAGTTCGGAAAATTTGCGATTATTTTGAAAGTTGCAGAGTTTTTGATCACTGGATTTTCAAATAAGGTAGACTGGGGCAAATCGGTTGTAAAATTTGAATAGTTTAATCTCAATATTTGTGAACTTCCTTAACTTTTGTGATAAAATTATGATCAGGTTTTTCTTTTAAAAATAGACTAATTATTCAGCAATTTCTTATACAAATTTATCATTAAATCGAAATAATATAAATATTTTCCTCTCGTTGTATCGAGGATCAAGGATCATACTTTTAACGAATTATTGTATAATTAAATACACAATTACGCGAAAATATAAATATGTTTTTACCACAATAATTTTGGCAAAATTTTCATCAACTTATCTAAGGCGAAGAATGAGGTGCAAAGTATTACGCCATATCTTATTGCAATTGAAGTACTAAATAAACAAACCATCATCTTAAATAATCCACTTGTTTAATCTATCACCGCATATAAACATATTTTGCACTTGGATTTCACGCAATAAATTTCACCCAAAATATTTCCATAACCTTGCACAACATGCAAGTATATCAAACAAAAATAGCCACTTCTTAAATATTCGACTTCTAACGTCTGGAATCTCCCTATATGCTTATGCATTAGAGAATATGTCCCGTTATTTGAGAACTTTTTGAGCTTCGCTTTTGCACCGCAAGGTGGCGAACGATCGGAGCATCAACTGATCTCAACCAATCAGCGTCGAGCTACATAAAAATCGCGATTGTTGTAAAATGACAGTTCGAGCTGTCAAAACTTGAAAAATTATTAATTTGACGTTTCGAGGAGAAAATGGAGAAGTACATTAACCGAAGATACGTGAGGAATGATGGTTACAACAAAATCATCGCTGATTTAGGTATATTTTTATATTTTCTAACTATTTTTAGTTTGAATAAAACGTATAAATCGCGGTTGTAATGAAATGACAGTTCGAGCTGTCAAAACTTCAAAAATTATTTTTTGACGTTTCGAGGAGAAAATGGAGAAGTACATTAACCGAAGATTCGCGAGGAATGATGTTAACAACAAAATCATCGCTGATTTAAGTATGTTTTTATATTTTCTATCTATTTTTAGTTTTAATATAACCTTTTTTAATGCTAATTTTATATAAATCTTAGGTAAAAAACCGTGGTCGTTTACAACATCGCCTCCTAGCGACCGTTTTAGAAATCCTGTTTTATCCTTAAATAACAGAACACTTTTTAAGAGGACCCTGGACTAAAATTACCGCTTTATCACCAATCGATAATCCCGAATCCTATTTTAGTTATCCGATAAGAAAACCTTTAATTGCGCGAAATTTTCCAACGCTATCGAATCTATCAGTCTGCGTTACTTTATTGGCACAACCATTTTATCGAATTATTATGTAAACTGTTTAATAAACAACTCCAAACTCGATTACAACGATCGATGTTTTGTTTGTTCCTATAAATTCGCTATTCATGGTTCAGTCGGATGCAATAAATAACCCATTTTTCGAGCCGGTTCGCAAATAAACAAAGCAGTTATGATGCTATTACACAAATTACACCTAGTTACTATGTTTACATGCATCAGGATGCACCTGATTATATGCAATGCAAAGTTTTTTTTCCAACAAAATTTACTTCGCACTTTACTGGAACCAAATCGATCAATTGATAACCCACTCGGTAATATTTAATGGATCATTGTGGGCTGGAAACTTACAATGTACAGGCCATAATGGCCTTATGAATAGGATTTTAATGTTGCCTATAGTGGTGTTTATCAATAGCGCTTGTCAATGGTGATTTAGCGTAGAAAAATGATATGCATCGATTCCCTCTGTTAGCCTGAGAGCTACTTAACCAAATAAGGCGAAGACCGTGGATGTGAATACTTTGAAAACTCGTTCCATCGGTTTTTTAATCAACTCGATTTTACAGGGAAATGTATATTGAATACGTAGGTGTCCTGATGTCGATTTATAACTGATATGATTGAGCTAGGCAATCCATTAATCTTTATTTCCATCTCCCACGAATCCATGTATATTATACAGAGAGATAAATAGGGATAATGTAAGAGGCAAGATACATTCTATCTACTCATGAGAAGTTATAGACTAAGCAAAATGTTTTTCTTATAAACTATACTTGAATAAACATGCGAATAATCCCATTAGTTTTAAAAATACATCGCGGATTTGGCAACCCTTTTGTGCGCGTTTTATTTTAAACAGTTTTTTTTTATTATAAGAGGAAAAAATAGAATTTTTTGTGGATTCGAAACATGCATTAAAATGTAATTTCGTGCAAAAAATATTGATAGGAAACGAACCAACCTGGTTTCCTTAACGCTTTTGCGGCCATGAAGCTTAGCGGTCGAATCTTGAACAAGAAGAAATTCAGTTTTTTAAACTGTTTATTACACTAATTAACCTCGGAATGTTTTAATGTCTAATTAAATTACGTAGAACGATGTTTTATCATGATTTATTGTTTATTTATTTTGCAAACGCTCTCTATAGGCACATATTTTTATCGTTATTGTATTGTAAGAAATGATTTGGCTATTTCGAAATGTTTTCAAACGCCCATGCAATCGCACTATTCAAAAAAAACCTTGGTTAAATTTAGTAGAAATCCGAAATTATCACCAAAAAAAAACCTATATTTAGAAACCACCTGACTGGCTCGTGTTCAATAGAATTAGAATATTCTAATCGAACCAGCAGGAAAATGTGAAATTGAATAATTATTAACTATCTCTATAAATATTCTTATTAACTCCACTATTTTGTGTATAAATGTAAGGAATCGATTGTGCTAAAAACTGATTAAACCGGGTAAAAACCGTTGAATTAATCTTCCTATTTTCTTCGAAACACATAATCAATCATAAATTTTATTTATTTTTTCATCGTTTATCGCCGAATAGCAATTTTATAATATGCCTCATTACATTCTGCTTCTTATGGAATTCATAGACGATTACTTACAATATCGTTAATAGTTTAATTTAATTCGTTTATACCGGGTGACCAAATAATATATTGTGAATTAAATATGTTTATGGAATATAGAACAAAATTATAACCTACTTGTAACTACTTGCAAATATTAAATCAGATTATAAAAAACAAATAAATTTTAACAAGAACACCTTGATAAATTACGCGCGTTATCGCTATTGTTAAATAATTTTTTTTAAACAATTTTATCATCGAAATTAAAATGTAGCCGTAATAATTTCATACATTCGCTATATACATAACAAACAATTTAGAAAAAGAGTTCAACGATCGGAGAATCGCAATTTACGATAATTTATTTATTTTTTTCGATTAATTAACACATAAATAATTCGCACATTTCGATTATTAACTCGAATTTATGCGATTGTTATTAAAGTTTACAAGTAATTACAAATGTCTATTATAATAGAGAAACCCGAAGTACTTAACGTGAAATTAGAATATACAGTTAAATTGTGCATAAAATATAAAGTGCATATTATTGGCAATTGCTCAGAAAAACCATAAAGAAAAACCAACCGCAAACGAATTTTCATAGAACATAATCTCTGCTCGTAAAAAAATATCGATTCATATTGTTGTAACAGCCACAACATAATTACTAAACATATTTTATTGCCTGCAGATTATTCTAACAGGAAAAATTAAATAAGCTAGACTGGGGCAAATCGGTTGTAAAATTTGAATAGTTCAAATTAAATCCTAAAATGTGGCTTTATTTTTTCTCTTATTAGAAATGCTGATAACACATTAAATTCACAACTTAATAAACTAAAGAATTGAGGTGTTAAAAAGATTTTTTTGAAAAAAGGAAGAAAACGATTTTACATATTTTTTAAAATGTTGACAATATGTTACCCCATTACATTTACCCCCGTTCTAAAGTGCAATACAATTATATAGAAAAAAATATATGGGGCAATTGTAAATACATATTTGGTTACTTTAAAATTTGATATGCTGTTTAATTATTTATTTCAAAAAATAACAGAGCTACAAAATAATAAAGAAAAAATAAGAAACAAACCCTGTATAATGCACAAAAGAACTATAAAAATAATAAAAAAACATTAACATAATAGGTACAAATATTACATTTACCCCATTTTTACATTTTCTATAAGAAAGTTTGGGTATATAAGAAAGTTCTATAAGAAATCATTCTAAACATCACATCTTAAGGGTTGAATCGAGTTAATTAATAACCTATCTATGTATTTAATTCGAGAATAATTATCTTTTAGCGAGTCGTTGACCTGTTAATATTCGCAATATCAATTTTTCTTAGATAGAATAAAAGACAAGTACCTGATTAGGCAATTTAAATATTTCAATTTGCGCATTTAATATCGATGAATGAATTAAAATAAATACATTATACAAGTGGAGCCAGACATCGAACGTAAATCGAACGATTCCGATAAGTCTTATCGGGATTAAACAGCCTGATGTATATTTATAGAAATTTATTATTTTTCACTGCGAAATGGATTTTGTAAAAACCAAGTTTAAAGTTTTCCATTAACTTAGAAACATCGTGGCGACCCCCCTGGTGGTTTTCATCCTATTAAAGTTTATTAGTTAATTTGGAAAACATAATAAAATTGTTTTAATTGTTTTCAATATTTTTTGTATGCATTATAACACTTGCTATTAATCAACTCGATTCAACCCTTAAGAATGATTTCTTATAGAACTTTTTCGATTAAATCTTCAGCAATTCAAATTTCTTCGAATTATCTACACTTATATTACAGATAAATCCGTCTGTTATTGATTTACAATCGCTAATCACCAATCAAATAAGTGTTTTGGGGGCGACCTCAAGCGTTATACAATCGATTCAATGTCAAGGAAGTCCGATTAATATTCGATCGTAACAACAAAAAAAAAAAAAAACCTTATCAGAAAATTCGCAATTCGAAATTCAAATTTAAAGCGAATCGTCCTTGTAGGTGCTCGACTCGTCCACAACGTTATCATTCCCCGTCTGCGTGAAATCGACTTCAAACTTGTTTTCTCGTTTCGATAGTTCAAAAATAAACCGAGCTAAATGTCGCGTAAATGCGCCTGAATCTCCATTATACAGCTACATTTGCTCTGATGGGGAAATGTTCAGATGGAAATTTATTCTGCATACGCTAAATAGATCATCTAGAATTTTTGTATGTAGCTCGGGAAAATGAATTAAATAAATTAACTACATAAATTAATAATTCCCGTGAATCTCCATTCTCCGATCCCGAAACAGCTACATTTGCTCTAGGGAAATGTTTAGATGGAATAACTACATACATAAATAATCCCCAGAATTCCCCCGATTAGTTAAAGTTACTAATTAATTACCTTATCATTCGAATTTGGTTAATTTTGCTTGGAGTTCCCATGCATTCGATAATTACATTAGCAATTTCAACGAGTAATTAATCACGAACGATCATTCGAATGTAAATTTTTCTCCAGCACTAACAATGGTACTTTCGTCGAGCAAAATAACGACTTATTCAAAACGAATCTTAAATTTTATAATATTTATATTCGACTTTCTAAATGCCTAACATAGGCTAATAGAAATGACCTTTTCGTCAATTACAACGAATTTTTCGGTGAGTATTTTTCGATAATTTCCGAACGATTAATTTACTAGATTGTATAACGAGCTTCTTCGAGTAAAGCCTATCAATTTTCTGTAGTTTGAATTGGAGAGGTAACGCGAAACCTGCTGGGATATCAATTACTCTTTAGCACTCGAAAGAGTGGAGAAATTCAATCGACTAGTTTATAAAAATGCCCTCGCTTATGCCTCGTGTTGTACACTCGCTTCTCCTGCACGATAATCGTGGAAGATGTTGATGGAAATAGCACATTATCGAGTGTAAATAGAAAGGTTCAATTAAAACAATTTCGATAAATACAGTTGAGTTATGATAGCGAGTTGCATTGATAATTGATTCTTTTATATTGCGTTTTGATTGGATCTTTTTTTTTTTAATTGATAATTATTCCGGTGTGGATGTGAATTTATTATTTCAAATTCCCTGCAAAAATCTATAATAAATTTCTATTTAGCGGTTGATTTTTTTTTAAATGATATTTACCAAACACCATTCAATTGTAGTTTGTAGTGCAAGTATAATAAAACCAAAAATGGATTTACTAATAAAAGAAATTTACTAATAATTATGCAAATATTGACTACTGATAAATATCTGATTTATGTAAATATTTTATCAACCATTATGTTTGCTATTGATTGGGTTTCGTAAATTGCGACATTAAAAATCAAAATAAAAAAAACAGAAGTAATAAAAAGTATTTTATGAAATATTCCTCGTTATTTAACGAATTAATATTTGAATGAAGTCAACAAAGTTAAATTATATAACCCGATTTGAATTTGTTAAATAATTTAAGTAACTTGTTATTCGCCGAGTCTATTTTAATTTTTTATAACCGGATTTTTTAGTAATAACCTTGCCAGTTATTTTCCAGACTTCACAACGCGACACTGACCTAAATTAATCATTAATCTATTTAGGAGATCGATGAGATATTGCACTTTATATGCTATTAAATTATCATAGAGTAATTTTAATAACATCAAGTTTAAAGATTTATTATTCCTAAAATTCGTTTCCTAGTTCGTTTATTATACCTAATCTGGAATAAAATTACTTTTTTAATATTAATAAGGTATATACTGAATGTTTTTTAATCGAATTATGGAAATTAGCGGAATTTCTAAACCAGTTTATTCACGTTTTAACCGAATGATTATAAAATCTACAACTTCTACATGCATTTCGAATCGTTTTAATTACCTTTAATAGCGACATTTTCCAATTCCACGGCGATTTCAATTCATTCAATGGATTTTAAAACGCTTAAGATAGGGTTAATTAAACCGGTTACTGAATTAACTGTCCCTCGTAAATTTCGCTTCAAACATAAAACTACTAAAAATAATGTTTGATTGATCATAATTCAAAATATCGAAATTTTTCGCTTCTATTTCTGTGCAAAAACGTTTCTGTTTTCTGTTCTGCGTCAAGAAGATTAGGATGAACATTTTTATTGAATAGTTTTATTGGTCTACTTTCATATTCCACGTAGAAGGAAGTTTATGTTGTAAATTATAAAATTAATTTCGCTTCATAGAAGTCCGATCGAAAGCAAATTAATCCGATAATTTATGGCGATTAATTTGGATTTTTTTGATTTCGAAAAATCACTCGGACAACAATTTACAGTCGCTCGATAAACTCTTATTTTACATAAATATTGTGTTATCAGCGTGATGTGTGCATGCGATTTAATTGCTTCAATTAGAAATGTCAAACAATCGATCTCTTTTAGTTACAAATTAAGGTAGATTGGGGTAAATCGGTTGTAAAATTTGTATAGTTCAAATTAAATCCTAAAATGTGGCTTTATTTTTTCTCTTATTAGAAATGCTGATAACACATTAAATTCACAACTTAATAAACTAAAGAATCGAGGTGTTAAAAAGATTTTTTGAAAAAAGAAGAAAAGGATTTTACATATTTTTTTAAAATGTTGACAATATGTTACATTTACCCCATTACATTTACCCCCGTTCTAAAGTGCAATACAATTATATAGAAAAACATATATGGGGCAATTGTAAATACTTATTTGGTTCCTCTAAAATTTGATATGCTGTTTAATTATTTATTTCAATAAATAACAGAGCTACAAAATAATAAAGAAAAAATAAGAAATAAACCCTCTCTAATGCACTATAAAAATAATAAAAACATTAACATAATAGGTAAAAATATTACATTTACCCCAGTCTACATTATGTAAAAATGCAGGTGTATTACACTCGATAAAAATTATTTCGTAGTTCAAAATGGTTCATTAAATTGTCGAAACGAGTTTGATTCGATACCGATAAAAACTCTTGTATTTTTGTACGAAATTAGTGGGATATTTGGGTAAAATTGTCTTCGATTCATGCGAATAGTTTCTCAGGTTAAACCAGACATGACCTGCACAACAACCTTGCCAGGAATGCTTGAGGTAGGTCAACCTTTTACACTCCAAAAAAAATAAATTACAATACAAAATTTGACCTACCTTGTAATTTACCAGGAATCTGTAAAAATCCGTTCGGTTTTCTCCTCAAAAAATCGCCGGCACTACACGAATAGAAAATCCAGTAAACCTCATCGAAACCCTAAACGTTTTTCATAATAATTTTAAAGTTGATAAAAAAACAGAAACAAAAAAGAATTGGAAATCAAGATGCCTCGTTCATAATTTTTTCGAAAAAAAAAAACCCACTACTACCACCCAATTAACTTAAAGACAGACTGAGAAATCGACTGGCGTCCGATCGCGCTCCGCCAGCGATAAAAGCCCCACTCTAGCCAGCACGTGGTACTTCTATTCTCGTTTTTATCGCCGTTAAGGATCCCACACACCAACGCGAAACTTTCGCTGCCGCTGCGATTTCGCAGCGATTTCGCAGCGATTTCGCAGCGGAACCTTAGACACGGCGACTTATGAACATTATTCAACTTCTTCTCTAGACGAACTCATTGAATAAATAATTGTATGAATTGCAAATGTATAATTAATTACACACATGCTCCAATTTGTCACTAAAAATCGCTAACTAACAATCGGAGAATTTCGCAGCAGTGGCGGTTTCGCAACGCCGGCGGAATTTTCGCCGCGAAAGTTTCGCTTTAGTGTGTGGGATCCTTTAAGCTGTACCCGGTCTACTCGATTGTGCTCCGAACGGATCGAAATTCGAAATTATCACGAAGTCTGCACGATGACATCGTTATTTACCTTTTATTCTATCGATTTGGTGCTATCGGAAGGTCCAAAAAGATGTGAAAATGGGCACCTTGTGCTCCAGATTCACTATAGGACAACTACTTTTAAAAAAATGTATTTAAATGCGGCTTAAATAAAATTTATTCTAGTAGTTAACTAAGTATTTAACTAGGTAAGGTAGACTGGGGCAAATGTAAAAATGGGGTAAATGTAATATTTTTACTAATTATGTTAATGTTTTTATTATTTTTATAGTTTTTTTTGTGCATTAGACAGGGTTTATTTCTTATTTTTTCTTATAAAGGCTTATAGAAGTAGAGCTTATAAAAGTAGTTAGTTGGTTATTTAAATACATTAAAAGTAGTTGAACTACATTTTTAACTACTTAACAACACTGTAATAGAGCTTCGTCTAATTTATTATGAGCGAGCTCTAATTATTACATCATATTCTTTTGTATGGGTTGATTATATTTGTATAAAATTCTGTATAAATTAAAATAATCTGTTGTTATTAAAAATAAATGAATATTACTTACCTACCTGAACAGCCTGCTTTAGTAATTAACACATTTTTGAAAAAAATACACCGGTAATTTGGTTTCATTTCTCATTTAATTTTGAGCACTATAAAGAACAACTTTTACTCATTATTCAAAAAATAGGCGTAATTGTATAAACAAAATAAAGTGCTTATTATGACTAAATGAACTTAATCAAATATGATTTAACGTTATTTAAAAAGATTTTTATAAAACAAACATTGTGTCAAATCAAAATATTTAAATTGCATTATTTAAATAGTACCATAATAAATATCCTTTTATCCACCCGATTTTTTTTTTGTTAACCTCGCCGAAGGAGCAAACATTAATGTCCGAAATTATTACTAAATGTTGTAAATACAAATTAATCTGTATCAGTCGAAAGTACCATGTATTTACTCAATTTTCATAATTAGTTGCTTCATTGCGATTAAAACCGAATTTATTTAAAATATAAAATATCGCCAACAAATATTTGGGTATAGATTTCGAAGCGCCACGTGTTTGAAAAAAAACTAACTAGAAGTTTAGGTGATGATAAAATAACCTAAGGATCATTAGAAGTGATTTTAATGAACCCTAATAATTAGTCGAATGCGCTTCGTTAATTAATTTGATTCGTTTTAATCTAATTAGGAAGATACTGAAGCGTAATAAACAGATAATATTTTGTAGAAATTAGTATATTTTTGTGCAAGAGTTTTTTATAATATTTAATTGAATTCCACCCCATTTGTTATCGATAAAAGCCGGGTTTATCGAAATTTTACAGGTCTATTTATAAAATTCCTCCGAAATCGGTGTTTTTGTTTTGAATAATTCCCCGCTTAATTGTGAATTTTTAATCGAAACATTCTAAAGGTTATCCATTCGCGACACCTAAATTTGATTGTTTTCCAATGTTCAATGTTTACCCATTAATTAGGTAACGGGCTTTTTGTTAATCCATTTCGGGTTAACTTTCGGGTTCACTTCGATTGTTTGTAGAGAAAATTTTACAACAGTCATTTTCGTTTGGGAATCTTTTTTGCTCTCGTTTATCCGAGATTACTTCTCTCCGATTTAATACACAAAATACAAACATGGAGCAAAAAAAAGTAGTCAATTCTCATTGACATAAATTAACATTAAAGCTAATCTCCACGAAGAGATAATTTAAATGTCTCAAACATCCCAACCGGTTTTTTTTTAAACGCAGAATACATTAATATTTTAATGCCATCGACAGGAGTTTCAGCTCGTAAACTCGATTTTTTTTTGGTAGAGAAATTGTTGCTCTCTCGAAACGAAAACACCATTCAACAGAAGAAAGATTTTTACCAACGACAAGTATTTATTATTTCAATTCGAGTACTCTCGAGGCTTCTCAAATCTTCTATTAATAAATTTACTGTCGATTTTTTTTGAGTTTGCACAAGGCGAATGTACCGGTGTCAACACAATTATAATCATTTTTGCATTTCGTGTAAATAATTATCACTTTATCGCTACATTCACTTGGTTTAAAATCCATTGCAGATGCTAAAATGTTTATTTAAGCTACACAGCAACTAAATGGTGGTACTGGTACTCGATTATATCCTATAGGATGGGCTTTTTATTTAATGTTTGCTCAACAAGAAGAGATTCTATATTGCAAATATTATTTTACTCAATTAGTCATTCACTAGAACCGTTTCGAGTAACTGTTGTTTTTAATTTTCCCCTGCTATTTTAATTAAGTATCTACACACTCGATTTGTTAGTTAAATGTTGTTAGAAAACTTTTTAGTGTCCTGTGTAGTTTTTTAATTTGTTTCGCGATTTCTACTCCTAATTTACCGATTAAACTGCTTCATAAAAGTTAGGAAAGTTTGCAAAATTTGCGATTATTTTGTGAGATTCGAAGAATGTTGTTGTGGAGTTGGAATTTTGGATGATTTTTTTTGCATTTAGATAACTAGGATTTAAATAAATAGGATCGAAAAGGATGTAAGAAGATAAATTGCTCCACAAAAGTTAAGGAAGTTTGCAAATTTAGCGATTATTTTAAAAGTTACAGAATTTTTGATCGCCAAATTTTCAAATATGCGAAATTAAATGTTTTCTCTCATATCTAAGAAGAATTTTTGCTCCTACCTCTACAACTCATACTAAATTTGGCGATGAAAAAACCTGCAACTTTTAAATTAATCTCAATAATTGTAAACTTTCGTGAAGCAGTATATTTCGAGTGTAATCTTCAGGGTATCACCTCAATCATTGTAGTTTAGTTTAAAATATTTAGAGTTTTGATATCCCGAGATATTTCGAATGGATTTATTCCTGTCACTTTCTCGCAATAATCCCATTTGAATGCACAGTTAACTGACTGACTGTTATTGATTACATCTAGCGAAATATCGCTTTAGACTTCAAGACAAATCGACTAATCTCTCACCAGCTACAGGGCGTTGAAGCTAAACTGATGGAGTTTATCTGGGGAAAAAATGTTGTTTGGGACACTCAAATACTACTCAAATAGTGATCTACTAAATACCTGTAGGTGATCAATTAAATTACAACCAGTTTAACCAACACAAATGAGTTGTTAGAATGCAACAAATCGATTAACAAACTCCAATTAAATTTAGATAATAGTTTAAAGCGGGGTTTAGATGAATAAAAAAGAACCATTTCCACCAGGTAGTACTGGTAATAGCTTTATTAAACGAGTTGTTAGAATGCAACAAACTAAAATCAATCGATTATATAGTTTAAAGCGGGATTTAGATGAATAAAAAAGAACCATCATATTTCCATCAGGTAGTACCGGTAAATAGCTTTATTGACAGTTAAATAATTCAGTTCTGTAATCTCGAAATATATATTGCGGGGAATTGCCAGTAGGTTAGGTACACACCTTTCGTTCGGTGTATCGTTAACGCCCACGTATCTAGAGACACAACGAGATTTTTATTAAGTTTACGGGGGTACCGAGGAACTGATTTACGAGATCAAGTACCTATCTCGATATGAATGCGGTCTGCGGATTGCAACTGCACACCTACTTGTGCATGCACATGCATACATTCAAACCGACGGTTGGGTATTTGTACTTGTACAATGTGATTTTCGAATCGGTTCATTCCACGGTACTGGAATCTCCCTATATGTTTATGCATTAGAGAGTGGGTCCCGAAATGACAGTTCGAGCTGTCAAAACTTCAAAAATTATTCATTTGACGTTTCGAGGAGAAAATTGAGGAGAATATTAACCGAAGATGCGTGAGGAATGATGTTAACAACAAAATCATCGCTGATTTAGGTATATTTTTATATTTTCTAACTATTTTTAGTTTGAATAAAACGTATAAATCGCGGTTGTTGTGAAATGACAGTTCGAGCTGTCAAAACTTCAAAAATTATTAATTTGACGTTTCGAGGAGAAAATTGAGGAGAATATTAACCGAAGATGCGTGAGGAATGATGTTAACAACCAAATCATCGCTGATTTAGGTATATTTTTATATTTTCTAACTATTTTTAGTTTGAATAAAACGTATAAATCGCGGTTGTTGTGAAATGACAGTTCGAGCTGTCAAAACTTCAAAAATTATTAATTTGACGTTTCGAGGAGAAAATTGAGGAGAATATTAACCGAAGATGCGTGAGGAATGATGTTAACAACAAAATCATCGCTCATTTAGGTATATTTTTATATTTTCTAACTATTTTTAGTTTGAATAAAACGTATAAATCGCGGTTGTTGTGAAATGACAGTTCGAGCTGTCAAAACTTCAAAAATTATTTTTTGACGTTTCGAGGAGAAAATAGAGAAGAATATTAACCGAAGATACGGGAGGAATGATGTTAACAACAAAATCATCGCTGATTTAGGTATATTTTTATATTTTCTATCTATTTTTAGTTTGAATAAAACGTATAAATCGCGGTTGTTGTGAAATGACAGTTTGAGCTGTCAAAACTTGAACAATTATTTTTTGACGTTTCGAAGAGAAAATTGAGAAGAATATTAACCGAAGATACTTGAGGAATGATGTTAACAACAAAATCATCGCTGATTTAGGTATATTTTTATATTTTCTATCTATTTTTAGTTTGAATAAAACGTATAAATCGCGGTTGTTGTGAAATGACAGTTTGAGCTGTCAAAACTTGAACAATTATTTTTTGACGTTTCGAAGAGAAAATTGAGAAGAATATTAACCGAAGATACTTGAGGAATGATGTTAACAACAAAATCATCGCTGATTTAAGTATATTTTTACATTTTCTATCTATTTTTAGTTTGAATATAACCTTTCTTAATGCTAATTCTATATAATTCGTAGGTAAAAAAACCGTGGTCCTTTACAACATCGCCTCCTAGCGACCATTTTAGAAATCCTATTTTATCCTCAATGATGGTCATAACAGAGCTTTCTTATGCACAATTAAAAACCACATCGACAGTATTCGTGCTTGAAACGGATAGTTAACGAGTTGCGCGATATAATTCAGCGCTTTCAGGTTCAAATTGATCGTTAATCAGGATTATCTCGGAGGTATAATAGATTATCGCGAGCTACGCACACACTCGCATATATTACATCGGTTTTATCGCTGCGAGGGATTCGCCATTTCAGCTCGAAAATCGCATAATAAACAGGTGGTTTCGATTCGGAAGAATCCCGCGAAAAATTGGTAGAATAGAAACCGTTGCTCAGAGTGATAAATGGACTTATCGGCGTAGAACGTTACATTGATATATGCCTTTTGAATGTATTGAATGTAGGATGTATTGGAATTTCGAATCGGCGAATTAAATGTAATTTTTTTGGTCTCTAAATAAGGAGTAGAGAATTTTAAAATGTTGAGAGTTTATGCACACAAAAGGCGCGATTTTATTCAAATATAAATTGCTCTATAAAAGTTGAGGAAGTTTGCAAAATTTGCGATTATTTTGTGCGATTCGAAGAATGTTGTTGTGGAGTTGGATTTTTTGATGATTTTTTTTGCATTTAGATAACTAGGATTTGAATAAATAGGATCGAAAAGGATAAAAGAAGATAAATTGCTCTACAAAAGTTAAGGAAGTTTGCAAATTTAGCGATTATTTTAAAAGTTACACACTTTTTGATCACCAAATTTTCAAATATTCGAAATTAAATATTTTCTCTCATATCTAAGAAGAATTTTTGCTCTTACCTCTACAATTCATACTAAATTTGGCGATCAAAACACCTGCAACATTTAAATTAATCTCAATATTTGTGAACTTCCAACTTTTATGCAGCAGTATATTTTATTAAATACTGATTCATTATTACAGGATTTTGGATTTTGGCTAGGATCCAAAATATTTCGATGAAATGTACATTCCCCAAAAAAAACCATATGGATCCTGCGTCAATTACCAGTGACTGTTCTTCCGAAAATAGATCATCAGGATACAAATTCATTGCGAATTTTAATTTCGGTATTTAAATTTTCGCCAGGCAATAAAATAGAAATGCGCCAGTTAAATCGAACATTTAGTTGACCTATAGCGCAAACGGCATTTTAATTTCGAAAAAAATGGCATTCCTGAGGCTTCATTTACATCTAAATCGCTGTTACATAGTATATTTAAATAATAGGTTATTAAAATTATGCGAACATGGGTGGTCGATCTGGCATTCCTTTGGGCGAGCCGACATTTAATTCGCCAAAAAAAAATAACTTCCAAAGCGTTTTTATAAAACTTAGGAAATTTGCGAGTACCCGCGTTGTTGCCAGATCTCCATTTCGCAACGAAACCTTGCTATATTTTGATATGTGAATGGGTTATTATAGTTACAAGATTAAAACATATCGCTACCATATTTCCGGTAATAGTTACTATAAATCGTATAAAATCGCTTGCACTTTATTATTGTATGATCGGTGATATTCCACGAATAATTCTTCAATATAATTTAGTACATTCTCTTGTGTAATCGGTTTATCGCTCAATAAAATTATCGAAAGCGTAGACCAAAGTAACATTTCCCGCGAAGATCCAAACAAATTAATCCCCGTGTAATTCGTCATTGCAAGCTGCATAAGTGCATAATTTCTCATGCAGTAATAATAATAATAAAAAAAACACCAGATTGTTTGGTTTAAAAACACGAATATTTAATAATTCACGCTTGATTAGTGAGCATTGTGTGAACTGTCGAGAGTTGTTTTCGCACATTTTATTAATTTATTTTCCTTTCGAGTGCTAGTGTTGTGTTTTCCTTCGATTTCCAATGGCCCAAGAGCTCGAGTAAATTCATTTAAAAACGTGAATTGCTGTATTTACTGTATTGCAAAAAATACTCCTGTATAGTATATACAAGGCGTTGAATTCCTTATACGCTCGTTTTTATGCTAAATCCTTCGCAAAAAAACTAATTAATTATTTATAGGAACTTACCTATAAATCGGTTCTTTAATTAGTTATGCAATTAAAGCGGTTTTTGTAGACTTTGTAGACCCTAAATAAACGAGTGCATCCGCTTCGGATCTGAAAATACCTGATCTATTTCAGTTAAATGTCTGGCGCAATTTAATAATAGAGTCGCTGTTGCGATTATCGCGGCGCAAAAGCGAAGCTCAAAAAGTCCTCAAATAACGGGACACGTTTAATAAATTTAATAATTTTATAAATCAGCTACACGGCTTGTTTTAGAGCATTTTATTTATTAGCTCTGACTGGTTCGTAGGAACAAGGGGCCTTATATAGATGGTAAAAAATTAAAGCGAGTTCAACCGGAATCCAATTCATAAATTCGCCCACAAAATCCTGTTAGTTCTCTACTTATAATGTATTTTAAAACATAGCCTTAACTTGGTTTAATGTAAGAACAAAACTAATCTAATTCAAGTCAAAAATTGTAGCAGGAATTGTTACAAACTGTTGTTAACTTGGGAAGATTAAAGGTAGTGAGTTTTTTTTTCAAAAACAGCAACCTCATCTTTTTGTTAAATTAAAATAATCTGCTAATAAAATTAAGCGTGGAAAAACTGGTAGATAATCCGAGCTTTCGTAATAATGCAAAAAAACTCATCTTTTTTTAACGATACCATGACCTGAGTTAAAAAAAAACAAATTTAACTGCTTGCATATCCGTCGATTAAAATTTTGACATTGAACTTTGTTTAGTTTAATGTGCTGGTAAACAATAACGACACTTTTATTTTTAAAGAGATTGTTGTGATTTATTTCGAACGAAGATTAGATAAAGTTGTTTCTGTCAAGAGTTTTTCTATCTGATGATTTCTAACAGTGGGTTTTCTTTGTTTGTTTTCGACCTACCTGTGCTCACTTATACATTAGATTATCTTCTCGTTATCTCCCAGGCATAAAAAAAAGGTTAATTATAGCCGTTAATGATAGGAAAAATTTCTATATACTAGGTGGATATTTAACTAGTTTGTAAAGAAAGCAATTAACGATTTAAACAACGTAAAAAATAGCGTTGTCTCTTGTATTTGATAAAAAAATGTACGTAATTAAGAGATAATTTTCAAATAAAAAAATATTCAATATCAATACATATTTATTTATTGAAATATTATCGACCACGAGGCGATCACGAGCATCGAAAGATCTCGTTCTATTAATTCATTTTGAATTGTTACTAGTTATTTTTAATTTATTAATCGTGCGTAAGAGCTCTAGGTGGCATTTTCCAATATGTAAAGTTACTGATAATAATTTCTCCTATAAATTATACATTGTTCTTCGATTAGGTGGATTTCTACTAAACAGTTTACCTAGAAAAAATGTTCATCTTATTCCCTATTTTCTCATTAATAGAGAGGAAAATTGTATAGAGTGAGCCTCTGTTTCGAAATAATAAAATTTCCAGCAGGAAGATGGAATGATCGTAATGTAAGACATATACAATGTACATTTATTTCTGTACCCACTGTGAATCAACCGTCTAGAAAACCGAACAACTTATAAGTTTATTAAAAATTCTGTTCATTGGGAATTGAAATGTTTATTCTGCATTCATGCACTATTGAACTCCGAAGAGGTAACTAAACTAACTATTAAACCTGTTTGTTGTGCAAATATCGATTTATTTTGCACGCACAATGGGATATCCTAAGAGATATCTTCGTGTTTGCCGGGTATTAAATAATTTAAGAGAGATAATTTAATATAAATGTTTGAAACTCACTAAAATTTATGCACCTAAAAGATTCCAAATCAAATTAGAAACCAGTACAGAATTCCAGTACAGAAACCAGGCAAAAATTCAATAAAGCATCCCCAAGATAGGTTCTATTTTTTCACTCCCTATTGATAATACATTTATAAAAAATGTTTAGTGAATGAAAGAACCCATTAAATGATTTATTTTTTCAATACAATAATGTGTTCCTATATAGATTTCATTGCCATTACATTACTTACGAAAATAATGCACTTTCCAATTAAAATTTTCCAAATTTCGCCTACTAGTGACATCTACATTCTCTTAGAAGCTACAACTACAGGACTCTACGATATTGTTGACAAATGACTTCTTCTTCTTTTTCTTCATATATTTTCGGCCTCCGCTACCACGGCTATTCGGCCACACATAACTGACAGTAGTGACAGGTGACACTAGTGACAGTGACAGCTCACCATACAAAAATTTCATCAAATATTCCATTTTAGCTCGTAATTCAGGGCGTAATTAGAAATGTCTTACATTACCGGCCCCGACGTCGTCAAATACGCCTGCACTTGCGGCCTCCTGAAACCGATATCCTATTTGTATTTCTGCCGATACTGCACCCAACTCCGGTGCAGCTTCTGCGTCTGCCATGAAGTAAGCACCGCTCTACTAATTCCATCATTTCACTGCCACAAGTATCATTTAGGTCGATTCGAATTTCTGCGGAAAATGTTCGGAGAACATCCCCTCATCGGAGGCCCGATCGAAGAAGAACCGATGCGGAAACTGCTACATATGCCCCAGTTGCGAGCAGGAACTGTCCCCCCGAGTGGCCTCCAGCAAAGCTTCGGCCGAAGGAGACGAGAAGGTCGCCGCTAGGAAAATGTACTATCTCTTCTGCCAGTTCTGCAGGTGGAGCTCGAGGGATGTCGGTATTCCGGACCAATCGAGCGGTAATACATATCACTTTACGAATGTTAATATTTCAAATATAAATTCGATTTATAGTAACGGGAGGATGGCCTGAGAGGGAAAACGTCCACGCGAATAGCTTGCACGAGTTACTAGATTTAGATAAAGCGATCGTATTGGCCCAGAAGCAGCAGCAAGAGAAAGACAAGAAGAAACAACGAGGAAAGTTCATAAGTTACACTGTAAGTATTTACTCGAGGTTAGAACGAGCTGTATAACAATTATTCTAGGATCGAACCGGTGTAACGGCAGCTGCTCTTCGTAAACGAATCGGTTTACCGGCCGATTTGACTCATCCATTGTTGAAATCCAAACCGAAGGAACCCGAACCGATGGTGGCACGAACCGAGGTTGAGAAATTACCCGACGATATTTTCACAAAACCCATAAATTTAATGGAGAGTAAGTAAGAGAATGCCTAACGATCTAAATGATAATTCATAACACTTTTTAGTTACTACAATCAACCAGCGTTTGCTTCAACCCGAAGCCCAGCCTACTACGGTTGATAAATTGTTCCCCGTTCACAAACAATTGTCTATAAAACGTACGTTGAGATGTAGAACGTGCGAACATAACGTTAGCAAACCGGAGTACAATCCTAGCTCGGTCAAGTTTAAAATCCAGCTGTTTGCTTAGTAAGTTTAAACCTAGTTGTAGTTTAATTGGAAATTATAAATGTATGGTTTCGTAGTTATCATGTACCGGAGGTACGTATCGTAACGGTGGAACCATTACGAGCGGGGAAACCTTGCGAATTGATCCTAAAATTCACGAATCCCACCCAACATCAAACGACAATCAGCTTCGAGGAATTGAATTTGGTCGAATGCTCGGAGATAGAGGAGAACAAATTCTCAGAGCTCGTCCAGAATTTGAGCATTCAAGATGTAAGAGTTTCGTCGATTCGTTCATCTATATTAATAATTCATATTTTTAGAAGCAACCATTATCGCTCTCGAACCAATCCAGCGGTTCGTTGAGTCTATCATCGAGGTCCCCTTCGATCGTGGTGAAACCGAGAACAATCACGAAGAGTACTAATTGTACCGTTGAGATACCTACTAGTTCGTTTATTTTATTACCCAGAGACGATGCTGCTGAGTATGATGATTCCGGAGACACTCACAGCATCCAAGATGATCCCAAGTAGATTACTTATAACAATCTCGATTCGTCGATATTTTAAATGTAATTTTTCAGGTTGGTGAAATGGAGGAAATCCAATAAAGCTTTCGTTAGGCTCACCGTAACTCCCGATGAAGGATTACCGTTGAACACTGAGGTGAATTGTGGCTTCGTTATGCAGCATTTATACACAAACACGATCAGCGGGCAATTGGAAAAGAAGGAGCCCCAAAAATACGATCACAAAGTTAAAGTTTTCCTAACACTCGGTGTTACCGTTGGATCTGAATAATAGTATTACATTGCATCGAATTTCGCTTTTTATGTATTAGTATATGCAGTTAATTTATATCCTTATTTTAAATAAATTATGCTACTACAATCGCGCGTTATTTCAAACGGGTAGTTCATAAAAAAAAACCAATCGGTCTGTTCAATCAACATGTATTGCCGGAATGAACGAGTTATATACTTAAATATATAAACAAAAAATACCGGAGTAGATGGATCTACAACCTGCGACCGCGACGACCTCCCTTCCTACGGCAACAATCCGAGGGAATCGGAGTAACATCTTCGATTCTGCCTATTTTCATGTTGGATCGAGCCAGGGCTCTCAAAGCGCTCTGGGCCCCCGGTCCAGGGGTCTTCGTTTTGTTGCCGCCGGTGGCGCGCAATTTGATGTGCAGGGCCGTGATTCCTAGCGTTTTGCACTTCTCTGCTACATCCTAGAATATAACGAACCCATCGAATGGACTGTCTCTAGGGAATTTGTGGTTAATTTTACCTGTGCAGCTAACATAGCGGCGTAGGGAGAGGCCTCGTCCCTGTCGGCTTTGACTTTCATGCCTCCGGTGACTCTCGAGATGGTTTCTCTGCCCGATAAATCGGTGACATGTACGAATGTGTCGTTGAAACTGGCGAAAATGTGGGCAACGCCGAAGACTATCTCGCCTTCGCGTACTTGCGGTCCAAGGGACAGTTGGACCTCCTCTTTGGGCGTTTTTCCTTTCCTCGGGGCCATGTCTCACCTAAAATAGAAATTTCCTTAGATCCGCAATTTTGTCAACATAACCATCAACCGCGTTCGTTTATCCGAAACCATCGGTCACGTATTGGAAATAAACCGGAATATTTCTTAACGACAGCGAAGGCGAGTCGTACCTCGACGAAAATACGCCGATATTTGTTAATTTTATTAAGAAATATTCGAGAAAAACGAAATTAAAAATTACAAATTTTACATACTTTGCTTCTATAAGAAGGTGTTTACTGAAAAGGCATAATATAGGTGGCGCTTTAACTTCTGACTTTTGACATTCTCTGTCAATGTGTCAATGTCAAATGTAATTTTTATTTTATCGAAAATACTTGTAGTTATTGCTGTAATCGTATATTTTATAATAATGCGTTAATAACAATTAGTTTTTATTTAAAATTCTTTATTGTAAGACGTTTCTATTTAAAAAAATTGGATAAAAATTGCAGTGTTGCCAGAGTTCCAATGACGTCTAGCAAGTAACAGTGTTTCTCGATTAATACATCGACGAAAATACGCCGTTATTTGTTAATTTTATCAATAAATATTCGAGAAAAACGAAATTAAAAATTATAAATTTTACGTACTTTGCTTCTATAAGAAGGTTTCACTGAAAAGGATAATACAGGTCGCGCTTTATCTTTTGACTTTTGACATTCCCTGTCAATGTCAAATATAATTTCTATTTTATCGAAAATACTTGTAGTTACTGCTGTAATCGTGTATTTTTTTTAATAATGCGGTAACAACAATTAGTTTTTATTTCAAATTCTTTATTGTAAGACGTTTGTATTAAAAAAAAATGGATAAAAATTACAGTGTTGCCAGAGTTCCAATGACATCTAGCGAGTAAAATAAGAATTACAGTGTTGCCAGCGTTCCAATGACGTCTAGCGAGTAAACCACGAAACAGCGTTTCGCTGTAAAGCCGACAAGATGTCGCCACCGTCGCCAATTCTGCCCAATTGTCAAACGACGAGCAGCGCAGAGGAGGAAAGACGTAAAGAAAAGAAAGCGACAGTCAGAGTTAGACAGCGGTTGAGCAATGAGGGCTAGCGCGGTCGCCAACGCCAGTGGTCGGACGGGCAGCGAATCGCTCTGAACCGAACAGACAGTCGCCATATTTGTTGTTATCGCTCAATGGGGAACTCGCCAGTCTCGAATCGACCCCATCGACGATAGACTCGCCGCAACGAAGCGCATGAAACCGGAGCTCGCCCCAGCGAAGGGCACGTCCCAGTGAGCCTTTTCGCGCACGACGGCCCCGCGAGAGGGGCCCTTTGTTCGGTAAAACTGGCGGCCGCCGGGGGTGGTCTGGCCGGCGGCGGCGTCGACGACGGCCCGCCGGCGATGTTCGAATGGGGCGACCGCGAAGGCGATCGCTTCAGCTTCGAGGACTCGGACCGGTTCGAGGAGGACTCTTTGTGCAGCTGGAGCTCCGAGCCGGAGAGCGTCTACAACAATTGGAGAGGTTGGAAGAAACCAACGGCTGGGTCTGGTGCTTATTTCGGCGGCGGAAGAAAATCCAACGACGGTGAGTGATGTTCTCTTTGTCTTGATTCATTCGTAGTTTCATCTTTTGTCTCTTTTAAAAAACAAAAAGAATAAGAAATCGAGCAACTAGTTTTTTATTCTTTTTTGTTTGTTTGGTTCTTTCTTTCCACGATATAAACGACTCGATGGGTACTGTTGGAAAAACTTTCATTTTACTAAATCTATCACACTATCTAATAGAATTATGATTAAAAAATAATCAAACCGAATAAAATGGGGTCTTTCGTATATAAAGTAAAAGTTTGGATATTTAACGCTTTATAACTGGCTCGGGTTAAGTAATTGGAAAGTTTTTGTCGATTATTAACGTTAATTTTCGAGTTTTTATTTTCTTCTATACTCGAATGCATCTCGTGTATTATCATTCGCTTGAAACATAACCGATGGTGGCGTACTAAATGGGGTCAATGACACCCATTGTTTGTTTATTATTTTTATCGTGCGAGATGCATTCGAAACGTCGAGGTGTTTTTTATTTTTTTCTCGTTTCGAAAATGCGATGATTTCTATCGAAAATTTGCAAAATAAATTGCGATAATTTCGGATCGTACACATGAGTTGGACAAAGAAAGATTGTTAAAATGACAGCTGTCAGAGTGAAAAGTTTCAATGACACAAATGTCACTTTTTCGTTTTTTCTTTACAAGTGTCTAATTGAAGTTGTTTTTGTTGCACACATAGTCTATGTTGCAATGAAAAATACAGCAATTTGTATACAAATTGCTCCATTTTTGATTTAGGTTATATAAGTGCGATAAGACACTTACAAAGGAAAAGGAAAGAGTGACTGATTTGTGTGATTGCAACTTTTCACTTTGACAGCTGTCATTTTAATAATCTTTCTTTGTTCCACTCATAGAAATGACCGTGTTGCAAACGGAAATGGAGCACAGTGTATAATGTAGGTGTATTCCTATTAGAATCAACATACAGGTGTTATACTTGTTTTTTATAGCGATTCCTTGGAATCGGACAGGATGCATTTTACCTGTAAAGATCAATATATACAATTCATCAAGTTTTCTTTGCATTATTTACCATTCATATACGTGTAAGTTCAAAATTGTTTACAATGAGTTGAACAAAGATAGAGCCAAATAACAGCGGGTTAGAGTGAGAAAATTACAATCCCACATCTTTTATATGGAGACCAAAGTCTTCTTTGTTACTCTCATATTGGGTATAAATTTGCTTTCATTCTCGATTTACAAATTATGATAAATTCACACCCTTTTTACCTCAAAAATTTCTGTAAACTCGAATCAAAAAATCTACTTTTGTTTTCGAAAATTCAGCAATTGAAAGAGAATTTGATTATTCATTATTCCAATAATTTCTTTTTTCTTCTCCAAACAAACGTTAATAATTTAACAAACAACACCTTGTAAAATCGGCTTTTCCTTTGAAAATATCTTCGACTATTTGATTTAAACGTTTTCAACAAAAAAAAAAATCACCACCTGACTTTTACCCGAAAGCGATTCTCAAAAGAAGGATTATTTCAGAAAACAATTACACCCCGATATCGACAGTTATTTAATCACATTCGCCATATCAAAGCGATAATTTCGCGCAATTAACGCCCTATCTATTTTAGCTCGAAAGGGATCGAACGGAACCGGGCGATTGTTCGATGATTAATTTTACGCAACATCCGCTCGAGACACAAATCGTGTCATCGTCGCTTTTAAAATTCGTTATGATGAATTGTAATTGTATACGCAATTAAAATTCGACACTTTCCATGTTAATGATTCATTAAAACATATCGGATGGATTCAGATGAACATATACACCTTGTAACATTGGGCATTTCTATGAGTGGAACAAAGAAAGACTATTAAAATGACAGGTGTCAGAGTGAAAAGTTGCAATGACACAAATGTCACTCTTTCTTTTTCGTTTGTTGTCTTTATCGCACCCATATAACCAATATTGCAATCAAAAATGGAGCAACCTGTATATAAACGATATAATCTCGGATTATATTGTAATGCATCGCGTAACGCGAATCATCCACTAATTAGCAGATGCTCGGTTAATGTTCTTGTAAAGAGAGTTTTTAGCTCCGTTTCATTACGGACGTTTTTTTTTTCTTCTTTTTCTTCTTTGTTAATTGTATTTAGTGACCACCCTACGTATACAACTTACAGACGTAATTAAATAAAATTATTTATCGTTTCTTAACACGTTAATCCAGCGCTATTTGGTTACAGTCGATAAATTCGCAGCATTTCTCCTTTTTCTTTTTTTCTCTCTCTTTTTGTATCGTTACGTTGGTACGAAAAAAAAAATTACATCATATAGGATGTGCGTGATGCCGGGCCCTTATTGCACCACAAGAAAACCAGTTGCTAAATTATATTTGAAAGCCCACCGCTCACCGAGCAACTGTTTTGAAACAAAAAATTGCAAACCAGTTGATCACGCAACTGATTTGCAACTCAAATGCAACTGATTTGCAACTCAAATGCAACTGATTTGCAACTAAAATGCAACTGATTTGCAACTCAAATGCAACTGATTTGCAACCCAAATGCAACTATTTTGCAACTCAAATGCAACTGTTTTTTTATTAAAATTTAATAATTTTTTATTAAAATTGGTAGTATAATAAACTACCATTGAATTAACATTTTATGGAAAACTTGATGTTTTTATATTTTGGTTTATTTTAAGTATACGAATCGAAATTATATATCGAAAATTTTACAAAACAAATTTAAAAATCGTTTCTTTCGAATTGTGATGTAAAGAATAGTGTTGTAAATATTTTATAAAATCAACAAAAATATTATTACATGAAGCTGTTTGTTAAAGTTACGTAGGTATTAATAACAAATAATATATTAAAACAAAACACATTATATTGACCCAATTCAATTCTATACATATTTAAATAAAAAAATAATCGATAAATCTAAAGGATTTATTAATATGCATTCGCTAAATAATATAGAATGCGCTTAGCACTTTCGACCATTCGAATTTCCAGGTAAAAAAACCATATTAAAATTCGATACAAATCCATTTGCAATTACCATTCGTCCTTATGAAACAGTATACGTGTAGAAAACAAGTATAGATACGAATTAAAAATTCAACTACCGCTGAATAATTCACCCTTCGTGAAATTACAAGCTAATAAACTACAATTTTTTTACTTTAGTATAACGTCAATAGTAAGGAAACATCTAAATACAATAATTACCGACTAATGAGAAAAAAAATTCGACTGAAATAGTAAAATTTGCTCTATACTTTATGAACCTACTATTTAATCTCATATAGAATCATTGGATTCGATGATCATTGGTTTACTCTTGTATTTAAAGCTTGTTTCAATAAGACCGGCAAGATTTGTATTACCTGTCATGTTTGACAGTCCTAATAACACGCGATTATAACATGACAGATCGAAAGTTGACAGTTGGGAGTTAGTAAACAATGGAGCATTGGATCTGGATATGGAACAAAATCGACCAATCCCAGTAAGAATTCAAATCCACGAGAATATACCAATTTGATATTACTTGAAAGATTCTATGTCATTTTTACTTTCAAGGTTAACAAAAGTTGATAAGCTGTAACTGTTGATCAAAGATTTGATCAATATTGCCGATTTAAAGCTATAAAAGAACGATGAACTTGGTTAATCGATTGTAAGAATTGCGCAAATTATGCATTCCACAACACCAGTCCATTGCACCCTCACCAACAAACCCATTACAATTACAAGATAACCATATTTAAAACCATCAACTATTGGGGTAAAATCGGCTAATATCCTTCTTGAAATATAATAAAGACACTTAAATAACTTTGAACCTTTTACTCATAACGGAAAAATATAAAATTCTACCTAACTGCTCTTAACCCTACTTGAACGCAAGTCGCCGGTATTCTTCTCTCCGTTACCAACTTCACATTGGTTCACTAATGTCATAAATTATCGCGGCAAATTTAAGACTAAATAAGAATTTACAACACTATTTACATTTCGCAGACGCCCAAACCGTCCCGTCGCTCACCGAACTCTCAGCGAAATGCGTCGCCTCCCACATCCCCTTCGAACTGGTCGAACACTTCTACCCGCCGGTGCCCGAACAACTCCAACTGCGCATCGCCTTTTGGAGCTTCCCCGACAACGAAGAGGACATCCGCTTGTACTCGTGCCTCGCCAACGGTTCGGCCGAGGAGTTCTCCAAAGGCGAGAACCTCCATCGCACCCGAATGGTCAAAGACCCGCTCCAAATCGGCTTCCATCTCTCAGCCAGCGTGCAACAGACACCTAGAGGCACCCACAACGTTGCTGTAACCTTCGATCGCAGGAAGATCTCCTCCTGCAACTGCACTTGTAATTCTACAGCGTATTGGTGCTCCCATATCGTGGCTGTATGTCTCACGCGCATCCACTGGCCTCATTTGGTCACCCTCAGAGCGCCTGTATCGGAATCTCTATCGCGTTTGCAACGCGACCAGCTGCAGAAATTCGCTCAATATCTCATCAGCGAGCTGCCGCAGCAGATTCTACCCACCGCTCAAAGGTTGCTCGATGAATTGCTGGGTTCCCAGCCGTCGGCCATCAATTCGGTGTGCGGCGCGCCGGATCCGACGGCCGGCGCGTCGGCCAACGATCAAACCTCGTGGTATTTGGACGAGAAGACGTTGCACGACAACATCAAGAAGATCCTGATCAAGTTTTGCGTGCCGGCGCCGATGGTGTTTAGCGACGTGAATTATTTGAGTACGGTGGCGCCGCCGGCGGCGGCCGAATGGACGTCGTTGTTGCGACCGTTGAGAGGTAGAGAACCGGAGGGTATGTGGAATTTGTTGAGTATCGTGAGGGAGATGTTTAAGCGGAACGATCGCAACGCCATACCGTTGTTGGAGATCATCACCGAGGAGTGCCTGGCCTGCGAGCAGATATTGATTTGGTGGTTTAATACTAAGGTGAGTGTGGGGGTTTGGGGTTTTTTTGTATCTTGTTGTTTGCTGTTTGGAAGAACTGTTTCCGTGTTCGGGTTTCTCTGATTAATCAGGGTGATTCTTCTTTACTCCTGGATCTAAAGAGGTCTTTTGTACTACTCCATATTGTCCTGTCTTGGGCCTTTTTGAAACTAAATATTCCTTGCTCGTTTTTCTCTTCTTAATCAGGGCAATTCTTCTTTATTCCTGGACTTAAAGACCTTTTTTGTACTACTCCATAGTGTCCTGTCTTGGGCCTTTTTGAAACTAAATATTCCCTGCTCATTTTTCTCTTCTTAATCAGGGCGATTCTACTTTATTCCTGGACACAAAGACCTCTTTTGTACTACTCCATATTGTCCTGTCTTGGGCCTTTTTGAAACTAAATATTCCCTGCTCGTTTTTCTCTTCTTAATCAGGGCGATTCTTCTTTATTCCTGGACACAAAGACCTCTTTTGTACTACTCCATATTGTCCTGTCTTGGGCCTTTTTGAAACTAAATATTCCCTGCTCATTTTTCTCTTCTTAATCAGGGCGATTCTACTTTATTCCTGGACTTAAAGACCTTTTTTGTACTACTCAATATTGTCCTGTCTTGGGCCTTTTTGAAACTAAATATTCCCTGCTCATTTTTCTCTTCTTAATCAGGGCGATTCTACTTTATTCCTGGACTCAAAGACCTCTTTTGTACTACTCAATATTGTCCTGTCTTGGGCCTTTTTGAAACTATCTGTTCCCTGCTCGTTTTTCTCTTCTTAATCAGCGCGTTTCTACTTTATTCCTGGACACAAAGACCTTTTTTGTACTACTCCATATTGTCCTGTCTTGGGCCTTTTTGAAACTAAATATTCCCTGCTCGTTTTTCTCTTCTTAATCAGGGCGATTCTTCTTTATTCCTGGACACAAAGACCTCTTTTGTACTACTCCATATTGTCCTGTCTTGGGCCTTTTTGAAACTAAATATTCCCTTCTCATTTTTCTCTTCCTAATCAGGGCGATTCTTCTTTATTCCTGGACTCAAAGAACTCCTTTGTACTTCTCCATATTGTCCTGTAGTGCGCTTTTTGAAACTAAATATTCCCTGCTCGTTTTTCTCTTCTTCCTCGTCCATTTTATTCTCCATTCCTGCACCAAATCACCTCTTTCGTACTTCTTCGAACTCTCTCATCCTTTGCCTTCCGAAACTATCTGTTCCATGCTCGCCGTTTTATCAGATTCTGACGTTACAATCGTGCTTTATTTCTTCTGTTTTTTTTTACGTGTTTTAGGTGGCTCTTCTTAGCGGAAATTCCGGTTACGGCGGCAGCGGCGGTGGAAAACACAACAACGTAAATAGTAATACACACGCCTCGCAACACGCCTGCTCATCATTGTGCGACGAAGTTGTCGTTTTGTGGCGTTTGGCGGCGCTGAATCCCGGTCTGGCTCCGACCGAACGAGACATGCTCCACAATCAGGTACCATTTCCATCCATTTCCATCCATTTCCACCTTGTAATATCGCTAGAATAGCCCGTAGAATAATCGATTTGTTTTCCTCTTCCTCCCGCAGTTCACCACGTGGCACATGAAGATATTGGAGAAGGTGAGCAAGTGCCGTAACACCACCACCGGCGCTCAATCGCACTACGCCAAAAATCTCAGCTCGCTGAAGATGGATCTGGAAGTGTTTACTGGTTTCAAGCCGGCCATCGAAGCGTGCTATTTGGATTGGGACGATTATCCGATGCCGGGGATTACCTATACGCAAGACATCAATCCGATGTACCATTGTCCTTTTACTTGTTTCCGACATGGTGCTGACAGTTCTAGAGGGGAAAGTCAAGTTACTCAGGTATTATACAGATTGCTCTAGTTTTCATTGCGATATAGGTTGTATGGGTGCAACAAAGACAACTTTAAATAGACAATTATAAAGGAAAAAGAAAGAGTGACATTTGTGTCATTGTAAGTTTTCACTCTGACAGCTGTCATTTTAGTAATGTTTCTTTGTTCGACTCATAGAAATGCCTAATGTTGCAATCGCAGTGTATACAACCAAAATAACAACAACCTCTTTACTAATATTATAAAGCTGTAAGGTCCAAATTCGTAGGGTCATTTTCGATTGGGAAAAGTATCGAATCCTATGGAAACGCAGACGCCCGATCGAAATATCGACGTTTCGATTCGATGAGATTTCATCTTCAGCGTCAAATGAGCGAAATTGACGCTTTTTTTCGGTTTTTTCGCACTTTTCTCGAATCGAGTTTTCTCGATTCGCTTTAAAATCTCCCAAAAGATTCTCCATCGGTTCTCTCGACTTTCGTATACAGCCGTTTTCCAGGAAAAGAACGTTTTGGGAAAATATCGCGGAAAATAGTTTTCGAGGGTTTTCTAAAAATCGAAATAACTCGTAAACGGTAAGATTTACGAATATTTTTCATACTTGTAAAATAATTGAAAATTCTTTTTTCCATTCCACAAAAGAGACCGGGTGTTTTTCCGATCTGTACTTTTTGAGTTTTTTCGAAAAAACCGTTTTTAAATTGTCTTCAAGTTTGTAACGCCAAAACTCGGAAACTATCATCTTTTAGAAAATTTTGAAAGCGAAAATTTATAGATACAACATTTTTCTATCTACCAAATTTTTTTTCCCATTTTCTTAATTATTATTTATCGAATTACAAAGATTTTTCGAAATCGATGCATATTTTACGACAGCCGTCGAACCGGAAGTGAAAAACTTTCAAATCTACGATGACGTACGATCATTCCCGAACGAAATACAAAATGGATGACTTTTGCGTTTCTATGGAAACGATGACATTTAATTTGATGTACAGGGTGTTTTTTTCATTAAGAAAATCGGAAAAATTGATATACGGGGCGCGTTTTTTATCTTAAATGAAAAATTATTTTAAATTAAATTGAAATATAGTACAGGGCGATTCGTTTTTAACGAAACGTTAATTACATAAACATTATACAGATTGTTAGTTTTAGCGCGGAGCAAAAAATCGAGAGAGACGGTGTAATAGAGCATATACGTATGTCTAAGAAAGAGAGAATATTAGAAGAAGCCACAATTTCGTATTGGCTATCCCGTAGTGAGATTGCTCCGCGTTCGATCTAACACTCTGTATAACCGTCTCGCTGCGCGAGCTCGAATCGAATATGTAACTGTCGAATCTTCTACTAAACTCGAATCATCCACACCCGCAGGTCAACTCGAGCAAAGCCGTACTGAATCCCCTGCACCACCACCACCACCACCACCATCACCACCACCACGCGCACGCGCGCCCTCCCCGCTACGGCTACGTCAACGTCATGAGCATGAACCCCATCGAGTACGCCCCGACGCCCCGTCGCCCCGTCGACGTCGACCGTCCCGACGGCAACCGGTCGAGCGTCAGCAGCGAAGGCTTCTGCGAGGTCGACGACGACGCCAACTCGATGCAGGAGGCGCGCTACAACGATTCCGATTCCCAAGAGGGCGCCGGCAGCGATTCGTCGAGCGACAGCGGCGGACGACGCGACGCCGACGCCAAACCGACCCCCACGCCGCCCGACGGTACTACCTTAAACTACCACCACCCCCCAATTAACTTACTATACTTCATCCATCCGAGCAATGGAGTAACTGAAACGAGTTTAAACGCTGGATCAACGATTGATAATCAGTGGTTGGTGTCATGTGCTTGATGATCCAGCGTCTAACCTTGTTTCGGTTACTCTGTTGGTTCGATGGATGAAGTATAATCTAATCGTTTGATTGGTTTTTTTTCTTCTAGAATGCCCCGCTTCGAGGCGAGCTTCGAAAGACGAATCGCTGACGTCTTCTAACTCGGAATCGCAGCAATCCGGCGACGAATACAACTTGTATTTCTACAATAGCAAAGAAATTTGCGCTCTATCGCACTCCGTACATAATAATAAACCGGACGACGGCGACGACAAATCGGCGATGCTGTCGACTTTGAAGAAATGCGACGATCCGTGGGACGTGCTATTCTCTCGAGCCGAAGGCCTCCACGCCCACGGGCACGGTCGCGAAGCGTGCATACTAGGCGTGAAGCTCTCCGAGGAGCTGCTGATGCATCCGCCCGATTTGATGGTCGAAATACCGCCGGCGCCGAAGAAGAAAGGCAAGAAACACCAGGTCAATCCGGCCTCGCACCAATTGAGCTGTCTGGCGTCGGGCACTCTATCGAAATGCGCTTTTTTGTGTTCCGTGCTAGCCGAAAACACCGATCACCATCACCTGGCGTTCCGCGTCGGTATGTTCGGCCTCGAAATGGCCCGTCCGCCGGCCAGCACGAAACCGCTCGAAGTGAAACTCGCCAATCAAGAAGCTGATTTAGTCAACCTCCTAAAACGCATACCGTTGAGCCACAGAGAGTTGCAGGTGTTGCGCGAGAGAGCCGAACGATTGAAGGAGGGCGCGTTGAAGTCGCGAGGCGAGGCGATGTTGCCGATCACTCTGGCCAGTTTCGTGTTCGACGCGCTCGTCGCGCCCCACGTGACGGGCAAGGATCGCGTCAAATTGACCAATGTGCGCCTGCGCGCCGACGAACCGTTGGGTTTCGAGGCGGCCGTGGCGGCGCTCGGGCTCAAAGCGAACGTCTCCGAAGCGGAGCATCCGTTGTTGTGCGAGGGGACGCGACGGCAACGCGGCGAATTGGCCATAGCGCTGTTGATGTTCTACAAGGACGATTGCTGGAAGGTGGCGAAGATTATGGATAAGTTGTTGGATAGGGAGGTGCACCAGTTGTTGAAGACGCCGTTGACGAGTTCGTACTATTCGAGCAATCCGCCGACGAAGAGCCAATATTCGAATTTGAAGCGAGACGATTGCGATAAGGTCGTTGCCGCTTCGATTAGTCCTCTAGTAGCGCCCGCTGAGATGATACCGAACGATGTGGGTAAGGATATTGAATCGTTCAATAAACATTATACTGTTTATACACTGTTAGAAAATTATTCGCGCGTAATAGGGAAATCAATGTTAAATTCTTAGCCGGCTGAAATACAGTCTACCAGTGTACATTTTAATAGAACGTCGCGATGAATTCTAATAAATTTAATTGTTTTACTGGACTTCACACCGCTCTTTGGCTTGGTTAGATTAAAAATCAAATAATTTCGACGGTTTCGACACTTCGACAGTATCAAAACGGGTTCGGATGGGTGAACGTCGAGTCGATTAAAAAGAAATGAGAATTTTTAAACGATAATTTATTGAAAAAATATCACTAATATTAAAATAGAATTATGTAGACATGTCTTTTTGCCACAATGGCTTGAAAAAGAAAGTAAATTCAAAGAAAATAATAAAAAGGAAACTCCAAAAATAAACTTAAAGATTATTTTAAAACAGAAAATAAAAGAACTCTAAAAAATAGTCCACCGCTTTCTGCTAAACAATAGCCAAACCTGCCATACAGATATCATCTCATATTACTGAGCTGAGGTATAATTCTAGCAGAAAATTGAATTATTTTTCCCTTATTTCAACAAAATTTGTTGCTGTTTCAAAACTGCACCTACCGATACACACATTTTTTTGAAATATCCCCAAAAAAACCTATTAAATGTAGTTTCTAAATAATTTTGTACCTCATACCTAACACAAATAACTTTGTACCTCTACAAATCGCGGCGTGCGATCCAATAGAACAATTAAATTTATTAGAATTCATCGCGACGTTCTATTGAAATCTACACCGGTAGACTGTATTTCAGCCTGCTAAGAATTTAACATCGATTTCCCTATTATACGAAATTAAATTTCCAACAATGTATAACATGTTATCCTATGATATACAGCGTGCTGTAGCCGACCTCATAGCTCGACGAGCGCCGAATTGGACCAAAGTATGACCAACTTACTCGCCTCCCAACCGCAACAAACTTCAATCCAAACGGGTACTCGAGCCAAAGACGGCCGGTACAAAGGCAAGCGAGCCTATCCATCCATACCGAATCAACCGTCGGAGGCGGGCGCTCATTTCATGATCGAACTGGCCAAGACGGTGTTGAACAAAGCCGGAGGCACCAGCAGCACGTCGTTGTTCACCCAACCGTCGACCAGCCAGAATTGCCATTCCCCACACAGGGCCCTGCACATGTGCGCCTTCCAATTGGGCCTCTACGCCCTCGGTTTGCACAATTGCGTCAGCGCCAATTGGCTCAGCAGGACCTACTCGTCGCACGTCTCCTGGATCACCGGTAATTTATCATTTCAATACGATCTGAGATCGGATTTAAAGCACCGGATCGAGCGATGTTCCTCGTTGAGTGTGCATTGTAAGGCTGGCAACGTCGCTTTCGAATTTGATTGTGCATAAAGTACTCTCTCGAGATCACTACAGGAGGAATATCTCTTTCTGTACCGCTCGATTCGATTGGATTGATCTCTAGAGTGCATTGTAAAGGTGGCAACGTTGCTTTCGAATTTGATTAAACCATACAAAGCGATGTTGCAAGCTTTGAAGTACTCTCTCGAGATCACTACAGGAGGAATATCTCTCTCTGTACCACTCGATTCGATTGGATTGATGTTTAAAAGTGCATTGCAAAGATGGCAACGTTGCTTTCGAATTCAATTAAACCATACAAAGCAAAGTTGCCAGCTTTGAAGTACTCTCTCGAGATCACTACACGAGGAACATCTCTCTATCACTCGATTTGATTGGATTGATCTCGATAGTGCATTGTAAAGGTAGCAACGTTACTTTCGAATTTGATTGAACCATAGTAAGCGACGTTGCCAGCTTTAAAGTACTCTCTCGAGATCACTACACGAGGAACATCTCTCGGTACCGCTCGATTCGATTGGCTCGATCTCGAGAGTGTATTGTAAAGCTAGCAAGCAACGTTGCCAGCTTGTAGGAACATCTCTCGAGCCGGTGTGTGTCTCTGATGATAGTACTGATACATAGAATAGCTGAATTGATGATGGTGGTGTTTGTTTGTTTAGGTCAAGCGATGGAGATCGGAGCGGCGGCGATATCGTTTCTGATCGACACGTGGGAGGGTCATTTGACGCCGCCGGAGGCGGCGAGCATAGCGGACAGGGCGTCGCGCGGTTGCGACGGTAACATGGTTCGGGCGGCGGCCGAATTGGCGCTGTCGTGTTTGCCGCACGCGCAGGCGCTCAATCCGAACGAGATCCAGAGGGCGATATTGCAATGTAAAGAACAGAGCGAAGAGATGCTCGAGCACGCCTGCCATACGGTCGAGATGGCCGCCAAAGGGGGCGGCGTCTATCCCGAAGTACTCTTCCAGGTGGGGATGTTTGGTGGAATGGTTTGGCGGCGTTCCGGCGGCGTGTTTGGATTGTTGTTTCGATTTGTTTTGTTGTATACATGTTCGTTTTTGTAAGATTGGAACATTTCGAGCTGTTGTTGGGTAATACTGTAATACGAAAGTGTTGTTTGATAATTCATCGTAATTAATCGTACCTACTTTCGCCTATAAACCTCCAAATAAGTCGATAATTTTAATACTAAATTGTAATTAAACAAATATTTATGACCAACAACGAATTAATATAACCATACTATTTCCGAATTGTTCTAAACGTTCTCGCTTCAAACGACAACAGTTTGACAGATCTCGAACATGACACATGTCACATTTACACAGAACACCAAACAACACGCCGCTGGAACAAATCTGTTATTATGTAAGTTTCGGTTTGTTAATTGTCTTGTTGTTTAGGTCGCGAAACATTGGTACGAATTGTACGTGAGAAACACGCCCGGAGGCGATCAGATATTAGACAACGAAATGCCCCACGATCCTCTGATCGATTCCCACGGTGCTCTGGTGGCCTTGATCGAACAGCTGGTTCCGCAAGAAGTACCAACTGCTGCTCAACCGGTAGTGGTCACTACAGCACCACCCTATACCGTGAGTTTTACCAATACTAATTGGGAATATTCTGGAATATAAGAGAGTATTTTTTTTTCTATTTTTTAATTATTAAAAAAGTTAGGTAATATGGCTGTATTCGTTAAAAGTTAAAGGATCTGCTCGAAATTGTCGCCATTTTGATTGATTGTCGTTAATTATTTTTTTTTGACATCTGTGTGGTAATGGCAGGTACTTATTGGGAAATAATCGAAATTTGAAGAAATTTGAAGAATTTCCATCTCTTTTATTTTCCAGAATATTAAAAAAAAAACCTGAAAGGGTTGCTTAGAATTAAAAAAATCTACAAGCAGACAAAAAGTATCAACTTATGAAACACCATGTATATAATAATTTCTGGTTATAAATAACAACTAAATCAATAAAAAAAATTACCATTCAAATGTAACGTGTAAATCCACTAAAGAATCTAGAAGAAAAAAAAAGCAGTATTAGAAACAAAATAGGCACATTCCCTATTTATATTTTGATGTTTCAGCACGGAGCGCCACCTGTCGGCATGTACGTCAGCCACTACAACTTCGTGCCGCACCCGCACCATCCCCCATTGGCGTACGGGGGCCCTCTACACCCCCTGCAGGCGGCCCAACCGGTGTGTCCCATGTACCAGTTCCCCTATCCGCCGCCCCCGCAACAACCGGCGCCCTCTGCGGCCGCCGCCGCCGCCGCCTTTACGCCCATACCGACGTCGTACGCGACGTTGCCGCCCCCGCAACAGGTACTCCACTCTCTCTCTCTCTATCCTAAATTAAATCGTTGTAAAGGACATTCGCGTTCCCTAGGCAATGACGTCATTTTTTAGACGACGTCATTAATTTCCACGCTGTTTGACATTTACCTAGTGTCAATGTTAATTCTCCCATTTGACTAGTTGACAGTCGAAGGCGATGTTGTCATGCGTTTAGTCTCAACATTCGCATTATTTAGCGGTTTGTAGTTGACATTTTGACAGATTATGACTACAATTTGTTGTTTTTGCGCGATTTTTCTGTGTTTTTTTCAAGTTTACGAGTAGGTTTTGAGTTTTTAACGTGTTTAGTTAACATAACCTCAAATTAAACATATCTGTCACATCAAGATTCTCATTTCAACCCGGCAACGTTGCAACATGTCGGCTTGTGACGTCATTGTCATAGCCAACGCGAATGTCCTTTATAATAAAAGGGATCGTTTAATCTATGATATTGTTGTTTAATAATAACAAAAAAAATGGTCGTTTGTAGGCGGCGTTTACGAGCGCCCCGTCGCAGTACGCCCAACCGCCGCCGTCGACGCCGCCGTCGGCGTCGGTTTTCGCCGCCCCGCCGCCGCCGACGCCCCAACAACAACAACAACAACCGGTGCCCCAACCGGTGCAGTACTACGGACCGGCCGTGACGATCGCCCAACCCGTCCAAGGACTGAGGCCTGGTACTCACATGTACGCAGCCCCACCGCCAGGTAAAATTAGATACTCAATGAAAGAGCGCGCCTCTGTTTAACTTTAGAGCGACTGCTAAAAAGTCGCCTCTTTCACTTTTGACAGTTTTACATTGGTTGTTACGGTGTAACTAAGGAGATTCTTTCACTTTTGACAGTTTTACATTGGTTGTTACGGTGTAACTAAGGAGATTCTTTCAAATTGACAGTTTTACATTGGTTGTTATGGAGTAACTAAGGAGATTCTTTCAAATTGACAGTTTTACATTGGTTGTTATGGTGTAACTAAGGAGATTCTTTCACTTTTGACATTTTTGCATTGGTTGTTATGGAGTAACTAAGGAGATTCTTTCAAATTGACATTTTTACATTGTTGTTATGGAGTAACTAAGGAGATTCTTTCACTTTTGACTGTTTTACATTGGTTGTTATGGAGTAACTAAGGAGATTCTTTCAAATTGACAGTTTTACATTGGTTGTTATGGAGTAACTAAGGAGATTCTTTCAAATTGACAGTTTTACATTGGTTGTTATAGAGTAACTAAGGAGATTCTTTCACTTTTGACATTTTTACATTGGTTGTTATGGAGTAACTAAGGAGATTCTTTCACTTTTGACTGTTTTACATTGGTTGTTATGGAGTAACTAAAGAGATTCTTTCAAATTGACAAATTTACATTGTTGTTATGGAGTAACTAAGGAGACTCTTTCACTTTTGACAGATTCACATTGGTTGTTATGGAGTAACCAAGGACGCATTGTTTCAAATTGACATTTCTACATTGTTGTTATGGAGTAACTAAGGGACTCGAGACGCGACTTTAGAGCCGCTCTAAAACTCAAACAGAAGCGCCGAACAAACGCTCCAAACATATCTAATCGCATCGTAAACGTATCGCTTTTCTTTTCCCACATCAAGGTCACGCGTTACTGATAGAAGACTCGTACATTTTAACAGGCATCGCGGCGCACGCGCAACAACCTCGACCGCCACATCGACCGCACCAATTCAACCAAACCCAACTCAGGTATCTGTTGACGTCGTACAGAGTGGGCATGTTGGCGTTGGAAACGCTAGCGAGGCGGGTGCACGACGACCGCCCCCAAGCCAAATACGCCCGCAATCCGCCATACGGCGAGGACGTGAAATGGCTGTTGAGGATCTCGAAGCATTTGGGTAAAACCATATACCTGTTACTACTATACTGCTGACTCCCTATCTATTCCACGAGAGAAAATCGTAGCGATTAAAGAGAGATATCCGAGTCTTTGTGGTGTGCTTAGTCGTTTATACGCAAGCGCGTTGATTTTAAAAGAACCAATAGCGAGTAGGTGAGGCCTAAAACGAAAAGTAATACTTGAAATCGTGGTTAAATTCGGTAACCTGACATATTTACACAGGCAAGTCAAAGTCGATTTTAAAAATATATCAAAAAATATACCAAAATAAAAGCTAGCACGTTACTGACGTTTCATTTGCTCTGTCAAAAGTAGCCAATCAAAACGCATCTTTCACTTGAGCATTCACTTTTGACAGTTTTACATTGGTTGTTACGGTGTAACTAAGGAGATTCTTTCAAATTGACAGTTTTACATTGGTTGTTATGGAGTAACTAAGGAGATTCTTTCACTTTTGACTGTTTTACATTGGTTGTTATGGAGTAACTAAAGAGATTCTTTCAAATTGACAGGCATAAATAAGCAGGCACACCACAGTATAATGTTTCCTACGGGTTTTTAGACCATTATAAGCGGTATAGTAGTAATAGATATATGGATAAAACTCCATCGAATCGTTTCGACAGGCCGTATACATGAAACGTAGATTTTCTAGGCACCCAGTACCTGCACCATTTCTGCGTGTGCGCCGTCAATTCGATCGTCAGTCCGTTTGTGCTGTACGACGTGGCGATCGAGGCCGCTCAGTATCTGTCGAGGAACAATCCGAGTTTGGTGATGCAACATCTGCGCACCGCTTTGACGCCTTTGGTGCAAAAATGCCAGCAGATGTACATACAGTGCATGCACCAGAAGCTCTACCATTTGACGTCGGCTGATTACGAGGAATTTGTGAGTATCGTTTGTGCCGCTAGGGCGGCGTTCCAGATCACGCCGGACGGTTCGGCGCATTTCAAGGAATGGTTGCAATCGATTCGAAGGTGAGCGATTAATCGATTGTACATAGGGATTGCTCGATTGCTGTGCAAATGTATCGAAAGCGAGATCATTTTTTTATCAAATAACGTTGGTAAAAAGTAATGGTAGATTTGAAAAGATCGTCGAAAAGTAAGTCGAAATGGATGTTATTAAATTCGTTCTGGTTTAATTAGAAAATGTATAATTGAGTTGAAAAAAGTCAAATGTCATATGTCACTATCTAGTAATTGTTAAAATGGGAGGAGATATCTGGATTGGTTTACGCTCTGAAGTTTGAAAAATTCAGCGGTAAGGTATCGGGTTCAATCCCACGCAGTGCTGAAATTTTTTTCTTTTTTTCTTTGGCGTTTTTTGGTTTTTTTAATGTTTTTTTTTGTCAAGAATAAAAATATGGCATCATTTTAAATGCTCTACCTACTAACGAGATTTTGCGTTATTAAAATTGACACTTAATTGTCGGAGCTTTTATTTAATTAAAAATAAAATTATATCTCAAATAAGCTCGTCTTATTTTAAATATATCTATTTAACATTTTTTAGACAAAAACATTCGAAAAAAAGAAAAAAAAAGAAAAAAATTTCTGCACTGCGCGGGGATTGAACCACCTTACCTCCCGCTAAAAATTTTAAATTTCAGAGCGTAAACCAATCCAGTTATCTCCCCCAATTTTTCAATTATTAGATAGTGACATATGACGTTTGACTTTTTTCAACCTAATTATACATTTTCTAATTAAACCAGAACGAATTTAATAAAATTTAACATCCATTTCGACTCACTTTTCGACGTTTTTTTCTAATTATCTCGCTTTTGACACATTTATACAGCAATCCCTACATCGCATCTTACAAACAACACAGCGCATAGAAGAATTCCTATTGATTTTGTTGGTATTTGAACAGATCGAAATCGTGCAAGAAAGACCTGTGGGCCCAAATCAACGCCGCCCTGCAGGCGAACAACAAATGACAAAGGCCCGAATTGGGCGCGCAGGCTTCCTATTCGACCTATCACCGATCGACCGGCGAAGCCGATGAAGCCGAAGCGCCTTCGACAGCTCGCTTACATCTGTGCAATCTGCAGCAAACCGAGTTGGCTATTGTTCATCCGCATTCGATCTTCATAGCGCAGGTTCTGTCGCAGGATAACGGCGAGGAGCAGCAACAGCAACAGCAGCAACAGCAGCTGCAGCTGCAACAGCAATGGTCGCCTGGAAGTTGATTGGATAGCGGCGAGGCGAATGAGAGAGTCGTTCGGAAAATTTGAGATGTTTGTTCTCCGTTTAGTTGTTGATTTGTTTGTAGTAGAAGCTGCGGAGATGTTGGGTTGGTTAGAGTTTCTGTAAAATTTTAATGTATTTTTGAATTTGCTGTTTAATAATTCGTTTTTTCTGGAGCTAACTGTTGATTTCACATCGTCGTTGGGGAATGAATTAACAAATTTTTCGAACGGATTGTTCGTTTTTTTTATAAAAAAAAACAAAAGCGCTCAGGTCATTTTACCATTTCTGCCTTTTCTTAGGTAAACAATTTACTTAAGTAAGTAGTCAATTTTTTCTTCGTTTACTTGTTCGAATCGTATCGCGTTTTTCGGTCTTGTCGATTTGTAGAAAATAACGAAATGTATCGAAAAATTAAGTAGTGGATTTTTTGAAATTTTTTTCAACTGAATTTCGAAGGCGTCGTATTGGGCGAAATTGGAATCGAATGTTGTCATTTGATGTTCTAAAAAAAATGATCGATTCTGATTTTCGCTGGTTTATAATGATTGTGTATAAAGTTATTGCATTGGATAGAGTTAACAGGCCTTTTTAGGTTGTTGAGAATTATTATTAGAGAGATTCTGTTCACACTACTTTCAAACTGTTAGCTTATAAAATTCTTAACTCTATCCGATGATTTTTTTTTTGTTTTTTTTTAATGTAAAATTAAACTCTATTAATCAGTAATTCATTTTATTTTGTAGTATGTAAGTAAACTTAGGTAGTAAGTGTTTGTTTTTATAAATGCGTTGATGGAATGAAAGAATGTTTCGTTTTATTTTTGCAGTTTTTACTTCACGCAATCTACCAGATATTTATTCATATTCATAGTGCTGTTGTTCAAAAATCGATGCGAATTGTTTCAATTAAAAAATAACCGAATTTGTTCCAGTCGAAGTGATCTCTTTATTTTTTTTAATAGGTTATTGGAAAATTGCTAGGTGAAATTGCAATCACTGGTTTATTGAAATTCCCGTCGGATTTTCGAAAAAATACCGCTCTCAAATCGAGTAGGTTGTTTTCGAAAATTCGACCGATGACAAAATATTTGCTCAAAGCAACTTTTGCGAAACTATCATCCTAATAAAGCACACATATCATACTAACTAAAGTTACTACATGGGATTCTTTTTTACTTGAAACAGTTCAAAATATGAAAAGTTTGTTATTAAGGACCACACACTGGCATGATGATCTCATTTTTTCAAATGTATTTTTCCAATGGACGATTTTTCCTTTTGCGCGATTCGTTTTGGCATGAGTATCAGGAAATTATTGTGCCTTGAAGTGAAATTTATCATTATAATTCGAACGAAATTCTGATCGACATTCATTTTATAACACAGTGTAATTCGTTGGAATAATGGAAGTGCTCGGAGTGTTTTGTAACTTCATTTTCCAATTGGAGCACTTTCATCGTTTCATGGAATTTTATACAACCCAAATCAGTCGCGCAAATTTACGTGCTGAATTTATTTTTTATTTTAATATTAAATCTATAATTTAGATTAATTTTTAAATTTGAATTTTCACATACGTAGCGTATAAGTAGTTAATTTTTTTTATATAACAGTTAGGTACGTAAAACGTAATCGATCGTAATTAAGCGTTAATTACCGGAATATGATTTACATTTTACACTGTTTGATGTTCCGATTATCGTGTATAAATAAATAGAAAAAAAAATCTAGTATCGTAAATGTTCTTCGGATTAACCAATTGTAACCAAAACCAATTTATTCGTTTGCTGTTATAAGGTGTACATCATATTTCTTTTTTTTAATTTCAACATGAGAGAAATAAGGGCTGATTATAAAAAAAGTGTATAATAGAAAATGCCGTATAAAGACTTGAATGTTTAAAACATATTATTTTAACAGTATATCCATTTACTAATAATTTTACCCCTTTTGCATCAGACAAACCCCTTGAAATACAATTGCAGTATTTATATATACTAACAGGTAGCTAATTTGATTTGTTCCTCTTAATATTTTTAAGTAGGTATGTAATTTATTGTAGGAATTATTTTATCAGTTAATGGTCGGGTTTATCTCATACAAAAATTTTAATTAGGAACTATCGAGACTATATATAGACATTCTCGCTTGGTTAATTTATAAAATCCCTGTAGTTAAAAGTACTTAAAGACATGTTTTTTTTAGACAAGTGCTTCTCGAAGGATTCAGGATTTTATGAGTTATCAGCATTTTCTATAATAATTCTCCCAAATTTTTCTTTATCCTGTATCCTTTTCGACTGTATATAAGCTTCGTCTTGTATAAATCTAATTACCGCATAATGTTTTAATTTCAACAGCACTACATTATCAATGTATAAAGAGCATTCAATGTAGCAATTCGAATACTTATGTCCAGGAAATGAAAAAAATATATATATTTTCGGTGTGATTGAGAATATCCTATAGTAGGTGTTGTTTAAATTAATCGTAACATATTTTTACACAACTGTTTCTGTATAAAAAAAAACATTACAGCAATTGCTATATTGTAGGGTTTTACGTTTGTGTGTGTAGTCGCCTGTATATTTCATTTTCGATGTTTCTCTTTTGGTTTTTGTACAGTCTTATACACTAATAATATACTTCACATTTCGCCGTTACATTTGTCTTTATACTTACGTGCAAGTGAGTTGAAATAAAAATTTAACGATTCATTACCCGTTTATTTGCTTATCGGTATCGAACGAGTTTTATTTCCTTATACGATTTCCGAAATCGCCCAATATTGTGACTGCAATTCTACTTTATTTGTGTAAATTTTGAACTAATTGGCTGAAAAACAATAAACGCGAGTCACTTTTTGCTCTACAAGTCATCGTTCCGTGTCAAAAAGTCGTTTGATACGTCAACGTCAAAACAATTACAAAAAAAGAAGAAATTAAAAATTGGCTGAAAAATAATAAACACGAGTCACTTTCTGTTCTACAAGTCATCGTTCCATGTCAAAAGTCGTTTGATACGTCAACGTCAAAACAATTACAAAAAAGAAGAAATTAAAAATTGGCTGAAAAATAATAAACACGAGTCACTTTCTGTTCTATTAGTCATCGTTCCATGTCAAAAAGTCGTTTGATACGTCAACGTCAAATCAACTACAAAAAAGAAGAATTAGGTTAAGAAATTTTAATTTTGTTATTCAAAATGCTATTATTCTAACAATTAAAAATATAATTGCGTATGTTTTAAATTACATTACATTGATATATTATCTAACATATTTCATTTTGTAGGAGATGGCTTCCTTAAAACCGAGGCATTGTAATGGTAAAATTTTATTGAACCAACTGACGAAGGAATTGTTTTTGAATAACATTGTCGAATCCAGAGAAGCCCAAGGAGAACCGATCGATTTTGATTTCATAAAAGCGAGGTGTAAAATCCTTTCGAAAAATGACCGTATCAAGGAAAACTCCAAAGGAATTTTGTACTGGATGTACAGGGATTGCCGAGTACAGGACAACTGGGCTATGATATTCGCCCATCGAATGGCTACTAAACAAAAACTACCATTATTTGTTTGTTACAGTATTAAAAACGCCCAAAATCAATATCCCACCGAGAGACATTTCACATTTTTAATCGAAGGTACTACTTTATGTAAGTATAATGTAAAATTACTTAATAAATAAATTCAATTAACAGGCCTCAAAATCGTCCAGAAAGAATGCAAAAAACTAAATATAGCCTTTCATCTGCTAAACTCATCTCCTAAGGACCTAGCTACATTAATAGCAACCAATAACATCGGTGGAGTAGTCTGCGATTTCAGTCCTCTAAAACACCCCAGGAAACTCCAGGAAACACTCTTGGAAAATCTACCCGACGATGTACCTCTCGTTCAAGTAACATCACCATTTCCACATACAATTCCTCCACTACCAGTTGTTAATCTTTACAGGTGGATGCCCACAACATCGTACCCGTCTGGGTAGCTTCCGACAAACAGGAAGGCATGGCGAAATTTCTAAGACCGAAAATAAACAAACACCTGGACGAATTCCTGACCGGCTTTCCCGTAATACCCCCACATCGGTACACCGGTAAACTGGACACTACCAATGAAATCGATCTCAGCGATGCTTTGAAATACTTCAAACCAAAATACGAGGTTCCTTATGTACAATGGGGCGAGGGTCCGGGTTTCGAAGGAGCCCTCAGTATGCTACACCATTTTATCATCAACAATCTAGAGTACTACGGAATCAGTAGCAACGATCCAGCTAAAGACAACACTTCGAAATTATCCCCATGGTTAAATTTCGGTACTTTTTACCATCCATTTGAATTGAAATTAACGTAATTTCGGTACGATTTTAAGGCCACATCAGCGCCCAACGATGCGCCTTAGAAGTCAAAAGCCTCGGCTCGTTACACAAACAACAGTGCGACAAATACTTGGAGGAGCTCATCGTACGAAGGGAATTATCCGACAATTACTGCTATTACAACAGCGATTACGATAACATCAATGGAGCCGCGAAATGGGCCAAGGAGACGTTGGAATTGCACTCGTAAGTGTTTAAATACGCTTTATAATACATCAATACGAACGTAATAAATTTGTAGAAAGGACAAACGAACGTGGGTGTACAGTAAGGAACAGCTCGAACGAGCCAACACTCACGACGAAATGTGGAATTGCGCCCAATTACAAGCCCAACGAATCGGTAAAATCCACGGTTATATGCGGATGTATTGGTGCAAGAAGGTCCTCGAGTGGACGAAATCGCCCGATGAGGCCATCGAGTACGCCTTGTGGCTGAACGATACGTTTTGCTTAGACGGAACAGACCCCAACGGATACGTCGGTAATTGCTATTTTTTTTACCTAATTTGTCGAGTGTAATTATCGGTAATTTCCAGGCGTGATGTGGTCGATATGCGGCGTTCACGATCAGGGATGGAAAGAACGCGAAATATTCGGGAAAATCCGCTACATGGTCGATTATAGTTTGAGAAGGAAATTCGATATGGACGATTATTGCGCTAGTTTTAACCGAAAAATCGCCGTATCGGGGAAACCCAAAGCTCGAGGTGTCAAAAGGAAAGCTTCGTAGTACTTAAATTTTAACACGAATTATATTTTTTTATACAACAACGTAAGGGGGTAGAGCTTCTTTAGCGAAGAGATCCATCCATTTCCTGTACCGTCCATGCTTGATGTCCGTTTGTACGGTTAATTCCTCGTCTATATTCAAATATTGAAAATCGTTAGGGGTCAATTTCGGCCATATAATGTCCTCTAAAACAGCATCTTCCACTGGCGTTGGATTCCTGCAAGTTATAACGCATAAGAACATATCTTTTAATACAGTAAACTCGAATTAACTCACAAGTTTTTAGCGAAATTGGTCCAAAGTTTCACCATCCTCTTATGAGTGAGCACGTCCTTTGGGGGAAACTGCGACAAATCGCTGTTGTCGTAATCCGGTAGAATTCTTTTAAACGTGTAGAACAATTCCTCGCTGTGCGTGCATTTCTCGACGCCTTGCAATTCAAATTGCGATGAATTCGAACGCGAAATTAACCGAATAATTACCTGGTAAGGTGACGTTGAGATTCTTCCCCATCACTCCGCCGTACGAGAATTTATACAAATAAACATCGGTGAATTTGGATTGCATTTCGGCGTGCTTTATGATGGGGTTTATGAAGTGACTTTCGCTGTTGTACTGAAATATTAAACGTTTTGAATAAATTCCGATTGGGAAATCGGTAATTTTTACCGCTATGGCGTATCCCGGATTATCGGCGAACGATTTACCATCATCCAGATAGAATTCCTTGATTTTCCGGCCGATTTCCACCCGTTTGTTCTCATCGATGATGTTCATGCTTTTCGGTACTAATTTCCTCAAGTCCTTATCGTACGAGGCCGCTCTGCTCCTCAACGAATCCATATCTGGATTCGAATTTGCATTTTACACGCTCCCCATGCATTTTTTAACAACACCAAATCCAACTTACTCTTACTCAACGCGAGGTACTCCTCCGAATTGCACCCAATCATCAAAGGCACCCTGTTGATATCGCCCCTATCGAGAATCTCGTAGAATTTCTCCGTCAGAAACGCCCCGTCGTGTTCCACCTCGATCACCGGAAGGGGATGATTCTGGAAAATCGTTAGTTTTAAGCTTAATTAATTGCAATTGTACGAGTTCAATCAGTCAATCATTCGGGTACTCGTACGGCTTTATACTTTATTTGATTGTACTCACAACTGTGTGAGTTTTGGTGGAAGCCACGTCGATTTCTTTGGCCGGTACGGTTTGCAAATAATCCAGAATCGCCTGGCTCGTGTTCAATTCAATCGATTTGTTAATCAGCGAGATGAGCTCGTAGGGATAGCGTATGGGATCGGGCAAATAGGCCCAATTGCTGATGCCCGATCCGCTTTCGCCGATCGCCCCTCGAAATAAACCTGTCGATGGAAAAACCGCCTTCGTTAAACGATTTTCTCGAACGATTCCAGTGCGGATTAAAGCCTTAGATCATATACACTGTGATCCATTTCCGATTGCAATGCAATATGGTCGTTTCTATGAGTGGAACAAAGAAAGATGATTAAAATGACAGTTGTCTGAGTGAAAAGTTACAATGACATAAATCAGTCAATCTTTCTTTTTCCTTTGTAAGTGTCTAATGGAAGTTGTCTTTATCGCTCCCATGGCCTATATAACTTATGTTGCGATCAAAAATGGAGCAACCTGTGTATGATCTATGCACGGTCCTATATTTCTAAGGTCTGGAATCTCCCTATTCTTATGCATTAGATAATGTGTCCCGTTATTTGAGGACTTTTTTGAACTTCGCTTTTGCGCCGCAAGGTGGCGAACGATCGGAGCATAAACTTATCTCAACCAATCAGCGTCGCGCTACATAAAAAAATCGCGGTTGTTGTGAAACGACAGTTCGAGCTGTCAAAACTTCAAAAATTATTAATTTGACGTTTCGAGGAGAAAATTGAGAAGAATATTAACCGAAGATACGTGAGGAATGATGTTAACAACAAAATCATCGCTGATTTAGGTATATTTTTATATTTTCTAACTATTTTTAGTTTGAATAAAACGTATAAATTCCGGTTGTTGTGAAATGACAGTTCGAGCTGTCAAAACTTCAAAAATTATTAATTTGACGTTTCGAGGAGAAAATTGAGAAGAATATTAACCGAAGATACGTGAGGAATGATGTTAACAACAAAATCATCGCTGATTTAGGTACGTTTTTATATTTTCTATCTATTTTTTACGAAAGCGTAGAAGCGCCACGAAAACCAATCGACAGATATATCTGGAAATTAGTCGTAATCGACAGATACTAAGTGTCATTTAGACTAATTTCCAGATATAAGTGTCAATTATACTAATCGACAGATATCTGAAATCCGTTTTATTCTCAAATAACGGGACACTTTTTCGACCCATATTTCCACACCTCAGAAATATAGTACTGTGGATATAAGATTAGAGCTTAATAGAAAAGTCGATTACCGGCGGAGCCTTTGCTCAAGATATGCAACCCAACGGAGGCGGCGCCTGCGCTCTGTCCGAACACGATCACCCTACTCGGATCGCCGCCGAACCGCCGGATATTCCGTTGGACCCATTCGAGCCCCAAACGTTGGTCCTTCAGGCCGGCGTTTCCAGGGACGGTTCCGTCGCCGGTGGAGAGGAAACCGAAGGGGCCCACTCGGTAATTCAGCGACACCATAACGACCTGTTGTTCGATGAGATAATCGGGCCCGTAGAAGTCGTATTGGGACGCGCCGTCCCTGAAACCGCCCCCGTAGATGTACACCATGACAGGGAGGGTGGCATTTTCGATCTGGAAATGTTAGTTTTTTGACGAAATTTCATCCGAAATGAATGAGGATTTTAAAAATAATTATGATTTTTAGAAAAACCAGTGGCGTATCATTTTTTCTTCAAACAAAAAATGCCTCAAAAAATGCTCCTTAAAGTGTGTAGAAAAGTCCACAAAAATATCTGGAGTATCGGCAATCAATGAACACCCTGTATATACCAATAACATTATCGGTAACGATAAACTCGTAATTACACATTAATACATTAATATCGCGTGTATTTTTATTTATTTGGTGTTGTGCAACAACACGAAATCACAATGTTGTGTTATTTAATGAAGCAAATCGAGAAAAAAATTTATTTTTGAAACGCTAATGAGATTTTTTTTGTTGAAGACATAATATAAATTATGAAATATGAAGCAAACTAATCAAATGACGTACGGTACAATAATGTAAAAATAAAAGGCTTACGGGATTTAAGTTTAAGACCGGCGTGTAGACATTTATAAATAAACAATCTTCGCTTTCATCATCAGTATCTTTGGCTACTGAAAAGCATCGGTTTCCGTCTTTCTTCGTTTCCAACACTCCCGGCCAATTATCGTGAGGAACAGGCGCCTGAAGATTACCAAATTTTTTTTATATTTTTTTTATTATTTCCGATGGAACTTACGAGGAATCTCAGCTTCCCTGTGGGAGGTTTTGCGTAGGGGATGCCTTGAAAAGCGTTAAACTTGACGTTATTCGGACTGACTCGCGTGTAACCCTCGATTTTCCCGTTGGTTATTTCAACGATTACACCTTCTGTTAACTGGAAAATTTATTCTGGATAATTCGCTCGAAAAAACTTTGGTATACTTACCGCTACACCAACGAAACCTAGGATTAAATGTAGGGATAACATTTTGTTGTTTCGCAACGATCTTTGCTCGTCGTTCTTTAATAGCGTTATTTAAGTATCGAATTATGTATCTGATTTTTTAATCTGAATCGCCCCATCGAGATAAAATTCCATCGTTTTTGTAGGCGATTTAATCGGTTGGAAATTAGAAATATTTGTACAGCAAATAACCTGATGATTTAAAGGCATCGCGTTTATTCATTTTAACTACCTAATATTATCGTTAATTTGTTATTTTGGAACAAATACTGTTCCAAACATTCAATTTTAATGTCAAATAGCTGGTTAAATAATATGCATGTTGCTTTTATCTTTAAAAAAAATACTTAAAAACGCCGCTAATGAGTCCAATTTCGCTCTATTATTGCATTTAATATATTTGTTTGTTTGCCAACTTTCTCTATAATCTTTTAGTGTGATGTCCATAAGCATAACAAGGCGCAATTGCATGCACTAAAGTGGAGTTTGGAGATTTTCCGATGCACATTGTGCAATCCGGACATTCTAAAAATAACTAGGAGACGACAATTAACTAGCAAGTGACTATCCTCAGCAATTTATTATCGCTTATCGATTAATATTCTGTTTATAATGCATCATCTAAAAAGTTTCCAGACTAATTAGAGGTGACACCTTTATGCTGAGAAGATTTTTTGAAAATATTTCGCACAAATACAGGAATTAAAAAGCAAATATTTGGAATATAGTTTGTGGCACAACTATTTTTATTTCTTATCTAATTGGTTCATAAATATAAAAAAACCGGAAAAGATTTGTTTTATAAACCACTTAGTTTACATGTTATAATTAATAGTAATTTTCCATTGCGGCCTTATTCAAATTTCATTCCAAACACTGTAGCTATTTTTATGGAGAATACAAATAAATCTAATCTAAAACACAGATGAAACTGATTAAACATCAGTACGTGTAATTATTTAATTTCGCACAAAGCAAAAAATTGTTTTTAATTACGCGATCGAGTATGAAAGCAATCTTAATTATATTCGCAATTCAAAGTCTGCACTTTACTCTTATTAAATATTAACAAAAATATCTCAAAAGTAAAGCAATTAAAGTATTTCAACAGCGCAAAGCCTATTATCCTTTACATGTTAAGTAATTATTGACAATTTTATTTTAATTTATCGTTGGTGAAAAAATTTCAATACAAATATTTGAAAAAGTGTGTCTATTATTCCGTTGAAAATTCCTAGATACAGAAATCAAATTCGGTAAAATTAATTGCGTTACAAACGCACGTGGTATTTACACTGTGTAATTAGAATTTTTAATCACAAGTACATGTACTTTATTAAATTTGTTGCGTACGATTAATTTAAACAATAGAATTTAATATTTGCTACTTGGTGCGATATTTATTAATAAAAAATATGGTGTAGCTTGAAATATTATTAGTCAATATTTAAATAGACTTTTTAAATAAATAGGAAACCCGGGGATTCTCTTAATGAACGGGCATTTCGAGCGATTAGAAAACGAAAAAATTATTATTTAACGACACAATTTTTCCAATTTAAACCAAGTAAAAAACCTTTATCTAAGCAAATTAGTCCGGTATAAAAAATAAGGTGTAACTTGAAATATTAACTCAATATTTAGACTTTTTAAGTAAATAGGAAACCCGGGGATTCTCTTAGGGCATTTCAAGCGATTAGAAAACGAAAAAATTGTTACTTAACGACACAATTTTTCCAATTTAAACCAAGTAAAAAACATTTATCTAAACAAATTAGTCCATGGTTGGCTTTAGCAGCTTTTGTGGCACTTTTAACTCCGTTAATTAGCCGATTACATCGCGATAAACGGCGTCACAGAGAGTTAGTGGAGAGCGCGCGCGCAACCGACGATTTCCTATAAATATCTACTAATAACAACAAACCACCAGAAGTCCACCTTCTTGCGCTAGAACCAGAAGAAACCCCCCGACCATTTCCCGGCGCTTTCCCAACGCTAAAACGAGATGTTCTCCAAAGAGGAATCGATCGACCTCCGAGAAAAACTAATCGGGTAAGAAGACAACAATTAAATTATTTCCATTTACATGCAGTTTGATTGAATGTACAATTTTCTTGCAGAGAGTCCTGCCAGTTGTTCTTCAGGAAAAACCCTTTGAAAATCGTAAGGGCCCAAGGGCAGTACATGTACGATGAGAAAAACGATGCCTATTTGGATTGCATCAATAACGTAGCGCACGGTAAGTGGACCTATTTTAGCTTATTTTAGTTTAGTTTAGTTTATTTATTCGACCTTATCACGAGCCGGTTGGGTATAAAAAATTGATTTATTTACATCTACACATGCTCTATTTTGACATTGAAAATTGTTCGACAAAAGCGCGATAATAGAATTAAATTGGGCGTAAGAATGAAGAAGAATGAGTAAGAATTTTTATTTATAACAAACATTTATTTCTCTTTCGATAAGCGCCCTACTCTATTCTACTGTATTCTGAATCTACTCTGATTTACTCTACTATGAATCTATTCTACTTTGGTCTACTCTGCTCTATTTAACTGTATTTTGAATCTACTTTGATTTACTCTTCTTTGAATCTACTCTACTCTGAATCTACTCTGATTTACTCTACTTTGCGTCTACTGTGCTCTACTCTATTCAACTCTATTCTACACTAGTCTGGTCTAATCTCCTTTGAATCTAGTTAATTCTGCTTTATTCTGTTCAACTCTATTTTACACTACTCTACTCTGTTCAATCTTATTCAAATCTACTCTGAATATACTCTACTTTAAATCCACTGTGCTCTACTCTATTCAACTGTACTCTACACTACTCTACTCTGTTCAATTCTATTCTAATCTACTCTGAATCTACTCTACTTTGAATCTACTGTGCTCTACTCTATTCAACTGTACTCTACACTACTCTACTCTGTTAAATTCTATTCTAATCTACTCTGAATCTACTCTACTTTGAATCTACTGTGCTCTACTCTATTCAACTGTATTCTACACTACTCTACTCTGTTCAATTCTATTCTAATCCACTCTGAATCTACTCTACTTTGAATCTACTGTGCTCTACTCTATTCAACTTTATTTTACACTACTCTACTCTGTTCAATTCTATTCTAATCTACTCTGAATCTACTCTACTTTGAATCTACTGTGCTCTACTCTATTCAACTGTATTCTACACTACTCTACTCTGTTCAATTCTATTCTAATCTACTCTGAATCTACTCTACTTTGAATCTACTGTGTTCTACTCTATTCAACTGTACTCTACACTACTCTGTTCAATTCTATTCTAATCTACTCTGAATCAACTCTATATAGATGTAATTTTTTCTATTGCATCGCAGTGGGCCATTGCCATCCTGCTGTCGTGAAGGCGGGTTGCGATCAAATGAGCCTCCTGAACACGAACAATCGCTTCCTGCACGACAACATCCTGCTGTGCGCCCGGAAGATCCTGAACACGTTGCCGGAGAACCTGTCGGTGTGTTATTTCGTCAATTCCGGTTCGGAGGCCAACGATTTGGCCCTCAGGCTGGCCCAAATCCACACGGGGAACAAAGATGTTATCGCCCTCGAACAGTAAGTTGGTTAGAAAATGATGGAAGGTTTTTTTTTGAAGTGGTGGGAATTGGAAGAAATTTAGTGTCGATTTTTAGGTAGTTTTTTTTTCTGGACGATACATCTACCTGAGCTGGCTTTTTTTTTATTAGTTTTTAACGCCTCGTTTTTCTAGAAATGATTGTATAAAATCAATCGTTTCTAATAAACTGCAAGTTGAAGCATTGTTGTTTTAACAGAGAGACTCTTTTAACATAACAAATGCTTTTACATCGATGTTTGGAAGCTTTTCTAATCGCTTTGTTTTTATTTTTTCTTACAGCCGCATTAAAATCGAACGAAGAATTAAAACGGGACGACTGGGCAATCGGAAATCGTCGAAGAGAAAATTTTGTTGTTGTGTAGTGGCATAAAAAACAACGGTTTTTTCGTACAAATCACCGCGATTGTTGATTATATTTTTTTGTTGTTGGCAAACTCGATCGAAAGATGTATGAAAAGACCGGAAAATTTAGGTACAAGTTCTCTCGTAAAAAGTGCTTTCGTTGTTGCGAAGAAATCGAAAAAAAAAAAGGGGAAACTCTCACGGCCTGTTGTTGTATGTTTTTTTTTTTGGGGGCTTGGGCTTGAGATGAAAATTCGGGCAGATACGATTATAGTTATGTTTTAGCGCTTACCACGGCCATTTGACATCTTTGATTGATATTTCTCACTACAAATTCGATCTACCCGGTGGCGTCGGGCAAAAGGAACACGTTCACGTGGTGAGTACAAATTTTCCATTAATACCAAATCAATAAATCACGTGTCAAACAATTTATGTAAATAATCTAAAAACGTGACTCCCTAAATGCATGTTATTTATACCATTCCAACGATTTTCTCTATGTTCGAATCCATCGAGATATTTTCGAATAGCAATTAACCTTAGAGATAAGAATTTTTGCGATTAACCGGCGTTGCCAAACAACTAAACTATCGTTTTTTTTTCTCAATGTTGCACCACATTTTCGAATAATATCGCTATATAATCGACTAAAAAAATGAGGCCAAGATGCCTGTAACGAGCCACGAGACTGTCGCGTGTCAATAATAAGCGAGATAAAAAAAAAATTAAAGTTCAAACAATAGAATAGACTATCAAAGTTCAACGTTGATAAAAAGAAAAGAGCCATTAAAAAAAAACGATTATCTGATGCCGCGGTTTTCCAGCTCGACCTTCATCATTTCCCCATCTCCAATAACCTCATCTAACTTGAAACCTCTCACCTTTTGGTCTCGTTCCGTTCCTTCTCCATCTCCCAATAACTTCATCTAACTTGAAATCTCTAACCTTTTGGGCTACCTCTGTTCCAGGCTCCCATTCCGGACACTTACAGAGGCAAACACCGCGACAGCGACCATCCCTCCGACCGGCTGGGCCATCTCTACGCCGAAGAAGTGAAATATTTATGCGATAAAATCCGGGAAACAGGCAAAGGAGTTTGCGCCTTCATCGCCGAGAGCCTCGTCAGCTGCGGGGGGCAGGTAATACCGCCTCGAGGCTACTTCAACGAGGTCTACGACACCGTCAGGTCCAGCGGGGGAGTCTGCATAGCCGATGAGGTAACCTTAATTGACCCTGGAGAAGGCGTTGTTTTTAAGAGAGATGTGTTTTTTTCGAAAGGTCCAAGTGGGTTTCGGACGGATCGGGAAACACTGGTGGGCTTTCCAGCAGTACGACGTCTATCCAGACATCGTCACCATGGGGAAACCCATGGGTAACGGGCATCCAGTCGCTTGCGTGGTCACCACTAAAGAGATATCGGACAGTTTCAGTAAAACCGGCGTGGAGTATTTCAACACCGTGAGTACTTACCACACAAACTGCAGGAAACTTGACACTTCAAGTAAATAAATTTCAGTACGGAGGAAATCCGGTGTCCTGCGCCATAGCCAACGCCGTGTTCGACACCATCGAAGCCGAAAACCTGCGGGAAAACGCCGTGGTGGTGGGCGAATACCTCCTGGACAACTGCCAGATGTTGGCGAAGAAGCACAAAGCGATCGGGGACGTTCGAGGCGTGGGGCTCTTCGTCGGGATCGATTTGGTGGCGGATAGAGAGTCGAGGGAGCCCGACGGGAGATGCGCGGAGTTCGTGCACAGGAGGATGCGCGAGGAGCACGTGCTCATCACCATCGACGGGCCCCATTGTAATATCATCAAGTTCAAGCCGCCGATGGTGTTTACGAAGGAGAACGTGGACGCGGTGGTGAGCACGTTGGATAGGGTGTTGAAGGAGTACAGGGAGACGTCGGAGTTGTTCGCTGTGAATACGGCGAAAGCGCCGCCTAGCGGTAAGGCGACGAAGGAGCCGCAACATAGGCCTATCAAATCGATGTTGGAGAAGCAGAAAATCAAGTCGATTTGAGGTTGTTGTTGAGGATATATGCATAAGTACCTGTTTTAAGTAGTATTTATTGATAATTTAGGATGTTTCTAACGTTTTTTTTTTCTATTTATGTATGCATGAAAGGATTTAGTCGAGTAGATTTGTTTCCATTTTATGTTCTGTCGGGAATGTTTTGGTAATTTTAGTAATCACTCTGTAAGTGTTTGCGTACATTTCGTACTACGTCAATGTTGTAATTGATAAAAATATATTTTTATAATTTCACTCGAGTGTTTTTACTGCCATAACAAAATAGTATTATTTATTTACAAAATGTATGTATTTATTACAAATTCTAGTTGTCATATCCGGAATGTTCTTATTAAAATTAAAATCTAGTTTTAATTATACAAAATTAAGTTTGAAATTAGATAGAGAAAGTTATTCAAACGGTAAAAATAAACTTTGGTCTTAGGAATTAGGAATACCATGTAAAAAATACCCGATAAAGTAATTTTAAATAACGGGAAATACTGTGCAAACAAAATATTTCTCCACAACTGCTATTTCAATGTTCAGCAAGAAAGGAAACTTTCTATTAATCTTAATATTAATAACACAATAAATTAAAGCAAAATAAATTGAGCTATAACAGGTGTAGAAAAACAAAAACTACAATATATAAAATGTATGAAACGACCGCATTCGTGATTAAAATCTCACAATAATCGTAAGAATAATCATAAGTATAGTAGAAGGCACCAGATGATGACCCACGTTAGGACCAACTTCACACTTTTCTGTATTTTCTAGCAAACTTTTGAAATTCTCCACCGGTTTACCCAACGCATCTCCATCAAAGTCCAATCCAGGCGTAGAATCCTGCAAACATTAACATCAAATTATACAAAAATAGACCATACAATTTATAACTTACAGGAAACAGCAGATCGGGAACGTTATCGAATGTCTCGAACACTTTGAAAGTCTTCCTGAGACTTTGCCCGAACTCCAAATCGATTCCTTTCAGAAGCTGAATAACATTCGATCGTTTCACCGTGTTATTTTTCACCACTACATCCCCTGTGGTGATTATAGTTAGAGCGCAATCGGAATCCACCGATAAACCCTCATTTTTAGCCAAAGATCCGTTACGACAGACCACTCGAAAACCGTCCGTTTTATCCTTAAACTGCTCGATATCTGAAAAAAAATTCCACGCGAATTAATCGGTTAATTATAACGCAATCGCGGGTTTACCTGATATCGTAACCACCGCAAAATCCCCAGCTTTATCTTCGACGCACTTCAACGCCCCGTCCGTTGAGTAATACTTGTTTTGATGGTCGTTATTGCACATTTTCGCGGCTAAAAATCATACAAATTCAGCTAAAGAAACTGCAGCTTCTCCGCGTAAAATACTCACGTCCGAAAACGCTATTCGTCAGGCATTGAGCGCACAGTTTCTCGGCGTTCTTAACGTCGAAATATTTATTTTTAGCGCCCGGTAAGCAGCTATCACCTACGAACTCCTCGAAAGCTTCGTTTAAATCGCAGGACTTCATCGACATCTGCTTGTTGGATTTCATCGCGTCGATGAACGCCAGCCATTCTAAAAACATCATCATCGATTTATACGAAAATCGGGTTTATTAATCGTTAAATTTACCTTTTCCACCGTATCGCGGGAAACAGGACTTCTTTCCCTTCAAACTGCCGATGTTCGTGGAGTCGTTTCGAACTACTATAATTATAGTAGATAGATCTTTATTGGCGGTTTCGGGATAGGCGGCGTACGTTAAACCAGACCTTAAAATACATCGGTATAGAGGCGACATTCGTGTAACTATACAAATAATTCCAGGTGGTGAAAAGTCGCTATTAATGTAACAAGTTCGCAACCCCACCTGGACTTATTCTAAGAGCTCTTTCATCGACAGTGGAGTATCCGAACGAGCTCTAAAGGTTTATTTCGTTTACCTCGAAGCGCTGTAGCCGTAGTCAACATCGACGAAGGCCACATCGGACTTTCCTTGATCAATATCATTGATGCAGGAGATGGTTTCGTTGTATTGGCTCTGAGCGCATTGAATGACTGGCTGTAGGCCCGCGTTGAGAGCGGCCTGTTGCAACCAAAGGCACTTTTCCTGTTCCTTCGCATCGACTGTGCACCAGTTCACTGTCTCCTCGCAGTAGATGCTGCTCGATGGGTTCGGAATGTTCCTGCGAGCTGGGCGTTTGTGACATTAATAGATTGAATATGGGATTTGTTCGAGGACTTACCGAATACGTATGCTTTTAACGGTACCGGTTGTACAAACGTAATGTTATCGGTTTTGCTCAATTCCAGCAGGACTTGCAGAGATTCTTCTAATAGCGGCACAGAAGCGAGCGATTGCGTGGAGAAACCGTTAAGCGATTTGTGGTTGGGTAAATTTTTATCCAAGTAGTTTCGAGTCGCTTCCATTATAGACCTAAAAGTAGCGATGATAAATAAAGATAACACAGCATCTTCTAACACCCACCGTTCGGTTATAACGATCCTGTTCAATTGATCGGTGAAGGTGCAATTCCCATCTCGGGGATTCATCGCCCGTCCGTCGGGACAAACGTAAACGAAGCCATCGATGTTGTTCGAATCTTCGAAGAATTTCGAGGCGTGCAATAGACTGGTAACAGCCACATCACCGCCGTTTCTAAGACAACTCAAGGCGTCTTGGAAGGGCTCTTGGTAGTTCACGTTGCACTTCTCCGGGCCGCACTGTTCGCAGAGATTCGAATATTTCGTTTCTAAAACAAAGGTGATCATCGGGACTGTTCGAAAGTCTTCGTATACTCACTTAAAGAGGCGTCGAGAGAGGGATCGTCGATGGCCCATTCTCCGGGGCGACAGGAGGGCCCGAAGAAGCCGGATAGAGCGCCCAATCGCTTCTCTAAGAGCGTTTGAGCGGCGCTCTGGCAGTAGCTGTTGTTCAGTTCGATTATCTTCGCTTCGAACTCCTGCAGGACATACCCGGTGACCAATTCGTCGTGCTTGAAGCCCGGATGGCAGAAGCGCTTGTTCCTCAAGTCTTCGAAGGAGTTGTTGTAGAACTTTCGCGCCAAGACCACCGTTTGGTAAGGGGGTTTTTCTGGAATATACAAGTGATTAATAGGAATGCAAATGTTGAGATGTAATGGGAGTGCATAAGTTGTATGTATGTATAAAAGTGCTTGATTGTTTGTTTTTAATCTTATCTCGCTTGCCGTTCCGAATATTTTATAATTCTTCTAGGAAATGATAATGGAAAATCGTGGGCAATTCGGAGCGATTATTTTTCGAGGTATTTATTAAATATCTTACCAGTGGTTATTTCTGCAATAACAGTGACGTTATCGGAGACGAAATTCGCCGCTAAGAGAGCTTGTTCGGGTTGTAGAATGGCAAATTCTCGCTTGCCATTGTTGATGTTTAATGCACAATCGGTCCTAAAAATGCAATAAGATTTCGTGAATTCGCAGTAGAAAAATTATTAACCAGTCAATTGCACGATAATACGTTGCATTTCCGTTATCTCAAGGTTAATTAAACGCGATACGTGCACAAGTTATTTTTTAATTACTCGGTATAAATGTGGTGGTTTTTATTTTCCTGGAATCGCTACGGCTTCAATTACATAAATATTTTCGAAATGGATTTTTTATAAATTTAAGCACTTGTGAAAAGTGTGAACATATTTAAATATAAATAGGCTTACATTGAATTAATATTTTCGGCGCATTCGAAGGTCTGTTCTCTTTCTATGTTGTTGCAGGCATCTTTGTTGGATATGTCTGTACATAGCTTATCTAAGAAAATAAAAAAAAAATACACTATTTACTGTGCAATTGATAGGAAATGTAGCAATATTGAAGCACCTAAATTGTATTTGCACGGTTAGTCATCGCGCTTAATGAACTGTTAAAAAGGTCGTGTAAGTGTTAAAAAATTCTTACACATTTTTCTTGACTTGGCCTAATTATTGATGTAAATAGATGTAATGTACCTATTTTTTGGTAGATAATTGGAGCAATTTTTTTATTCGAAATTAATGGTTTTAACCTCATCCTCATATTAATTGCAATAAAAATGTCTAGGTGTGAAGATTATGAATAATCTTGTACATATTTATAGAAAAAATCTCAAATGAAAAGGATTTTTATGGGAATTAAAAATAAATCAAAAGATTACTAGTTAATTTTCATTACAATATGCTTACATAGGCGCATATTTTTCATGTTTAAACAAGACCCAACATGGTATGATAAAATAATATAGTGATAGTGATAATAATAATGACATAGTGAATGATTAATTTTCGTATAGGAAATATCCAATACAAAATATGTCGATAGATTTAGATAAGTAAAAAACACGCAAATGCTTAAATAAAATAATATATAGAACTTAAATGCACCCAAAATGGAGGTGTTAAATATGAAGTTGGCAAACCTGTAAAAAATTCCAAAATGGGGGTTTTTCTACAATCTTCTTTTTTAAGCAACGATAACACAAATTTGGAAGCAAAAATGATGTTAAATTAAAACAGGTTCCGTTTATAAATAATAACTAAAAATAGACCACCGATAAAATTTAACTCTCGAACGTGTACAAATTTAAAATACCTATAAAACCAATTCGATAATTTCTAAATAAACCAAATCAAGTAGTTTTCGATAGCACCGATCTGTAAATAAACTAATAAAAAAATTAACTCACCTAAATGACCATAAGAATGCACACTAATTACAACTAGAGTTAACAATAATAACAATAACAAAGGATGTATCATTTTAAAAATTCCTCAATATTCGCTTTAACATTAACGCATTCATAAAAATAACAAACTCTATTAGACTCTAGCATCACCTGTTGAAACTTGAAATAAATTGAATCATATGCGTTTGCGTTACTTTTGCTTATGGTCAATCTTCCACTTCTCTCTTTAGTCTCTTTCTTTTTCTTGCACACGTTCTATCCCTACCTAAGATTTGAATGTCCTTCACAGTGTCTAAAGTACCGTTCCCTTTACTATAACTTTTGATATGATTAAATATTCAAAAATATCTTATATGAGTCATCTATAAGATAAGAATATTGGTTTAACTATGTTCAAAATGTGAAAGGTCAATACGTAAAAGTATATTTTTACGAATTTTGTAAAATAGAACTACAATTAGATTAGGTACTTACTTATATTGTAGCCCTGCGAATACACACTATGCACAAGAAATATTAACAAATACAAGTAATTCATATTAAGATGAGTTAATCCGACACACCTATTCTAAAATATTGAATCGAAATAAATCACAAAAATTGATTAGTTCCTTTATCTTATCTTTTCGATAAAAAAAAATGACACTGCTGTACAACGCATACAGGAATGCCACACTTATACGATTTTATTATTTACCTAACAACATTCGAATCAAAAATGAAATCCAATCTTTCATTTTTCACATTTTCGAATTTTCCTTCTGAAAATACCCGTGACACGTAAAAGTAACCACAATCTCGTTTTCATCAAAAAATTTTAAGTTGGCAACACAATGACAAATGACAGTTAGTTTGTAAATGTCAAAATAATTAAAACGTCGAATCTAGTTCACATACGATTTTTATTTTAATTCCTCGAAAATAGCCAATTCCAATGGGAACGTCTGAGAAAATCGACCCGGCGCCTTCGGAAGCACCCCAAACGGACAAATTCCAACCGTTCACAGTAGAAAGTACGTAGAAATTCTCATAAACACAATCCAAATTTTCGCTCACATCTGGAACCCATTCCAGTCCTTAGATTGATCAAAGACTACCAACAACAGCACGGTCTGCGGCACGGCGACTACCAGAGGTACAGGGGCTACTGTACGCGCCGAATCGGCCGCCTGCGGAAGGTCTTGAAGCTCCCCCAGGGGGACCGCAGGCACTTCAAGAAACGCGACGTCACCGAAGCCCACGTGACGAGCCCCAAATCCGACGAGCGATTCCTCCACATTCCTTTAATGCTCTCCGAACGGTGCTGGTCGTACGCCATGCAACTCCGACAGGAATCCAACACGGAGCCCAGGAAGAAGTTCCATTTAGTGCAGAAGCTCCGGAAGGCCTGCGTGTACGCTCTACAGCTCGACGAATTGTGCAAAGTGAGCCTTTCGAATGCACCATATTCACAAATAATTCGCATTTAACTTTCAGCAAGAGCGATGCGATGTACGCACGAAACTCGAATCGCAAGCCTACCTGGCCTGGATCCAGGGCTCGTTGCAATTCGAGCTGCAATTGTGGCCACAAGCGGCCGAGAACCTCAAGAAAGCGCAGCTCATCTACGAGAAGATCTCGAGCACGTTGCCCGACGAGCTGCAGCTGCCCTACAAGCAACGATCGGAGGAGATCGGCCCCAGTTTGCGCTACTGCGCCTACAACATCGGCGACGAGAAGGCGGTGGATTTGTTGGAGTTGCGCAGCCAAGGCGTGCTGGAGAACTTCGAGGCTTTGGTCAGTCAAACGCAGGAGAAAACTGAAGATGTTTTGTACGAGGTGAAATGGTTCGATGCGATCGTACCGGTGAGGATCGAGCGAATTAGATTGTTCCTGGTGAGCATCGAGGGGTTGAAGGAGTCGCTCGAGCACGCCGAAGACAGCCAGGCGAGGATCAAGATGTTGGAGAATCTGTTTATCGATCTCAGGGATATCGTGACGTTGGCCAGAGAGAGCGTTCGTAACGATAAATTGACCGTTAAACAGACGAAGGAATGTCAGTTGTTGTTGGCCTATTTGCTGTCGATTCGAGTCGAAAGGACTTCGCAGAGGAATTTGATTTTGGTATTGCAAACGAGGTGACAATGATATTGTAACATAAGGTGAATCGTACGTTAAAATCGGTATATGTATTGCAGGAAACCGCAGGATTGCGTTCGTCTGCTCGACATTAACATACAACAAACCAACGAGATATCTCAAAACGAGGCAATCAAAGACAACGAGCGTGTTCGAAAATACTACGAATCCCAAATGAGAGCTTACAAAACGATCAGATCGTTTTATTTGGGTAAAGTGCACGCGGCACAGAAACGTTGGAAAGAAGCCGCCATTTTGTTCGATTCTTCTAATAAATCCGCTCGAGATACAAAACAAGGTAAATAAATTATAACTATAAATTTACTTTTATAATCGAAAGTTTGTGTGCTCAGTAGGAAACTTCGTATCGGAGCTCGACGAGTTGCTGAAAACCGTCAAGGAAAAGGCCGAATTAGAGCTGGCAGCCAGCAAAGCCAACTTGATATTGGACCAGCAACAGGAGGACGTTCCGTTGCAATTCCCCCAAAAGACCTACAAGAGCAAAAAACCGCTGTACGAGCGTTTGGACGAATTCAGGGAGGATCCGCAATTGCTATCGAAAAATCCCAATTTGGTAACGTTACCGCCCCAAATGGAGCCGGTCCCTGCGAAACCGCTCTTCTTCGATTTGGCCTTGAACTTTGCGGAATTCCCCGATCTTACGGAGAAATTGGAGGGGTCCCAGCCGAAGCAGAAACAAGGAGTTGGTATATCCGGGTTCGTTAAGGGCCTGTGGGGTTGGGGAAAATGAATATTTAGGATTGGTTTATTGTTTAATTTTCATAGGTTATATGAATAAAATGGATTTATATTAGCAATAAGTACCATACAGGGCGTACCAAAAAGTTTGCATACATAACGTTCCTTATTCGGACTTTCTCTTATAATTTTTCTACTATTTTGAAATTGGTTGTTTGAGCGCCGAAGCGTTTACGTCTAAACTCCCGCCCGGATGGATTTTCAAAAATAGACGTCGCGACGCGCCGGTTCATCGTCGAGTTTAGACGTTCGTTTCAGTTGGAACAATAACCGATAAATCGATTTGTAACTTGTAATAATTTAAGCCGGTTTCGTGGGTGTTTCGCAATAATGGCTTACAGTTGGGACAACAGGGTGAATTTCGTCGTGCGTTATTTATACGGTAAGTGCTATTTGAATGGATGATTTCGAACGGCTATTTTTAAGTGGGTTGCGAAATGGTGTTTATTTCCAGTCGCTTTTACACGAACAATTATCACTTAAAATGTGGTCTAATTTGAATAAAGGATTGCTAAATAAGGGGTTGGTTTCGTTAGTTGTGATAAAAACGGTGTAATTTGTATTAAATTTCAATTGTAAGTATAATCAACCTGCCACATTTGACCAAATTTACCGAGTAATTACGATCAATTTCAATAAAAATAACTCATTTTTTTTATAGTTTATATTATTTATTTATTTCGAGTGTTTGCGATTAAAATTGCTGGCGTTTTACGTTTTTCTTTCAACATTTTCGTAGATCTTTTTTGCCAAACATTCCCGTTAGAAAACGCGACAGCATTATAAAAAAAATCTATTCTATTTCCATTCTGAAATTTAACTATTTCGAGCAATTGCTAATTCCCGCAAATTTGATTTATGGCTCCATTCACAGCCAAGAAAATCTAAAAAAGTAAACACATTTAATTAACAATAAAAGCTTTTTTTTAAACGCGCGAACCGAAATCCCCGCAAACTTGGAACGTTTGTGTAGTTTTTTAAAGAAAAATCGTTTCAAATTAAAACTACAATCAACTTTTTCGACCGTTTCTTCTTCCCTTAACCCGCTAAATACCACCAGAAATTTAAGAATAAAGGTATTTAACAAACACTTTCCGTTTCAATTTAGATATTTGGCAATCGTCCAACATGCATTTCGATATATTCCATACTAATAATTCAATTATACATGCAACTTTAAACCTTCAAGCGCCTGAATATTTCGAGTTTATTCCTTCAGATCTAGACGGAAACGGCTACCTCGACGAGAAGGACTTCGCCTGCTTAGCCTTGCGGGCCACCATAATAGAAGGAAAAGGCGAATTCAGCTACAGCAAGCTGCAGGAGAACCAGCACATCATGCTCAGCCTGTGGGAGGAAATGGCCGAACTGGCCGATTTCGATAAGGTTTCGTACATCACATTAGTTCTTGAAATAATAATCTCTAGCCGGTCCGAACTATCCAGGACCTGTTGCAGGAGGGCAGGATAACGGTCGAGGAGTTCAAGCAAGCGGTGCAACAGTGTTGCATGGGCAAACGGTACGGGGACTTCCCGCAGGCGATGAAGATGTTCATCGATTCGAATTTCAAAATGGTAGATTTGAACGATGACGGTGTCATCGATGCCGATGAATACAGGTTTAGTTGCATCACGAAATTCCCATTGGACGATGTCGAAGTCGTCGATGAAGCCTTTAATAACATGCTTAATGTAAGTAAGCTCTTTTTTGACTGTTGTGATGGACATTGTTTAGGTTAAAAGAGATCCTAAATGGTTGATTAAGCATCGAATAGGATCTCTGAACACAGGCCGTATTGGAAACGAATAAAAAAGCAATTACAATTGCCAAGAATTCGTGCCAACTACACGTTTTTTTCTTCTCTCTTATAGACATAGAAATTTATTTATATTCAACTCAAACACAGCCAAATTTTATTTTCTACAAGTTCATTAACATAAGTATAACAAATGTTGCATAATAATCGAGTACTCTTGAATATTTCAATCGTTATAATAAATGCTATTTTCCAGGACGATGATAGACGCAGGGGCGGACTGACATTATCCAGATACCAGGAATTATACGCGGAATTCCTGGGGAACCCCGACGAGACTTCTGCTGCTTATTTATTCGGCCCGCTGGCGGAGTTTTTCTATTATCCGGACGATTTAGGTAGTATTTAGCGTATGTTATTTTGTATTATTTTTTTTTTTGGGGAAAATCGAGAGGTTTCCTACGTTGTTTTTCATAATTTTTATACACAAAAGGTAGTTAATTATTGAATAAATACACGAGAATTCAACCATAACAAATTTATTTATTAAAAGCGAAACAAGGAAAATTAAATACTTAAACGTTTTTACTCTATAATAATTACTATTATTTACACTTCCATTACAGTCGAAACGAAAAAAATGTAATATTTACAATGCGTTTAAAAAAATAAAAATATTAACAATTATTTATACATATATATACCGAATTTTTCTATGTAATATGTAATAAATACGTCCGTCAAACGAGGAACATTTTATAAATTATTTGTTGTAAATTTAAAGAAAATATACAATTTATTATAATTAAAGCTCGGATTATATACTCCGAACTTTAATTATAATATTCCCAAGTTACCGAATATTTTGGAAAAACTACAAAATAAAAGAACGCCTCAATTATCGATCAATAATATATAAAATGTCATTTGTCAAACTTATTTATATTAAAAAAAAAAACAATTTTAAGCTCCCTAAACACCTCAAGCTCTCCGGCAGTGTTCTCATAAGATTCAGTAAAAAGCTCGCATAAACAGTTAATGTGCTTTGAAGCTTTACAAATGAAATCCATATACAGGACGTCCCGTTTTCATAAATCTCCAATTTATTTTCAAAGATAATCAAATATGAAAAATGTTTAGATGCCAAATAAACACCGATTTATAAAAACCTCTATGTAAATCTAAATTCATCCGCTTCAGCGAGTTGCACCAAGTCTACAACGAAGTAACAACGAGACATCCTGTATATTTATACAACCCGAAACCTCCCGTCCAGCCTCAGAAGCCTCCCAACTAGATAACCAACAGCCTTTCGAACCAAAACCCACAGCGATTCCAGGCGATTTCCAGAAGCTTCAACACCCTTTTCGAAGCAGTTCCCCGCCGGTCCGTCTTCGATTATCGCCTAATAGTAGCCCAACAGGCCCCACAACGAAGCCTAGGGCTGCGAATCCCGTCACCTCTTCGCCTCCAAGCAATAGACGCTGACGCAGCAATCGGACGTCCCGGCGGCGAGCGCCACTTTGTGCGGATGATAATTCAGACAGGTCACCGGTCCGATTTTGTGGCTCATGAAACCCTCGTAGGCCCTGATCGTGTTCAAAGCGGAGCCTTTCAGCGTGAACACGCTGATGAACTGGTTCACGGAACCGCTGGATAAAACCAATTCCATAGAGGTTAGTTACATGGAGATTATTTCGGAGTGGATTTAAACTTACCAAGCGTAGGTGTTTGCTGTTCGATGGATCGACATGCAGGACATGCCGCAATTGAGGATGGCTTGAGTCGTATGAATCGAATCGTTTTTTCTAATATCGTATATTCTAACGTCTCCGGATGAACTAAAAAAACGATAAAAATATGAAGAAGATATGAACTCGAAAGGCTCTCGATACACACCATTCCTATTCTATTTTGAATCTACTTTACTCGATTAAGCTCTCTCTATCGAACTACCCCGATCCTTCTTTAAATTTCTCTATACCACGCGCACAAATTCGAGCGCTGCAAACAGTAGAAAGAGAGAATCGAATCAATCGAACTGTATCGATGAATGTAGCGCTCGACCTTGGACACACGGTAGACCAAAATAGAGGTAAAATTAGCATCAGAAAAATCCCTCTTACCTTCCGCTAATCACGATGTTATCTCTGAGCTGCACCGTCAACACCCTACCCGGATGTTCCAGCCAAACTTTCACTCTGGCATCGTTCTGGCTACACCGTCGATCGAACAATCTCACCGAACCGTCGACGCAACCGACGGCGCACAAACCCGATCTGGGTCCGTTAGACGAATAATCGACGCCCTTCAAGGCGTCGGCGTCGCCGTCGACGCGGTACTTTTTTCGATTCTCGTGCGACACGCTCGAAAAGGTGGAGTCTATGCACGTCACCGAACTATCGGTACCTGTGGAATGAATTTAGTGAATGAGTTTCGACGTTTCGTCGATTGAACGATTCATCTTCATATCGTTCCGTACAATTTCGTTTTCTATAGGAAATCGGCGACTCACCCAAAGGCAAATCGAAGGCCCTCATCTCCTTTTCGGCGTCCCAAAATCTGATCGCTCTCGAATCGCCGGCGGTGATCAACGTTTGAGTCCATTGTTCCCACGTCATTTCGATACCTGCAAGAATCCTCGAGTAAAAAAAAAAAACGAATACACACACGAATTCCACACAAATCACCTGAATATTTCGGTTTCAATTCGCTGAAAGCCTGCCAGGCGGTGACGAGTGAAGGCTCCCGACTTTGGCCTGTATTGGGTCGCCACAATTTGACTGCCCCATCGTCGGAGGCCACCATCAACATTCCCAAATCGTGGCTGTTGATCCATTGCAACGAGGTGATTTTGCTGTTCGACGTCGATTTGGTGGATTTTATTTGGCCCGATGTGGTCTTCGCTCCAGTGCCCCAATCGAATATCCTGAAGGGAGAATACGATTAAAATTGGTTCTTTTGGATTGAAAAGATTCGTTTATTCGAACGAAACTCACGCGAAATTGTCGTTTCCAGCAATGGCTATTTGCTGATCGAACGGATGCAATTCCAATATGGAAGGAGGCACGGCCGTTCTAATGTGAAACACTTGCGTTTCAATTCTAGACGATGACGTTCTTCTATGTTCCTCCGACGCTTCCATTCGTATGTTATCGTTCCTGAAAACCGATTAAAAAACAAACAATAAATACACAAAGGCATCGAACACAAACGTTCCGAAGCTCACCTGGCCCTTCTCCAATCTCTCTCGTAGTAACAACTCGACTCCCTGTCGCCGGCGATTTTCTCCCGCAAATTCGATTGGGCGAAATACTTGGACGACCATTCGACGAACCGCGTCCGCACCAACGGCTTCCTGCAAAACGGCACCTTCGGCTCCCCCTCGTCGACGGTACGGCGCAGACGCCGCGTCCTGTGCTGCGATCGCGCCAATCTCGGCGCCGCCGCCCCATCGCCGCCCGTCGGCGGGCTCTCGCCCCCGAAATAGCCGCCCTTGTTCGGGCTCGGCGGCAGGCTGAGGCTCGAATTGCTCAGGCCGTGCGCGCTCACCGTCTCCCATTGTTCCTGAGCATTTCAAACATCCGATTAACAAGGTTATTTTTCTCGTTATTTTCGAATTACCTTGACGATGTTCCTGACGTGCGAGGTGACGGTGCAACACATTTGCGCCACCTCCGGATGCGGATCGCCCTCCAAAGTGCTCAGGGCCGACCAGATTTTCATGTACACCGAACCGTAGCTCAGGCTCGACAACGTGCTGAGGCTGCCCGAATAATGTACGCCCGTCGATTGGTGATTCAAACAGATGCTGTTGATGGCCGAACTCGACGACACCCGTTTCATTCTCTCCATCGAATCGTAGTCGCCCATCTTTAATTTATCTCTACAAACAAACAAAAATAAGAATTGTAAGCGGGGTTTTACGATGCGTTCGATGGTACACACACACCAACGAAATTCGTCGGAATTGACACTAATGACAGATGTTTAATAGAGGTGGGATTCGATGCATCGGTATAGAGATGCAGTAACGACCGTTACAAAATAACCGTTACAAATTTACCTGCTGCCCATTCGTCTCATACCGCCGGGACTGGCGCAATCCTGTCCGGGCGATACGTTCGTCTGTTCTTTCACCGCCAAATTGACGAACAGCTGTTCGAACGTCAACACCACCCATTGCAAAGCGTTGACCAGCTCCTTTCTCACCATGCAACTCATATCGCCCATCACGGTATTCACCAACGTCATCACGACGGCGTTGTCGACGTTGTTGGCGTGATCCGAACGTTCCATCACCGAATTCACGAACGTTCCCAAAGCGTAAACGGCAGCCGCTCTCACCTAAACAAACGAATTAACAATTCGATAACTACTCTGTAAAGTTTCTCGATTAAATCGCACCTCCGGCACGGGATCTTTCAATAGATTGTACAACTTCTCGTGGGCGATGTCCCTGACGCCCGTCCATCTGGCCTTTTCGTAGTGGTCCCACAGCCGGCCGAGGCAAATGGCCACCCATTGGCGCAGCCGCGGCGACGGATCGTTCAATTGTTCGAGGCAAACGCTGACGAGGGAGCCCTGCAGGGCGGCCTCCTGGCCGTCGTGGAAATTGCTGACGATGCAGGCCAGCACGAAGGTGGCTTGCGTTCGGTATTCGGCCTGGAAATGGGTATCGATCGATCGATAGAATCCGGTTAATCCGGTCGAATTTTGAGTACTTACGGGTAAACTCGTATCTTGCAGAATGGATAGGAAGTATTTGTGGCCGTTATCTCGTACGAGATCCGATTGACAAGTCTGTAATTCGAATTAACGATGAATAAACTGGGAACGGTATGCTTTTGAATTACACTCACGTTATCTACGGCTAGAATTTTGGCCCAAATAAACACCAAAAGCGGCCTCAATTCTTTGGCGCAGCTCTGGAGTAGTTTCAACACGTAGGGAAATATACCAACCGACAGAGCCAAATTCACGGCCCAAGGACCCAAATCGAGGAATTTCCCGAGCAATTCCAACGCTCTCATTCTGTGCACTTGGCTCAGAAGTACTTGCAACACGATCGGTAACTGTTCGGGTGGATTTCTCTCCTCCGAACCTACAAAACCAACAAAAAAAAAGCGATTCCATTTAAAAACCTTTCGTCGAATTAAAAACGAAACCCTACCCAATTCCAACCACACTTGAAAGGCGGTCAGCTGTTCCTCGAAGAAGGGCAAATGCCTGAACGGTTCGTTATTGCGAATTATCCCAGGCAACTGTCCCAAGCTGAGGTCCAAGGCCAAGTCCCAAGCGTTCCACATAGGGTGCTGATAGGTCAGAGGCAACGCCGGACTGCTCACGGGCGTGCAATCGCACGATCTCATTATCCTTTCGGCCAACAGGAAATTTCTAAACAAACTGGCCACCAGCAAATCCTGCCTGAACAATTTTTGAAACAATTCTACAAAAAAAAAAACGAAATTTATTTAATCCGCGCTAGTAAATCCTCGTTAGATATCCCACCTCTCGGTAAAGTATTCCAAGCTATGGTGTCCGTTATAGCGGTGAAAATCCAATTCAACTCGCCCAACATGGTCCTTCGATCCGTTATCTGTCCGGGTATTCTACAAACAACACCACATCAAACCGAGTACAAACAAAAAAACCATTTAGGAAATTCCTCTTACTTATCGACCAGATCCAAATTCACTCGAGGCATCAATTTCGACGTGGGCTGTAACACGTACCATCTCAAAGCCACCTTGATCGGCGTGGTCAAACAGGAGGTGAACAAATCGGCGGGCAGATCGGGATTCATCGGCAACACCTCGTTGGCCCCGCAGGCGGCCAATTGGATGCAATTCTTGAAACAAGGCGTTTGATTGGCGGTTTTCGATTGTTGAGTCAACGATTGCTGGAATATTTAATCGATAACCATCGAGGAACGATGTGTTTCGGGCCATTTACCTGGTACTCGGACTCGTGCTGGGCGGCGAACTGTTTGAACGAGTCCACTATGATGCCGGCATTCGAGCAATCGTAGACGTAGATCGACGGAGCTCCCATCCACGTTTGTAGATCGTAGACGGATAGAGGAATGTATTGCGTGTAAGTCTACAATAAAATTCGTTTGAATATCAATTGGATATTTAATTGGTAATTGGGGTTACCCTATTGAACACCCATATTTCTCCGTTCGAAGTCGGTTTGGGCACGCCGTGTCCGTTGTAATGGAATAATACTCTCTCTTCTTTGGCGTTCCTTCGCAGAGAAGTGCACAGCTTTTTTACTTCCTCCGATGTGGGATCCAGTGATTGTTTGTACCTGGCTCGGGGCTGCCATCTTTCGTACTGCGTTTGAAGGTTTTGTCCGATCTTTTCCAGAGCCTTCGAAGCCGTCATTTTGGTCGGATCTACCACACGAAATAGACAGTTTTTAAAGCAAGTAAGGTGAAATTTCTAATCGAAGCATCGACAACAATTAACCCACCTATCCAGCATTCTTCTCTGGCGCACGGTTGAGTCTTAACCACATCAGGAGGGTCGACTCCGACGTTCAAACACAACACCAAGGCTACGCTGACCGTTTTCATCTAAAACAACGCGATTTATTCGATTCTTTAGTAAATGGCGTTGTTTATACTAACCCTTTCTTTCATCCTCCACATGTGGGTGATACAATCGGTGCCGATAATAGGCCCTAAATGCCTGTTATCGACGAAACTCAGGGGCAAGTCCTTGTCTGTGATGGTCTCGTTTCTGGTCTTCTCGGAGTTCTCGCCGTTCACGCTCAATTCGCCCATTTTTATCTAACGATGAAACGTCGTCAACTGAAGAAACTGAACTCGTTCGAAAGATATTTAAGGGATTTTGGGTCTCATACGCAATAAAATGTTATTTAACCCTTCGAAAAGCATGGCAACTATAGGATTATCGCACTGACATGTTTGTTTATTTTGACATATGACATTGACAATTTTGACTTTATGCCCTTATGGCGTTTTCCATTGGTAAAATAGTGCGCACTGAAAGTGCACCCAAAGCGAAATTTTTGTTTTATTTGGTGGACTGTGTGAGTGTTTTGATTTCCAAAAGTGTTTTTTGGTGGCCAGATTACCAATGCAAATCAAAACACTCGCAAAGTGCACCAAATGAAACAAAAATTTCGCTTTGAGTGCGCACTATTTTACCAATGGAAAACGCTATTAGTTTTTGACGTATCAATAGAAAAAAGAAGAATAAGTACAAACGAACAGAGCTATGTTTATGTCATATGTCAAAAAACTGTCAATTTCATAACCTACAAAAACCACAAATAAACTCGATTTGCATTTGATCGTTAAATTCGAGCGAAATGGATTCAGATAGCGTAAATTTAGATTTATTGGATCAATATATGGCCATATCAAACAAACTGAAAAAGTAAGTAAACAAATCAACAGCTGTCACGCGCAAAATAATACTTAATCCTCGAATACAGGAGGTTTTTGAAGAGACCCAACTTAGCGGAGGCCTGCGAATCCTTCATCGAATTAGCCAAGCATTGCGAATCGTTAGATTTGCCCGTTTACGCCGGCTTGTGTTGGAGGGCAGCAGCGAGTTGCGAAGACTCCTCGTCGAACAACATCGGAGAGACTTCGTGTTTAGTGCAATCAGCTAGGCAGCTGCTCAAAGCTGAGGAAACGGACGCAAGAGTTAATTGTAAATCAGTTTACGGGGAATATCTTCAAGTAAGTCTAATCGTAAGTAATTTTCGGGTTGCTTGATGAGTTGCTCGTTCCAGGCCGGACTCAGTTGCTGCGCGTATGCAGCCAGTAAGAATAAATTCGGGGACGGGTGTTCGATGCAGATCTGCTTAGATCTGGAGATAATCGATTTCCTGAGAAGGATTAATAAAGTGGAGTATGTCGAAAGTTATCTGGAAGATGCCGTGGAGTTGTGTAAAGACAGATGCGATTCGAGGATTTACTGCTTAGAGCTGTTTGCTTCACTATTCATAAAATCTGGTGAGTTTCTTTTTAGATTTACGAACTGTTGGTACGATTTGCGTTGCTATTTTAGGGGACTTTTTGGCAGCTTTGGAAACTTATTACGAAATAACGAAAATTATAGAAAATTCCACGTTAAACGGTGCTAGGTGTGAAATACTTTTAAAATGCGAAGTGAATAGCGTTTTGTTGTTGTTAATATTGAGGCCTAATCCTCAAAAGTTGCCAGCCCGTTTAGCGAAAATTTTGGAAAAATATACCTGGGGAGACGTGAATGATGTCAGTTTACAAAGTAAGAAATTGTTTTAATAACGTTTCGCGAAATTAACTTTATCTTTGCAGTATGCAAAATGACTGAAAACGTATTTAATCTACTAAATTCGCTAGTTATGACTTGCCAGTCATTGGATACGAGTAGTTTAGTGGAATTAGAGACGGAATTGTGGAGCATTCTATCGAAAGAACAAAAGGAATTACTGAGGATATTGTTGAAAACCTACGAGGTATGATCATAAATTCTTCTTACTATTTATTACATAATGTTGATTATGGGAATTTTATATATTTTATGGGATAAGTGTAAAATACATATTTATTTTTATTTAAATGTTTATTATAAAAACAACATACAAAAATTAGTTATCGAATAACAAAAATATAACTACTTTGTACCGCTCAATTTATTTTGTAGCTTGTCCCTGGTGTTGATGAAAATTAAAAAAAAAAACACCAAAAAATTAAATCAGTGCATTTCAAATACGAAAAATTATAACAAATTTCATTCCATGAGCTACCCAAGAAACATAAAATAATAATTACACCCAAAAAAAAATCTGTAATGCCATAAATAGAAAATTTTTAAAAATATTTTTTGTATACTTGCTCTGGGGTATTCTACTTAAGTAGAACCTAAAAAGTAAAAAAAAATGTATTTTACAAAATATATCATACTTTTTATATACAACAGGCGAGAAATGTCAATTCAAATTGATTAAAAAAAAGAGCTTTTTAAAAACTACCCGAAATTTAAACAATTATACCTTATCTGCATTAAACATAACATATACAATCCAATTTCTTAACATAAAAAAAATAAATACTAAACATTAAAATGGCTTTGGTAGATGGGAACATCATTGAGGTATTAGTAAACTAAATAAATGAGATTTTAAATCTACAATGTTAAACTTATCAAGTGCAAACATCACGCGAAAACGTACAAATAAATTATTATAGGAATTTATTTAGTATTTACAGATTCCCAATGAAACAACGAGTTGACAAAAATCATGCAAATTGAAACTGAAGCGGGAAGTATATAAAAACAAGTAATATTGGCTATTTATACTAATACGAGGGTAAAATGAAAACTCCTCGTCCAAGAATTGTTCACCTTTACCCTCGTATACGTGCAAATCTTTTCATACCTTTAGTCTGAAAATCGTGCGTATGGATAAAAATAATCCTACAACCGAGGAATAAGTTTAAGGCCACGGCGTGATACAAAACATTGCGCGATGAAATCGGCTTATTTCGAAGTACTATCACAGATATAAACCCTTCAAATTCACAACAAAAACCCCAAATTCCCCACTAAAAAAATCTAAACGCTCTTCCCGTGCACCCTAAACCTATACAAACACGTATAATTCGGATTCCCGTGATTCGAAACGATCCTCAACTCGACGATCTCGTACACCTTATGAGGCTCATCGGCATCGAAGAACTGCACCGGCTCCCCTTCAGCATCGTACTCGTACCTGCCCAACAACTCGGGCTCACCGTCGTACTCGTCCCGCAGCCCGAACACCTCGAACTCCTTGGGCGCCGAATCGACGTTCCCGTCGGGCACCAGCAATCGGCTGATGTGCTCCACGGAGAAGGCCTCCACTCGGATGCGCTTCGACAGCCTGATCATGGCGAAGCCGGGGAAGTTCTGGAAGGCCCAGCACTGGCCGGGCCCCACGCCGGGCGTGATGAGCGTCCTGGGGGAGTTGACGGGGTACCAGAGGGGTATGCCCAGCACGGACACCACCGCCTTGCCGTAGTTGAAGTGTTCGGTGCACCGGGTGCTCAGGATTTCGCCCCCCATCGATTCGACTGCGTAGTCGACTAGGCCGGTTTTGTCGGCGTCGTAGAGGCTCAAAGCTCGCTTTACTATGGATTTAATACGGTCGTCGGGCACCTCCGAGTAGTCGATTTGATGGGGTTTCATTCGGTTCGTTATCTCTTCCATTAAATTGGCGGTGTTGTGGTGCAGTAGATCGGTGTATTTCGTGGTGATGTTGCTCAATCTCGCTTCTAGTTCGTCTCGGGCGACGAAGATGGCGCGTAAGTAGCTGGTGAGGCCTGGCTGGTTGTGCAGAAAGGCGGGGTCGTTGAGGAGTTTGGATGTTAGTTTGTTCACGTAGTGTTCGGTGTCGATTAAAGGGTTTTTGCAGCAACGGTTTACGCGGTAGATAAAAGGTGAGTTTATGGTCGATTGGATTCGGTTGAAATCGCCTTGCCATTGTTGCTGGGCTTTGGTTATTTCGTCGCGCAAATTCGTTATTTCGTCCTTTAAATATTCGATGGTTTTCTGTTGGTTCGTTATGATGTCGTTTCCGGCTTGATATGCAAAAGGTTCCTTCGGGATTTGTTTATCTACAGGAATCGATTGGTTTTCGGAGGAATCGAGTAAACTGCACAAGAGGCAAGCACCTGCAAAGAAGTAAAATTCAATGTGGGATCGGAAACCCAACCAACTAGCCAGTCGTTGAAGAAAGGAGCACAGAAACACAGGAGGATTTTTATGAGAAAAAACTTTATTGCGAGTATACGAATACAAACACCACTACTTAATAGAATTATAATTGTAGAGAACGTACATGTTTAAATTAAATCTCTAGCATCGGATAAGACTTTTTTAACTTTAACAAATTTTTAGTACTGCGCATTTCAATAACCAGTATATTAATAGAGCTAAATGTAAAAAAAAACTTCTAATAAGTACACGAATTTAACGAATATTTTGTATTAAATATGTAATAAAGCTAGCAAAAATATTTTTTTAGTTATAATTAACTTGACTAGAAAGAAAAAATTAAAGACTTTGATTTTATCAGTTGCACCGGTTACTGAAATTAGGCAAACATTAACAGGAAAAATATATTAATAAAAAAAAGCATGCCTAACATTAATTCACTCTTCAAATTAATAAGAGATCATATTTTTCATAAACGTTTAACATTAAACCAACACATTATTACTTTTTATAAATATATATACGAATAAAAACTAAAGTGCATAAAATATATGTTTTTTTTTTGTATAAATAAAAGAATCCCTCTATTATGTTAATTTATCAGCAAATAAATCGGCAGGAAGGGACATTGAAACTCCGTTAATCGACAACAAGTGCACACCTGAAATACACGTTAAGCGATTAAATTCCAACTATCTTCGTGAAATTACTAAAAAATCAATACGAAACATATCATTTGCTCCTTTCTTCAACGAATTACTACAACAAAACCGAAACAAACTTACCTCCCACAGCCAACAGCGAAACCACCGAAAACCCCACCAACATCGGTACTTTATTCACCGGCCTGTTCCTCGCCAACAGCCACGTATCGAACAACATCACGTTACCAGCAAACTTGTACAACATCCCCATCACCGCGTTGTACGGTCGCACAACAAACCACCACACAGCCGACACCAACACCACGATCCTCGTAAACGTAGCCACCACCGTGCTCCGGACGCTCCTCCACCCGCTCGTAGACACGCCCGAGGCCTCGTTCCTGTAGCCGAACAGCTGCCTGGGCCTGTACGAATCCGTGTTGGTCTCCTTGTGCAGGAACTCGATGGGCGTGGAGGTGCCCGACGGGCGGTGCACGCTGTGGATGGTCCTTCGGGACATGTTCGGCATGGCCACCACGCCGGGCGCCAGTTCCACTCGATCCTTCGATATCGGGGAGTACGTGTAGTCGGTTTTCGGGTACACCCTGTAGATAAAACGAATAATTATGTAGGCGATTGTTGGAATTGAACGGTCGCAGGATGGGTTTTAAAATGATGTAGCGTTGCCGATTACTTGTTCGAATAAACTGGTTTTCGGGCTATAAGAAACTCGTAAATATCGAGCTATCAAAAACATTTTTTGTTATTCTTTCAACTGATAAACGTTTCACGTTTTCAAACAATTCGCATTTGCGATAATACAACTAAATTATGCAGTATACTGCATAATAATATACTTATATCAATATTCTACTTACTCCCAATATCTCCCGGCTTTCTTGTAGAGCTCGAAGGCGGAGACTTTGCCGCCCCCGTTGGCAGCCGCCCGGGCGTCTTCGATCATTTGGTTCCTCTCGTTGTTGGATAGGGCCCTGGTGGAGGAGACCTCGTTTTCGCCATCCTCCGAGGAATAGTCGGAGGTTTTGTGGATGTTTCCTTGGTACTCGTAGGAGCCCGACGATGCGGCGGTTTTGATGGTAGACGTGACTTCGTCAACGGCGCGAGACTGGGATTCTTTTATCCTGTAAAAAGATCGGGGAATTTAGGGGGCTTGAAGAGGTTTAGGGGGGATTTTCTTACGTGTGTTTGAGTAACATGGTTGGTTTAAAATGTAATTGTATTAATGCAAGTTGTTGACTGGTTTTGGTAATGTTATTTGGCGTGCAATAAAAAGGAAATTAACTAATAGGGTTTTAATTTGCAACTTGTTGTTTGTGATTACTGTTTGCTTGTTTTTGGCCTCAATTTATTAAGTAATTAAACAGGAAATATACGAAAATTTGCATGGCTGGTAGATAAAATTATTACAAATATTCCAACATATTTCTAATTATATAACGGACTATTAGAGATAAGAGATTAGAACAAATCGTTATCTTTTCCGTTATATTTGCATTGTAAAAAATATTAATCTTTTTAATGTAAACAAGTCCATAGTTACTCCATAACAACAATGTAAAACTGTCAAATTCAACTCGTGTCAATAATTAAAAAAATCGGATTAATAACGATAATTTTGTGAATATTTTTGAATCTGTTAAAAAAAACTCACTTATAACTAGTAGTGCTTCGAGTTATTCGAACGGTATTTTCGGCTAGGGTCTCCTTGTCGAGGAACTCCTGGCTGAACTGCTCGACGGAAAAAGGCGTCGTCGACCTAGACTTGGACTTTCTCGATCTAGTCTCCATTATCTTTAGCTTTCAGTAAGCTGAGGGAAAAAAAGGCGCACAATTAAATTCGAGCGAACTGCATCGCTCGCATCTGTTCTAAAGATGTTGCTAGTTAAAAGGGACGAGATCTCCTTCGGAGCGGCTAAAAATAACTGATTTCTATTTCTGTTTGTTATTGATTTGTACGTTTTTTTCGGTGCACGGTTACTAGATTTAGCTTTAGCGGAGATGTGTGTTAAAAAATCTAGTAGGTATGCATGGAATGGCCTTTCTAAATAAACAATCGTTTGTTTATGTTTACGTAAATTAAATCGATAAAATAAGGCCAACAGGATGATGCGCTACGAATTGCACAAAAATTCTAACGTAAGTTAGGTAAACATTATGAAATGTATTACGAAGGTTACAACGAAATAAAATGGATGTTTTTTTATTGCATTTTTCTAACATTTTGTAGCGCACTTATTTTACCGTGAAAACGTTATGGATGAATTAAAACGTACCTCAATTAGGATATTTCGGATTTTCATCCGATGACCTTAACTTTTCTCGCGATTATACAAAAAATTCACACCTAAAAAACGAATTACACCGTAAAACTTTCTTTAAATGCTTTGGTGACGTCATACATACGAAAATAAATATTGAATCGACGTTGCCGGATTTATTTTCAATGTGTCAAAATTTGGCCTTTTCTGTTTACCGCATTCAGCCATTCCCATAGAACCTATTTTGTGACTACGAAATATTTCCGTTTGAATTAAAATACAATTTTCCTTGCTGTGCTTTTTTAATCCAACAATTTAATTAGTGTCCGCTAATACAACACATCACAGTTATTTAAAAGTAACATATACATTTTTGCATTAGTTTTAAAATCTTCGCAAAAGCGAGCAGTAACGATAAAATATATTCTTTTTAATGTTTCGCATGAAATAATTACATTTTCTCTCTACTTCATGCGTATTTTGAGTAAATTGTAAACATGCGAGTTCGCAATTACTATTAACAATCAAATCTAATTAAAATTTTGAAATACTATTTTGGTTTTCTTCTTCAATTAATACTCGTTGAGTTGAGCAATAAATTGAAAGGAAGTTATGTGAAATAGTAGACAAAAACTCGAAAAAAAAGTGCTCTAACATTAACACGACAGAGTGATTGTTCCTTGAATGCAATCTAAGCATTGATATCCAGTTGTTTTTTTGTATATAATTTAAAATATTGCCTTATTATGATTAGCGCATACTGTATTTAATTTTTCAAACAAAAAACCCAGTATTATTATATTAAGTTAAAACTCATCAAAAATACAAAACGTCCGTACTTATACGAACGCGACCAGCGGTAATACTGAATTCATTCGTTTTATTATACATAATACAGTGTGTAGCACATTAACATGGAAAAGTTCAATATTAAACATTGTATTGTATATATCAAGCTTTTCCACACAAACGCGCCACCCTGTATAAGCGAGCGAACAATTTCGACGTTTACAAAGTGCACTTTAACATCATTGCGCGTATACCGAACAATTATCACAATAATCAACCGTACAATTTCTCCAAAATCATAGTCGGCGCGTCGGCCTGATACCTCGATATTTGCCTTAACAAAGCGAATTTCTTCATTCTCCCCTTCGACGATTCCATATCGTACAACGTGCACAAATTCAACAGCAACGACTCGTTCAAAGCGTGTACGGGATTCGAACTTATAGCCGACTCCAGTACTTGTATGGCCTCTTTCAAATGCCCACCGTACAACAAACAGACACCCATGTTGTTCAGAATCTACAAAACAACACCGTAATCGATTGACAGCAATGGCCTTTAACTGTTTAACCTAGCCGTTACGAATTAAACTTACCATGACGTTGGTCGGCTCCAAATGGCTGGCTCGTTGGAAATACACGTAACCGTCATCGAAAGCACTTTGAGCAATCGAAAGTAGACCTCTATCGACTAGCTCTCTTACACCGGTCGAGCTCGTTTTCGCCTCTTCGGCTTCCTTAAAACAAACCTCGGCGCCGGAAATGTTGCCCATTTGCAAATGCAAACGACCCAAAGCGGATAGCAAAGCCTGCTTCGGCGCCCCTTCTCTACAACCAACCGTTTTCTTACATTACCTAATCTTAATAGAAACTTATACGGTACCTATCGCACAATTGCCCCAACAAATCCATGGCCAATTCGTAGTCTTTGACCACCAACGAGCAATTGATGATGGAATGCATCACGCGCACCTCGCGCCCCGTCCACAGTCTCATCGAATCGCTTCGATCGCCATCGGCGAGCTCCATGGGATTTCCATTTTCGCATTGGCCCCGTTTCAAGTTGTCGATGATCTGTCTTACAGTAGCTAGAACGTTGAATAGTCTCGTTATCGATTCTTTGGCTTTGCCGCAATGCATCGGCAACTCTCCGATTAACAAACGAAACGAAAAGGAAGCCATCGAACCCAGCCTGCCTCCGTACATGTCCGGATAAAACTACAACGAATAACGAAGAATTATAAGAATGTGCGTTAGAGTAGTGAATGTATGCGATTTACTTGGAAGTACATATCGGGTTTGTCGAGGTTAGCGAACGGTTCGGCTTCGGCGCTGGCGATATTAAAAAATTTAGTTTTCACCAGCAAAGCGATACGGGTGAACCACAGTTGAAGCGAATGGGGCGAATGCTTGCTGGGATGGCCCGCTCTGCCCCTGCCTTGACCGTATATCGTCAACAGCCGCGCCGTTAGATTGATAGCGGCCCTGTAGGCGCCCGCCTGCACCAACTCCCGCAGGCCCCGTTCGTCCTGCGTAACGTCCCCGGCGTGGAGCGCCCGCCTCTGGGCCGCCTCCGCTTCGCCCAAACACAGGGCGACCGCCTCGCCGACGGCGTCGCCCAGTTCCTCTTCGAGAAGCACGCCGGGCATCGTGAGCAGCTCCCTTTGGGGGAAGTAGGTGCCCGGCGTGGCGGTGGCGGCGGCGATGAGGCATTGGCGGGTTTTCTCGCAGGGTATCCAAGCGTCTCGGCGTCGGTCCGCCTCCGTGCCCACGATCAATCTCGAGCTGCTGTAGCTTTCTTCGGGCGAGACGGGTAGACCGATGGTCGAGATGATGTCGTTGGGTTCGACGGTGCTGCGGGCGTTGGTGCCGATTAAATCGAAAAAGGCTTCGGTGGTGTATTTGGATTGGACCCCCGGGGGGGTCTCCGAGAATATCCTGCACACCTCCGGTTCGATTTTGTTCGATGCCGTTTGATTGTCGTCGACTGTTAGATTGTTTAGTTGCTGCGTCAAGTCGAATTGGTCCTCTTTGGGCGCGTTCGAACCGAAATATTGGCTTAGGGAGGGCGTCGCTTCTTCGGACATCTCTTAATTAATTATTATCATGAAATATTTATACAAGATATAATAAACATCTCGAAATTTTAACCATCACAACCAAAACATAAAATATTGACATTTGACATTTTTGACAGTAGTTCATTTGTCGCTTTCTGTACTTGGTAAACTAATGTCTTAATAGGTAAAGGCCGCTAATTGTCAAAATTCTTCTTTTTAATACGAAATTGACATATGACTTTTACCATTGTTGTTTTTTGACAAGCATGTGGCCGAATAGCCCTGGGGGCTGAGGCCAAGAATGAAAAGGAAGAATTGACAAGAATGACAAGTGAAGTTTTTCATTCTTCTTTTCACATTGTCCTTGACAGTGACGCGGCAACCAGCCACCACAATTGTAAGGACTGAATAATCGTATTGACTGAAGACCGTTGGTAAAAAAGTTTTACGAAATAAACAACAAAAAATTGCGCACATTATTTTTCTATCTGTATCAATTTCGAAAGAGATATCAATACCATCTAACAATTTCGTAAGCTCGTTTTTAATTCAATACAGCAATTCAACGCACGTATTTATATATTTTGAATCGACTGCACTTCCTTATTATAACGTTTATTGTGGTTTTTTTACATAACTTAATAGTTTCGGAAAAACCGTGTACGGTAATTCGTCGAGTTAAATAATTTAAGCAACCAGTTTCGAGACGCGTTTAAAATGAAGATACCGAATTTACATATAAAACGAGTTCAACATTTCGTGTAACAGGTTCAAGTTCACAAAAACACTGATTTTAAAATGATTTAACGTTAATAAAGCTCTAGTTAAAACCCATCTATCGTAAACCGAACGTAAAAAAAATGGTAAGTGTGACTACGTAACCGTAAATTAATATAATTATAAGATATTTATTTCAGTAATTATATACAATTTTGTAAAAAAAATTGTTTCATAAGAGAATGTTTTTACTTACATTATGTTGTTTGTTTTTATTTTAAATAATCAAAGTTTCTTTTATAGTAATATGCTAAGTAAATTGATAATTATTTGTAAAATTCTGGCCATTTTTTTACAGACTTATTGGACAATTATGAACAATTTATCATCTCTTATTGTGCTAATTGCAATCACATCAGCAAACGGTCAAATTCTATTCCCCGAACTACCCTCGCAGCGATTAGACAGCGAAAACACCCAGGTATATATAAAATCACCTTAAATAGAAGTGCATTCAACGTATGAATTTCCCCCGATATTCCAGGACAGAGTACCCCTGTACGCCCCCAACAAGTGCCCCGAAAACCAGCTGCTCTACCCCGGCTATCAACAGCACGATTGGATCTGCGACTGCGGCCCCAGTAAGTCAATCGAACCACAAACATTTCTCACCATTTTCCTGCGAATTTTCCCGTCTTTTCAGCGTACATTTACTACCCCGCAAAGGACTTTTGCTACCCAGCGTACCGGCGAGGACCCTGCGAAGAAGGCCACCACTTGGTCATTCTGCCGGGCCGCGTCTCCCCGGCCTGCGTTCGGAATCCCTGCAGAGACGGCTTCGCCAGGTGATTTAATCGATCAGCTTGTATTAAATAAATTATTCGCATGTTTATAATCGCAGGTTCAAAGGAAAGTGTTACGAAATGGGTAAACCCGACGGGCCTTGTAGACCCATCCAAGAAAGCGGAGGTATATTCGATGTAAATGCGACCAATCTTGTCGTGCATTGTCTCAAAGGCACCGATACCATTTCATTACAAGAAGCCCCCATGCCTTGTTCGAGAGGCAGCAAGAGAAGCACCGCGGGAAATTGCGCTAATTTACCATAATTATTGTAATCTCAGCATCGACTGTACACTACAAGAAACTAGTTGTATTTAGATTGTAAGATTTTCTCATGAAAATTGGAGAAATAACGCTTATTTTGTAACTTCAGTTCCGACACCTCTATACTAGAAAAACAATTTCCAACTCTATTAACGAAATGTCAATAGTCTGATTTAACAGTTTGTGTTCTTTGTTTACAAATAAAATACGCAACTGAAGTCCTAGTATCACAATAAATAGTCCAAGGAACTGTAAAAGAAACCTCTTTTCAATGGTTCAACATATTCTTATTATCTTTATCCACATAATTGTCGCTACAAACACTATGCAGTTTCTTTACACGCCGCTTACTCTCCAACCGACGAGCGAAAAATCGTAAAAAAAATATCTCTAAAGTATCCGTCGCGCGAGCGAAACAAGTCCGGAACGAGCCGGAACTTTTTGGAAAAAGGGAACAGTAAAAAAAAGTATTATAACCGGCTAAAACCTAATTTGGAAACCCTGATAGTCCGGCCTGGCGAGATTCTGCCAATTGCTGAGGTCGCACCTTTCGATCGTACTACCTGGAGACCCGGTGTTCGACAGCCACATAATCCTGCAACGAGAAATGACAGACGAATCAATCGAAATCGGCTATTAATACTAATCGTTTATAAATAAACGCTAATTAAATATATCTGGCCGGGCGCCCGGAAATTTGCCTCTTGTACAGGCCGTTAATTTATATACTTTCATTTGCTCCACTCGCACATTTGACATTGACATTTTTGACAGTAGTTCATTTGTCGCTTTCGTTACTTGGTAAACTAATGTCTTAATAGGTAAAGGCCGCTAATTGTCAAAATTCTTCTTTTTAATACGAAATTGACATATGACTTTTACCATTGTTGTTTTTGACAATAACGTGGCTGAATAGCCCTGGTAGCTGAGGCCAAGAACTTAAAAGGAAGAATTGACAAGAATGACAAGTGAAGTTTTTCATTCTTCTTTTCACATTGTCCGTGACAGTAACGGGGCAACCAAACACCACAATTGTAAGGACTGAATAATCGTATTGACTGAAGACCATTGGTCAAAAAGTTTTATGAAATAAACAAGTGTTCGACAACCACATAATACTGCAACGAGAAATGACAGACGAATCAATCGAAATCGGCTATTAATACTAATCGTTTATAAATAAACGCTAATTAAATATATCTGGCCGGGCGCCCGGAAATGCGCCTTCCGTACAAGCCGTTAATTTATATACTTACATTTGCTCCACTCGCGATTTTTGCCCTTGGAATTTCCCTTGTACGGTCCCTTTCTTGGTGTTCTTCACCCAACCGCTGACGCCTCGTTCCTCGCACAAATCCTTGCAGTACTTCGGCAGGTTCACGCCTGCAATTCGCAACCACACCAGAGCTATTTCGAACGATTTACCACAAGATTAAATTTACCTTGGACCTTTCCGAACACCTCGAACTCCACGGAGACAATTGGATCGTTCATGTTAATCGAGCGAATAGCAAATGAAACGAATCGAATACGAAATATTTATTATCAATTTAACCAAGCACAATACGCCAACTACGACTACTTCACCTCCGATTGGTGCGCGATTTTATTTTTGGCCGGCTCCAGAAACTCCTCGCAAATGCCCTTTACCATTTCGTCGAGCGTCGACTTTATCGCGCCGGCGTCCCTGCGAATATTCGAGCGAAATAAAAAAGAAAAACCAATCCGATGTGCCTCCACCACAATCGTTCCTGCGCATATACCGAGCGTCCAAATTCGAGCGCTGCAATCAGTAGAAAGAGAGAATGGGTAGAACTGTGTAGAGGCGCGATGAATCGTCGGACGAATGTAGCGCTCGACATTGGACACATGGTATATAGCTATAAAATTGATATAATATATATACTTGTTATCGGGGGAGGCGCACAATTCCACGTAGTACTTGATTTTGGGCTCGGTACCGCTGGTACGCAGCGTACAAACCGTGCCGTTTTCGAAGTAAAACGTGATCATTTGACTGCTGGGCGATACCGGCAGGATAGCCTTTTTGTCCTGCTGATTATCATCGTAACCGGTCGTTAAATCTCTTATGTTCTTTATCTTGTATTTGCCGTTCAAAACCGATTCGGGGTACTGAAACGGATCGGTAAATTTAAGCAGGGATTAGCGCACTACGATATATTCTATTTATACAGGACCGGATTTTCCTCTATGGTAACTATAGGAGTTCAAATTGTTACAGCCCTCGTCATTTCATCAAAATCCGATCCTGTATTTACACAGGTTGCTCCATTTTTGATTGCGATAAATGTTATATGGGCGCGATAAGGACAACTTCCATTCCAGACACTTTTAAATGTAAAATAGTGACATTGTGTCATTAATTGCAACTTTTCACTATCACAGATGTCATTTTAATAATCTTTCTTTGTTTAACTCATAGAAATGACCACATATTGCAATAGGAAATGGAGCTAGGTGTATGTAAAACCATAAAAAAGCCCGTAATTATCGTCAATGACGTCGCTACCATATCGAGCCAATCGCAGAATTCGATTCTATCAACGACCAATAAGATCTCTCGCTTAGTAGCGACGTCGTTGTCAAGAACGACGGCCATTTTGTCGTTAAGGAATAATTTAGAGTAAAACGTCAATTACAGTGTTTTGACCGCGGAAATTCCTTAACCTTTCGAATATCCTTTCGATCACGTCGGCGTCCTTGCAAATGTAGTAGGAATTGTTGGTGATGTGCAAGCCGTATTTGTCGAAGATCTCGGCCAGCATTTGGTCCATCGTCTTGCCCTGGCTGTATACATAAGAAGCACAAGTGACCATTTGGGCGCAAGCCGATACGCCGTCCTTGTCGAGAATTTCGGTGGTCACCAGATAACCGATGGCCTCTTCGAAGGCGAATATCACCTTGTTGCCTTTCTCCTCCAATTCCAACGCCTTACTGCCTGCAAAAAATCGAAAAAACAAATCAACGAGGCGTAGACTGTCACTAAAAAAGAAAAAACATTGACAGGTCTAAATGTCACACGTCCGAACCTATCCATTTGTATCCTGTCAACACGTCGACCGTGTTGAATCCCTCCACCTTGGCCATGGATTTGCATATCATCGAACTGACGGTGCTGTAGACCATGTAGACTTTATCCATCGGGATTGTACTGGCGTTTTTCGATTGCTTGAACGAATGGAACATCCACCAGGCGAATAACGCGCCCAAATGGTTGCCGGTGAATATCTTCCAACAACTACTAGATTTATCGAACGAAAAAAAAAGTCTTAGAAATCTGACATACACAATGCGCTTCATTCGCGATTTCTATGAGTTGAACAAAGAAAGATTATTAAAATGACAGTTGGTCAGAGTGAAAAGTTGCAATGACACAAACGTGAATCTTTCCTTTTCCTTTGTAAGTGTTCAATTGGAGTTGTCTTTGTTGCACCCATAGCCTTTTGCAATGAAAAATGGAGTATATACGATTGATTTTTTTTAAAAAGAAATTATACCAGGGTTGTTTTTCGGCCATAGCGAATCTATCGGCGTCCGGATCAGTCGCCATGATTAATTTACTGTCGTGTGCATCGGCGGTTTTCATAGCCAACTCGAACACCGGTTTTCCTTCTTCAGGATTGGGATATCTTGGGATAACACCACGAATTAGTTACAGGTAACAATAAATAGATATGTAGCTGTACAACAACTCACTTAACAGTGGGAAAATCCGGATGAGGATCGCGTTGTTCTTCGACGATTTGCAATCGAATATTGATCTTATCGCAGATATCCTTGACGTATCGATATCCGACGCCGTGCACCGGCGTGTAAGTAAACAACAAATTCACTTTCTTATTGAGCACCTTGCTCTCCTCCGAAATGGCGTTATCGATATAATTTAAATAACGACATTGGATGTCGCACAGAGGTCGCTTCAGCAACGGGCTCTTCTCCAACACGTCGGTGTCCCACGAACCGTCCCAGGGCTCCAAATTCTCCAAGATGGCGTTCTGGATGTGCCCGTCCTCCGGCTCGTTGATTTGCACCGCTCTGTCGCTATAAACCTACAACGGAACGAATACTAGATTCGAGCTGGTGGGTTATTCGAAGCTGTACTCGCTTTGTAACCGTTATCTTCTTTGGGGTTATGCGAGGCGGTTACCATAACCCCGCAAGCGCATTTGTACTGCTTCACGGCGAACGAAACGAACGGTGTGGGCATCACGTCTTCGAATAAATACACTTTATAACCCGCTTGGACGAAGATCGAAGCTGTTAATTCCGCCCACCTGCAACACAACTACATATTATACACCCACAAACGGTGGTAAACTAATACATAAATCACCTTTTGCTGTTGTGACGACCATCGTAACCCACCACCAGCCCGCCGCGCTTGAGCAGCTCCTCGCGGTTCTTCACCAGGTGCTTCAACAGACCTTGGGAGGTCTGGATGATGACCAAGTCGTTGAGTTGGGCGTTGCCGGTGCCCATTTTACCTCGGAGACCGGCCGTGCCGAAGGCGAGCCGTTTGCCCAGCAACACGGAGATGTCGTCGTACTTGCGCTGCTCGAGCAGCGTCTTCAGCTCCTTGATGGTCTTGGGGTTCTTGTCCATGCGCAGCCATTCGGCGATGAGGCGGTCGCGGTAGGCGCAGCCCGTGTTTATTTCGACGCTCATCGTGGATGCGGAGGAGGCTTCAACGGGATGAGGAGGCTTCAACGGTGAATGAGAAGGTTTCAACGGGATCAGAAGGACGCTTCGGGAACGGGGATTTGACAGTTTTAAAACAACTGTCTTGTGACAGTACTCTTCTTTTTTGTTTTCTGTTGATGAAGGAGAAGAAATACACTTGTATTTTTACTTAGACCTGGTGTATATTTAATCGGTTTTGTTGGTATACATTTTAAGACGATTTATTCTTACAAACATTTAGGCTGCTTGGGATTTGAGGTTGTTTTTGTGAGGCTCTAATAATTCGTGGCAAATGCCCCGTACCATTTCTTCGACGATCGATGATAGTTCGTCTACGTTTCTGAATAAAACGGGAATTAATAGCGTAATAGAAATAGATTTAGATGCACTTACTTCATTTCCGGCGAAGCGCACATTTCCGTGTAATATTTAATCTTGGGCTCCGTTCCGCTGGTTCTCAACGTACAAACGAAACCGTTATCGAAATTAAAAGTGATCATTTGACTGCTCGAAGAGACTGGTAACACGGCCTTCTTGTCCGGTCTATTATCATCATAACCTGTAGTTAAATCTCTTACGTTTCTTATCGTGTATTTCCCATTCAAAATCGATTCGGGATACTGCAAAACGAACCAGTTTAGAATCCTCCACGCTATCGCCGATGAATCGTTTACCGTTTTATCGCCTTTGTAATTCCGAATCCTCTCGAAAATCCTCCTGATAACAGCCGGTTCGTGGCAAATGTAGTACGAATTCAACGTCACGTGGTACCCGTATTTCGAGTAAATATCCTCCAATTGCTGGCCCATCGTTTTGCCCTCCTCGTAAACGAAGGACACCATCGTGGCCATTTGCGCAAGCGCCGATATCCCGTCCTTGTCCAGCACGCGCGTCGAACACATGAACCCGATGGCTTCTTCGAACGCGAATATCACCTTATTGCCGTCCTTTTCCAGATCCAGCGCTTTGTTAGCTGGAACAGATGGATGTAGAAGTACATTTGTACTCGTAGGATTCCTTACCGATCCATTTGAAACCGGTGAGAGTATCGATGTAATTGAACCCTTCGATTTGGCTCATGGTTTTGCATATCATCGAGCTCACCGTACTGGAAATCATGTAGACTTTACTAAGCGGGATGTGCTGGTGTCTTTGTTTGAAGCAGCGCAACGTCCACCATGCGAATAAAGCGGCCAGTTCGTTTCCAGTGAAGATCTTCCAGGTTCCGGTGCTGGAAGAATACACTCGAAATAGAAGAGGGAAGGTGTTGTGGTGGAGTGGTAGAATTCGAAGTACCTGGGGTGTTTCTCCGCCATTGCGAATCTATCGGCGTCTGGATCGTTCGCCAGGATTATTCGACTGTTGGTTTCATCGGCGTGCTTGAAGGATAATTCCAAGCTGCTTTTACCTTCTTCTGGGTTAGGGAATCTACGTGGATTGCAATTAGATTCGAAGTAATTCGATGGAACATCGCTTACGTGACTGTAGGAAAATCCGGATGGGGATCTCTCTGTTGCGGTACGGCCGATATCCTGACGTTTATACGATCGCACGCTTTCCGCACGTATTTGTAACCAACTCCGTGCATTGCTGTATAAGTGAAGGCCACGTCGGCTCGTTTGTTCGTTTCTTTACACGACTCCGGTACTTCGTTGTCGATGTAGTCCAGGTAACAGGACGTTATTTCCTCGATGGGATTCGACACCAGCGGATTGTTCACCAGCACTGTAACATCCCAAGAGCTGTCCAACGGTTTCAGATTCTCCAAAATGGACTTTTGCACGTGTTTGTCCACCGGCGAGCAAATCTGCGCCCCGTTCGGTCCGTACACCTGCAAAACGCGCCTTTAATACTGCCCAAGAATGCCACCCTTACCCTCTAGAGGGTCCAAAGGAACTCCATCAAGGGAGCGGAGCACTACTAGGTATAGTTATTGCCCTTGTTGGAAGGTAAACGCAGTAGGGAAAGGAGCCCCTCGGACCCCCGAACGATGGGATGTTTCATTTCGGTAGAAAATAGTTTTACTTTGTAGCCGTTATCGTCTTTGGGATTGTGCGAAGCTGTGACTACGATGCCGCTGGCGCAACCGTATCGCAGGATGCTGAAGGGTACGAAGGGCGTCGGGACGACGTCGTCGAATAGTTTGACTGGATAGCCGGCGTTGACGAAGACCGTGGCTGTCAGTTCGGCCCATCTGAGGACATGGCAAATTTCAATCGTTAATTATGTAGTGTATTTAGTGTGAGTGTATGTAAATGAACCATCCGGTACTAGTTTTACTCTTAAGGTGACTGCTTAGGGTAAATCGGCCGATTTACCAAATGACATTTGATCGGTAGTTCAAATTTTGACACGAAATTGATGCGTTTACACGAGACGTAAAAGGCCGACTTGGTTTAGTTTTGACTTTTGACGTTTAAGTAAGGTTGGAATCGCGGTCGTACGTACCGGTCTGGAAACTAACTTAAAATCGTCGTAAATTAAATTTTAGAAGGCGAATAAATGGCGAAATGAAAGAAAAGTGGCATTATTACGATTAAACAACGCTATCTGATACTAGCACTCTGTCAAGAGTCACAATATTCCTTCGACAGGATGAGTTTCCTGACCTGCTTTTATACGACCGTAGTTGGAATCTTCTTAGTTTTGAGTAAAACTTCCGGGCATAGAACGAATGGTAAATAAAGCATAAAAATGTACCTTTTGCTGTTATGTCTACCATCGTATCCTACGACGATGCCGTTTCTTTTCAAAAGATCCTCGTCGGTGTGGACGAGATATTTGAGAAAACCCTGGGCGGTTTGGATGATGACCAGATCGTTCATGTTGGAGTATCCGACGGCCATTTTGCCCCTCAAACCGGCCGTGCCGAAGGATATCCTGTTGCAAAGTATCCTTTCGACTTCGTCGAATTTCTGTTCGGCCAGGAGGGCCTGCAGGGCCGCCGAGGTGGCCTCGTTTTTGTCCCATTTCAGCCATTCGGCCACTTTCGCATCCAAATCGGCCATTTTGTTTTAACTCCTGCAATAAAAAATAATAAAATATTCGCCAATTTTACGGGAGTCCGCTCACTTTTATCGAATAGAAGTGCGAACGTGTAATTTATTACAGCGATTCTTTACTGTAACTAATAATATCGTTCGAAATGTAGATAATAAATATTATTATTCTAAACTACTCAGCTGACGATATAGGAGTTTCGTCAACTGTTATTACGTTAATATTCACGAACGGTAACATTATCGCAACAAGATAAAATTATTTAAAAATAAATTCATTAGATAAGTTACAATAAAGAAAAAGGTTCCTTCGATTATCGATATTTTTATGCAGGTAAAGAAGGCTTTGATGTATGTGCTAAAAACCTGTCAAAGTCAAGGTAAGCCAACGGTCAAAGGTTGACTAATCGATGACGTCACGAGATTCTATCTAAACAGATTGATAATACGAGGGGTGGTCGCAAAGTTACCGACTGATTTTCGAATGAATATTTTATCAACTATTACAGCTCGAAACACGCATTCTAGTAATAAATTATTAATGGTATCGAACGCAACTACTCGTCCTCGTTGAGCCTTTGTATCAGATCGAAATTCGATCCCGTTCGGTACAAAAAAAGTCGAATTTAAAACGCTCGTAGGTGAGCCCAGATAACTGATATAATAAAATCCAATTAACATTTGATCTGTCAACGAATCCACTGATTGACAATGTCACCGGTCTCTAATTTACGGGAAAAATAACGCGAAAATCGCATTCGAAAAAGTGTAAGTGAAACTAGCGAGAACGCTTTTCGACCGAAATCCTTATCATCTACTGATAAGGGAATCATACGGGTAGCGAATAGTCGATTGAAATTTTCGTATTGTTCGCTTTATACGAAAAGGTGTCACTGTAGATTATTTCGCAATCGGACAAACATTTAGATATATAATTAAACGAACAAATGCTCGAGTAATTACTCCATACGCTGGTGCAAATATAAGGTACGTTTTTACACACGTTATTCGTTAACGTTTCGTGGAAATATTCACTTTCGAGTTTTCGTTTTGTACTTTTATACTCTGTTGTACATATGTTATTTTATACCTATCAATTAGATTGCGACAACAAAAGGTTTAATAATTGTTCCACGCGCTAAAAGCTTTTACATTAATCGCAAATAAATTTTGCACCAGGTCAAATTAATATAATCTGTTATTTGAATACAAAATTCACACTAAAAAAAAATACAATATTATTTCCTCTCCCAAAACACCTCTCTTCCGGCATTAATCATAAGTTAATTAAATATATTTATACATATTTACCAGTCGTAAACACAACTTAATCTACGACAAACATCTCAAAATTTCTAGCTATACTTTGATCTATTTTTATTTATTTTCGAGTATCGAATAGTATTAAAGTAATCCCGGTGATACTGTTTAATCGTATCATGGCAGGTAATTTTAAATATTTTCGAAGCGTTGTAAATAAAATCGAAACATCGAAAACGTTTTTATTCGCTCGCACGAACTCGCATAATATTAACGAAATAAAAATAACGAAATTGGAATTGCTCGGGAATTAATCGTCGATAGTGCATCGAAAATCAACTGGTAAGTTTCAGCGTAAAATTAATTTATTTTTTTTATATTTACAAGAGATTGCGTAGGTACACATCACCTTTTCGGAGAAGTAATTTCTATTTTTTAGTAGTAGTAGTTTTTCAGTCATTAGATTTCATTTTGAGATATTTCGTATTTACGAGGCGCGTTGTAAATATTTATGAACCAATCTACAAGGACAGTTCGATAATTTTCGGTTCCCTATATGGGTAAGGTAATATCCAAACAACAGTGGTTAGAATGAGACAATTGCAATCAACCCACAATATCGCTCCTTCTTTTTCCTTCATACGACACTAATAGAAGTTGTCTTTGTCCTACCATATTTGTACAATATATATCTTGCATAAATTACAAAAAAAATACCATAAATCTACGATACTTGCCTTATCACTATACGCTGGAAACAACAAATCGAACCGCCCTCGTACACCGACCGCGCCGCCCACGACCCAAACGAACAAAAAAAATATCTAAATTTCCAACAATGACGCAGTACAATTTCCTCGACGATGGAAACACGAAATATATAAATACTCGACGGAGGAGTTCCCGCGGCGTTTTCCTCTCGCGCTCTCTCACAGTCTAGCCTGGGGGCCGGTCCGAAGGCTACAACGCTATGGCGAATATCTATCGATTCCTTTGCAGTTTAGTTGTATTCACGATGGAATCGACCGTTGGTTGCAGGTAAATGGAGCCCGGTATCGTCAAGATCGCCGACGACGGGGACTTCGAGATGTTGAAGGATCTGATCGACGATCACGCCGAATGGAAGCTCGAGTACGACAGGCCCGACGAGACTAAGGTAAAAAAAAACGATTTTACTAAATATTATGTTGCCGTTTTTTTATGGAATTCGCGCCGGGCGATTTTTCGTGAATGAGCGTTTACTCAATGGAATCGATGCGCGTGTTAATAATAGACAGTCGCGTTTTATCGATTCGTTATGTTTATTTTCTCCTGTAATAATCGAAGCGAAAATGGTGGCTCGTTTCTTCTATACGAGGGGCGATTTGTATGTAGATACGGGGGCGAGGCGTGTCGGGATAATCGTTTGTTAGGACTTTTAGGAGTCGGGTATAGTTAATATTTTTCGAAAATATTTCAACTATTTGTTGACCTCCATGTCTATAAATATTTAGAACATCCCAGAATCATTTGGAACCGACTAGGACCATCTAGAACGCTCCAGAATCATTTAGAACGTTCGAAAAAGCGCTATATTTAAGTTATCAGGTACTAGATTCGTTCAGAACACTTCAAGAACTCTCCATATATGGATATTTTCTAAAAAAATCACCGTATTATAGAAGCAAACCAGTGCACTCGAATTAAATCAATTCATCTTTCACAGGTATGGACCAAATCGACGCAAAACACAAATTTCAAAATGGTAAAAGTACAAACGATCTTCCCCAATTTGAACGCCTCCACTCTGTTCGATGTACTGCACGATCCCGATTACAGAAAGGAATGGGACGAACACATGCAGGCCTCCGTTGAAATAGGCTATTTGAATCCGAACAACGACGTTGGATATTACGCCTGTAAGTATCCCAATAAATTCAATCTTTTATAACGTTTTTAAATATTCACGGTCGTTATTGATTGATTTATTTACATGTACAATTAACGAACAAATCGAAATATCATTGAATCATAGCACTTTTTCTATAAATAGATATACTCGTGTCTAAATTAAAGCGTTTTGAATGAGGTTTCCGTTTGATTTGATCCAATTGTAGTCGATTTATTTCGTATTTTTACGAATTAATACTAAATCTAATTCCAGTATCATGTCCTACGCCTGTAAAAAACAGGGACTTCGTGTTGCAGCGCTCTTGGTTGGACATGGGCAACGAAAAATTGATTCTAAACCACTCGGTGAACCACAAAGATTACGCCACGAGAAAGGGCTACATAAGGTATAACTAATCGATTCTAACAAAAACGGAAAAAAAATACACCGTACATCGACCTCTTGCGTTTCGGACATACAGCGACTGAACTTTATAGGGCTATTTCTCACCTGACAGGGTTTGTGATCAGAGAAGAGCCGCGGGGCGGCTGTTTCTTGGGCTACGTGTCCCAGACGGACCCCAAAGGGAAGCTGCCCTCGTGGCTGGTGAATAAGATAACGCAGAAATTCGCGCCGAAGGTGGTGAAGCAGCTGAGGAGGGCGGCCGAAGGGTACGAAACGTGGAAGGCGGCCCAAAGGGATCCGTTTCTCAAGCCATGGATGTATCCCGAACAGACGTTGGACTCGCCCAGAATAAGCTTATCGGATGTAAGTTGGCTGTACGGTCCGTTATTTAAGGTCCTAATTCCGCTTATTGTTTCAATGTACCTAAAACGTTATGGGATAAATACCCTTAAATTAACATCATCTAGTTAGCGTAATTTAAATTTGTACCAATTTTAGGTAACTGTTCTTGTATATCAAATGTAAAATTGAGGAGCGGTATAACTATCTAGTGGAAGTCATGTTAATATACCAAGTAATAGGAAAGTATTTCTTTCGAAAAAAATTGCACTGTTCTTGTTCACCACTTACCTTTTTTCGATAATTTCGTGCTATTTAATTTTGCGTATGTTTTTTTTATTTCTAGTGCGTGCTGATTGGAGAACAAATCAACAATTCGGAGGAATTCGAAGACAACGAATGAGACGCGCAAACAGTATTCATACAAAAGGCCCTTCGATGATAATAATTCTACTATAATTATGTGATAAGTAATTTAAGGTTATAATTATTACAAAGCGATCGTAATTAAAAAAAACCGTTGATCACCGTTAAATTGTTTGTGACTGTATCCTATTTACATAAGAGGCTACACGAAAAGGCCCGAATGAATCCGAATCCGAATGACAGTTTTGACACTTTTGACAGTATGCATATGTCAAACATTTGCCGAATTTTTTAATCAGTCGCCTAAATTTCATAGAAAATATGAAATATATCCATTTAATAATGCTCGATTACATCAAGCCGTTGTTGAAGAAGCACAAAGAATCGAAGGAAAACCTCAAATACAAAGGTGACATGGAGGAAACGAACAAGACTCACGTGGAAATTGAACGCAAGATTGATGTGTAAGTCAACGTAAAACTGTTATATTTACATTCTCACTGTTCTCACAATGAAACTTGTCACTTAAAATGCGAATCAAACGCTGAACACAAACACAAAATAACGGACACAATCACAGTAATGAGAAAATTTGAATTTCTTCTTCTTCTTCTTAAGTTTTTGGCCTCAGCTGCCAAGGCTATTCGGCCAAAAATTTGAATTTAAGTCTGGATGACAATTGACGTTTTTCATTCTGTTCTGTGCCTAACTTAGCGTTCTATGCTTATACACGGCAACACTGTATTAAATCGCAAAATAAGAAAAATGGGTAATTTAAAATTTGAATTAACAACAAATAACGAATTTTTCATCGAGTTTAGTTCCGGAATGGGCGACTACGATTACGCGAAAATACCCGCGGTAGCCACCTGCGACGACGAGAGAGAACGAGTCGGATTTTCCGAGGAAACTCTACGCCTGCTGGCGGAAATGGACGAACAATTAGCCGCGGATTTCCTCGAATTAGAGCCGTTGAAGAAAAGTCTGGACCGCTCGGAGAAGGAGGCGGAAAAGCGACGCCAGGCGTGGAAAAACTGGACCGAATTTCGCGAGGAAATCGCCCGTGCGCTGGAAAACCGTTCGGAAAACGACGCCCTAATCGACGAGTTTCTGTCGCACTACGAGGACATCGCGAATTCCTGGCAATGTCTCATCGACGATTTCAGGAAAATACCCGAGAAAAATTAGTTGTTTTTTATTCGATTAAATATAGGTACATGTTACAGATGAGTTTTCCAAACATCCAGCAACTCCTCGCTCGGTGTTTTCCACAGTTTTTCCAACAATGTCCAACCGTACGCGGCCGTGGTCAATACGTAGGTGTTTTCCGGGTCTTTGAGGGCCTTATACGCTCCCAAAACCAACGATTGACAGAGTCTGGCACAAACACAAACCTGTGAATCACAAAACAAACTCCAAACTCCGATCCGGAAATCGCCGTTTCGATTTTGCAAACTTAAACTAAGTTATTTTTTTACCTTCAGTAAGGAATATTCCACCTTGTTCAATTTCCTGACTGACGAATATCCAGCTAAAACGTGACTTCCCGCTTCGATGTTCTTATCCAGTACCATCATATAAGTCATTGTAATGGCCAATTCGTACAAATAGCAACCAACATGGCAATCCCCGTAATCGAGGATGGCTTTTAAATCGCCATTTTCCACCAACAGGTTTTGCTCGTTTACATCACCGTGTATCAAACCTAAAATTTATTTATTATCTATAAATACATCGGTAGTAACAATTACATTACCTCTCGGTAACATTTCAGACAGCGGTAAGACGTTTGCGATGAAAATATCTACGATCGTTTTTACCAAATTTCTCCGGTTTTCGGCTTTTACCGCGTGGAAAAATCGGTGTAATTGTGGCAAGGATTCGAGCATCCAGATGGTTTTGTGATTGCTGTACGCTTCGTGTTTGAAGTCCTGGAATAAAGGATCTTTTAATGCAGAACTAAATACAGAAAGATGTCCAATTTAAAGACCTATGAAGTTATTACCGTTATTTTGATGTCCCGAATTATTGACATATATTTTTAGGACACCTTGTACATGTTAACTTATTCGTACAATATTTTAATTTATAAATATTTGCTCAAGTGCTTATCGCACTCCGTGTCGTCTAAAGATTCTAAAGCCTATTTTTACTCTTATCGTTTTATTGTAATGAAATTATTCCATCGCTAAAGCTTTTAATTAAATGAGATATTATTTACCTTCATTACTTCGTTCATTTCGGCCACGGCTCGTCCTATTTGATAGAACAAATCCCCCGAATAGGACGTTTTGTGTAAAACCGCCCCATCGATATAATCGAACAATCTCACGATGTGCTCCCCGGATTCCAGTTTGTGTTTAACGAACAACTCTCCGCTTTGCGTTAGAACGGGTTTAGGACAATTAACGCCATGTTTCCCTTTAAACAAACCCCCCTAATAAACAACAACCCTTTAGAAAACCAACAATTAGAACTCACCTAAATGCAGCAGGAGCAGCGTTTGGGCCTCGAACAGTTCGGGTTTTCGGCTATCGATGGAATTGATGATCTTCAAGACGAGTTTCCTGCCCGATCGCTTGTTGTCGACGATGCGGAAATTTTTGTCGTCGTAACCGTTCAATTCTTCGATATCGATCGCTTCCACATCGAACGAATTTCGAGCGATGTCCGCTATTTTTTCCAAACTCAAGACGATCCTATCCGGTACGGCTGGGACGCTCATTGTTTGCGGGTTAATAAAACGCTCTTTCAATTGAAGCTGGTTTATCTATTGAAAGTGATTTAATTTTTTTTTTTTGAGATAATATACAGTCGCGTTGAATTGTTTTGTTTGCTTTTGACGCCGCGTTATATTGTAATTGAGCGAGTAAATCGGTGTAGAATACGAGTGGAAGTTGTCCGATTATTTTACTTGTTGTAAAAGAGTTCGAGATTGAATCACCCTGTATATCAGTTTAATTTTTGAAGGATTCATGATAGAATCGCCTTGTATTTTTCATTAGTAGACTAGATCAGAGTAGAGGATTGATTTATAGGTAAATATTTTGGTAATGCAGAAATAAATTCGTGAATTATTTAGGAATATTTTAATTTACTAGTTACTCTTGCAATGTTTATATTATCGGAAAAATATATCTTCAGGACTTAGCAAATGAGGCAAATAATAAAAATTCTACCTCGGTACCAAATTTTCGTAAACTTTTATGATAAATTATTAATATTTTTTGGTAATTATATGTGCATTTTGCGGTACTAATTTAATAAAATTCAAACGAACGCCAAGGTTGGAACGTTTTGTAAATTAACAAACTCGTGTTACGCAATATCAAGGATTACACCATTGATCGTGATTAGTAACATCAAATTAACTCCGAATAAAACACCAACAACGACATTTAAATTCTACATTTATTAAATAAAAAAAAATTACAAATCGCTTATCAAAGAGAATCGGTTCATCATCTTATTGACCGGCCTCTTCTTAATATACTCCCTCAGATTTTCGTTCTCGAGCAATTTGTTTTTCAGCTGCCTCAAATTCGCGAAGCCCTCGAACGGGTCCTTTTCCGGCACCAAATTCATCATGTCTTCGTAGGAGCACAAGAACACGATATCAGCCCATGTTATCTACATTACAAATCGCCTAAATATACCTTCGAATCGCCACGATTATTTACCTATAAACTTACCCTGTTTAAAGCGATAAACCCGCCGTTTCTCTTGACGTCCTCTTCGAGTTTACCCAACAACAACGGCGATAGTGTGTGTAATTTCGCGTCCAGTTGCTTCTTTTTCTCATCCGAAGTCTCCCAATTACGTTCGTACGCCACTAAAAAACCGAATTAACTCGAATTCTACGACTTAACGTTAGCTCGTTATACCTTTTAGTACGTCCCAAAGTATCTCTACGGCCGAATCTATAGCTAAATTCTCCATATCGTCCTTCCCGTCCAGCTTCAACATCCTCCCCAGGTACCTGCAGAGCGGGATGGTTTGCGTGTACCGTTTACCATCGATCTCCAACACCGGTACCTGTCCCAAAGGCATAGCTAGAAAATTATTAACATGTACTTTCGATAGGAAACGCTGGAGATGGATATAGAGAACTTACTGGGTTTGATTTTGGGCCAATCGTCCCATTCGAAGCGGCTGTCTTCGAACGGTACGCCCCCGTAGGTGAGGAGCATCCGGATGGGCTCCCCGCGACCCGTCAGATTGTAGTAGATTAACTTGAAATTGGACGGCATTTCGGACGGTTCGAGCGACTTCTTGCGACTGATCGAGCGATCGGAGTCGCTCGAAATCCGCTCGAAAAACCGGCAGAGATAAAATTTCGATATTGTGAAATTATGGACCTGTTTGTTTTGCGGTGATTACGGTTAAATTAACGCGTGAATAGTACATACGCCGGAGATAATTAGATAAGTTTGTTAATTAATAGCTCGATTGTTGGAATGTTTGGACGTAATTAGATGGCGTTTCGGTTATAAAAAGTCGATTGTCCGGTATATTAATATAAGGCGAGGTATTTAGAATTTTTATTGCCGAGCGTGCTGGGAGCTCTGTGACTATATTTTTGAACAAATTATTACACCAAGGTCGGACGGTTTCGTTTTCGGTTCCAGCGTGTTATTAATTAAAACGTTATTGCGCAATTTCAAAGGTCACAAAATTGATTGTGATTACTGTTTTTATTTTTCGGATATTTGTCGTTATTATTAGCTCAAGTGCATCGGGAGGTACTTTGAACTTGCCGGATTCAAACGAATATTTTTAGTAAATAGTGTTTATTTTGGAATTAACGTTTCTCAACAGATTGTCCAAGAGAGTCCTATCGAAATTATACAATTCATTATTCGAGTTTAACAACGTTAAGTACAACACAAATTTAGTTAGTACTTGCACACATAATAATGAAAAATACAGGGTGTCCCGCATGAGAATCGATATACTCCATCTTTGAAGGCTCCCCTATAGGTTTTTATGCGAGACACCCTGTAGGTTTATAATGGCACAATAAAAGCATCGACACTAGCCAATTGTTGATATTGTCGGGAAACTTATTTACTTTTTTTTTTAAATTTAATTACGATTAATCACAAATACAATTACTACGTTTTAGAATTCATTAGTTGCGTAACATTCATAACGAAAATATCAATCAACTTTTAGTGGGACGCTTTTATTTCACGTTCAAAATGAGTATTAATAAAATTTAAAAAAAAATAATTGAAAAATAAATAGATAAAATCAAAAATTAATCACATATAATAATAAGCACGTTTATGGAAATGTAAACGTTTGAATTCAACATCAAAATGTTATCTATAAAGCACATTTATCGTCTCTCGAGTATAATGTAAATGGAAAATAAACTCTAAAATAGCCGTCGATAAAAAAAAGTTTATCTTAAAATTATCGAGTAAAAAATAAATATACCGGTAAGGAATCGTTTACTTATGAACTGTTTACTTATCAAACGACTAAAACGTTTTTGGGATAGATACCATTTCGATGTTTCGACCATAGAATACCCTAAAATATGTATAGAGTGGCAAAAGCATAAGGATGCGCTTGGAAAATAATTACAGATTTTGACAATTTTGACAGCAGTGGAATTCCGCTACTTCTGGCAACAATGTGTTTGAATCACGCTACTTCTGGCAACACTGATATCTACCTTTGTGCCATCTACGAATACACGCTTTTTCCACTCTATATTCTCTATGATTTCGACCCGATTTTTTCGGAGAAAATTCGAAACAGAAACCCGCCTAGGTTTGCGCGGAACCGTAAGTACCAGGCGGTGGTCGATAGTACTTCGGAAACGCCAAAAGCTGCATGGCATTGAACGCGTACTTCTTTATGCCGATGTTCTTGAAGCAATTCTCTCTTCGACAACCCTCGCTGGAATCCACACAAAAAATCAATTACTCGTTATTAACAATCGCATTGATAATTAAAGTTCGAATTACACGGATATTTCGAGTTGTTAATAGTATAAATAGTACCTCCTTAAGCAGTCTAAGGCTCGTTGAAATTCGTGCTCGGCTAAATGATACACATCGGAAAGGATAAGCGTTTCTTCCAATGTCACCGACATTCCCGTCCTATCTTTGGCACTTTTACAACTCGTAAATCTTAATCCTAAAAAAAGAAAATAACAAAACCGTTAATTATAGAGATATATAGAGCACAGATACCCGGAACTTTGGAAACATCCAAACGTACCGTTAAGCTGTCGACAAATCTGCGCCGCCAAATGCAACGTTTCGACGTTCTTCGCTTTATTACAATGCACCGACGCCCTCAATTCGTCCATAATCGCCCCCACCGGTTTAACTTGACCGGCAGCGGCGCCCGACAATTTCCTCGCGTTATCGACGATCTTCAGCTTCTTGTAGCGCAAATAGTACTCGTTCAACCGATCGAAATTGTCGACGTTCGACCGTTCCTGCGGTTTGGTCGAGCCCAAACTCTCCGCCACCGTCGCCATTTCGTTGATACCGATGTTAAAGAACACCGGAGTGACGTGAAAGGAGATCGATTGACGGGATCCGATCAAACTGTAGAGAGCGTCCGGTACGGGCAGCGCCACCACCAGGGAGTTTCGCGTACCGCTCACCTTCGGATTCGGACAGGGCTCCGTCGACGGACTGGGACTCCTCACTGTAACGATTCAATTCAAATTCCCTTATTTTAGATCTAACAGATCTCCGTTACGTTGATGATTTAAGGATAGACAAAGGCCAGTTGTTTACGTTAAAGAGACCTTTTGAAGATGCGTTTAAGGGCTCGTTACGAAATCGCGAGGTGTAGTATTTACCTAAAATGAATAAAACCGTTCGTAGGTCTTCGATGGCGACTGACATGTCGCCCCACATATCGATCTCGTTGCCGTAGTAGCTGAGCAATCCTTCGAAGTGGGCGAGAGGACCCAAGCCGCTCAATAACGTGATGAAATTCAAATCGGGTTTATGACACCAGAGTCTCACCAGCAGGCCCGTCACCAAAGACGTCAACTACAAAAATTACCAATAATAATTATTAGCGTTAATTAAATATATTTCGCTGGATTGTTCATGTACTTACGGCTTGCGAAAAACAAACGTCCCGTCTATACCGAACGTTACAAAACCTTTGGGCCACCTTCGGGCTCTCTTGTACTCGAAACACGGAATGAGTCAATCTGGCCGTTTTTAACAAACCGTCCATCGCCAGGCGCAATTTTCGCATGCTGGGTCTCAGCTCCGAAGCCCAATCGTTGATTTTGTTGATGTCCAAACCGTCGGTGAATTTGTTGCCGTTCTTCACGATTTTATCGATCGCTTTCGACACCGCCTCGACCTCTTTATCCGTTATCGCTCCTTTACCGCCTCCCGATTGTTCTACGATGACAGGTTTCTTCGTATTCCTGAAATACAAGTCATAAACAAGCTAAATTTCCTGCTAATCAATAGTCTATACATAGGGACTCTTTAAACGATTGATTAGTGCCTACTTATGAAATCTAATTCTTTATATAACTATATTTATGTACCTGGGTTTTAATCTGACGGCGGGACTGCCGCACCGGCCGCACAAAAACTTCACCTTGCTGACCAAACACATGACGCTGGCCTCGATGTTGAGCTGCGTAATGTCCCAGGGCTCCGGCTCGTCGGTGGGCTTGTAGTAATTTGCCGACGGCGAATTGCACATTATATTGGTATCTAAAAACGTTCGACCGGCGTCCTGGTCGGTTTTTCGAGCTTCGGGGGGCGCGGGCGAGGAGCCCCGTCGTTCGGTACTGTCCACTGTAGCGTTCTACAACGAATTTGCGGTATTTTACGTGTAATTAACGAAGCGCTTAGTAATAATTTTACCTCGTTGTGGGCCTCTTCGCAATCGGGAAACAACACGAAGTTACTGTCATCGGGCGTTTTCATGTTCGAACACAAACTCTTTACCACTTCGCTGGTGGTTAGTACGTTCAAATTCGATTCGTTGCTTCGCACCTGCGCGATAAAAATGTTGCAATTGTGGTTGGTACGAATATATAAATTTGTTATTCGTTACCTTCCAAATGTCCTCGTCGTTGACGGGCGTACAGGGCGTAGCGAAGTCTTCCAAATCGGGGCTCCTCAAATCCAAAGATGTCAGTTGTTGCGTAATTCTTTTGAATGGCGAAAGCACGTTCGGTCTTCCGAGACTGTCCATGCTCGAATCGTCGCCAACGCCCGAATCTTCGTTAGCCACTAATTTGTATTCTTCGATGAAATTCAACGCTTCCTCTACTAAACCTAATTAAACGACGTTAAATTAGGTACGGATCGTATGGCGAATACATAAATACGAATACCTGAATCCCATAAGCTTAGTAGTATTCTAGTTTTGTTGATCATATCCTCGCATATCGGCAGCATACCGACGGTTTGTTTTTCTTTGGCTAATCGCATTAAATTCCTCATGGCTTCCACTACTTCTTTTCTTAATTGTTTAATGGCCTGTATGGCGTCATTGGCCATAGCGATTTTCGTCGATATCTGGCAATTCGTACCGGTTTTGATCGGAGACTCTTTCAATTGCTGAACCAATCTAAAAATACCAATACGAATAAATAAAACAAACAATTCTCTTTACGCACTTTATCAATCCTCCGTTTTTGGATTTGTGCGAATGCGCCGTGAAGGCCCCCACGGTCACCCAATCGTAGAAACCGGACTTGTTCAGCGTATCGTTGTGCACCCAAAGCCTTTGCACGTGCAAATTGACGGGGGCGAATTCCAAACTGCGGTCCCCTTTCCTCGACGAAGCCTTAAAGAGGCTGCCCTTGTGGGCCTGCAGGTTTTCCCTGGCCTGCGAGTACAATCGCAACAGGTGCAAATGTCGATCGAGCAACTCCACTTGTCTGGAATGCCACGGTTCGCGGAGCTCTCCCATGCCGGCCACCTCTTGGAGGAGTTCCTTCTCCTGTTGGATCCAAATGTCCAAAATTTGCCGGGGAAAGGTGAAGCACACCCGACTCTCCGCCATGTATTCGTGCACGCTTATGTCGCCGCCTAAGCCCGAATGGAATCGATACGTTTGCAAGTAAGGCGAGGCCACGATTAATTTCAATTCGGTTTGATTGGGTAATTTCGTTTTTACGCCTAATCTCGGCGGTAGCGATTGAGATCTCCGATGGGAAAACGCCTAAAAACAAACACAATTTTTTCACTCGCAAACTCATCGAGCACGATACTAACTTGCGCAGGAGGATGAACCAGTTTTTTACAAGGCGTATGCTCCGTACTGCTACCTTTATCTTCCCTTTCCAAAAACCAGGCGCTTATAGTCAAAAAACCGACGGTGCTTTGCGACCTGGAAGTCATCGGAATCCTCAACCTCGTCGAGTCCTGTACAACGCTTAATAGTACACAAGTAGAACCTAAAGGTATGGCGGTATCGGACACTCTTTCTTTCACATCGAACACCGTAAATCTAACTTTGGTGTCCCTGGAGAGACCGTCGGATGGCCGGAAACTGACGGTGCTCAAGAATATCGGATTGCTGCATCTCTGTAAAACGAATAATGCGAGTAATTCGTTACACTTTTCTATATTATATTTTTTTACTCACTTCGATAACTTCCGTTCGACCGTACTGTATCCAGCATTTGGAAGACTGCACGAATACATCGACAACTAAAGAGGGATTCGGAGGGCGACCGTGCCCGTCGCAGAGTAGATTATCACAAGCAAAAGAGGCTTCGCAAAGGGGGATTTCGTTGACGTCCAATGGGCAGGTGTGTTGGAGGCGCCACGTTTGAAGGTCCACTACCGGTTTGTGGTTTTTTTTGCGTTCGATGCATTGCCTGAGAGCGCTCAATTCGGCTCGTATACCTTCGTAACTGGCCTGTCTTATGGCGTCCATCCAACTGGATCTTTCTACGTCCGAAGGCGTCGCTAAACCGTGGCACAATCCTCCGTCGAATACCAAATAGAACGGAAAGTGGCCTTCTATGGTGAAGCCCGTAGAAGACATCGGAGGGTCTATTCTCACTTGGCATTGTTCCAGTACGATTACGCCCAAAGGTTCGGACCAAGGGTCTCGGCTTTTGAAATAAAACAATAAATTTCCTCTTAGTCGACACCATCTTTCGTAGGCAACTGAAAAATTACATTTGTTGCGTAAATTTAGTTGTGAATTATTTGGTTAAAAGTACTTTCGGTTTTTCTGAAGAATCCTTCTTGTTTTTCCCGTAGAAACAAAATGCCCTCTTTTTCGAATTTCGTGGAAGGTTGACTAGCTAAGGTTATCAATTCTTGCTTGTTAAAGCGCATTTTGATATTATTTCTAAAAAAAACGTTAAAATTGTTAAATTAGTAAGTGTTTAAATGTACACATTCCGTTAGTTTGTAGTTCATTTTAGCTAAATTATATATCAATTTTAAATCAATATTTGCACAAACTGTTATCTATAAAAATTACAGGATAATAGTGATATCTACGGATAGTGATTTCTACGGAATTTAATAACGATGATATAGTGAAAATGGTTAATAAAATATAACGAGAAATAATATAGTCTTAAGGCACATACAAAAAACAAGGAGTGTGTACATGCACTAAATATTTATTTGCTAAAATATTATAATTTAATAAAAATAACTCACACCTTGTTTGTTCACATAGTCGTATTTACATTACACAAAAAAATTTCAAACAATTTCACCTAAAATTACTTTTTTTAAACATATTTACAAAATTCACTCCGTTGGCATATTTGACATATTTCCATCGACACCGATGACAGCTCTTTGACACTAAACCACTTGTGTCATGTCATTTGTCAAAACAAATTCAACGTTCTGTGCACCGAACCAATCAAGATCTACCGGTGATTGATGTTTGTTCCGGTAAAATTTTAGGTTATGTATCCATCGATTTTAAACTTCAAAGTCCAAGCAAAATCGTTTATAAGATGAATTATTAACTAGCTACTACATGTTATGTAAACAAACCATTGACAAGAAGATTAGCTCAAGTAGTTATGATAATCAAACATAATGGAAAATAAGTGTATTGTAGAAGTTCACCCTCTAACAAACGACCCCACAGCCGCTTGGAAAGTAATTTCCAAACAGCAAAAGTTGTTGAAACTGAACGTTAAAATGCCAACGAAGCCGGTGGAGCCCGACAAAGTGCGATTCGTCTGCATGAGCGACACCCACTCTCTAATTCGAAACATCACGTACGGTATACCGGACGGAGATGTTTTCATTCATGCCGGAGACTTTACGAAATGCGGACAAAAAGATGAGGTTACGCAGTTCAACGATTGGTTGGGCACGTTACCGCACAAACATAAAATAGCGATAGCCGGCAATCACGAATTGAGTTTCGATAAAAAATTCCAGCAGGCTTTTAAATGCACGACAAGCAGACGAGGCAGAAGAGAAAGCCCCACTGAAATAGACGAAGTCCAAAATTACGGAAACTCTAAAGATGATATAATAGAAGCTGTTAATACTGATAGCATTGGAAATTACCTCACAAATTGCACATATTTAGAAGACTGTGGAATTGAATTGTACGGAATTAAGTTATACGGATCTCCTTGGTAGTGTTAATGCGATATTTTAATCGGTTTATAAAGTAAATAGCTATTTTCAGGCAACCTGAATTTGGTAATTGGGCGTTTAATTTGAAGAGAGGTGAAGAATGTCTTTCGAAATGGAATAATATACCTAACGATACTGAAATTTTAATAACGCATACTCCCCCGTTAGGTCACGGTGATTTAGTATGTTCTGGTATTAGAGCCGGCTGCGTTGAGCTCTTAAACACAGTACAGCAACGTGTACAGCCTAAATATCACATTTTTGGGCACATACATGAAGGTAACAACTTATTCTTTCACTTCATATTCCTCTAAAGATTACATTACAATTTCAGGATATGGAGTAACTTCAGATGGTAAAATTATATTCGTAAACGCTTCTACTTGCGATATTAACTATATTCCTAATAATTTACCTATAGTTTTCGATGTACCCCTTAAAAAAGGTTACACAAAGAATTAAATGGTTTTTATAATACAATCGTAAATTTTATTGAGGTGCTTAAAAATATTAAACACATCTAACTCTGTTCCTACTAAATCCGTTACGGCAGATCTCCGATCTTGCTAATTGCTCATTGTTTCGTGTAGGTTGTTTTGCACATAGTGAACTTTGTAGAGCAACGGTTCAATGTTGCGGTGGTGCTGTTTCTTCGAAACGTGAGCTTTTTTTATTGTTGAAAAACTTGTTAATGTTTGACGTTCGATAGTGAGATTAGGAATTTTCCACTTTCTTTTCGTGCTTTCCTCCCAGAATGTCCTTGCTGACTTCTTGCAGGTCGATTTTTTGCTCCTTCATGGCTTTCTGCAACACGTTATTCGATTAATTCGATTCTAATTGTACTCATCATAACGTTTAATTTGTCTTACTTTTACGCATTGTTGGTAGACTTTAAATAACGGTGCGCACATGGACTCGTCGGTGTTTCCTTTCAAAAAGTGGTCTGAAAACCACATATTAAAGCAAGCATCGTATTCTTTCTTTAGATCATTACAAGCTTCTCCGATGCTATTCATGTTTTAATTTATCGACTATCGACTTTTTTTATCCACGTGAACACAAGTAATTCCTACTAATTGCAATGATAATCAAAGAATATTCCATAGTTGAGGTTATGTACTATTTAGTACGTAGTTGTCATTGTTGTCAATGTCATATTCTTCTTTTTACGATTTGGTCTCGTATTTTAAGTAAATAGAAAACTCAAATAAATAAGAAGTACTGGCTGCGGCGGTACATATACAGGGAAGATTGGAGTAACCATAGAGAAAGAAAGATGAGAGAGTTCGATCTCTTACTAAAAATTGGAAACGCGTCGATGGTGCTGCTGCTAGTATGGTGTCCCACGAACTAATGAAATATCGAGTAGATTTCTTCTATATTTCAAAATTAAAAATGGGTGGTATACTCAAATTGTATTTTTATAATTTAATATTACATACTGCAAATTATAAAATAAGAACAACTTTTAATTATTAGAAATGTATTTATTGAAAGATATAAAAAATTAGTATACATACATATAACCTAAATAAATGAATTACAATACAACATTTGAACATAATTCGACAAAATTAATAACATAGACGATAACAAAAATATAATACAATAACTAGAAACGTAAAACAAATACAACCTTGTTACTTGTTACTTGTTCGAAGTAAGATGAGTCAGATCCCTCAGCTCCCAGGTCCTACAGCTTACAATTCTTGTAGAGCTAACTAAAACATAAAAAATATGAGCAGCATCTAATTCAGGAAAATAACAAAAACAGTTAAATGTATCAGAAAAATGACCTTCTCTTCACAGAGTCTCATTTGTTTGGCTGAATGGGACAAACCTATAATATAACCTATAATATCCTATAAATCTTATATCAAACCATTTGTTATTTTTTGTTTCGCTCAAAGAATTTAAAAAAATGCTTTTGAAGAATATTCCTACGAACCTTCCTTCGAATTGGCGTCGACATTTTAAATTTGTAAACATATAAATATATAAAAAGTAAAAATACTCACCATTTAGGTTAAGCACTATAATGGCGTCGGCATCACTCACGAAACTCTCTTTAAACGAAAAACGACCGACTGAAGCGGCTGGACGGGCTGGACCAGCTGGACCCGCTATCGCGATCATTTCCACGCGGGTCTCGTGTAAAATTAATTAACGAATCAAAACAATGGAAATGCATTTAATTTTTCGATAGTAGCGCCTCTGGTACCGTGTCTCAGAACTAATCGTGTTATTGGCTGTGTCCTATGCTTTAAACAGTCTCTTTTATTTTGTCTATGGGAGTAACTTCTGCGCTAGGATGACACGAATAACCGTAAATCGTGCCACCTTTTTTTGTGGCCATATATTATCAGAGAAAGAGGCCAAAACAGAAAGAAGCTTGTTGACAGTGACAAGTAACTTGTCAATGTCATATTCTTCTTTTTACGATTTGGTCTCGTATTTTAAGTAAATAGAAAACTCAAATAAATAAGAAGTACTAGCTGCGGCGGTACATATACAGGGAAGATTGGAGTAACTTCTGCGCTAGGATGACACGAATAACCGTAAATCGTGCCACCTTTTTTTGTGGCTATATATTATGAGAGAAAGAGGCCAAAACAGAAAGAAGCTTGTTGACAGTGACAAGTGACAGTGACATTCAAAAAATAATTCTACGTGTACACAGTTTCATAAATTTTATTCTAAATAACGAATAAAACACAATAATTAACTAATGGAAGGCTCACTATTGGTATGTAGAGTATCAGTGAGTAATTTTATATATTTATCGTACCGTTTACTTTGTAGGAACCCACTTTAAACGCCATTAAAGGCATAGCTATATTGGACAACGATGGAAACCGAATATTAGCAAAATACTACGACAAAAACGTATTTCCTACGGCGAAGGAGCAAAAGACTTTCGAGAAAAACCTGTTTAACAAAACCCACAGGGCGAACGCCGAAATTATAATGCTAGATGGGCTTACTTGCGTGTACAAGAGTAACGTAGACCTATTTTTCTATGTTATGGGTAGTTCTCATGAAAATGAGGTAAAACTCGCGTTGCCTTTGACATTAACTCTATACTAAATACACGTTTCTTTGTAGTTAATTTTAATGAGCGTTTTAAATTGTTTATACGACTCTGTGAGCCAAATTTTAAGGAAGAATATGGAAAAACGGGTGGTTTTAGATTCATTAGATATAGTCATGTTAGCCATGGATGAAATTTGCGATGGAGGGTAAGTCAAAATAATAATGTCTATTATATTTAAATCTTTATTAAATGTAATTTAAAGGATTATCATCGATGCCGATTCGAACTCTGTGGTATCGAGAGTAGCTCTAAGAAACGACGACAATCCTATTGGAGAGCATACAGTCGCCCAGGTAACTAATGCCATACATTCTTTGTTTTGGTAGCAAAAGCCAATACTAATTTTAATTTCCTCGACAGCGATGTAAGATTTTAATTAGAACGAGTATTGTAAATTATATTTTTCGATAAATTTAATGAAGAACGCATTTATTTATAGGTGTTTCAATCAGCCAAAGAACAGCTGAAATGGTCGTTATTAAAGTAAGGCTACAATTAAATATAACAATAAACTGTACATTAAGTTAAGAAAAAAATTTATTTTACCTTTTTTGTTGTTGTCGTTGACGTTGTACTCGAACGTTTTATAATAATCCGATGTCTTGGACGTTTCGATTGAGGATGCTTTCGTGGATCGAATCGAAAACTTTTTTGATATTATTTGTATCCGTTGCCACTGTGAAATGGACATAAACGTCCCTCGGTGCTAGTTGTTCTGTAATGTTTTGTCCCGGTTTCAATCCCATATGTTCCACATATACCGAAGTATTCGCTATATCCTTCAATAAATTATTAAATTGGCATTCATTCGAGCAACATTGTTTGGTTGTCTCTTACCAAAATTTTTTGTTTCATGAACAGTTTAGCTCGATCATATTCGGTGTCGCATTGCTCCTTACCGGTCGGAATGTAGTTCTTAAATTCGGGAAAATAATCATCGAGCTTTCTTCCTTGTTCGATTTTCCTTCGAAGGATGTCTTGTTTGTTCAGAAACACGATCTGCGCGGCTTCTTTAAGATACCTACGAAGCATACATTACCGTTTTTTTTAATTTATAGATACTCTAAGAACCGAATAACGTAGACTTACACGTTGGTGTAGACCTCTTGGAAGAGTTCGAACGACTCCCGGAGCCTGTTGTAGGTCGGGTCTTCTCTCAACTTCAAATCGAAATCGCTCGAAGCTATGAGAAAGAGCACCGATTGGATACCAGCGAATACTTTGAACCATTTTTTCCTTTCGCCCCGCTGCCCACCCACGTCGTACATCCAAAATTCGGCGCTCCCTCCGCCGTACTTCTTCGGCACCGGCATCTTGAAATCGATTTTACTGATCGCTACGGTCTTGATCCTGCAGAAGAGGATGTCCTGGTTCGTCGGGATATATTCAATTGTATTAACCTCGTCGATTTTATTCAGAAAGCTGAAACATTCGCGCTTAATAACTAATGTTCCTCGAATAAGTGGGTGGACTCTTACTGTTCAGCGCTGTCGATTAGCTGGTATTCGTTTGATCGGTCGAAGGCTCTTCGAACACCCTCGTCTTTCCAGGCCGTTTTAACGTGATCGAAGTACTCCTAACAACGAATCGATTTGGTATAAACTGAGTTGTAATTGAGAGGATTATTTTACCGGTGTATATTCGACGGGGCCTTGCCTTCCGAACGATATAATGAATTCGATGGAAGCTTTCGTTTGGTCCCTTTCCGGTGCAACAGGAGGATCTATTTTGTGCATGTTGGTGACTATCTCGTAAATAGATTCGTGGATGTTTTGCTTTATAAACGGTATCTTCTCTATTCTTTCGCTGAAGAAAATGTTAGTAAACTATCGATGTACGATCGAATTGTACTTACGTATCGGTGTATCCGTTTATGTGTAATATTTTCATTTGCTTAATGATGGTGGTTTTACCGGATTCTCCGGTGCCGAGCAACAGCAATTTTTGCACATCGAGAAACTTTTTAGTATGCAATACATCGACGGGGGGTTGAGATGCCCCGCAGCCCATTATTTCGACTCTGAACAGGACGAGATCTTCAATACAATATTATCTGTATACCAGATATTTGGTATCTATGCAAATATGAGATAAATTTTCTTATAAATCTTATCAGATTCACAAGATCTGATTTGTACTTTGAATAGTCGGTATTTAATAATATTTATCATTTGATATTACAACAAAGTGAAGTAAAATCAATTACATTATTAATAGGTACTAAAAGGTTTATTTATCTATACTATTTCGATTATAAATTAAAAACAATCTATTCCTTTTCTTGTTCGTTGGTCCCCGTAGTTTCAATTTTGCTAGTTTCTTCAGCTAACTTCCTATTCCTCCAAGCCGTCATATAACTTCTGGGGTGTATGGGAAAGAACCCAGCTAGTCCTTAAAATAAATAAACATCCATCTAATTTACATTACTATTAATATTACAACGTGTACGTTACCTAGTAATTCTTGGACCGGCCTCGAAGTCGTAGCTCCTTGTGACAGCCAGTATCGGATCCTTTCGTAATTTAGTGATGTTAATTTCTCGTTGTTTTCGTTTGCAATGGGATCGTGGGTTCCTAGTTGTTCTATAGGCGGAAAATGAATGTCGCTTTTTACCTGCGAATAATTATAAATTGTTCCTATACAATATGCATGTATTGACAAAAACTTACATCAGCTACTATTATGTGGTAAAATGGCCTGTTAGTGCAACCTTGCCTTTGGAATCTGATTATTTTTGTGGGTGGTGGAAAAGGTAGTCCACACCTGGCCACCCCACGTAGTTTATTCATTTTATATAGATAGATTTATAAGCTAAATTTTAAAAAATAGCTTAGTTATTTTTTAAATAACCTTATTTATTCTTCTTCCCCGTTGCTAACTTCATGTAATCAAATCAAGATATGTCAAGTCCATTTTTTTTGGCCGAATAGCCCTGGCAGCTGAGGCCAAAAATTTAAGAAGAAGAAGAAAAAATTTTTTACTACCTGCCATACTAGTAAGAGACCATACACATAAAAAACAAACGTCTTATTTTAAGGTTATGTTGAAGCGATGTTAAGCCCCAAAAATGAATATATTTAAAGTTTTCAAAGCAATTCGTTTTATCGAGAAATCGACAACTATTTCAAATTGTTCCCAACTACGTTTCGCATCGGTAAAAACAAAAATCAATAATATAGACAAATCAACGAAACCCGATTCGGAATGTACCGAAGAAGAGGTGCTGGTGAAATTGAAAACGGATCCGGACACGTTCGGCAGTCCTTCCGTAGACGAAACACTAATGGACGATGATCTAAAAGAAGAAATGCATTTCATCCAACAATCATTACCCACGCAAAAACTGAGAATAAAAGCCTACGCTGACATGATCACAGGCTTGATACGCAAGAGGAAAATCAAAGAAGCGATAGACGTATTGGAAGTCAGAATGCTGAAGGAGGATAAAGTAAAGCCGGAAGGTTACATTTACAATCTACTATTGGGGGCTTGCGGTAGGCTCGGTTACACGAAGAAAGCCTTTATGCTTTACAACGATATGAAACGAAGAGGTATGAATGTAATGGGCGGCACGTACACTGCCTTATTCAATGCTTGTGCTAACAGTCCTTGGCCTCTTACTGACGGTTTATCCAGAGCAAATCATTTAAGAAATCTATTAATCGAGAAAGGATACGAGCCCAACGATACTAATTACAATGCCATGATCAAAGCGTTCGGTAGATGCGGTGATCATCTTACAGCGTTTTCCATCGTAGACGAAATGTTATCGAAGGGTAAGGAGTGTATATTATTTGTAACGTTTTTTTTATCTTTTTTAATTTATTTTTCAGGTATGACTATCAAGGATGATACGTTTAATTTTCTATTACAAGCTTGCATTACGGATAAAGAAGCTGGTTTCAGACACGCTCTGCTCGTTTGGAGAAAACTCCTCGAGAAAAACGTTAATCCGACCATATACACATTCAATTTGTTGCTGAGAACCGTTAGGGATTGTGGAATTGGAGATGTAGAAGTAACTAAAGATGTTATCGAATCTATTTGCAACAAACACAATCTCTTAACTAACGGTAATAGTGATAAACTAATTGAAAACCAACGAACCGAAAGCGTAGCTGTTTGTGCCGCAAACATCAGGCCGAATCTGCTAGCCCACGCTCCACATATGGGAAACGTCGTTAGTTTAACGGAGATTAAAGAACCGGAACATAGACTTTTACTTTTGGGAGGATGCAATGGGTTTTTAGATATCATGAAGCATTACGATTGTAAACCGGACGTTAAAACGTTCTCGCAGCTGTTAAACTGCCTTCCCGGTACTATTACAGCTGAAAAAGAGTTATTGAACCACATGAAAAAGGCCAACGTCAAACCCGACTTGGATTTCTTCAACATGCTGTTAAAAAAACGAAGTTTGAGACACGACTATAACAGTGCAAAGGTTTTTTTTCTATTCTGAAATGCATACGATTAAATGTAATTTTTAATTACGTGTTTTAGGAAGTGCTAGAGTTGATGAGCAAGCACCGATACAAACCGAATTTATTCACGTACGGAATCCTAGCCCTTGGCTGCACCACCAAAAACGAGGCAATCGAGTTACTGGACGAAATGAAAGCGAAAAGTTACACGTAATACCATTATTCAATAAATATCGATTATTATAGTTAAAATGTTTGTAAATTTGCAGCTTAAATACCGCGATATTGGGCGCGATGCTGCACCAGGCGTGCTACCATTTCAATTATGTATACGTTTTGTTCGTAATGGAGGAATGTATAAAGTCAAACGTTCAACCTAATCCGAAATTCATGAAGACCCTCGAAGAATTCAAAGCCACGTCGCAAGCTCTATATAAAGAAGACGTAAGTGTTTGTTGGTGAATCGGAATGGTTAATTTACTAATTTGTTTTATCGTAGAAACTGAATAAGAATCTCCACAAACACTTTGGGATATTCAAACGCAGGTATAAAACGTGGTTGCAGGAAGTAGAAGTGGACGAATCGGAGAACGAGCATCCTTGGAAACAATTCAGGGAGCCCCAACAGCAGGAGTACAAATACAAATCGAGCGATTCGGATACGGCTCGTTTTAAAGCTCGCCATACGTCCTTATTCAAAGTTAAAACTGTTAATACTAACGTAAAGCCAAGTAAATAATAGTAATGAGAATAGCATTTGAAATTTAATCAAAATATGTACGTTATAAAAAATATACAAAAAAAAAAACTGATACAATTACGATACTACAGGTATCATTGCGACAAGTCCAAAGTTAAACATTTATAACTTAACAACAAAAAAAAACAAATTGAGTAATAAATGTCGAGTTGGTATCCATCCGATCCAACTAAACGAATCAATATCCTCCATTATACTACCTAAATCGAACCATTTTCTAGTCCGAAATCAATCACAATAAACCCTCTCGAATTTCGTCGAATTCACTACTAAAAAATCCTATCGTGATAACCGGAATCCTGCACAGTCGAAGACGCCGGCCTCGGCATGTGTCGCATTTGCGGCGCCCGTCGAGGCGGAGCCAATAACTCGAACATGCTCTGCGTGTGATTAGACAACATCTTGCCCAAATCGCACGGCATCGGATCCGTCCAGAAGAAATCGTGATTGAGAGCCGTATCGGCATCGGCGCGTTTCGACGGATCCAACACCAGCAATCTGTCGAGTAGATCGCAGGCGTACGGGTCTCTCAAATAGGGCGTCAGGCGCTCTTTCACCTTAAACACAAATCCAACGTTAGCGATTGGTAAACAGGTATATTTGACGCGTACTTTTCGTTTTTGCTTTTGGGGCAAGTCCATTTTCTTGAAGAGCTCCAGATTCTCGACGCCGGGCCACACTTGGGGCGTGATGGAACCGCACAACTGAGAGATGAGAGTGAGTTGTTGCTGTTCGCTGCTGCCTTGCATGATAGGCGAACGCGTCCACATTTCGGCCATGATGCAACCGGCGCCCCACAAATCAACCGGTGGACCGTAGTTTCTTTCGCCTAATAGGAGCTCCGGTGGTCGGTACCATAACGTTACTACTCGATTGGTGAATCTACAATCGAATATATCTACATATATCTCTTCATTTGGGATTGATCGTACGATTGATTTTTTTACCTATTTGGCATGCCGTTTTTATTGGAACTAAAAGCTCGAGCCAGACCGAAATCGGCTAATTTGAGTACACCGGTTTTGGTGATTAAAACGTTGGCAGCCTTCATGTCTCTGTGGAGTATTTTATTGCTGTGTATGTAATAAAGTCCGTTTAATAATTGTTGTACTACTTTCTTGATTTCGCCCAAATTGAATGTAACGTTTACATTTGATAATAAACCGGCTAAATCGTGTTCGCAGAAATCGAACACTAGGTAGAAGGTGGATCGATATTTGTTGTCTTGACTCGCTTTCGTCCTGCATATTTCTATTAGATTTACGACGTTTTCGTGTTTTAGCAATTGTAATATCCTGATTTCTCGCAAGGCTGTAATGGGGAACTGAAATCAAAGTAGAATTAATCCAATGCACAAGGGTTATCGTGTTAAATAAATGTACCCCTTCTTTTTCATTGTCCATAAGAACCTTCTTCATGGCTACGAATTTTTTTGGATTCATCTTATCTCTAGCCTTGAAAACCTCTCTAAAAATATCAAACTTACAAACTACAACAAAGTAAAAAGTAAATCTATTTTAATACCTTTTTTTTTGTGTGAGAATGTTACGAGACGAATATAAAAATAATAAATTCGAAAAGCATTTACTCACCCGAACGTTCCCTGGCCTATTTTAGCTACTTTTTCGTATTTCTTAGTTAAATCGCAAAAAGGGAAATTGAAAGCTTCTATGTATTTTTCCTTATCTCGCATACTCATAGCGCTGGGATGGGAGCGATTGCTTTCGCGGTCTCGCGTGTTATTCTGCATTTTCAACGACTAAAATAATGCTATACACAATATTTATTATAATTATAGCACTTTTAATCAAATTACTGTACTTTGTAATACTTTTTCACAACAATATGGACGATAAACTCAAAATGTCAAACGTCAATCATTTGTCATTTATTTTTGTCAAATTAAAAGAAGAATGAGTCCTGGCCGAATAGCCCTGGCAGCTGAGGCCAAGAAAATATGAAGAATATGGGCCTTTTACTATTCGGGCTATTCGGCTACTTGAAATATTATAGGTGGAAATATTTTATTAATATAACAAAAGTATAAATCAAAAATGTAAGTACAACATAGGCAACAAGATAAAATTTACCAAAATTTGCTACAACAAAAATCATCTAAATCACAACAACCTAGGACGAATTAAATAAACTTGAACTAATCGGCTTCTCTTAAATTTACGACATCCATTAAAAATACATCGTCGATATACTACTTAAATCCTGTTCAAAAGGTGTGCTAATTCAATCATAACTTGCCCGTTTTCGTGCATATAAACTTTCGTCTCCCACAGCATTTTGCACAGCTTTTCATCGGATTTCTCGTCCATAGCAATATCTTCGGACATTTGAGGACAAAACCTGAAGTACGGGATTCCCACGGTCGAGCACCAAGCACGAGCACGATCCACCACTCTCCCATCGCTCGATGTCGCCTTTGAATCAACACAATTTTATATATAATTGAATTACTAATAACATTTTTGGAGCTTTCGAACCGATATTATTATTACTATTACCTACCTGATCGACTAGCAACGTTCCCAGAAACCCAATGCCCATCACTAACGACAGTAATTTAGCGCTGTCCCATATAGTTTCCGGTCTGAACACGTCTATACCTTTCACTTCTGTAACTGGTACCAAACCGGTGCCTAAACTTACGACAACCGTAACGGGACAGGCCTCACTTTCTCTATCTTTGGCTTTGAGAGCCAACGTGTGCTCGTGAATTTCCGTTAGAGCGTCTAGTGTCGGATTATTCGCTATGAGACCGCCGTCTAAGAATCTACCAAAAGCTCTACAAATACAATAAAAACAAAAAAAAATTAGAAACAATACTCTATCGTTAGTGGTAAATAGTACCGAAAGTAAGTGGGGGCAGCTCCGGTCGCCCTGCCTACTTGCCACACGAATTGTTCCTCAGGAGGCGGCGGTAATTCGTAAGGAGAATCGTGTTGAACTTGTAATATATCGTTTGGACTTGTATACGTTCTGAATAAATGTAACTCTACAGGTTTCCTATCAGCCAAAACGCCTACAATCACAATAATTCATTAAAAATTGGTTATATAACAAGCTAGTAAGGTTAACCTGTCACCATAACCCTGGGTTTCTTGATGTCGGACATGACGGTATCAGTTCCAAATGTATCTTTTAAAATAGTCTCCAAATTATCGCTGGAATATGGTCGATTGCCGGTAAAAGCGGTTTCTTTCAAACGGAAATACAAGCACAAGCATTCTTTTAAAGTTTTACCCGAAGCAATAGCTAAAAAAATATTATTACAACAAATCTTAAGGCACGTCATATACCTAATTAGTACCTAAAGCTAAAATACCGCCGGTACTCGTTCCGGCTAACCAATCGAAGCACTCTTTTATAGGCTTCCCAACGACCTTTTCGAGTTCCAAGAGCATTTGGATGAGTACGAGCCCTCTGATGCCTCCTCCATCCAAGCACAACAGCCGCCCGCTCTTCGGCATGTCGCCGTTTTCGAATTTGTTCGAGGCCACTTCCATAGTAGCCACAGAGAGCATCGAATTCAAAATATCCCGATTAGTCGGACCTATAACCTATTTATCTAATAAGTACTAATAGAATTTTTCATCGGAGTAGTGCATACTTTGGGAGGTGGGATACCGTCGTATGTACCATCTGTCGAACAACCATCGGTACAACCTTCCGTGCCGGGCAGGCATCTTTTCGCACCGACAGCGGCCAAGTAGTAGAGCAATTTCGGTTCTTGGTCTAGAAGAATATTCATTAGAATCACTAAAAGTCATTAAACGAACATTCGACGCTCACCGGCCGTTATCAAATGCCTGGCCGTTTCTCCCTTATTGTTGAGAACGTCCAAATCCACATCGAATATAATCAAAGCTTGCAGTATGGCGGGATTGTTGGTTTTCACAGCCAAATGTATCGGTCTATTGCCATCGAAATCGCCTAAATCGGCGTTCGCTTGGCGACTCAACAGAGCGCATACGCAATCCAATCTGCAATAATCGAACAATATATAAATTACAATTCTTCCAACTGTTTACAATCGTTTTACCGGTTCCTTTCGACCATCACGTGTAGCGCTGTTTTTTGTTCGAAATTCAACGCGTTTATGTGGCAATTCACGTCTATCAGCGCTTCGATGACTTGCCTCGAACTGGCCCAATGCAACGGCGTGCCCCCGTTCTTAATATCCTTCAAATAGAAGGTGTTCGGATTGTTCTGGAGGTAATTCCCCACGTAACTGGGTTCGACGGTGCCCGGTGAATCGGGATGTTCGCTTTTGGTGGCCGTGATGTTTACGTCAGCTCCTGCGAGCAATAAGGCCTTAACACAATCAGGTTTGTCAGCCAGGCAGGCCATGTGAAGTGGCGTGTGGCCGTTTTTGTTGCGGGCGTTCAGGCATCTCAACGGTGTGCTTTGGGCCAACGCCTAATTAATGATTAGTTCGATTAGTTCGATATATATATATATACGCAGAGAACACTTGTAAGAACTTACACCGATGATGTCTTTGGTCGTGCTGGCCGCATAATGGAACACCGAATTGGCATTGTGATCTAAATGTTCCAATGAAGAATTAGCCGATATTAATATTTGTACGGTTTTAACGTTTTGGGTCGTTATGGCGACTTGCAAAGGGGACATTCCCGTTTCGATATCAGTGCTGTTGAGGAAACAATTTATTTTCGGATCGTTGAATAGATCGTAGAGAGCGAAATGAGCAGCCACATGAGCAAGAGTCCACGTGGGATGGTCCACTAGAACGTCACAAAGTTTTTGCAAACCGTTTAAATTAAACATCTAGAAAAAAAAAATAATTCGTTACGAAATAATTACGGGATTTCTAACGAACCCACCTCTTTGGCTACTTCTACGAAAGGTGGGATTTTATCCTTAAAGGTTAAAAATCTTATTTCGGCTTCCTCTAAACTCGGAGTTCTGAATAAACTAAAAATTACGATAAACGTAAATATCTCAATTACAAATTATAAATAAACATACCTAAATAATTGATGTAATGTTTCGGTGGCAGGTCGATGGAGAACTATTTCATAATTAGATGTTGTTTTGGTCTTTTGAGACATCGGCGGGGGCAAATACAAAACTAATCCGTCCTCCCTCGAATGAATGTCTCTCGATGAAAACAAATCAGATCTGGTTTCCATTACTTTATTCGGTGGAGGTTCTGCGCTCAGCAGACTCCGCAATACTGACAAAAAAACAAATAAGACATTATTAATAAGTATTAATAGAAGTTAAAGGATTTCTTGACAATTACCATTAATTCCTTGGGCTAGCATTTTGATCTAAAGCAAGGGATGACTATTATAAACTAAATACAACTATCACTTAATATGTTAAACTCTTCCATCGTTTTTTTATTATGTTTTTTACGTATTTTCTACCTTTAAATATTATCCTACTTGATAATCAAACAATATCATCGAAATTAGGTTATGTTACGTATAAATTGACATTGACAACGACAACTCAAATGACACTTGACGTTGACAGATACATTTATAACGGAAGCGTTAGCTTTATCAAATCGTCCTATTCATAACAGAACTGTTAGCTTTATGTATGACATCAGTAATGACAGTTTTTGACAGATTTGCTTGACATTTAATTAACCTCAACTTTTTTCGCGTTGACGACGCGACTGCATATTTGAAGACGAATAATTAAGCATAGGCGATAGTCTTTGCTAAAAAAAAATCATGTCGAAGGGGTACAGCGATGATTATGATCAGGTAAACGATACATAAATAAGCGTTAGGCGTTTTTATTAGATTTAAATTTGATGCAAGGATGCCGCTCTTACCTACATGCTTTGCAGGCACTAATCCCATAACGACAGCTTTTGAATTTGTACAATAATTTATATCCAAATTTCAGCGTATTCCGCAATTTCATCATATCGATTGTTCGATTTCACGGAAATACAAAAAAAAATGTGCCATATTTACAATGACATTGATGGGTCATGAGTTGTTGTCAATTTTAAATCTATTTCATATCTTTTTATTCACAAACTCATATATTTAATTATGTAATTTTTAGGGTTACGATTATACCTACGATGACTACGGATCCCACACGGGTGATCCCAGCTTGGACGAATACAATCGACAGCATTTTAAGATGCCCGAGAGCGTGAAAAACTTTCTGGTATACTTCAGAAATAACGTTAACGAAGGGTTGATATTCGAATTGCAAGCTTTATACGAACACACCTGGCCGAAATTGACCGAGGACTATTTCGAGAAAAGGCCATGGCCTGAAGAGAACGAAGTAGCTACTATAGTCGATAACGATCCCGTAAGTACTCTATTATATTTATAATAAAGAGAAAATGAATTATTTTACCTTCGTTTCCCATTTCCGATACATCTTTGATTTTTTCCATCATGAAATTTTGCTTATTGGAAAGCTCGTCTTTTAATTTTTGGGCCATTTCTTCGGTTTTGTTCCAAAGCTGATTTTTATATTCTTCCATCTTGTCTAGTCGAATAGAATACTAACTTGCCCTATCAAACTTTATGAATATTTAAAGAGGCTTAAAATATCAATAAAAGCGCTTAACCTATTTTTTATGTAAAAAAATCAATTATTAAATGGATAATGCGTCGTTTCTAAACAGTTAATGATCAGTGAGTCAATTATTAAAATGTTCATCATTAAATATGGTGATGGACTAAACTTCAAGGTTAACTATTGAATGGTCTTCCTTCAAGGTTAACTATTAGTTGTAAATTAAACAAATAAATAAAAAGGAAATCTAATGGTTTCCGAAACATGCAAGCTATCCAGCCACGAACTTACGAAACAATCGCTGTTACAGGTGTTTATGATTCTCTACAAAGAATTATACTTCAGACACATCTACGCGAGGATCCAAGGAGGCCCGTCGCTCGAGCAACGTTTCAATTCGTTCTACAACTATTGCGATCTCTTCAACTACATCCTGAGCGCTGAAGAGCCCGTACCGTTGGAATTGCCCGATTTGTGGCTGTGGGAACTGATCGACGAATTCGTCTATCAATTCCAGTCGTTCGCCCAATATAGGGCGAGATTGCAGAGTAAAAAAGAGCAGGAATTGGAAACGTTGCATTCCAACAATAAAGTGTGGAATGTCTTGTGCGTGTTGAACGTGCTGCATTCGCTGGTCGATAAAAGCAATATTAAACAACAATTGGAGGTTTATGCAAGCGGAGGAGATCCGGATTCCGTGTCTGGAGAGTTCGGCAGCCACTCGTTGTATAAGATGTTGGGGTATTTCTCGTTGGTTGGTTTATTGAGATTGCATTCATTGCTCGGCGATTATTATCAAGCCATTAAAGTATTGGAGAACATCGAAGTTCATAAGAAATCCCAATATGCTCATATCCCGGCTTGCCAAATATCCACATCGTATTACGTCGGATTCGCCTACATGATGATGAGACGTTATTCAGACGCTATTCGAACGTTCTCTTCGATTCTGTTGTACATACAACGTACGAAACAGCTATTTGCTTCGAAAACTTACCAACACGATCAGATCAACAAGCAAACGGATCAGATGTATCATTTGCTGGCCATTTGCTTGGTGTTACATCCGCAATGCATTGACGAATCCATTCAGCAGACGTTGCGTGAGAAGTCCTACCACGAAAAAATGTACAAAATGCAGTACGGGGATTTGCAGGAGTTTGAGAGCAGTTTCACGTACGCTTGTCCGAAGTTTCTCTCGCCTTATCCGCCTCCGATCGATTCACTTCCAGGTGATTATTCGAAGGACGCCATCCAACATCAAACGCAGGTATTTATGGAGGAAGTGGCCCAACAGAAGATGCTGCCGACTATCCGGAGCTACCTTAAGCTATACACCACGTTGCCTTTGAGCAAATTGGCCACGTTCATGGCGCAGAATAGCCGAACGAACGAGGCCAGCAGGGATTTGGCTAAGGAAATTCAGAGCTTGGTGATACATTTGTTGTGTTTCAAGCATAAGATGAAGAACGTGGTGTGGTCGAGGGGGGCGTCGGGATTGGAAGGGAAATTCCAAAGCGGATCGGAGGTATGTTGTATTGCGATTTGTACAGGATTTGATAAATAATTTGTGGGTTTTCAGCTCGATTTTTATATCGATAACGATATGATCCACATCGCTGATACGAAGGTGGCCCATCGATACGGGGATTTCTTCATTAGAAAGATTGTCAAATTCGAGGATCTTAACAGGAAACTTCATCAACTTAAACTGTAATTTACTCGTAACGTTTGTATTGTACTTTTTAAGGGTTGAATAAACGAGTTCTCTCACATTTCATACTTCCTAAACTATTGAATTGAAACCCTAATTCTCCACTTTTCGTTATAACGCCTATCCATTTGGCTGAATAGTCAGAGGCCAGAAATCTTTGACAAGTAACATTCAAAAATGTCACCGCATCTGTCAAAAACATAACCTCAAAAAATATTCCCATACAACAAAAAAAAAAAAACTAATAATGAGATTTTCTACCGCCCTCTTTGCCCGTATAGGAAAATGGTCGAAACAATTTTCCAATCTACCCGATCGCTACATCGAACGGGCCATGGAACAAGTCTATTGGAGGAACCCCAAAGGGATCCAATACAAACCCCGGGCGGCTCACGAACGTAAGAAATTCCATTTCTCCGTTCATCGACCGTGGACGATGAAATTTAAAGAAGAAAACCATCCGGGCTCGCAGAATCCCAAAGTTTGGTTGGAACCCATCAAAGAATGGAGCCATTTTCGGGGCGATAGAGTGGAAATACTCGTAGGTGAGGCTCTCTCATTTTACTCTGATATTCTCATTTACTCTTTTATTGATGTTTATAACTACATATTAAGTAAGACGGTAAGGTCAAAAGTTCTTCCCTCGATTCTTCATAGAATAGAGTAAGTTCGGGGGTTTCGAGAACTTTTCACTATACCCTCGTATTAATATATATTCTTGTTTATGTTTTTTTAGGTAAAGATAAAGGGAAGCAAGGATTCATAAAAGAGATAATCGAAGAGAGAAATTGGGTAATCGTGGAAGGTTTGAATTGCAAATTGGAAAAGATCGGAGAAGGCGTGAAAGGTTTTACCGGTGTTTGGATACAAACCGAGAAACCTTTGTTAGTTACCACGGAAATATCTTTAGTAGATCCTTCCGATTTAAAACCCACTACATTTGAATGGAGGTGAATATTTCTTACTCGTATAAACTCCTAACTAACCTCAAATTGTTATATGTAGGTATACCGAAGAAGGTGATCGGGTTAGAGTGTCTACGAGAACCGGAAGGATTATTCCCTTTCCCGCTTCGATGGAAGAAACGATCGATTATAAATCAAAGGCTTCCTATAAGGAACAACCGAAAGATACGATGGCTTCGATCGTAAGTGAGATAACTTTCAAACCGGAATTGAAAACCTTCGAGATGGACATCATGGAAAAAATGGGCATCGAAGAAGATAGAATACCAGCTAAAACTTATTGGTATTGATTGTAATTTGTACAGAAATAGATGTTGTTAATAAACTTTAATTAAATTCTACATATAATTATTACGAGTTAATGTTCGATTACGAGCTTCTCCGAAATGTATAATTCACCAATTATAGCCTGAAAAATAATAAAATTATAGTCAAAGTATGTCACAGAGGAATTGTCGTAATTCTCTTACTTGTCTTTTGATAATTTCCAAGTTTCTTTGGGCTTCTTTTAAATGGCTTTCGATCTCTTGGGATCCCGAAATAAATTTGTTCTGCTTAAAAGCGTCTCGGGTTCTTCTAATGGCATATTCCCTGTTGATAAAATGTAAGTGAAATAAAGAAGATTTTGAGTGATTTTTAATAGGAAAAAATAAAATTAGTTTACCTAAAATTGTACGATGGAATTTTACCGGATTCTCTCAACATTGTTTTGTACAATTGTAGAATTTTAGTTTTTGTTGCCATTATTTAATATTCAATATTGAAATACTAATTCAACTTGAAAATGTATAGCATTTTTTTGAGGTTATAATCCTGATATATACAGCCAATGAAGTTTACTTGTCACTTTTTAATAGTTGTCTGAATAACCGAAGCATTCTAGGTCTGGTATGAAAAAGAATAAAGAAACAGAATAGATATCAGAATCTAGTAATATAACACCAGAATTTAGTAATATATCACCAGAATCTAGTAATATATCACCAGAATCTAGTAATATATCACCAGAATTTAGTAATATATCACCAGAATTTAGTAAAAAATCACCAGAATCTAGTGATAAATCACCAGAATTTAGTAAAAAATCACCAGAATCTAGTGATAAATCACCAGAATCTAGTAATATATCACCAGAATCTAGTAATATATCACCAGAATTTAGTAATATATCACCAGAATTTAGTAAAAAATCACCAGAATCTAGTGATAAATCACCAGAATCTAGTAATATATCACCAGAATCTAGTGATAAATCACCAGAATTTAGTAAAAAATCACCAGAATCTAGTAATATATCACCAGAATCTAGTGATAAATCACCAGAATTTAGTAAAAAATCACCAGAATCTAGTGATAAATCACCAGAATCTAGTAATATATCACCAGAATCTAGTGATAAATCACCAGAATTTAGTAAAAAATCACCAGAATCTAGTAATATATCACCAGAATCTAGTGATAAATCACCAGAATTTAGTAAAAAATCACCAGAATCTAGTGATAAATCACCAGAATCTAGTAATATATCACCAGAATCTAGTGATAAATCACCAGAATCTAGTAATATATCACCAGAATCTAGTGATAAATCACCAGAATTTAGTAAAAAATCACCAGAATCTAGTGATAAATCACCAGAATCTAGTAATATATCACCAGAATCTAGTAATATATCACCAGAATTTAGTAATATATCACCAGAATTTAGTAAAAAATCACCAGAATCTAGTGATAAATCACCAGAATTTAGTAAAAAATCACCAGAATCTAGTGATAAATCACCAGAATCTAGTAATATATCACCAGAATCTAGTAATATATCACCAGAATTTAGTAATATATCACCAGAATTTAGTAATATATCACCAGAATTTAGTAAAAAATCACCAGAATCTAGTGATAAATCACCAGAATCTAGTAATATATCACCAGAATCTAGTAATATATCACCAGAATTTAGTAATATATCACCAGAATTTAGTAAAAAATCACCAGAATCTAGTGATAAATCACCAGAATTTAGTAAAAAAATCACCAGAATCTAGTGATAAATCACCAGAATCTAGTAATAAATCACCAGAATCTAGTGATATATCACCAGAATTTAGTAATATATCACCAGAATTTAGTAAAAAATCACCAGAATCTAGTGATAAATCACCAGAATCTAGTAATATATCACCAGAATCTAGTAATATATCACCAGAATTTAGTAATATATCACCAGAATTTAGTAAAAAATCACCAGAATCTAGTGATAAATCACCAGAATCTAGTAATATATCACCAGAATCTAGTAATATATCACCAGAATTTAGTAATATATCACCAGAATTTAGTAAAAAATCACCAGAATCTAGTGATAAATCACCAGAATCTAGTAATATATCACCAGAATCTAGTAATATATCACCAGAATTTAGTAATATATCACCAGAATTTAGTAAAAAATCACCAGAATCTAGTGATAAATCACCAGAATTTAGTAAAAAAATCACCAGAATCTAGTGATAAATCACCAGAATCTAGTAATATATCACCAGAATCTAGTAATATATCACCAGAATTTAGTAATATATCACCAGAATTTAGTAATATATCACCAGAATTTAGTAAAAAATCACCAGAATCTAGTGATAAATCACCAGAATCTAGTAATATATCACCAGAATCTAGTAATATATCACCAGAATTTAGTAATATATCACCAGAATTTAGTAAAAAATCACCAGAATCTAGTAATATATCACCAGAATCTAGTGATAAATCACCAGAATTTAGTAAAAAATCACCAGAATCTAGTGATATATCACCAGAATTTAGTAGTATATCACCAGAATATAGTGATATATCACCAGAATTTAGTGATATCTCACCAGAATTTAGTGATATATCACCAGAATCTAGTGATCACCAGAATCTAGTGATATATCACCAGAATCTAGTGATATATCTCCAGAATCTAGTGATATCTCACCAGAATCTAGTGATATATCACCAGAATCTAGTGATATATCACCAGAATTTAGTGATATATCACCAGAATTTAGTAGTATATCACCAGAATATAGTGATATATCACCAGAATTTAGTGATCACCAGAATCTAGTGATATATCACCAGAATCTAGTGATATCTCACCAGAATTTAGTAGTATATCACCAGAATATAGTGATATATCACCAGAATTTAGTGATATATCACCAGAATTTAGTAGTATATCACCAGAATATAGTGATATATCACCAGAATTTAGTGATCACCAGAATCTAGTGATATCTCACCAGAATCTAGTGATATCTCACCAGAATTTAGTGATATATCACCAGAATCTAGTGATATCTCACCAGAATCTAGTGATATCTCACCAGAATTTAGTGATATATCACCAGAATCTAGTGATCACCAGAATCTAGTGATATATCACCAGAATCTAGTGATATATCTCCAGAATCTAGTGATATCTCACCAGAATCTAGTGATATATCACCAGAATCTAGTGATATATCACCAGAATTTAGTAGTATATCACCAGAATCTAGTGATATATCACCAGAATCTAGTGATCACCAGAATCTAGTGATCACCAGAATCTAGTGATCACCAGAATCTAGTAATATCACCAGAATCTAGTAATATATCACCAGAATCTAATATTATATATAACCAGAATTCAGTAATAGTAGTAGTAGTTTAGTAATAGAGCGATGTGACGTCACACGCGCTGGCACGGCGGCCGGCCGGGAATTCTTTTTTTTGCTATAACTTTTGAACGGGTTAAGATATCGTTATCGGGTTTGTTTTGTTAGTTAAATGAAACTTGAATTAATAATTTTGAAAGAATAAATTTTTTTCGAAAACCCTATAGTTTCCGAGTAAACGGAGTGTATTTATTTAAAATTTTAATTCCGGTAAAATTTCATTTCCCTATAACTTGACTTGGTGAAATGACTTTTTGAAGAAATGCGATTTGCGTGCAAAAATGGCAAAAAAATTAAAGAATTTGTGGTAAAAGTTTGAAAAAAATCGTTGGCGTAGTTTCGGAGATATCGACCGAAAATTCCAAAAAAGGCGTAATTTTCACAAAAATCCGGCTCGATATTTCGATAGATCTCGTCGAGTTACGTAGGATAGAATTTTTTTCCGATTTTTTCGTACGCTAATAAAGCCGTAAAAAAACACGCCAATGAGTCAGTGAATGTCGGTTTGAGTTGAATGCACTTGAGTTGGATGCATCTTTGGAAATCCCTTCGAACGCCTAATGACTCATTGAATGTCGAAGATTGTAAACAACGATTTGCCGGTAAAGCCCATTAGGGATGGGAAAAACCCATTATGAGTGGATGCATCTACCTGGATTCCCTGGGAATAAACGACAAATAGTCATTAAATAGTCATTAGGCATCCAATCAATCACCAAATCGTAAACAATCTATTGTTTGCAACAATATAAAAACCGACACTCGAGCCACTGAGAATTCATTCTTCTCTGAGCCTCCGACTCGACCACATCTAATTTACTTGTTGTTATTTATTTATTTATTTATTTTTTTTTTCAGTGTTCCATCGACGATACCATCGGCAGTGTTCCGCCCACCGAGGAGTCAACCCCAAGGAAACATGGCACCCAACTTGTCTTGGAAGACATCAAGGAAAGCCCGAAGTCCTCACTCACAACTGTTCCTGAACGTACGAACTCCACAACATCAAACCGGACGAGCCCAATACTGATTAATTCGTCGGCAACGTCAACCATCCCGGAAACTAACATCCGCTCCATGTAGACGATGCCATTGATTTTACTACGACTGGAAAATGCCATCCCTTCGAAGAATAATCCAACACTTCGTCCGCCGACATTTTCGGGAACGGATACCTAATTCTATACCTAAGAATACTGACTTCTTAGGTACCTTCTTAGGTATTGTATACACCAATATGTTTACCGGTAGGGTAGGGTGTTCTCCCGAGTGACGTCGAGCGTCGGCATACGGTTTTCTACGGCATATGACAAAACTAAAGATGCATTTTGGGGACCCGTTGAATATCGAAGATTGTAAACAACGATTTTCCCCCGTTAAAGCCCATTAGGGATGGGAAAAATCCACTATGAGTGGATGCATCTACCTGGATTTCCAGGAAACGAACGACAAACAGTCATTAAATAGTCATTAGGCATCCAATCAATCACCAAATCGTAAACAATCTATTGTTTGCAACAATATAAAAACCGACGCTCGAGCCACTGGGAATTCATTCTTCTCTGAGCTTCCGACTCGACCACATCTAATTTACTTGTTATTTATTTA